ATAGCTCAGTAGTTGAAAGGCCAGGGGGGAATAGAGGACGATGATAACGAGTTCCCCCCAGAACAGGTCCACAATATAAGTGATTATATAATCAAAGCTACTGTTTAAGCTACTGCCCAGTGGATCTGTTACAAACACAGAAATCATCCGTGATAGTTTAGTGGCTAGAATTACCGCTTGTCGCGTGGTAGACCGGGGTTCAATTCCCCGTCGCGGAGTTTTTTTGGTAGCTCAATCAATTTTTTGCCATATCGCATAGAAAAACTGTTCGCAAGTAATATCAACCTGTTATACCCAAAGGACTCACAGCATACAACCAAATGATACCGATAATACGCCGTTACTCCACAAAAGCAATCACAGTAAACGAGTCCTTCAAGTCGACAATGTCTAGGATAAGTGCGCAAGCAATGATATTGACATCAGGTACTGGTGCTAAAGAAGTACTGGCATTACATGGAATGACGATGTCATCCGTATGCTCCCTATCCGTCTATCCAACTCCATTGTTACAATTTAATCTCCATTTACCCTCATATACTTCTCAAGCGTTACACGAGAACAAGTACTTGGCGATCCATCTTTTGCCTCCAACATCACAATCGGTACATTTAGGCAAGATATTTGCTAGCGGAGTTAAGACGAGTGGAAAACCTACAACCAATGAGGATGGCGAGTTCTTCCACGAAATGACAACACCCTTTACGAAATTGCATCAAGGAAATGATTGGATATTTCACACGGTGAAGGAAAACATAAATATTCCCATTTTGAAGAATAGTGAACGAGTACTCATCTGTGAGACCATGAAAAACTTTCTAGTGGATGATCACGAGATATGGGTGGTCAAGGTTCTTGATATAAAGGAAAATGAAGATTATAGCAATAAAACGGGAGGCTTATTGTACTTCGATAGGGCATTTCACAAAATTGGAGAGAAACTAATAGAGACAAATTGATCAAGCTGGGATTCAAATCGGGATAGGATATTTGAACTTCAATCTCTCTCGATCTTACTGGCTTGATGTACATTGCTTACATACTAATGTCAGATCCGTTACGGAAACACTTATAATTGCATAGAGAAGACAGCTTAGGCATTGTCGATTCATAGAAATATTCTCCTATCTTATAAAGACCAGCTAAAGTCAAATGTTATTGCATGTCTGATTTTAGGAACAATACATCGTGATATTTAATGCATTACTGCTATATACATAGACTATAGATATATGTCATACAACGATTTATTCATTCAACCATTTGCTACAATCCTCTTTCAAGATTTCAGTTTCAAGTTTTACCTTCGGTAAGATAGTGTCATACTTCTCATTTGTTTTCTTGCTTCTTTTGGAAAACTTGGCCAAAATTTCATTCTTTTTGATCAATTTTAAATCATTCTTCATGTTTTTGATTTCCTCGGTTCTGGCAGCCTGCTTGTTCAACAATTTTTGATTTTTCAACTCAATAGTATGCTCGTCTGACTTCGCATTTTTCAAATAAGCTTTCTCAACCTTAATCCGATTTTCGTACTCAATGAATATAGATTCTAACTCGCTGATTTCCTTCAAAAGAGTTTCTTCTTCACTCTCAAAACCGCTTTTTGTTTCTTTTTCCTTTTCATGTAGCGTGTCAATCGTAACATTCAATTGTTCAATCTCTTGTTCCAATTGCATTACTGAGTGCTTAAGGCCCTTGAGTTTACCATATGCTCTTTGATCGCTATTCAATTTGCTGCTGTACTTGGAGATCTTGTTTTTCAAATTATCAATATTATTCTTGGCTTCTGTCAATTTCTTATTCTCTTCTCTCTTGAACTTTTTCAATTTAGCTCTCAAAGAACTCAAATTTTTAATGCTAGAAATCAATGAGATTTGCAAAGTTTTTAATGATGAGGTTTCTGCCAACGATTTGTTAAGAACAAGATTGTCATTATCATTGGTGGTATTGATAATAAAGTGATTGACGATTTGGTCTTCAATGATCAAGTCTATTTCATACTGAAACAATGGGGTCAACCCATAAATGACCAATTTTAAATCATTATCATCCGTCTTAATCAACTTGAAATATGTCCAGTTGACATTATTCAACTTTATTTTTAGATTCCTTATTTTAAGGCCCTTGAGCTCATCCTGATCCAAAAATTTGAAGATAACCTTTGAATCATCAATTAACATTGTTGCCATTTTGCAACCCTCAAAGTTTTTAGACTTGTAAATATGGTCATCTTGGATCTTGATGAATTTTCCACCATTGTTTTTAAATTTTGTGGTTTCCCCTAGGAATAAATTTGGATTTTTCAAAATAGCCTTACACGCAGCTAAAATTGACCAAAAAGGTTGAATGATAATAGTGTTCTCAATTGTAGTGATGTTTGGAGAAACCGTTGTAGTCGTCAAAGAAGTGGAGGTTGAGGTTGTTGATGATGCTGTGGTAGTTGAGGTGGTACTAGTGTTGTTCGTTGTGCCGCTTTGACCATTACTTAATTGAGTTCTATTGCTGTTAGTGTTAGGCATGGAAATACCAATGGGAACATTATTGATGTTGTTGATTCGTAACTTATTCTTTAGTATCGTCAATCTACTGTTGAATGGCGATATGATGAAATTTTCAAAGTTCTTGATGGCCACCGAATTTAGCGATTCCACGTTCTTGGAGCTATCGAAGTTTTTGGGTATGGATTCATTCAAATTTATATCTAGCAATTTGTTTTCGTCGCAATTAATAGATATGTCATCGAAAACATTAGATATTGAATTATGAACTGTATGTGGTTTCTTGAAAATTGATGAGCTTATGATATGAACCGACAAAACCAAATACAATTTGTTCTTGTAGTTTGAGAAATTGTAGTTGTTGATGTAGCTAAGGTTGCTGCTATAGTTGTCAATAAAGTCAAATGAGCCATTCAACCATTGAATCAAGTAATTGATGTAGTTTATGATGCAAAAGCTAACGACCGAGTTTATGAGACTACTGTTGAAATACTTCTTATCATCATCATACTGAATTTTTGAAGAAATCCGCTTGTTGGAGATGGAGTTGATGTAGTTGATAGAGCTGGAGCCTATGAGATCGCTGGATATAATTGCTTTGGAGAACATAATCACATAGTTGAAATGGCTCTTTTTGTGGATCAAGACGCTCAAGCAACCGAAAAGCGTCAAGTTGAGAATAGCAATCTTGACCGCGTTCAAGAGAAATTTCCTGACGTTGCCCACGAGAGGTTCGGCGTTCTCTCGTATGAAGATGTTGAAGATGAACTTGCCGCCTGTGAAGGTGGAGCCGAGTAAGATGTGGAGGATGAGGAGGCCCAACGAGATGCTATGGGGTAACGACAAGAGGATCATCACCAACGAGACGATGTCTCTGAGGGAGGAGGTGGGGAGGATGGACGACGACGATGCGAGTGGGTATTGGTGGTGCTGGTGGTAGTGGTGCTGGTGGTGGTGGAAGTACAGCTTTTCCTTGTCGCTGGGCGCTGGCTGGTGGTGGTGGTTCTGGAATGGCGCCTGGTGGGTATGCTGGTGGGGTAGATGCGGTGGCATCAGCAGTGGATGAGAGTGCTGCTTCTCATGCCCGTGGATACTCAGTTGATGCATCTAATGACCTGCTCGGACTGTCACAAATGGGTACTGAACATAAATCCTGGACGCCAGACAAAAATTATTTATAACTGCAATTATTGTTGTACAACTTTACTACTATGCAGATTTCGATGCCCCAATATTGGGTTCTTGAGTGTAGAGACCCGAACACAAAGAGAGAAAATTTTTTTTCATATGTCAAAATGGTTATAGTCTGTTGAGGTTCACACGACAGAACACCAAGAATAGGAGGCTATCCGAACGGTTCCTGCCACCGACAACCTGGCTGCCTGGGCCTCGACTACTCGGGGCCAGATCCCCCGCAATTTAGTCCAGTTTACGAGCGTGGCTGCTGGCGCCTGCCTGGGCTGGCTGAAGTCGCCCATAACCACGCGAAACCGACCACCGCGACAGGCCACCATGTAGCAAACCCCCGCGGGAGGCATGAATGCGACGCCAGGCCCACCACGAGACTGGAGCGGTGGTGTTGCGTGAGATCGCGTCAAGCCAGCCGGGATTCAGACGCGGTGGCTCCCGAACCTGGAATCCGGGTAACCACGTGACCTCACCACCGCCGACAAAATTATCACCAACCTCACCAGTGACCATCAATCTTCGAAGTGTATGCAAAAGAAAAATAGATACACAAAATAAATGGTAGCACAAAACTGACTTCTTGATATACCATCCTCCAGTCCTATCGATAGCCCGAACCACTCCGATCCCCCTTCCTGTGCTTCCCGGCCGTCCATTTTCCCCTCAGCACTGTCCATTAATTGCGTTTCCGTTGTTTACTGCTTCTTCCAGCTTTTTACACCAATCTCCGCCAACAGCCCCACCGATTGATCGTTCTGCCCAAGATGATGACAATCCCCACCGATGACCACCCCTCGCTCACCGAGGATGACGCAGCTGCTGCAGTTGCTGCTGCCAACTCGGCTGTGGTGAATATTCCCCATTTGAAGGACGACGAAGCTCAGCAGCTCCATCAGCAGTACGTCCAGCACCAGCAGCAGTTCCACCATCCCCACCAACAACAACATCACCATCTTGCCCATGGCCAGCCTCAAGCACAGCCCTCTCCTGCCCAACAGCAACCAGTGCAACTGCTGCTCCCACCTCCATTCCTGGTCCAACAACAGCATCTCCAACAACAACAGCAGCACCACCACCTCCAACAGCAGCATCTCCAGCAGCAACACCTCCACCAACCGTTGCATCAACAACCACATCACCACAACATTCCGCAAGCTCACCAACACCAACACCAACAACTTCAACAACATCTTGCACAATTAGCCCAGGAACACCACAATCCTCATCAACATGACCAGGACCAAATAAGTGCCCAGCTCTCCCACCAACTTTCCCATCAGCACTATCAGCAGCAGCAACAACAGCAGCAACAGCATCACCATCAGCAACAACAACAACAACTCCAACAGCATCTGCACCATCAACTCCAACCCCAACAACAGCAGCAGCAACAGCAAGCCCAACGCCAAGTACATCATCCTTTGAATCATGGCCATCATTTGGGTATGTTGAATCAACCCAATGAGACGGAATTACTCGAATCTGTTACCAAAAAAGTTGCTCCTAGATCAAGCGACTTGTTTAGAGTGGGCCCAAGGTTCAGTGATACAAGACATCACCAGGACATTTATTGCAAGCGTAATGATATGGACGTGAATCCAGTGTTGCATGCCAGAATTGATCGTGGGTTTGAAATTGGTGAGAATGGAACATGGATAGGTTACAAACGTAATTACTTTACATTGGTGACTGCATTCTCTTTAGAAAACTTTGATTTTGACCGTTTCATTCAGAATAAGTTTTACACCTACGAAAAGTCCTCTGCTCGAAATGGGGAGCCTGTTGGAGAAAACAAAGTTGAAATTAGCTACTTTGCAATTAGACTTGTTGCTAAATGCTCGGATAACGATGTTTCGATCAGTCTTATCCAACATACTGCTAAGAGAGATAAGGGACCACAGTTTCCTCCCCCAATTTACCCTGCGGTGCCAGGTGATTTGCCGGACCATGAAACCGTCAAGGCTTCCTGTAACAAGCGTAACGGTAGCAAGATCGAGAACATGAACAAGGTGTTTTACTTTGACAGGGCTGAGTACTACCACGATACGAACTTGGATACCCTCAAGGATGAGTCTATCCTTAAGAACTATCCCAGCGACTCGATTGCCAGAGTGGCCAGATTCGAGAGAATTCAATTCACCTCCTCGATCAGAATCAAGTCGACGTCTGTCAACTCCAGATACTTCACGCTCCACGTCGAGTTGTTGGGTATCATCGAGGATGAGGACTTGCAGATCCAGCCCATCTTGTTGAGCTCGATCGAAACGCCTCCCTTGATCATTAGAGGTAGATCTCCTTCCAACTACCACAAGGAGAGAACCTCGGGCTACAGGGGACACCTTGTGCCCCAGTGAGTGGTCTGGCCCTGACCTTGTATTTTTAGACGTTTGTCTCTGTAATTTAACTCTCACACCGATTCCTGGTGCAAAATATACTGTTATTGATTATCCATAACGAGACGTACCCACACTGGCCACCCAGCCCCCACCACCAATTGTTGTCCGACAACCTATCTCGGAACAACCTCCTATTGTGTGCGGGACTACCCCAGCTGGTTTATCGCCCCTCGGCAGGATCGTCGCTTCCACAAGCCGTTGCCAGCTCACGCTGCACCAAGGTGCACGGGTGTGGCCATCACACATTCCTCGGGACTGTTAGTGGGGCACACGTTTGTCCCAAGTCTTCACGTAAGCCTTGTAATTCCTTCCTTACTGCCACCGGCCTCGTCCTTGGTTTGTTCTTCCCCAACTGCCGATTTGCCACGCTCGCTTGTCCAACCGGTATCTTCCTAATCTTCGGACCCCATACTTCAAAACTACACAAAGTCTCATAAAAAATAGTCAAGGCATCATTCAACAGATAACCAATTTCAAGACAGCGAAAGGTAATCATCCACACTCCTTGATAGCGTCACGACTTATATATCGGTAGAGGAATCCGATCATCTTATAGAGCACCAGTTTACGTCCCTTTGCGAGGCTGGCCAATCACCAGACATCTAAACAAAATCCCCCAGAGGTGACAGCCAAACACGAAAAACTCGCCACATCCTCCCCACAAGTTATGGCAGGTAAGAGCATGATATCCAACGAGGCTGGATACACCGCTGCCAATAACGAAGACAACTCAACATCCAATGTGCCGTCCTTGACCCCGGCTCTCATCAAGAGAGGAGTTCAGATCAGTCCCCTTGCAAACTGCAACGACCAGTCCACCCCAGTTGAGCATGTCAAAATCATCGACAAACAGTCATTTGAGTACGTGATTCGATCCGGGATTGCCGGTGGTGTGGCAGGAAGTGCCGCTAAAACATTAATCGCCCCATTAGACAGAATCAAAATCTTATTCCAGACCTCCAACCCAGACTTCTTGAAGTTCAGGGGGACATTCAGTGGGCTATTCAAAGCTTCAAAACAGATCTGGGTCAACGATGGCGCATATGGACTTTTCCAAGGACATTCAGTCACTTTGTTGCGTATTTTCCCTTACGCTGCTATCAAGTTTGTTGCATATGAACAAATCAGGACGATATTGATTCCTAATGACAACTACGAAACCGCAGTCCGTCGGTTCTTGGCCGGTTCATTGTCGGGATTAGCATCAGTTTTCTTCACTTATCCCCTAGACTTGGTAAGAGTGAGAATGGCTTTCGATACCAAGCATTCGAGTGACTCGAATTCGTCAGCACAGCATAAAAGAGGACGGTTGGTTTCCACTGTACACAATATTTTTAAGGAAACTCCGCCCCACAAGGTGAATGATCCTTCATGGTTGAAATTTCTGAGACAAATTCTTCCTCCTTCGTTGGTGTCAATTTCAAATTTCTATAGAGGATTTGCACCAACTATTTTGGGAATGATTCCCTATGCTGGTGTCTCATTTTATACACATGATTTGATCCATGATGTATTCAGGTCCAAATTATTGTCGAAATATACTGTCAAACCGGATAATTCTTCTTCCGCCGAGTCGAGGAAGAATGTGGTAAAGGTGAAGGAAAACGTCAACTCAAGAGATTCAAGAAGACCCCTCAGAGCTTATGCCCAATTGATAGCAGGTGGCTTAGCAGGGATGTTTTCTCAGACGGCAGCCTACCCATTTGAAGTTATTAGAAGAAGAATGCAAGTTGGGGGTGCTATCAACAATGGTCAGTTCTTATCTTTCAAGGATACCCTTAAATTGATTTTCAAAGAAAGTGGAGTTAGAGGGTACTTCGTGGGCTTGAGTATTGGATACATGAAAGTTATCCCGATGGTTGCCTGTTCTTTCTACGTTTATGAAAGGGCAAAATTGGCTCTTAGTATTTGATTATCATGAGTTATGTTGTTAAGATGATTATGACCTTCGTTCGAAATGATTGTTATTACTTCTCTATATCATTTCAGTTGCCTTCACTTCTAGTGTATTCATACATGTATATAATTGATACTAGATATATATTTATTGTTATTTAAACACTACTTACAAGAAAAATCGCCAGGGATTAATAGATCATATGAGTTTACCACAACTAAGGGCCGATTTAGAAGAACCAGCTAAACCACTTCTTTTTGGCATTAGGCTTGGTACCAAATTTTGTACTAGAAGCTGTCAAGTCCTTTAAAGTGTCCTTCGCAAGGGTGGCACTGGTTGAAAGTTTGTCAGTTCCGATTTTGAAACCCCATCTTCTCAATAACTTCACAACACCTGGGGTAATTGCAGCACAGATAGGCACTCTTATAAAAATCAAGGATTTGTGAATACCATACGCAATGGCAAACTCAGTCCAACTGAATTGTGAAAGAACGGTTTGAACAAAGCCGCCTTGGGATTTGGAACTGGGTGTTGGCGAATTCTCCTCTTCCACTTGTGCTTCAATCCTCTTTATTTCTTGTTTCTTCTTCAACTCTTCTTCAGTCATTCCGTAGCCGAATTGTTGCTTCACCTTATTTTCATAGTATTCGATTTCATCTTGACCCATTGAATGCACCAAAATGTAACAGAGCGGTAAATCAATGGCAGACAACGCCATGTATACACCAAAGGCTGAGTAACCATATTCTTTCATAAGTGCTTTCAACCCAGTTGGCTTCTTGTTCGAGCCAGTTGGAGGTGGTGTAGTTTGGGCTCCATTGGTCTTGATAGATTGAAATCTCTTGAAAAATTGTTGTTTCAATTGGAATCTTCTAGTTATTATTCTGCTTGGTGGAATGGACCACTTCGACAGAAACTTCAAGGGGTTGAAACGTAACATGATGGTGGTTCCTCTTGGTATGCCTACCTGTAGCAAGAAATTTCTTTGGTGAGCTTGATTATGTAATGATTTACTAACTCGCTCTCTAGTCTGAGGATGATCACTACTCTTAGCATCTAATTACAATGTATATTAAAACTAACGGAACTGAGAATAATAGCGTTCTTGAGCAAATCTTTGCTCAACTTTTTGTAAGACTTCTGAAGAATAAACTTCTTCCAATGGTTGACCTCCATTTAAGACCTTCTCTTCGTGAATCTTTTGTTCGTCCTTAGTCAAAACGACAACATTTTGATAAGAAAGTTCCTTGCTTGGATCCCATCTTGACAATGTAAGTCTTGATGAGTAATCGGAGATTGGAGACTTGCCACGGAAAACTTCTTCCAATATGTAGCTGACATCATGCAAAGAGATAGGGACACGTTGATCAACTTTACCAATTCTCGATTGTTGACCAGCCAAACTTTGAAGAATACTATCGTAGATTTTGTATCTGTTTTTACCTTCAATAGGTTCAGTGGGGTAGCCAGCAATTGTAGTTAAAATATGGGTAGCTAATGCAAGACCAAACATACCGGGCATGGTACCTAAAACGGGTAAAATACGAACTCTGAAGTTCTGCAAAGCTGCTAGTTGGTCAACTGAGCCCTTCTCTATTTCTTCATTCAAAAGCGGTAATAATTGGGCCTTTCTTGGGTCAGGCTTTTCAGCAGAGAAAACAACTGGAATGTTGGTGATGACACCTCTCTTCTTCAATCTTACACGAACTTGTCTAGAGAGTGGATCTTCTTCTGTTTTTGAAATGTCACTGATGTTGATTCTAGTCGGGTCTGCCTTGCATGCTGCACCTCCAGATGAAATCACCTGCAACTTCTTTTCATGGCAGTATGCTAACAAATCAACCTTGGTATCAATGTTGTCAATACAATCCACAATGTATGTTGGCTGAAAGTCATCACCAAAAATTAATTCGTCAGCACTATCAAGATTCCATAATTGGTTTCTGGTTTGAATGTCGATCCATGGTGCAATTTGGAGCAAATGGTTCTTCAAACACTCCACTTTAGAGATACCCACATCCTTCAAGTTGGCAACTGCATGTCTGTTCAAGGAACTCAAGGAAACTTGGTCGAAGTCGATAATTCTAAGGTGTTCAACACCAGATCTAGCTAACATTGTGGCAACCCAAGACCCGACACCACCAGCACCGACGACAACTATTCTTTGATCACGCACCTTTTGCATACCATCCTCCGATAAGAAAGCATAGTTACGAGCTAACTGTTCACGAATCAACTCTTCCGAGTGTTCGCGTTGGGGTTGAGGTCTTGCAGCAGATTTTGATTGTGTTTGAGTTTTGTTTTTAACGAAGCGGTGATAGCCTTCGACTAGCGAGGCTGTGACAACCGCTGTAAGTAGCACAGCGGTACATATGCCTCTTGTGTTGGAGTGGCTCATCTTCGATGTATGGTAGGCAGTGATGACTTCTTCGCATCTAATTTTTCAGTTCCTGCACAGGCTATTTGCATCCATAACGGAAGCGTGTCAGGATTAGAGAATAGTAAGATTACGATATTTAATGGAACAAGGAGCTTCTCCAGGCAGAAAAAACTTGGGACAGCTGCAGTGCATGGTTCGACAGGTTTTGGAAACTGTGTTTGAATTGTTGAAAAGTGTAGGCAATGGAATGAATCTAGTCGCCAGAAGAGCACCACGAGTGTCTAGTTCTTCAATACCAAGGGGAAAATTCTTCTAGAATAATTCTTCATTCGTTTACGAGGCTTAACGATAAACAATTTTGCAATGCTGGTATTTTTGAAAGTATTGTTAGTTATGCAACGAAGTTGGTGAAAATAAACTGACTACAATTGTTGTTTTTTCGCAACTAAATCATAAAATTAAATCGAAAATATATAGAGAAGTGAAATAGGTTACAACTTGGAGGAAGCTTTTCTACCAACAGTACTGGTGATTTGACCGTTTGGATCAGAGGCTGGGTAGAACAATTCAGTGTTGTTCTTGATACCCTTCCATTCCAAGTTGTACAAGATGTAATGGATATTTGGCAACTTGTAGGAAATGGTCTTGATCTCATCAACCTGTTCTAAGATCTTGTGGGAGGTGTTGTACATGGTGGCTTGAACAGATGCGGATTGTTCCAAGGCAAACAAATCCAAGGTGGTCTGTCTGGCAGTGTTGTAGGCTCTGTCGAATAAACCTTCGTCAGCAAGCTTGAACACTTTGTCTAAGGTTGGGACGTATTTGGAATCAAAGTCCCACACAGCATCAACATCGGTGGAGAGAATTCTGTCATTGGTTGGCTTCAAGGTGGTGTAGTCACAGACATTGTAGCCGTAGAACATGGAGCCGGTAGATTTCAAGAGCTTCAAGTCCTTGATTGCTGAGGAAATAGACAACTTCTTAGAGTGCTTGTTGTAGGTCAAAACGGTTCTTCTGGTTTCTGGGCCATCGTGAGAGAAAGAGTGCGCATGTTCCTTACCATTGCTGAGAAGGTACTTGCTCCATCTAGATTGGACAATGGTGATTTCGAGACCATGGACTTGTTCGTATTTGCCAGTGAAGTGCTTGGCCAAGTGGGCAGCGAATCTTTCGATTGGCCACACATCAGTGTTCTTGGCTTCGACCAAAATAGTGTTCTTGACAGTATCAGTTGGAACAATAGCACTGTTGTCAGCATGGGTGTATGATCTGTCAAAAGTACCGTTCAACAAAACTTGGACATTGGCTTCCAAAATCTCCTGGATATTTGGATCAGATGGGTTCTTCTTGACCTTTAAGAACTTAACGTTACCTTTACCGTAAGCAGAAGCGACTAATTCTGATTGCATTATGATTGTGGATATGACGAAGTGACGAGTTGTCTAATGAACCAAAAAGCGAGGGGATATCGTCGATATTTATACTTGGAGTCCAGTGGATCAAGCAAACAGAAATCCTTATCGGTAAGGCACCAACACGTGACTAATCTCGGGAATCTCCGAACTTTCTACTGAGACTAATCTCTCACCCAAACCCCACTTGATGGATATCAGGTGATGAAGTCCCTTTACACAAAACTCTCTATTACCGGAACAATCCGTCTATACGGGGTTTGGCGGGTTTCGGTGTTATCCGACGCTAAAAGACCCTTTTTGCAGATGTCAATTCGTCATTATACATACGAGGCGACAATACATATCAGACAACTATTTGATTCCATGATACGGTAATATTAAAATGATCTTGACGTTACCTACATGTTATGTAATTCGGGAAATTCGTTATTCATATCGAATAGGTCGATCTACGCACTTTTAACATCGGAATCCAACGAATCAGATTCTTGTGGCACTTCATGCGAGGTACTGCTGTTTTCAGCCCCAGTGTTTCCTTCTTGCTCTGGTTCAGCAAATCTTAAGCTTTTTCTTTTTCTAGCATTAGTGTTTTCTTCTCTTTTAGAAGAACCAGAAGCAGTTAACTTCTCCTCCACATTTTCTTGCTCTTCCTCAGCTACTTCGGGAGCCGCAGTCTCTGAATCAGAAGAGTTGAACACCAATTCAGCGGTTCTAATCCATCTTCTTCTTCTTGTGTACTTGGAGTAGGAATCTTCAGTAGATGGTTTTTTCCAAGTGTTATCATAATAAATAAAACCCTCGTCAGCTGATGGGTTTGCAGTCGTTTTTGATCTCTTGTTGTTGGCCAAGGTGATTGCACCGTCACTGGTTAAGTCCAATCTCCAAGTCTTGTCAACCCACTTCCAAGAAGCACCATTGATCTTACTGGACGATTCTAATGGATTGTTTAATGTGTCACCAGTATTTGGTAAACGGAAAGTCTCGATAGAGGAACTTTCGTTCAAAAACTCATCGGTCCATGGAGTTCTTTCATAGGAAAGTAAATTAGATGTCCAACCAACCCCTAACCATCTTCTTTGATTCTCGTAGATCACGTAAGTAAATCTAACTGGTTTGTTGCCACTAGAAGAATCGAATCCTGCATTCTTTTGTACCTTGGCAAATGCAGCTGCAAATAAGGAGTGATTTTTGGCTTGCAGGAAATCTAAACCGGTTAGATAAAAACAGATAACTCTAGCCAACTTGATTTTCCAAATGATTCTTCTGGTTACTCTTGAATATGCTGAATGGTATGACAATACGTAAAGACCACTGACCAATAGGATGATCTTGGGCTTAATGATCAAGAGCGTAGCAATCAAGTATAAGGGAGTTAAAAAAAGCGTGGTGAATAATAAACGCTTAATATCAGATGCCGTTAACGACAATGAGGTGATTGGGTTTAAAAGCATATCAGCTTTGATACAAGTGGCGGTTAAGGCTTGTACAACATCATCCAAGGTAGGATGTAACTTAGTTTCCTCCACGATCATGTTGTTTAACACCGCATAAAGTGTGATTATTCCAACAATGATGATATGTCCAAACCAGACAATCAAGTTCTCAAAGTACAACACCACCAATGAAAACACACTCAAGATGATAATGTTAATCCAGTAATCATCGTTAGTCCACGTTGCTATGGACAAGAGCTTGTTAACAATTAATAGATAGGGGTATGCCTTGATTAATGCCTTAGCTACCGTAGGGGGAGTAGCTGATAATAGTGGGGATGTTTGAGGCTTGGAATCGGATGTTTCTGGTTCAAATGGATTGTTTGTAGTGAAGCTGGCTCTCAATTCAACATCCTCCTCTTCGGGATCATCATGTACTATGTGATCTTCGATGTCTTCCCCGAGAGAGCTTCTCTTATTGCTGGGATTGCCTTCGGTGCCCCAAGCTTGCTTCGTTGACATGGTTCTGTTATGTCGTCAAATCAGTTATCTAGTCATTCACTAGTATCGAGGATAGTTCAAAAACGATTTACCAGTATTTAATATATGATGGTCGATCCAATGGGGTCCCTTATGTGCTCGATTAACCTGACTTATCCGTTGCAATGCGTGTGGTATAATCTAATCAGTGATTTTCTCCACAAGGATACAAATTTCTCATGAGGGTTTATGTGCAGGTATTACGGGTAATATCACATTCACTGCCCATTGAGGTAAAATGGAGAAATAGGTGGCTTTAGAGTGAATTGAGAGGTTATGGAGCGGAGCACAATAATCGAATGAAATAACAGCACCTTCGTCCATTGCTCGCAGACTACAATTTACAGGTCGATGGATATTATACTTACGGTTCACAGCGGACTGAGGAACGAGCAAATTGGCCACGAATAGTCTGTAAAGACTACTGATACCTCTAGCAGATGCTCTTGTACGCCCTTACTGTATATAGGGGCCATTGACGTCACAGATGTCATTCACGTCAAGCTTCGCCGCAGTGTCGGACATCATCTCTTGCTGTGAATGTGGAGGCGATTACGTAACACACACTCTAATCTTCACTAGTATAGCGAGAGTTTAGAGTGTAACTGCTGGCAGAACATATAGACTCCTGGATGGACTTTTCAAGCTTGCTCTCACAGGAAATAAACAAGAAGAGGAAGGCAAATGATCGGGGTCGTATAAGCAAGAAAGGTAAACCCAGCGTTCCTCCCAAGGAGAGTGTTCCAGATGAGGAGAAGCAGCTGGCCACACTCGAAGGGGAGCAGAAGCAGACTCAAGATAAGGATGGCCAAACCACACATCAGGACGAAGAATCTGAACTTGTCAACTCGATAAGCGATGAGCAATTGCGAGAGAAATTACTCGAGTTCAATGAAACAGATACTGATTCAGATAAGCTCACCTTGGTCAAGAAGTTGCAAATATTGACCAGGAACCAAAATCGATTAAACAAATATAGGGATCAGATACAACTCGAGTCCAGGCTCCATGAAGCCCCCGAGAAAAAGATGATCACAATGGAAAGCATACTAAACACCCATAAGTTCCAAGATGAATTGTATGTCCAATTACGGGTGTATATCAAAGACTTGATCAAAGAATGGGAAGAAGAGGAGTCAAAAAAGCCTGAGCAAGAAGCTCTCTTGCACGAAACTAAGGTGGATCTTGTCAAGGTGTTATACAAGCTTAGAGTCCACAAGCTCACTCCTGACATGCTTACCTCGCTCACTACGATCATGTACTATATCCAGAACAGTGAGTACAGAAAAGCCAACGAAAGCTACATGAAGTTGAGCATCGGGAACGTGGCCTGGCCCATTGGTGTTAGAGATGTGGGTATCCATGCCAGAAGTGCTGATCTGAAGATAGCCAAGGCCAATGCGAACATCATGATCGATGATAAGACACGCAGATGGATCACAAGCATTAAGAGGTTGTTGACGTTCAAGGAAAGGCAGTGGGACAAGTCCCACATTGCATGATCTGAAGTCCCCAACTAGTTAGACAATTTGTAATATAGACACCTGGGAAGACGATGGCTATGTATCACGTGCATTAGGGCTTGCGCCCCAATAGCTTATGTAAGTGCGCTCGCGCAAACACCCAAACCTCAACTACTGGCGCCTCATCCACCAGTGAAAAAAATTCAATCGCTATACTTTATACCACTTCTTAGTATTATCGATATATACAATTAAAGATGGCTGTAAGTATAGACATATACGACGGCGCAAGCCCAGACAGACCATTATCATCAAAGGAATCGTGTTCAGACGATTAAGTTATGGCTGAAACAAGCTGGGTGGTGGAATCCACCCATATAGAATGAAACGTTGAAGGAATCCATCGTGGACAATTATGTCACTATACCTACCAATGAACTGCTATGCGGGCCATCAGTACCAGCAACCTTATACTCTCAATGGTTTATGTGGATTGTGAGGCCAATGACATGTTTTGATGATAGTGACTATGGACACTTTGCAGTACTAACATTATAGCGTGAAATCAAAGACATCAAGGAATTCGTTGAATTAGCTAGAAGATCCGACATCAAGTCCGCTGTTGTCAAGGTCAACAAGAAGCTTAACGCTAACGGTAAGAAGTTCAAGCAAACCAAGTTCAAGGTCAGAGGTGCCAGATACCAATACACTTTGGTTGTTAACGACCCATCCAAGGCCAAGAAGTTGCAACAATCTTTACCACCAACCTTAGAAATCAAGAACTTGTAAGTTATGAAAATTACAGTTAAGGAGTGACTTCATAGTTTTGTTTCTAATCTATTGTATATTTAATATATAATAAGGTCTCTTGGGATCTTATACGGTTTAATAGATATGACATTTGTAAAGCCTATTTAAACGACATCCTCCATATCGTCATCGTCTTCGTCATCCTTGTTATCGTTATCATCAGCGTTAGCATCCAAGCCCAATCTGACTGCTCTTTCAGCGTCTCTTAATCTCCTGTATTCAGGTTTTAAGTTGTACTTGGATGTATAAGGTCCCTTCTTGATCAAGTTTGCGATTGAATCTAAAGACTCTTTCAAGTACGACTCAGGCTGTCTGGTCCTTTCCTTCAAACCCTTCATAGACCAATATTCGTATTCTTCGAACAATCTGAATAATAAATCCAATAAATCCTTCTTGGGCATTCTGATGGCTCTTCCCTCAGCATTTCTTTTATTGTGGTTCGACTTCAAGAATATGGATGAATTATTACCCCTAATCGATGGACCAGCGTTAGCTTGTAACACACCTGGGATTTCATTCAAGAATGTCACCTTTGGTCTGGCTGGGCCCTGAGTTATATTTTGTCTCTTGGATAAAATTTCACTGTATCTGGAATCATTCTTCGATGGCACAATTTGACAATCGTGACAGATCTTACCTGCCAATGCAGTTTTTTTTGGAATTGTCTTGACGAATGGAATTGCCTTTTCAGAGCTATCATTCTTTTGTATACGATAGAACCTGCCGGTTTGTTCTGGTTCCGGTGGGATGAATTCTCCTCTTTTCTCTATGGACTTTAATTCTGGTTGTTCCGGCATCGCTCCGACTTCTGTTAATTCTTGCTTGAACTTTTTCAAGTTTTCTTCGCTGAATACATATGAGTTTCTGACCTGGGTATTCAACATAGCAATATCATATTCTTGTGGTATATCGGAATTGGATTCTTTCTTGTCAAGCACCAATTTGACCTGAAGCTTGCCTCCGCTTGTATTCTTTTTAATCTTGACGGTGGCAATTTGCTTCCCACTCAAGTCGTTTGTTTTAGACCACTTATCGGCCAAATACCTGGGCAATTTAACCAACCAGATCTTTTGTGCACCATTAGTCAAGTTCATGTCAAGCGATTCATTCTCTTCCAAGTAATCTTCTGGGTCAGATAAGATGGAATGGCTGGGGTCCTCAGGTTCACTGGGGTTTGATTTGATGTCCAACGGTTCCCTCTTCACATCCTTATCTAGGCCCATTTTTTTGTCTTTGACAGGCAGGAACTTGCTTGCCATACTCATATCGTACAATAACTAGAATGATGGCCAACTCAAAGTTATTGCAATGATTAGTAAGGGTATACTATATGGACTCATTATGAATGCGATGAAAAAGAGCAAGTACATATCACGTGACACGAGCTTTATCCACATCAGTATCACCTACTAAACCACTGCAAACACAGAACAAACGAGGATGGTGGCTCCTAGTCCAGATTTACCAATGGTGCTCACCAGATTGCATTACATTGTAGATAAGGATTGTGGATATTGTGGGGGAAAGAAAGAGGATCACTCTGCATTAGAAAGTGGGAAGCAAGATGCATCATCGGAGTCTGTCATTTTGGGTACTTCTGTGGAACAAATGACGTGCAGACATTACGATGAGTTAGTAAACCAAGGATTTAGAAGATCGGGATCGTTTCTATACAAGCCAGATTTACTTCGTGGCTGTTGCCGATTATACACCATTAGAACCAATAAAGCATGCTTAAAACTCAACAAACAACAACGGAAGGTGGTCAACCGGTTCGTAAGGGAGATTGCACCTCAATTGGAAGAAGGTAAAGAAAAACACAAGAACCAAGCAAAGTATGACTTGGACGTGCTAGCATTAGCACAGGAGAAATCAACCAGATTCCACACAAGATTCGAGCCCTCAAAGTTTTCAAAAGAGAAGTTCCAACTATACAAAAAATATCAAATAAGTGTACATAATGACCCACCCGAAAAGATCACTGAACAGTCGTTCAAAAGATTCTTGTGTGACAATCCCTTTTTGGAGAATGAGATTTATGGCACACCGGACCAGTGGAACACGTTAGAAAAGTGGTTCAAACCTTCAGGTGGAGGGAAAAAGAGAATAGGTCCAACGCACGAGTGCTACTACCTAGATAATAAGTTAATAGCTGTTTCTGTGTTGGATTTTTTGCCATCGGGAGTATCGTCCATTTATTTCATCTGGGATCCAGACTACGCACACCTCTCGCTTGGTACTGTTTCAGGAATCAGAGAGATATTGATGTGTGAGAGATTGGGGTTTGAATACTATTACTTGGGGTATTATATCGACGATTGTGACAAAATGAGGTACAAGCTGAAGTTTGGCGGGGAATTACTTGATTTGTGCAATGAATTATATGTTCCTTTCGAGACAGCAAAACCATTCATAAAAAATGGCAGATTGTTTGTCATTGGCGATGAAGACGACGAGTTTGTTGAACCAGAGATGGAAAATAATGGACACCCCGAAACATTGGAAGAAAGCGAGTACAATGAGAAAACCTTGATCAACATAGCAGAGGGTATATACGGTAGCAAGGAGGTCTTTGATACCGCTGAGAACTCTAAAAAAGTATTGGAACAGATATACGGAATCAAAAGTGAGGCTTCTCCGTTTGAAATTCCTTCAGTGTTGCCAGGAGCCATTCCACTTTGGCAGATTGTGGAATGGTTTGAGTCTGAAATAATTAATAACCAGTTTCCGGTCAGTTTGTTTCGAATGATGACCAGCGAATTGTTGGAATGCACATTTGGCGAACTCAAGCTGAAAGAGAAGCTGATAGTTGTTGATTTCATAAGAGTGTTTGGGTTGGATAAGGTGCAAGATGCTATTATACTTGTATAGGTTAGAAAGGGACACATGTATTAATAGCTAGCAAATATAGATAAAGGTATCTACAATAGTAAACCGACTAGGCCGGCAATGCCAGCACCGAGGCCAATAGATTGCAAGGGAGAACCGTTCTCACATTCACTCGAATAGTAGAACTGGGAGGCATTCGACTTGTTGGGGTGAACTGGGAGTATCTCGTGCACAAACTCAGAATCAGAATCGACAGAGGAGTTATCGGGCTTGTTGTATGAAACAGATTCGCTGAGATCAGCACCTGGATCAGCATCTAGTTCAGGTTCTAACTCATGTTCTAACTCATGATCTAATTCATGGTCTAATTCATGATTTAATTCACGTTCTAATTCAGCCTCCAAGTCTGCGTTAAGAGTGGCATCATCAAAGATGTAGTCATCCTGAGAACGTTTCTGGAGCTCATCAACAGTTTCAGGGTCAGCAATTTGATGTGCTTTGACCATGCTCTCGATTTTGGCCAGGGACGCAAGCTCAATATTGGAACAAGCAAAGCTGGTCATATTTTCGTAATGGAAAACCACAGACTTACCGACAATGTAGGAGTCAGACTTTCTGTTCAACGACAAGAACAGATCGGTGTACTGGGTTTCGAAGCACGTGGTGTTGATCCAACCGTGCTTGCCAGATAAGTCACCGACCCTGCAGTAGGCATCGTTTCTTACGGAATCGCAATCTTCAACACCGTCGTAGGGGTCGAAACGGCCACCAGCAACGTCACAATTGCCATCCTCAGGAATGGGGTGGTCGTGGATGTGGTAGTAGAAGGGACCACCAGAGGGTGGCAAGCCGGTCATGTCGACATGGACACCGATTTTGCCCCTTCTCTTGGCGGTAAACACAATACTTCCTTTGACGTGGTTGTCGAAGCCGAAGGGGAAATCGGCCACGGCAACGGCGTTTTTGGGATTCCGAGTGATGGTGGGTGCTTTGCCTGCACCTACCAAGGGGGCAACGATAGCGGCAATCGATAAGAGGGCGGCTGGAGACAACATTGGGGAGGATACTTGTGTAAAAGTAGCAGTTCTGTGGACCACAAACAGGCGCTTAGTAGAGGCAGGAGCCCGCGCTAGAAGCTGCGAAATTTGCAACCAGCGCACAAAGACCGGTTACGTAAGCGGGCCAAGGTCCCCCACCCCAGGCGGTCACGCGATGTGCCCCAATTGTTGACTCATGGAAGTCATTCGAGGAGAGGTACGTCCACCCACCTAACTAGTACATGTAGCTGGAACACCCGTGACCTATTCTCGCATCCAACCTCGGCATCTGGAAAACCTGTCAATCGTGGACGAGCCTGCCCCAAATCGTCAATTGCACCCAATTGAGGCTTAAGTGGGTGCGATAGGCTATCTGGGGTGAGGTTGCCATTGGACCTTGATGGAGGAGGATGGCAGAGGCAGGATGGGCCCACACGGATGGCTTGGCCCCATTGGGCCTTGTCGTTGGCGTGGTCGACCTCTTTTGGTGCAGTCATCTGATTGTGTGAAAAATCAAGTTCTAAGGGGCGGGGGATCATGCATCCCCGCTACCAAGAGTTGTGGCAGTGGGGAACCCCAGTATAAATAGACACCAATATCCCTTGATGAATACTCAGCTAACTATTACAGCACAACACAACTACCAAGCACACAAAGCATCAATATGACCAGAACTAACAAATGGACCGTCCACGAGAGAAAGAGCCAACCAAAGTGGTTCACTCACCATGGCCCCATCAACTCCGACCCCACCAAGGTCAAGAAAGGCGGTGCCGGCAAGAACAACTGGGGAACTCCAGGAGACGAATTGGATAGTGATGACTACAACTTCTTTGGGGCTTCCAAGAGAAGAAACTCCAACCACATGGAGAATGAGGAACGTCTCAAGCTCTTGAACGAAAAGTTGGAGAATAACTTGTACAAAGACTAAACACGAACGATAACGACAAAAAAAGCGACGAGTATACGATTTCACTTCAATAAATGACGAATTAAGGCCAAGCGTAGGATGTAGCGAGATGTTATTTCGGGTTAGAAACCAGCGTAAGATGTAGTGAGAATGTCATTAAAACATATGAATTTAATCTAAGGATGTAGATTAGAATGTTACTGAAATACTCACGCTTTACTCATTAATTCTAAGGATGTAGTGAGAAAGTTATTTAAACATCCATACTTATGTCAATACGGGAATCAAAAATGGATTGTACCGTTAGACAAATTAACAGTACTATTATAATATTTTTAGCGAAAATGGAATGTAGATTGGGAATATTTATTTAGTCTAATATGGTAGAACGGTCAACGTTTTTCATGGGGCTTGGGCGGCCTGTTTGGCCTTTTCGGCCTCTCTCAACTGTAACTCGACTTCAGATTTCCAACCCTTCCTCTTTTGTCTTTCTTCATACGCCTTCTTATTGTTTAACACTCTGTCCACAATAAACTCGGTGTTCATGTTGTCATACTTGTGGGGACCAGTCTCATGAAACAATCCCGCTTGTTTGACCTCGGTGTATGGATCAGTGTCACCAAGCGAGGTAGGACCATGGTAAACCTTGACCACAGTACCGGGAATCTTGGATAAGAACTCCTGGGTTGGGGTATATGGAGCACCCAAGATCAATCCGTCAACGTAACGACATTGCAAAACACACAAAGATCTTTCAAATAAATTCATGATAGGGTAGTTCAAACCCTTGTGCTTATTGACAGCGGCATCATCGTGGATTCCAATCACGATGCTGGCATCTTCCTTGACTGCTTCCTTCTTTACTGCTTTCAAGGCCTCAATATGTCCTGGATGGAACAAGTCGAATCCACCATCCACGTAGTAGACCTTCTTGTACTTTTGCTGGGTAGCATCAGAGGGAGCCACGATTTGCTCGAGCTCTGGCACGGAGTCGATGTTCAAGTACACCCCGGAGCCTGGGTTTAAGCCAGTTTGATCAGTGGCATACTTCTCAAACCTGTCCCTATTGTCCTCAACCAACAAGGCGTGGTTCTTAACATTTCCTGCCGTAATTGGAAGATAGTGGTGGAACTTGCTCATTAGCAACATTCTGCCCACCAAATCAGTGGTGGAAATATTGGGAGTTCTTTTGACAACCACAAACATCCCCAAATCTTTGACAGTTTGGTAACAGTCCTCACCATTAGCATCGGTGGTGATGTCGTCACCATGGACAACATACTTACACCCATGCTGGCTCATGAAGTCTGGCATAGTCACGTAGGGAGCATCCGGAATGGCCTCTGTGGACCACTTGCACGCTTCCACTGCTGTCATTCTCTCGTCCAACTTCATGACAACCGGGCCCTTGTTCTTTAAAATCTCCTCATCGGAGTGGACCCCGACATACAACTCCTTCCCAAGCTGCCTGGCTTGCAACATTGCACCAGCGTGTCCTGATTGTTAGTGGTGGTCGCGAAACATTACTTCTCATACATACCGTGGTGAGTGAAGTCGAAGCATCCGTCAATCCAGATCTTGCAGTTCTCAATTCCTTCTGGCCTTTGGTACATAGCGGCTAGTGATGTTGGTGGGGTGGTGTAGTGATGTTCAACTTTGATCTTGCGCACGTGCAAATGTCATGGTGATAGGAGGAATTACGGGGGTTGTGCGGGATCACAAGCGAGAGACGTGGCCAGCGCACGTGCACAGCAGCCCGGATCTCGGCTGATTACCATTGCAACATTTATTTCCAGTGCTATGCTAGATACACCAAAGAAATACTCGAACCGCCATCCATAGTAGCATGTCCTAGATATAACATATGCGCCCATACTTCAGGCAGTGCGCAGTAACGTAAATTCATTAGTCTTAGACAAACCCTGACTGCTGTTGCCCAACCTCTATCTGATTGTGCCCTTTTCTCGCTTTTTTGCCTGGTTTGGAGTACTGATGCTGTCTCTGGCTTGGAATGATAGGAGGGTTTGTGCCTAGCGGTTCGTCTCTGATAGGGCCTGTTCCCAAGTAGGTAGGCTCCTTGTTCTCAGCTCTCCTCTTTGCCACATAGATCATATACTCGAAGATTGTGGCTGCCGTCTTGGTCGAGCACCCGTTCATCCAGCCAAAGAACGAGCCTATGAGAGGAGGCAAGGTCAACACCAAGTCCAACAAGATCAACGAGTGGATCTTCGCCACCACCTTGTTTGGAAACATCATCCTCTCCTGAGCGATGCTTAGAAGACGAGTGTGTACGGCGTACATCAAGAGAGGGCCCATCACAGGAACCAACACTACGATTGGGGCTAGCCCTAGCCCACAATCGAGCCCCACTCCACACGATCCTAAGAAGCACTTATCGTGCATCCACGCTCTTCGTTGTATCTTCTTCCATGCCTTCTGTTCCTCTTTGGTGGCGGTAGAGGGTAGTCGCACCTTGTTGCCTTCTTTGTCTTCGTAGGGATCTCTACCATTGAAGTGTTCGCCAGCGTAGTCGTTAAAGTAATCCATGGCTATGTCATAGCCAGGGATTGCTTCCAACTGTTCTTGTGCTTGGGACATGTTCTGCCAGAATGATCTGGTTTGCTCCAGTGGAGGTGAACCGCGATATTTATCACAAAAGCAACCTCCAAGCCTCCGAAGCGATCGGAGTTTGCGGATACCCTCATAGTGTGGGGTGACCAGGCAAGAGATTAGGCTTACGAAGCAATTAATGAAAAGCCAATAAAAATTGAATTCACATTTCTGAATGCTATATAGTGTAATTATGCTAATGAATAAGATGCAGTAATCCACCTAGAAGTGGAGATGGCTCCAGTTGCTCACGAGGCTGAATTGATGCTAGATGATGTAATTCATCATGAACTACTCGGTAGTAATTTAACTGAAGAGGGTGAGTGATGATGAGGATGGGGAGTGGCAGTAGAGATCCTTGGCTGGCTGGTATGCGGCAAAAGTCTATCATTGGAGCCAACAATCAGTATTAGTCTCTATCAAAGAAACCAATCTCGGGAACTCTTTCGTGTCTGATCACACCTCCTTGGAGGTCTTGAACGGTGCCAATATAGCGAGTTTTCGTTGATCTAGGAAGTTTCCACTCCCGTTAGCCTGGATAACTCTTTCTTGGCGACAGGCACAATTATACCATTGGTCTCTTTCGAGCACAAGAAGCATGTCAGCTTCTTCTTGTACCTGTCGAGAAAACAGGTTTTGCAAAAAATGTGGCCACACTGTGTTTTCACAGGGCCCTTGTAGTCCTTCTTGCACAAGACACACTTGAATGGCAAGAGTTCTTCGTCGGAGCCTGTTTTGGGTGCCATGCCAGAAACCACAGTTTGCCACTCTTTGTTCACCGGTTTTGTCTGCTTCAGCTCATCACGCACATGGAGAAACTTACAGGTATCACCATACCCACAGTAACCTGTCTGGAGAAAGTCTTTACACACGTCAGGTTGAAAATCTGTCAAGGTCAAAGTCTTTATATTGGCAGGTGCCGGTTTTGCGCCTTGTGATTTTGCAACTTTCGGTTCCAAAGATGCATTCTCGTCTTTCTTGTCAGAGCCGATCTCTTCCACACCCTTAGAAATATCCTCCTTTTCTGTAGTGCCGTGGTTTACTTCTTTGCTCAAGATCTTGGTGGGAACTTTTGATCTCTTCTTGAAATGGGATCCGGAAGAAGATGGTGCCTTGTTCTCGATTATTCCACCAATCTCATCCTCAGAATCGGATAGGAGTTTCCGCTTGGCAGAAGGAGCTTCACCCTTGATTACTCTTTTCTTAAACATGGATGGGTGGAGTATCAGCTAGGATGAATAATCTAATCATTCGATGACTGCAATGTCGCAGATGATTCCAGGAAAATGTCGCGGCCTTTGCATGTCATACATTTGCTACCGCTCGATCCCGTAATTATTCAACCATAACAGCTTGTCATTATGATAAGAAGATTTGGGCTCGGACTTACCCGGTCGTTGGGCTCTTTCAATAGAGCCCTCTCAACTGGCGAACCAAACAAGGTAAAGTCCTTTTTTCAATTGTTTCCTAAGACTTTCCCCGAAGGAGGACCTCCACAAGATTCATTCATGACAAGTCCAAAAGCATTAAGAAGGGAATATCGTGTACTACAAAGCGAGAACCATCCAGATATCTTAATTGGCTCTTCAGCTCTCAACAAGGCAGGCTCCAGTGGGGATGCATCGTTCTCCTCCATCATCAACAGAGCATACACAACCTTGAGGAATCCATATTCAAGAATTGCCCATTTAATACAATTGTACCATCCCCAGGAACTTGATATAACTCAAGACGACACAGCTAAAGAGTTGATAGCCAAATTCCAATCCCAATCCCCTGAATCATCTCTCGAATACAAGGAAATGTTGCTCATGGTGTTGGAAGCACATGAGTCATTGGAGATGGCGGAACAGGAGAGTGAATTGGAAGACTTGTCAGCTGAAAACGACGAAAGAATTAAGGAGAGCGAGAAGACTATAGACGCAATTATTCAAAATCACTGGCCAATCACTGATTGGGATGCTCTTATGATGGAGGCCATAAGGTTAAAATACTGGGTAAACATACAAAACGGTATTAAGGAATGGGAGCCTGGAAAGCCAGTTCATTTAACCCATTAGTCATCGATCATAACTAAAATTTATTGTACACAAGATCTATTAATGTGATCGTAGCATTTAAGTAAGATGGTCAAAAGACCACCTTAGGCTTAGTAGATAAACAATATTAAAAGAAATGAAATGCCGAGTTCAAAACGAACGTAGATTAAATGAAAAAACATCACATATTCAGTCCATACTCTGGTTCACTCTTAAATGACTACCAACAACTCATCTAGCAAACTATTATTCATTAGCTACAATCTTTTGCTAACTTTGCTGGCATGCTCATTCATCGTCACTGGCCATAGTTTTATCATCATCGTCGATGAGATCACCTTCTCCATCGGTGTCTTCCACTTCCGAATCAAAATCATTGTCAGGAACCTGGAATTCACAGTTTTCGTATTCTTGTTTTTCCTCTTGGGTCTTGGGGTGCATTCTTAACCATTTCATTCTTGGACCACTGCTGCTTAGCTCATTTACCCTAAAACCAAACAATTTCAAACCGAAGTCATTTTGGTTGAATTTGTTTATTCTTATTCTGCATTGGTTTTCAATTTCTGGGAACATCTTCACAAGTAAACCGGGGAAAGTAGTACCAAAGAAAGCACCGTCTATATTCAAATACCTGGAGCTGGATGGTAAGTATATATCGTTGCAACAAGGACAGTACAATCTAACCGTTTCCTGACCCGGAATGTCGGTGCAGCCCACGGGAATCAAATGCATGCCATCACAGTAGTATCTTGGACAGGAGCCAAATTCGTTTCTTTCGAACTTGGTTGCCATGGCAGTCAAACCGGGCTTGGAGGTGATGTATCTTGCGTGGATCAACCCATACAATAGATCTGCGGAGTGTGATAATAATGCTTTGTTTGGCAATTCCGACTTGGCCTTGTTCTGAACCGGGCGGTTTCCACCATTGGTGATACTAGCATCGTTATCATCAGCCGTATCCACTTGATAATCTAATATGGTGTATAATGCTTCTCTATAATATGGGACTTGCAGCGACAATCCGGTTAGATTAAAGTCGTCTTCGATGAATTCTTGCGCCACTGGCACGAAGTAATCATGAGCGAATGCTTCGCAGAACTGTTGAATCCAGGGTATGTAGTCTTCTTCTCCCTCGCTAGGCATGTTGTTTTGTGAGTGGCTGTGTGGGGATGAGGTTTGTGTTGATGCAGGTAGGTCCGGGATGGAGTGGGGCGTGTATTATGCTGTGATGAGACCGTTCTGGCTGATATCTAATGAGGATCTGAGGCTCGTATTCCGCGTGATAATCTATCGAGATGTTGTTACCGGCTCGATTAAGGGTGTTTTGACTTACTGGGCTTTTCTGGTTCTGTAAGCTTTCGTAAATGGCTTCTTGATGTTGACGTTCTCTTTCGTCGATGCCTTGTTGTGATAATGAGCTACCTCACTCACCCTTGCACGTATTTGTTGGTCAAAAAGTTTTTTCCTACATACTGAAAATTGTGAGGGCCAGCTAATGAGCCTCAGCCAATCCTCCCTATCAAGCGTCAGAACAAACGGTTTGCGAAGTTGACGGAGCTGCTAATCACCACCAACCACAATTGACACAGCATGTTGGACTTACATCCTTACACCATCTTGCTCCTGGTGTTCATAGTGCTCTTGTTCAAGCATGCCATCAACGAAGTGGGCAAGAACAACATCCAAGATTGGGCCTGGGGCTACTACATCAAGTTTGGCTCGAGGATCGGGTTGAGCCAGTTCGCCGAGTACAACCAAAAGAAGACGGAATTGAACAAGGTCAACCGCGAGAAGAGGTCCATCAGTGCCCAAGACCAATACGCCAAATGGACCAAGTTGAACCGTCAGGCTGACAAGTTGACCGCGGAGATCAAGAGCTTGGACGAGCACATTTCACAGAACAAGGCTGGCATCAATAGGGTGGTGGGCTTGGTCACCATGGTTTTGACCACCTTGCCAATCTGGGGGTTTAGAGTCCTCTTCAGAAAATCGGTACTTTTCTACTTCCCTACGGGTGTGTTGCCCTACTACCTCGAATGGTTCTTGGCCTTGCCCTTTATCAAAACAGGAGGTGTTGGTTTGACCATATGGATGTTCACCGTGAACAGCGTGCTCTCTTCCTTGGCGTTGTTAGTTTCCTTCCCATTTGAGAAACCGGTATCTAAGCCAGTAAAGCAGACTCGGGAAAGCAAAGACACTAAGACTGACACGAAGGCCGAAATTAAGGCTGACACTAAGGCTGACACCAAGGCCACTAATTGAAGTATAATATGTACCCCTAGAGAAAATACTACATTCTACGCAGATTGCGTTGTGCTATATACTTGTGAATAATTGTTAGATTCAAAAGTCATAAATTCGAGTTTATGGTAACTGTATATATTGAATGGTCAAAGAACTTTTAAACTACGATGATCTAGTTGATTAAATTTCTGCAAAGGCCAACTTTTAATGTCTAGACAAAGTCTACGGAGGTACTAGTCCGCTATTGTACTGGCTCCTAGGAGGATATTGTTACCTAACACTATAAATGCAAATCCAAGACTTCTTGAAATCTTTCACGCATAACCGTTTTCAAATCGTTGGACTTGGCATCAAATTTGTACCAGTTGATTTTGGATTTCTTGATATCCTCGATAAACTCGTTGTATGTCTTGGAAATCAATTGTTCCAATGGCTGGGTCATTCTGGAGTCATGCAACTCCTTTTCTTCCACTGATAGGTAGTACCAAGAGTCGATGACCTTTGTCCAAGTACCCAAATCAATGGAATAATTGTAGAGGTTACCAGAAGAGTCAAGTACAACTAGTGGGGAACCATCCTTGGGATTGACATCGATTGCCTTTAGGTTTGGCAATAAAATTGTAGCTGCTTTCTTAGACTCGCTGGAGCCATCTTGCAGCAGTACAGAATTGATCTCCACGCAGTTCAACACCGGAGCAATCGAGACCTTATTAAGAACCCCCTTCAATCCTCGTTGCTCACATCCCAACTTCCAACTATAAATCAAACCAGAGCTGGTCAATATCAACAAGAATCCACTTCTGTGTTTCAAATAAAGTATATTCTCACCAAGCTCAAAGCTTGGACATAAAAATCTTCCGGTATCTGCTGAAACAATTTGTATGGTACCTTTGAATGAGGCTAATACAAAATATTTCAAGATACCATTCAGCACGACAGGCAAGGAGTGCTGGATCTTGTAAGGAAAAAAGAGAACATACTTCCTGGCCAGCTCTTTGCTATTGTTGGATATAATCACTCTCGTTGCGTCATTGAAGTCTTTACTCTCATTCTGATTCAATTCATCTTCAAGAACCGACCAACCTTGACCATTTCTGACCTCAATAGTTGTAATTGTTTTGTATGAAGAATTTGATTCACTTATTATTGGGTTTGAAACCTGTGTATGTTCCACTCCGTGAACAATTACAGAGAAAAGTAAGTCCTCATCCACATCGATGGATGTCAAATTAGTCGTTTCTGGCTGAATATCTTTCGAGTTAGACAAGTTGTTCAACAACTGGCTTATTTCGCTGTTAAGAAGTGATTGGTTGCTGAATAAGGATTCAGGAAGATTCGAAATTTGTTTGAAACAAGATGGATATTTAGACTCCATTAATGAGCGCTTCAATTTGTTCCTTTGACGTTTTAATGCTGCTTCTGAGATTGTATTCTGATTTAAACTTGCAGTGTTTGAGTCGTCTATACCCATATCTTCATTATCGTTATCTTGGTCCATATTACTTTCCTCATTGATAGAATGCTGATTATTGACGTTTTTCAATTTAATTCCATGTACAGAAGAGTTTACCCCCAACCTGGGAAGTAAATATGATGGTTGAGATAACTTATTGCTGACCTGTACCTTTCTGAACTTATTACTAATAACGGAGGTCGGTATAGACTCCTTTTTGGTCGATGCTTGTACCAATAATGGTGCTACTCTCTTTTTACCATTCTTTATAGTTACACTTTGGGTCATCTTAGTCAATTGTTTGGGAGTCAAATTGTTCACTTTCGGCATTTCAAGTGTAGTCTCTTCTCCTATAGGGAGTTTCTCTTTCAATTTATTGTTCATTTCACCCACTTTGCGATCATCCAACGAAACAGGTTTTGTTGTCCGCCTCGAAATTAAGTTATCCTCAAGACCCGACTTGTCTTCTAATATCAATTGTTCAACACTCTCGGGGAAAATGGCAGCTTCTCTATCTCCTCCATATTTATGCAATTGAGTATCGATGATATCCTCACTGACAACCTCACCTAACTCATTGGCTTCGAACATAACACATGTTATTGAGCCATCCAAACAGCAAAAGTAAAGTGTTTGCCCATCGGGTGACCAACACATATCTGTAATAGAATTATCCACAATATCTTGTGCCACCACCAAAGGCCGGCTATTGGCAGTGCTCCACACTGCCAAGGTTCTGTCTTGTCCACCAGTAGCCAAAACTGTTGTGAAATTTGTCTTGTCTTTGGATTTCTTTCCAGTCCCACCCAACTCAAAAAGCCTTGGAGAGAATGCACAGATTTCACAAGGGGCTTCATGGCCAATTAATGAAACGTCAGCAGCCCAATTACCTCTATTGATCACAGCAACCGAAGAAACAGGACCGTTGGTTGCATTGGGGACAGCAATGTGTTGACCATCAGGAGACCAGCTCATTCGTCTGAAATACGAGGTCAATGGCGACTTTCTGAAAGGTTCCACCACAATATGCTCCATTTGAAATTCGTAACTTGTTGTTTCGTTTAGCTTTTTGTAGTAACGGAAGATTCGAACAGTTCTATCATCGGAAGCAGTAGCAAAAAACTTGTTGGCAGGGTCAAAAACAATACCCTTGACCATGGACTGGTGGATGTCGTAACGCTTGATTCTCTCAAAGGTAAGCCCATTCCAGATGATGATCAGTCTATCCAACCCGACTGTCACTAGAAGCAACCCATCTGGCGACCAACATATGTCCTGGATGTCATTATCGTGGGCAACCAATCTCTTCCGTACTGTCCAGTGTTCGAGATCAGCTTCCGCTTCTCCAAATTGCTTTTGGCCCAGCAACTCTTCTTCCTTCTCCCAGATCAAGCAGATCTTGTCGTCGGAGCCGGATGCGAGAAATCGTCCGTCTGGCGAAAACTTTACTGAGGTAACAACACCGTTGTGTCTGCTCATTGAGCAAAGTGGTCTGCGGAGGGATACATCGGGAAGGTTGATGTCCTCTATGGTTGGATCGGTCTTTTTCTTTTTGGGACTAGGCTGTCCCTGTTCTTTGCTTAGTGCACCGAATTGTAGGATAGTGTTTGTATCCCATATCTTGACGTTCCCGTCCAAACCACCTGATGCTAGCCTTGTACCATCAGCATTGATGGTTACCGAATAGCATTCGATCTTCTTGTTTTCGGCTAGATGTTAGTAGGGTTCAGTCTCACGGACAGGAATTGACGTACTTCGATGTCCAAACCACGGTAGTTTGAGTATGTGCATTGTGTGTGGTATTGAGTGGACTGGTGAAGATGAATGGTGAGAATTGCGAAATATTGAGATTCAACCAGTGCGTCAAAATAATCAGTGAGCAGGAGAGGAAACAGTAAAACGACTAAGGTGGCGAGTCGTTGGGCAACGAGATGGTGTCTGGGGATGATTGCAAGCCAGAGGCTCAGTTACTACTGTGGTTCATATAGAGTTTGTCTAGATATAAATATCAGAGGTGTTTCAACTATAGCTAGACTATAGGCAATGTGTTCGAATGGCCAGAATTACTTCAATTATCGACTTCTACACTAATTAGTCTGGTATGAACTTCTATTAGTCTATAGGCTTGCTAGGTCATCACTAAATAAGTCCAAATTCTATTTTGATAGCCTTACCGAACTTCTCAATACCACGCTTCAACTCGTCTAAAGGAATGGCAGCGTAAGTACCTCTGAAGAAGAATTCGGTTTTGGTACGGGGGTTCTCGACCAAGTGCTTTTGTGGAGGGTTCGATTGCCCATCAGCCTTGAACCAGGAGCCTGGAATCATCAACGACCCTTGCTTGATGGCCTGTTCGTAGATCAACAGCTCAATCTTCAATGGGTCACTCCCGAGCTCGACGAACTTAGGATGCTTGGACGCATCGATGTTGAAGGCAAAGAACATACCAGCCACTGGAGCGACGTAGGAAACAACTTCCTCTGGGAAGTTTTCCACCATGGCATCGATAGCCACGTCTCTCTTGTGGGTGTACTCAGCTCTCAATCCGATCAACCAGTCCAAGTATCCAGGCTGGCCCCATTTCTGCAACACACCGTTGGTCAAGGACTGGGCAATACCCGAAGGGTTTTGGATAGAAACCTCATGGTATCTGGTGAATCTTTCCAACAAGTTGTCCTGGCCCACGATCCAGCCGATTCTGATTCCAGGAGCAAGCACCTTGGAGAACGAGTCCAATCTAATGACTCTACCCTCGGTGTCGATGGAGATAAACGAAGGAACCATGGCCTTGACAAACTCTTCGTGCGAGTGGACCTTCTTGCTTTCTCTGAGCGCCTTGTCGCGGGTGTAAGTTTCCATCTGCAAGAAGTAGTAGGGCTCATCTTCGATGATCAATATGTCGTGCTTCTTGGCAATCTCGTAGATCTGGTGTCTTCTTTCCGTGCTCAAACTGGATCCGGTAGGGTTCTGTCCGGTACAGATGGTGTACAACAACTTTGGCTTTGGACCAGTCCAGCCGTCCAACACGGTGGCAAGCGCATCGGGAATGAGGCCCTCACTGTCCATTGGCACCGGGATGGTGTTGATGCCTTGGGCATGGGCAGTTTCCAATGCTGACGCGAAGGTGTACTCCTCCACCAAGATAGAATCGCCTCGGTTGACAAACGTTCTCAAGGTGGATTCCCAGCCCTCAGTACTGCCCACCGAGGTGATGAGGTTCCAGTTCTTGTATGGCACGTTGTGGATCATCCTGGTGTGTTCCTTCAAGAACTCGACGAGCTCGGTGTGGCCCTCGGTGAACCCGTACTGCAACGAACGGGCCAACTCGATGTGTTTGTCTTGCGGGTCGTTGTCGTGGGCACGCTTGTTGATCTCGATGACCGTCTTGTCGGCGTCGGTGATTTTGGCGCCAATGCCGTTGGCAAAGCCTGGCGTGGGCACCTCGGCGATAATCTTATCGAACGGGAAGTAGTCAGGCAAAGGCAAGCCGCCTCCCAAAAACGACATGCCTTCCTGGCTGTAGTACTTGAAGGCAGACTTGAGGCGGGAGGGGTTTCTGGAGAGCGCTTCCTGCGATAACAAGTGGGTCAAATCTTTGGCTTGGGTCATGGTGGTGGTGGCGATAATGTTTAGCCGCCAGATCTGGATGGTTATATATGCGCACTTATCTACAGATGAGTAATCGGAGCTGAAAAATGTAGATGCAGGGTGAAGAGGTACTTCCGGGTATATGTGGGGATAAGCAGGAGTATCTGTGGCTTCGGATGTTCCGAGACCGGGGCTTCTGGCGCCAAATGCCTCGAGGAGTCGCCGTATGCTGCCGTTAGCAAACGGCGGGGAGGCGCACGGGCGTGGCCGGGACGTCAAAAAGTGCTAGTGGATGGAGACAGCGAGTCCGGGGTTTGTTAGGTAGTGTAGAAGACTGGGTTTTTTGGGATTGCGTCGTACAGCGTGGATTGGGATGCGTGGAGATACGTCTGCCAGCTGTCGTGCGTCACGAGTCATTTATTAGAGGGTCCATGCTATTATTGCCATAACCGTACGACAAGGCTACTCCGGGAAAATACCACTACCCCACAAGTGTAGGCTCCGACTCCCAGTGTAGGGTGTCCAATGATCGGATTGCTACGATGGTATAGAAATTGGCACTGCCAAAGCAGAAATGGCCAAGCCATGACTCTTCAGCCCTGGCCATTCTGATGACTCTTCGGTCCTAGTGACTCCTAATCGAGTGCGACTTTGGGCACGTACGGCTCCTCCAAGTACGACATCTCGTCTTCCGTCAACTGAAGCGCTACCGCACCGAGAATGTCGTCCACCCTCGCCTCCGAATTGATCCCCACAATAGGAATAGCACCCTTGCCAATCACCCAGCTGGTGGCCACAACCGCCATACTCACCTGGTGGCGTTTGGCAACGCTCTCCACTCGGGTAATGATCTCCCGGTCGGCTTCAGTCAACACATGGAGCCCCACGCCTTCGATGGTGGGGTCGGTGTCTGTCGAACGGTTATGCTGCGAAACCGCATCGAGGGGACGTGCCAAGATGCCCCGGGCGTTGGGCGACCACGGAATGACTGCCACCCGTCCCAACTCGTTGTGGTGGCAGAATGGAATCATTTCTCGTTCCTCCTCGCGTGCGAGCAAATTGTAGAAGTTCTGCATGCTGATAAACTTGGTCCAGTTGTACTTATCAGCAATAAATTGCAACTGGACAAAGTCCACCGCCTTCATGGAAGACGCACCGATGTAACGCACCTGGCCCTGGCACACGATGTCGTGGAGTGCCCTCATGATCTCGGTTTTGGGCGTGGACTTGTCGAGCTTGTGGATCTGAAGCACATCGATATATGTTCCCAATCGGTCCACCGAGGCTGCAACAGCATCAAACAAGTATTTCCGCGACAACCCACGCGAGTTGGCCCACTCGAACTCAACAAAGTCGTCGTCGCCCTCGTTGATGCGAGCCCCGTTGGCGTCGGGATTGATAGGGAAGTATACCTTCGAAAGAATCACCACCTTTGACCGAGGAATGTTAAACTTGGCCAAAAACTTGCGGAGGAGCATCTCAGACGTACCATTCGAATACAAGTCGGCGGTATCAAACGTCCTGAGTCCGACGTCATAGGCTTTTTTGAGTATTCGGAAGATTTCCTCCTCATCGTCCATTACCCACTGTGCCCAGTTCTTGCTGCCGTAACCCGCACACCCAATGATTAGTGGTGACACATGAAGCCCAGACTCTCCTAGCTGCTTGAAGCGTATCTGTGGCATCTCTGTGGCCGAACCGAACGTCCTTCGTTGGGCTTATATATGAAAGATGGGGATGATGGGGGACTCGAGCATCAGCTGTACCACGCGTGCCCCTCCCCCACCAAAACCAGAATTAGCCAGTATGAACGAGCATCTGTCTCTGGCACTCCATTTTACCCACAAATACGTGAAAGATCGCGGGTTCTGTAGCGGAGCCAGCCATGGGCATTATTTCGCAGCAACTTGATCTATTTCTGCCAATTTGCTGTCGAAAGAAAGCCATATCCCTATTCAATAACTCCTTATTTCGAGCGCTCCAGCGAATATTGCCACACAATTACCGTGGCCACTCTACGAGTGTTTGCTAGGATTAAGACATGTGGTGCCTCTTCTAAATACCACGGAAATCAAACGTTTTTTATCTGGTCCATCTTTCGGTACATCGCCATCACTTATCTATCACGTGAATCACCCTACGCGTTTAAAGATTGGAGATGGAGTAAGACGTGAATCAAAGATGCCGGTGGAAAAGAAGCGATTCTTCATAGACTCGATAGCCACCCCCCAGCCAAGGTCAAACTCACAAGAGCATACCCCAAATGAGTCCCTTTTTGTCGCAGATAGCGACGAGGAAGAACCCATCAATACTTCCATCAACCAGGAGCGTAATACATCTGCTACCACATTGAGTAATGATAGCACAACTTCGGCACAAACCACTTCAGACAAAGCTAAATTCGAGCTTTTTGAAAGCCAGATTTCAAACTCAGTTGGAACTTTGTCTCCTAGGGTGCTCAGATTTTTATTCAAGAAGCATTTCAATAAGCCAAATTATATTCGACTTTCCATCAATGAGTATCTCAACGGAATAGATCCTGAAGAAATGACAAACCTATTGCAAGATGATTTCACCTCTCCGGAATCCAGCAAAAGAATGTTGGAGGAAGATCCAGTGACCCAAATTGACAACTTATACCATCGAATGCATGCCGAATCGTCCAAAATAAAGAAAGAGATAGATACTCAACTGTGGCGAAAGTTTATTGGATCACTTCCAATCCAAGCATGGGCCACTCGTCCAACTATGAAGCCTCTCGAATTCGGCGAAAAGCTTACAATTAAACGTCTTATCCCAAAGAAGTCAAATATGAGCAATAGCTCAATTATCCGGTTATGTACATGCCCCAAAAATGGGTCTGATTTAGGAAGAGAGATTGCAAGAATCCCTGAAGATTTGACCCGGATATTTTCGCCATTACTTGATCTAGACATCTCTTCCTTTGACGCAACTGTCATTGAAAGCACAAAAAAGAGACTATCTACTGGTGATTCATTTTTTATTCAAGTGGATATATTCTTGAAGAACACGGCATTTAAGATTAACAGTGTGGAAGCTGATGCTTCTGGTGATTTGAAGGTGTTCAAAAAACAAAAGACTCAGACAATAAAGTCGAATTTTGACTTCGGGGCAGAATCCGAAAATGAATCAGTTCTAAGGTTAAGACAATTTGCACTTTCAAAATTATTTGAGAAACTCAGCATCAAACCTACAAAGCATATGGATGATCAACCGATTGAGCCCGAAGTACGAGACGAAACAGTAACATCTGATGCTAACGAGGCCGACCCCATCAGCTTGGATACCGATAGTGAATTAGATGAAGAGGCACCAGAAGTTAAACCAGTTGATCATGTCAGTCTTGATCAATTGAAGCAGTTCTATCAAGAAAACAATCAATCAAGCTTACTCAATAGTTTGCCCGAAACGACTAAACCACCTAGTTCCAACTTTAAGTTAGATTTGAGACCATATCAAAAACATGGACTTTCATGGATGCTCACTAGAGAGAAGGAAGTCTCCACTTTAGAAGTGTTGGCATCTGAGGCAGACAACAGCTCCTCCTTATCTACACAGTCAAAGAACAGTATTAAAGAGAGAGAAGAAGGAATGATGAACCCTTTGTGGAGGAGATACAAATGGCCAAGAGATACTTCAGCACAATCAGCAACTCCTGAATCTACTCAGTCTCAATCTCAATCTCAATCATCGGCAAAATACTTTTATGCCAACATGTATAATGGTGAATTATCTGTGGAAAAGCCACTTATTAAATCAACGCTAAAGGGAGGGATTTTGGCAGATGAAATGGGTCTAGGTAAGACAATCTCAGCTCTCTCACTTATTAATTCAGTTCCATATGATACAGATCCAATATCTAATGCCTTTAGACTACCTTACGCATCAAGAACAACCCTCATCGTGGTACCAATGTCTCTTCTCTCCCAGTGGAAACTGGAGTTTGACAAAGCAAATAACAACGAGAACCATTATTGCTATATTTATTATGGTGATTCAACCGAGAATAACTTAAAATCGAGATTATGCAATAAGTCGTCAAGCATCCCGCTCGTAATGCTTACGACATATGGTACGTTAGTAAATGAATTTACAAGAATCTCAAAGCATAGAAATAACGAAGGTCATCTCCCCCAAATGGGCCTTTATTCAGTCAGTTATTTCCGAATTATTTTGGATGAAGCTCACAACATAAGAAATCGAAGCACTAAAAGTGCAAAATCTATTTATGAGTTGTCACTGCAAAGGAAATGGGCATTAACTGGCACACCAATTATCAACCGTCTTGATGATTTGTACTCATTAGTTAAGTTTTTAGAGCTTGACCCTTGGTGTAATTTCTCCTATTGGAAAACATTTGTGACCTTACCTTTTGAGCAAAAGAAGATTTCCCAAACTTTAGATGTTATCAAGTCGATTTTGGAACCAATTTTTCTTAGAAGAACTAAAAATATGAAACAGAAAGATGGAAGGCCGATGGTTGAATTGCCACCAAAAGAAGTGATAATTGAAGAGATAAATTTCAATCAGAAGGAAGAAAAACTATACAACTGGTTCAAAGCTCGGGCAAATAAATCATTTAAGGAAGGTATGCAGTCGGGTCAACTTTTGAAACAGTATTCTCAAATCTTAACCCATATTCTCAGACTAAGACAGATATGCTGTCATATGGATCTCGTGGGAACTCAACACGATATGGAGGATGATAATAATGACGAGAATGATAATATTAAGGAAGAAATGAAAGAGTTTGTCACCAAAAAAATTACGAATGAAGGATTTGCAAACGAATCCGAATCCAACAAAGTGATGTACTCATTATTTGATAAGGTTAATTTGACAGACTCGGAGTGTTCAATCTGCACACAATCTCCAATTCATCTTGGAGAAATGGTTATTACTCCTTGCGGGCATCAGTTTTGTTTGACTTGCTTAATCGAGCACATCGATTTCCAAAATCGACAAAGCAAAGAATCATTCTGTCCCAATTGCAGGGAATCTGTTTCGAAGTACAAGCTCTTTAAGGTCAGATCAAAAGAAACCAGTAAAAAAGAGATCCGGTTTCATACAAATGTGGATGTTACTGATCCCAGCGAGAAGTTCAAATTTCAACTTTATCTATATGATCCGGATAGGGCATCTTCTAAAATTCAAGCATTAATGGGACATCTCAGATCACTTAAACTTCAGAATCCAGGAGAGAAGGTTATCGTTTTCTCTCAATTTTCTTCTTATTTGGATATTATCGAGAACGAAATTAAACTTCAAGGAGGTAAGGACTTTATTGTCTACAAGTTTGATGGTAGGCTTCAATTGGGAGAGAGGGAAAAGGTGTTGGAGAAATTTAATACTAATGATAAAACGATAGATAAGATAACTATATTGCTCCTTTCGTTGAAAGCTGGTGGTGTTGGCTTAAATTTAACTACTGCTTCCAGGGCCTTTATGATGGATCCTTGGTGGTCACCAAGTGTTGAAGATCAAGCTATTGATAGAATTCATAGAATTGGCCAGAATGAAACTGTGAAAGTTATTCGTTTTATCGTGGAAAATAGTATTGAAACGAAGATGCTTAAAATTCAAGAGAGAAAAAAACAAATTGGAGAGGCTGTCGGTGCTGAAGAGGAAGAAAGAAGGAAGAGAAGGATCGAGGAAATTCAAATTCTTTTTGAAGAGTGATATATTAATAAACATCGTTCTTCTGGCTATTCATTTGACGCATTACATTTTTTTGGAACACTTACACTGGTAGGAAATTAAGAGATCATTCGTTACCTATATAGATTTAAAAACTATTCCAATATCATTATTCCGTTCATATTCAACCAAATTACCTCTTCTTGACCAAGGGACTAGTTTCTCTTCTAAACCATCTATAAACATAGCTCTTTGGATCAAATGATTCGTTTAATTCTCTCCAGATAGTGTTATGGTATCCATTAATCCAGGCAATTTCTTCTTCATCCAACATATCCACATTAATCAATCTCTTGCAGAGAGGAACTCTGGTTATGGTTTCAAATTCAAAGAAATGCTTACCACCGTAAATCAATCCACTGTCCTTAATGACCATAACATTCTCAATACGAATACCATATTCACCCTCTTCATAATATCCAGGCTCATTAGAAAGTATTTGACCGACCTTTAAGTGGTTAGCTGCATTTGGTCTTGGGCCAATTCCAATTGGTCCTTCATGAACATTCAAGAAAGAACCAACACCGTGCGAAGTACCATGTCCGTAATCCAAACCAAATTTCCACAAATATTGTCTAGCAATTGAATCAATCAAGTTACCGGAAGTTGCTTCAGGGAATTTCAATGTAGACAAAGCGATATTTCCTTTCAAAACGAGAGTGTAATTCTTAGACTCAGCATACGTTGGTTGTCCGAAATGAACGGTTCTTGTGGTATCAGTAGTACCTTCCAAAAATTGAGAACCTGAATCATTCAAGTACATTTTGTTAGGATTTATGGTGGAGCAAGCACCTCTAGTTGGAGAATAGTGGACGATAGCACCATTTGCTTCAGTGGCACTGATAGTGGCGAATGACAATCCCTTGAAATTCTCTTCTTCTTTTCTAAACTCGGTCAATTTATCATCTGCAGCACACTCATCTATCAACTCTTGGTTGTCAACTAATTGTTGTTCCAACCATGCAAAAAATTTGATCAAAGCTCTTCCATCCTTCAAGTGGGCAGATTTGGCACCATTAATCTCTACTGCATTCTTGATGGATTTCAATTCTTCAATTGGAGACAGCACTTCAGTATAAGAGCATTTCAAGTTTCTGAGAACTTCCCAGTTGGTATTAGAAGGTATTAAAAATTGCTTGTTGGTAAGGTTGAAGTCCTTTGAAATGGAGAATAATGACGAATAGAACGACTCATAAGGTTCCACACTAATATTATTGGCCTTCAAGTATTCCAAGACGTCACTATCAAGACCATCACGGTTTATGAATAATTTTGTACCATTCTCCTTTGTAATTATCAAATGAGAGAAGAAAACGGGATTGTATTCGATGTCTTGCCCACGCAAGTTCAACAACCAAGCAATTTCGTCCAAAGCAGTGACAACTAAACCATCGATATAGTTTTTGAATGCAAACTTCTTAACCCTTTCAATCTTATCCGCAGTGGACTCGCCACTAAACTTTTCATCCAATTTAAAAACCTTTTCTCTCTTAACCGAAGGAACTGTCTCAAATGTTTCCCAGATTTTGTCGACCAAGTTATCGTTGATTGCCACAAACTCGACTTCCGCCTTCTTGTTCGCTTCATTCTTAGACAAACTAGAGGCAATCAAAGTTGAGAAGTGTTGGAACACACCTGGTGAAATCAATTTGGGGTCCACACCGATGTTTACCTTCGAGCCGCTATCCAAACTTAACTGAATGGCTTGGTTTACTGTCCATTCTTCCCAGGTAGGCTGGTTCGTAGATCTTTGTTTTAACAATAACCAGTTAAAATCTAATTCGTTGTTGGCTTGATTGAAGTAACGGCCATCAGTAGAAAGGGCAGCCAAACCTTCAGGAACATCATTCATACAAGTCAAATCTCTCGTAACAATAGCAATACCGGCACTTCCCAGGAATCCACTAATAAAACTTCTTCTTTGGTCAATAGCAGAAACATACTCGGATTGATGCTGGTCTTCCGATGGTATAATATAGACCCCAAGGTTGTATTCGGCCATCTGCAATCTCAAAGCCTCTAATCTCTTGGAAGTGTTGATTTCCTTGGTTTCAGGAACACATAACAGACTGGCATCGATGGTGAAAACAGATGCCTTTCTGGAACCACTTCTGGAACCCCCAACTCCACTGTTTGTTCTTTTGATATTAATCTTTTGCGCAAAAAGGGAGGAGCGACGGTTGGAACGTGACAACAACCCTGGAGAGCACGTACAGTTGGCACACTGGCCTCTCGATACTCTAGACATTATAAGATGGTAGTCTGCAAATATACTTAGCGAAAGGTGGTGCTTGTGTGGAAATGCTTTTCTGCGATTGGCCTTAGTTATGCTTCAATTAAGACAGGCAACGAGTCACGTGTAAAAATGCTGGTTATCTGACCATTAGATGACCTGTCTGTTTTGGGCGCTCGCAATCATTGGCAAGTTAGCGCGAAAATGCCGCTAAGTCGTGTGGCTTCATTACCACGATAAATGTCTAACCTGTAATTGTTANACCACAAAATAGTACCTATGTTTCTGGCCTGAGCTGCGAAGATGACGAACACTTGCAAATTGTAACCTATTCTGTTCTAGCTTGGGTATGGTTGAGTGTTGGTAAGACAACCATCTTCGAATAGCGATACTCTTGTTTTGATAGAACTACACATTCGTTAGTTGAGTCGATGGTAAATGTAGAACTTGATTGCAATGGTATACTGTGATGTAGGGATTAACAGCTATCGATGCACTGAAATAAAGTATGAAAACAAGCTCTGTCTTCTGAAGACGGTATTGGTGAGGTGACATAGAGGATAAAATTGTTCTTGACCCACAAGAACATAGTAATTACAAACGCTCATTCAAGGAAATAAATATTACACTGAAAGGAAAGAAAAATTGGCACAATTATTGACATCATACAGAAAGTATTGCCTGGCAATCCACCGATAGATGAACTAAACAATCTCCTATTAGTTAAGCTATAAGCTGTTTCCGAACGTGGCTGAGTTGAAGTCTTCCAACTTCCTGCACACAGAGATATTGAAACCATCGTTGGAGCGTGACATTTTTCACGTGAAGCGACTGCTCACATGATGATTTGTGCCAATACAAGTTCTTTAGACTCCAGTCATGTCCAATTCTTGGAGTATAGATCAAGTGATAGCTGTATGTACCGGAGCCATGATTCCCATTTTCTGTTCCTACTAACCCCAGAGTATTGAAACTTTATACTCCAGTAATGATTCAACCCAGATCAGAGGCATACAGGATCAATTACAAGTCATCCAAAGGTCTTCCGATGGCTATAAGTTAGCACAATTACTCCTACAACAGCAATCCAAAAGTTGCAAATACTTTGGTGCATTGACCTACACTGTTTTCATCAACACTCACCTCGGACCCAAAATCACAGTGGATGTGCAAGATTTACAACAATTCTTCTCGGAGTTGTTCGATCATATCCTTTTGCTTTCTAGCGTAACAGATAGAAGTGAATTTGAAGGGAATTTGTTTGTGATAAAAAAGTTACTAAGTAATGTATCACTTCTATTCACGAATCATTTTTATGCTTCTACCGATCCTATAGAACAATTATTCAGTAAGTTTGGTCACTCGAACTTGCAATCCTTGGGAGAAGTTCAGGTGTTACTACTTTTCCTTATGAACTCAATTCTTGTGGAAGATATCAGCAAGCGGGATGAATCTTCTCAAGAATTGCACCAAGTCATATATGATTCTATTTTCATCAAATTCAATGAGTTATTAAAAACCGTTTCATCGACAAATGCGTCGAGACAAATCAAAGCCGCAATGTTGGACGGTATCAATGCTTGGGTAATTTACATTAGCAATGCAGAAGCGAACTCAAAACAACGTTACACTCCAAACGACGTACAGCTATTAATTCAAATCTTAATATCTCAAATTGATCATACTGAAAGAATTGAAGATGAGGACTTCGAGTTATTTAACAAAATTTTTACAATCTTGACAGAAATAATAGAGACCAATCCACGCATTTTGGCAGAAGTTAAACCCTTGATAAATTCAATCTTATTCGACGAGGGCCAATTCGGTTTATATTTCATTGAGCACTATATTCTTAATAAGGATGAGTATGAAGAACATACGATGGAGATTGAAAATTTCATCAATTTATTGATCGCATTTTTGAATATGATCATAGTACATTTATCTAGGAACATTGTTAATGATTCTGTATACAGAATTGTGGAAATTGCCTTGAATTTATCTGGTATACCGGGAAATCCGACTGCGGATGAAGCGATAAGTGAGCTCTTCTTGGGTTTTTGGGAAGAGATCATCAACATATACATCGATGACTCTAGTGTGGTCAAAGAATTATTAAAAGAGAATTATGATGAGTTTTTGATCAGAAGGAATGAGCTTTTGATTCGGATCAGTAATATTTATTGGACGAAATGCAGATATTTTAGAGGGGCATCAAACGAGTTTGTTCATTATAGACTACAGGTATCCGACTTGTTCAACTTTTTGTACTCGTTACTCAATACTCAGTTATATTCCAATCTTTGCCAAAGTATACTATCTAACCTACCCAATGCTCAAGAAATACTGACGCATTCTGATCTTGAGGCCTCAATTTATTTGCTCTACAAGATTACTGATGACTTGACCTTTTATGATGATGACACTACGCAGGAGCTAATCCCATTCATAGAACAAATGTTCAGCAACAATTTGATTGAAGTCTTTGAAAAAATTTCAGATTCAAGCAGGCAGATTCAGATGAGCCTACTCAATTTTCTTTCGGCTATTCCATTTTTCTTCAAGACTGAAATTGGAACCCAGTATTTGACTTCAACTTTCAATTTTTTATTCTCAATCATCTTGAGTCAAGGAAAAGAATCAAAAAATGTGTCTTTGATCGCTTCCAAAACTGTTCTAAAGATTTGCCAGGATTCGAAACAAAGTTTGATAGTGTTCTTGCCTAACATCAATGTGATATTGATGGCAATGATTAAGAATATTGAGGTAGACAATTTAATAAGAGAAAGATTGGTAAATTCATATATTTCAATTGCCCACTCAATGAAGAACCCAGAGAAGTTTGGAGAAGTCGTTTCGGCCTTGTTACTCGGGATCAACGAAGCATCTATCAATGTTATGGACAACATTGACACATTAATAGCTCTGGAAACAGCGCTGGAAAACATTGAAGATTACATAATCAGTTTGTTATCTTGTGTTAACGAGGTTGGTAAAGCCTCACAACTACCGGAAGATTTGNAAGATTACCTAACTCCAAATGAAATTTTGGCAACTAACGAATACTGGGCTGGGGATTCCTTGGAGATTAAACCTTTGATAATCTCGATAATTAATCGATTCGCATTATCCTTCCCTCCAATAGTCAACAATACTTTGGTGACTGAAAAATGTTGCAATATATTGAAAAGTGGGTTAAGTGAGCCTATTAATGGCCCATTTAATTTCGAATTGGATGTGATTTTGAATTTTCTAATAGTGAAATTTAATCTGTGCAATTTACCTTCGGTACCTTATATTTTTAAATTGCTCGAAACTGTTGTCATTACGAAAGCAAAAGTCTTAACATCTGAAATGATTGATCAATTAATCTCTCAGTTATTTCTTACAAAGCCATCTATTTTTATCGAAGATATTGATTTAATGAAAGCATCAATAGAATTCTTCTCGACAATCTTAGAAAAAGTACCAGGCTTGTTGGTACATTTATCAGTTTTTGAGTCGCAGATTCTAGAATTTGCTCTTTTGAGTCTTCAATACCATGAAGCATTTCTAGTGAAGTCTGTTGCGAAGTTTTGGACTAACGTTATTACATTGAAAAAAGGAAACATTTCCGATCAAGAGAGAATTTTGTGGTTAATGGACAACTTGATTATAAAAGGGAGCCCTTTGAATTACTGTGTTGTCGAAAAATTGCTAAGCTCATTTTTGGATAGTCCCAGGTCCAATCTAGATTACTATTACCCAATATTTAGGTGTTTGATTGTAAAACACCCACTTCTGTCAAAAAGAAGTTTGAAGGCTATTGTGGAGTCATTAATCAAGACTAATGAGAAAATTTCTCAGAATGGCGCTGATCAGTTTTTGAACAAGCTTATGTTGACCAGAGGCCAACGTCAAGCAAATGATGTGTTGAAAAGATTCTGGCTAGAATACAACGGAATGATTGATTACAGCTCTTAATCAGCATACATTAAAATACAAACATAATTTCCAAATCAAAATGGACACACCAACAACTAATTAACCCAACAAAGCTTCCAACTCTTTACATAAAGCGTCGGCCTCCTGATTATAATCAAGATAATCAAGCCCCACGGCTTGGTACCTTATTCTCACATTATCATTGTAGTTGTCTTGTCTTGCTCTGACTCTGAAAGAGTACTCTTTGAACAAAATACTTGAGGTAAGTTCAGTAAAATTCTTGCCTACGCCATCAGCCTCATCTTGTTGGTACTTCTTTAACACACTGGCATCAACGCCGAACAATTTATGTGCTTCTTGATCAAACAAAGTGAGCCATAATTGACCGGTGTTATCCATAACTGAACAATTGAAAATGTAACGGTAAGTAGGTTCACTGAAAGTCAAGTCACATCTTTCACATTTCCAGGAGCCATCATTGAGCTCGATTAATTTTCTGTTACAAGTGTTAACTTGGCCTGATTTTTGAGTAGATTGGTTTTGAGATTCGTTTGAACAAGCAGGATAACAGAAGTTATCAACTTTTGTGAACCCAATTGTGGCCTTGATGGAAAAGTAATCTGGTCTATCAGATTTACCTAAGTTCTCTTCTTCTGCCTCGGCAATAGTTTTACGGTTGCTGACTTGGTTGGAACCAGTCTCAACCTTCAAACTCTTGAAGTTTTCGTTGATACCTTGGTGATCATACCATCCTTTCAATTGGTAAGATTCTGGTGTTTCTGGGTTTGCGACCATGGTACCCGCCTGGGTCAAAGTTAAGGATTTTCCGTTAAACTCTTGAACTTTACAACCTTTGAAAGCAACAACGGAACCCTCGGGAATGCTGAAGTCGATAGCGGTACTGTTCCATAATCCCACGTCAATTGCAAACCCAGTGTCGTCAACAATAGTTACATTTCTTCTGTCGAAAGCCTTTCCAGTTGATTTCGCGGTAATTTGAAAGGATGGGTTGACAGTCTTCAAAGCACCAATAACATCGACAATAGCATTAGTTTCAAGGTTTTGAATCTGGTTTAATTTGACGAAGGAGAAATTCAAGGTTGGAACGTTGGCGGTGTCGAAACATTCAGTGACTTCGGTATCTCTTTCAAAAGCTAACTCATATGGATGTGATAAGTGATTGAACTGTTTCTTGGCAGTTTGAACTCTTGCCTTACTAATATAATAAACCTTTCCTTCTTCCAAAAGCTTGTAAAGTTTTTCAGCAACGTCATTGAAAGCTGTAGCCTTAATTTCGTCCGACTCATCTAAGAAGTTCACACTGAACAACTTTCCTTCTCCTTTAGCATTAGACCAAGTTCTGAGATCACCCTTGTAAGACACTCTTGCCTTGATAGTCCATTGGTTTTGGTAAGGAGACAATGATTCAATTGGAGCAATTCTGCCTGGTGGCTTGGATCCTACAGGAGCAGATCCTGGAGGATACTGTGGCTGTTGCTTTGGAGGTTGTTGTGGTTGTTCAAAGGAAGCTGGCGCAGGAGATTCGGACTTTTTACTCAATCCCAAGTAGTCATCTTCTGGGTGTTCAGCAAAATAGGTATCGACGTTGATGAAATCTTTCTGTTGAACCTTTTCACCCTCAGAGCTCAAAAGTTCCACGTCCTTTATCAAGACCAAGTGTTTCTGGGTAGAGAACACGCTATATTGCTTGATTTGGATGATACAGTATCTGGTGAAATTGTTGTTGCTAACATATGGCATACATTGCTCATCCATCAATCCATGGGCAATGTAGACACCATCGGTCATCATCACTCTGTACTTCTTCAACTCTTTTTCCAAGAAGACTGGCTTAGTTGCCGTAACTTGGACCGTGATGGGAGCCTGGACTTGGCCCTGTTTCGAAATAGAGAAAATATCTCTCAACGCACCGGTTGAAAGTTGGATAGGCATGATAGTATCTGATGAATAGGTAACAAATAGATGCTTTCGTAGCGGTAAACTCTTAATCAACTGGAGTAGAAGATGATCAATCAAACGCGCCACCAAATAACGCGTTGGTATTTGGGCACCTGCATATAATCCACAGAAGCCATTTACAGGTTGGGAGAGTCTACAGGTTTGATCATAGTATTGGTGGTTGTAGTATTTCTAAGCTCTATAACTTGGCCTCGATTCCAACGGCATTGAAAAGCTCGTCTCTTTCATTTACCTTTACGGCACCGCTCTTCAACAACGCCTTATGCAAATCGTCGATCAAGTCGTCACAGTTTTCGATCCCGATGCATAATCGGATCAAATCTTCAGGAAGGGCTCTTTCTTCTCTGGTCTTTGCGTCGATGGAGGCGTGGGACATCTTGCATGGCATGGAGATAAGAGAGTTGACACATCCAAAGGAAACAGCAATTCCGAAAATTTCCGTGCTCTCCACGATCTTTTCCGAGATTTTGATACTACCGGTTTCAAAACTCAACACTCCTCCATAACCTCTGCACATTGAATTGTGCAACTCGTGCTGAGGATGCGACTTCAATCCGGGGTATCTCACCTTGAAGCCAATGTTCTGAAGGAATTCGGCAATCTTGCTGCAATTCTGTTGTTGTCTTTCAACTCTGATGGCGAGAGTTCTCAACCCTCTACATAAGAGCCATGAGTCGAAAGGAGACAACCCACATCCCGTGGAATTTATGACAAAAAACAACTGCTCGGCCAACTTGTCAGATCTGGTGGCAAGCACACCTGCCATGATATCGTGGTGGCCGTTGAGGTACTTGGTAGCGGACTCGTATTGGATATCCACCCCCAAATCCAAGGGGGTCATCAACACAGGCGACATCATGGTGTTGTCAAACACCACTATCACATCTGGATTCACCTGGTGCGCGTACTGGGCAATGGAACGGACATCTACCACCTTGATCAACGGATTGGTGGGGGACTCCAAGAAAATCATCTTGGTGCTGGTGGTGATCTTGGACTTGATCAACTCGGTGTCGGTAGTGTCGTAGTGACCCAACTTGACGTCTCCCTTCTTGTGCAAGTAGGTCAACAATCTGTGGGTGCCACCATATAAATCATCGCCAGCAATAACTTCATCCCCTGGCTTCAAGAGCCTGGTGATCACATCGAGACACCCCATACCAGAAGTCACTGCGTAGGTGTGGGTGGCCTTCATAACCTTGGCCAAGTGGTTCTGCAAGTAGGTACGGGTAGGATTGCCTGATCTTGTATAATCGTATTCTCCCATGTTGGATAACGAGGGCTGTTTGAATGTGGCCGATTGATACAAGGGGGGCACGGAGGCATTGTACTGGTCGGTAGATTTGGATAACACCAACTCCGTCTCTAGACTGTACGATCTTTTGGGTGCCATTTTGGTTGTTGCAAGATGAAAAACTGGTTAACTGTGTGTATATTTATCCGTCAATTTTTCAGGCCCGATACTCCATAGTTCTGACTCAATCACTCTAGATGATGCAATCCGTGCGTTTGTGTCACCCCGATATCGGTCACGTGCGCGAAACTGTTGGGACGGTGGGTCAAATCCGGGGACTGATAGCATCCACTTCAGTGCTCTGTGAGCATAGCCTGGGTGCCAGGAAAATCCAGTCTGGCCTAGAAGACCATCTTGGAATATTCCCTCTACCACGGCTACAGCACTACAATTCTGTATTACAGTATTCCCCAGATGAGTGTCGCATCTCTAATCTTAGTACCCAATCTATAGGCCTGATTAGAAATGCAGTCCGTCATACTCGGGTTTAGTTTCGGAAATCAAGTACTTGAAATATTTCATCATGAAAAGAAAGAATGCTTCGAAAGATGCTAGTTTAAATTTTGATTAAGATAGTATTAAAATGAGTTTATTGGTAATAATGAGTGATGCTTCATTAACATGAACAAAACATACTAGTACTTCAGCTTTAACATCTCTCACCGTTGTATTCTTACTCCAATGTCTTCCTCTGTTTTGAACATGTTGAATTCCGGGAAGCTGTGTTTGGCTGCTTTTGGTTATGAAACTATGTAAAATAAAGAGATGCGCTCTCAAACGGTCAACCCCACAACTTTTGTACGTAGAAGGAGATTACTCTGCTCCTACTTGAAGCCAAATTCAATTAGAAAAGTACTGCTTATCAGAGGAATGATATTTACTTGGAAAATGCTGTATAGCACTATGATACAGTAAGATGGTGTTTATTGAATTTATCTCTAGCGTGGATCTTCACGGCTGGTGGGAAGTGCCGGGATTAGTGCAATGTGCGAGCACCAGCAGTTTGCTGGGCCTACACACTGACAGTATGACTTTTATTATGCTCTCCGAACAAGTAGTGTACAGTTTATAAATCGGATCTGGTGAATTTTCTGATGTCGGTTGGTTCCTCGCCCAATAACACCTTGGCACCGGAGTAAGGTTCACAACTTTCTCTGCCACTGACAGGACCGATCTTGGTCAATTCCTTACCTTCTTGTAAAGTCTTCAAGATCTCCACCGTCTTTTCTGGGGTCAAGTCTTCATGGTAGTCGTCGTTGACAGCCAACATAGGAGCGTTCACACAGGCACCCAAACATTCGACTTCTTGCAAAGTGAACAAGTTGTCCTTGGTGGTTTGGCCTGGCTTGATCTTGAGGTGGTCTTGGATGGCTTGCATAACGCCGTCGGATCCACACAATTGGCATGGGGTGGTGGTACAGACTTGAATGTTGTACTTACCCATGGGAGCTCTGTTGAACATAGTGTAGAAAGTGGCAACTTCGTAGACTCTCATTGGTGGCATGTCTAACATCTTGGCAACGTAGTTCATGACAGAGATGGAGGTGAAGCCCAACTGACGTTGGCCCAAGTCCAATAATGGCATGCATGCACCCTTCTTGTATTGTGGTGGGTATTTAGCTATGATAGCTTCGGCTCTCTTGATGTTTTCAGAGTTGAACTCGAAAGGAAGGTCTTGGTTGTCGGACTTGGAGTCTCTGTGCACGGAGATGATGGAGTAAGCTCTGTTGCCGACTATGTTGGGCCTGGCAATGGCTCTATTGAAACGAAGCATGTTAAGCATATTGGATGGATGGTGCTTCTGGTAATACTCGAATCGTTAAGTTTGGATTGGACTAAATTTTTTCTATACACTGAGTATGCACACTAATAACCAATTGTGCGCATCTGATTGGCTGGATCTATTTTACGTAGCACACCCCAGGTGACGTCTGGGAGGGCATGGGGGGTTTTGTGGTGGCCGTGCTAGTTGGGTTATGCCCTGCCATCGTGGAGGTGGCTGCTTCGCCGGAGCTGCTCGGAGACACAACCGTTTCAAGCCGTTCGTCGTACATTTTTGTGTAACCAACGTTGAACTTGGTGCCAGTACTGGTGAGAACATTGTAGGTGCCAGATACAGGAACAATGGAGGACTGGCGGTTCAGACGGGCCAATGGCGCCAAGTACACTTCGTTTCGGTCCAAATCGTACACGGTGTAGTAGTGTCTGAGTATGGCATTTGGCATGGTTCCGAAATACGAGTTTTTCCCAATATCCACCTCGGCAAGGTTGAGGGAGCAGTAGCGGGACCCATCAACCTCGAGGGTTTCACCAACTATATCTGCCAAAGGAAACTCCACCACGAACCCCGAGAAGTCAACGCTCACTGTGGTGGACATCTTGTGCTCCAAGTAGTAGTCGTCATCGTCGGTAGCGTAGTCTGATGGCCCTAGCACCATGAGAATGTTTTGTACCACTGTCGCAGTGGTTGCAAGCACATTTGCACCCGAGTCGATTTCGTAGGCAAGTTTCTGATCAGACACCACGGTGCCTCCAACACTGATGCCATGCACCGCAATGGCCAATGAGGTGTATGTTGACCGCACTGTGCCTGGTCCCACGTCGCGGAGGATGGTGTTTCTCATCAATGGTCCCGAGTACTTGCTGGGGTCCACGGCGCCAAAGAGCACCGACAGCGCCAGCACATCGCCGTTGAAGGAATACATGGTAGCGCCAATAATGCCTGAGTCCTTGAGTTTGGCTGGAAAGTTTGCGTAGACTCCCATTGCCGTTCTGACGTTGTAGCCCACACCTAGGATCCCTTGGGCTCCGTTCAACGAGTCCAACGAACTCACCCCAAACGTAAACCCGTCTATTCTGAGCCCATTTGCCTCGACATAATCGTAGACTTTCCGCATAGTGAAGCTCTCGATCGAGCCATACGACACAGGGTAATCAAGTCCCGAGTCCACGCTGGAACTAGACTGGCTACCGTCGTAGCCGCTGGAGCTGACCACCAAATCAGAGGAGCCCGTGTCGATTTGTACATCAAGTGGTTGTGGAGGGAACCCCAAAGCCAAGTCCAGGACGTAGTAAAAATCATCCTTAAAATATAACGGGAGTTCCACCCAGCTGGTGTTGGTAGAAATTGGATTGCTGGAAACTTTGCAAGAAATTAAGAGAATTGCAAAAATTAACCGAAATTGCATTGTGTACTACAGAAACACTTGTACACCACGTCTATGGTTTATATAAGCCGGGACAGGTCTCATCATGGTTTCGACATACGAACCTGAAACCAGCAATTCAAAACTAGTTTTCCTCGTTTCTGGTCTCCTTCTTGCAATTGACACAGTGGTAGCACAACTACCCTTTTGGGCTGCCACAATACATCCTGAGCTTGTCACAAATTTGTAGGGGTGTAATTCGGTAAAAGCCTTTCCACATTTGGCTAGAGACCAGCTCAGGCTCTCCTCGTTGCATCGGGCCCAATAGCATCCCAATCTTCCCTGCTCATCTCCTCCTCCTTGGTGGTCGCAGCTGCCCGACTCCCTAGTGAGTGCTGCACGTGATTCCTCACCACATTATCAGAATTTTATGGATGATATGTTGAATCCGAAGCATTACGACAGCCAGAGCTCCGCTTTATTTGACGACCATTGGACCACCCATATCGGCCGTCCTCCCCAATCACGCCTTGGGCCTTTGATTTAAGATCACTCTCCAAAGAACCGGGTCCAGATCCAGCCGTGGCCCCTCATTTGAGAATCAAGACAAAAGTGATATCTTTCATCCTACCTCTAATACATCCTGGCAAAGAATCACAATGGCAGGTGCGGCAGACGAAAGTGACCCTAGCTCAGGCAGCTTAGGTGGATCACGTTCAGGAACCAACCATCGCAATATGCTTGAGACTCCGAGATCCCCTTCCAGGTCAACCCGAAGAACTGAACCTCCGCGAGTAGGCGAAGTCCCTTCACTCCCAACATCCTCACCCAGACGAAGAAACCAAAAGTCTATTTTCAGTGACAGATACATTCCCAACAGGACAGGCATAGATCTCCAGGCAGCTTTCAGTTTATCGAATCAAGAGGTTCTTCCCGATTTGAGGAGTGTCAAGCATGCTGACAATGAAATTGATATACGCAAAGAGGAAGAGGCCAACCGTACGTTTTCAACCGTCTTAAAGGCCGAGTTGTTTGGTGATAATGTACCTATGGCAGCCACAAACCTCACCACAGGTAACTTATCTTCTAATCGCAGTCCTATCATTAAGACTCCCGGTAGACCAAATAGTGCAGGTAACTTGATTCAACCAGGAAGATCTTCAATACCTAACAGTGTGAACCTATCAGGAAGCCCTCCCCGATCCGCAGCTTCGCTAGGGGACACTCCTTCAAATCCTTCTCACACCACAACAATAAATGCTGATGCCTCAACGGGAAATCAAGGAACTAGTGCCGTTGCCGGCGCATCTCTTGATTATGATACGAGTGTCACCAGTACACCCAGAAGAAAAACAAATCTTTTTACATACCAGTCTCCTCAGAAAACGAGACCGGTCTCGAGAGATTTACAAAGCCAATTATATTCATTATCACCAGTGAGACAGGAATCTCAAAAGCTTTTGTTGTCACCCCAAAAGAAACCAAGAAACATACTGAAAGTCCCTTATAGAGTATTGGATGCACCCGAGCTTTCCGATGATTTTTATCTTAATTTGGTGGATTGGGGTCAGCAAGATATCCTTGCAGTGGGTCTAGGCGATAGTGTGTACTTATGGGATGGTGCAACACAATCGGTGGATAGATTGTGCAATTTGTCAAACAAAGACAAAGTAACTAGTTTGAACTGGATAGGCTCTGGTACTCATTTAGCCATTGGTACTTCTAAAGGTCTAGTTGAAATATGGGACGCTACAAAAATCAAATGTGTTAGGACGATGTCAGGACACAGTCTCAGAGTGAGCTCTTTAGCATGGAATGAGCATATATTATCGAGTGGTTCACGAGATAGAACGATTTTGAATCGTGATGTGAGAATAGAAAGTCATTATGTAAATAAGTTTGAGACTCACAAGCAGGAAGTGTGTGGTTTAAAATGGAATGTCGAGGAGAACAAGTTGGCGAGTGGTGGTAACGATAATAAGTTGATAATATGGGATGGATTGAATCCAAAACCTTTACATCAATTTACAGACCATGTGGCCGCTGTTAAAGCCATAGCATGGTCGCCCCATCAAAGGGGGATTTTAGCATCTGGAGGGGGAACTGCCGATAAAACGATCAAAACATGGAATACATTGACTGGAAACCTCGTACATGATGTGAATACAGGCTCGCAAGTGTGCAATTTGATTTGGTCGAAGAATTCTAATGAATTGGTTTCAACGCATGGATATTCACGGAATCAGATAATTGTGTGGAAATACCCATCGATGCAGCAGATTGCTCAGTTGACTGGCCATACCTATAGGGTGTTATACCTTTCGATATCTCCTGATGGTGAAACTATTGTAACTGGAGCAGGTGACGAAACTTTAAGATTCTGGAATGTTTTTGAGAAGAGCAGGCATAGTAATGCCCAATCATCGGTATTACTCGATGCCTTTCTGCAGTTGCGTTGATTAAGATCTCTTTATGTAAAATTAATGCAGGCGAGATAGCGTTCGAGTTTCGCTACACTACAACTTCGATAAGTTTCTATTATACATTTCTATTATACAAGGTTTGNACTCAAGTTAGTTTTATACTAGCAAGTATTCCGGATTCAACATGTTTCTTTCTTGAGAAGGATCAAACTTATTCTCGGCACACCATCGATCAAAGTTGCCCAACATTAAAGTAACTCTTCCATTCTTTTCCTGCTTGAGTAACTTCATGAACTCCAAGGTAAACAATACATCCTCATTTCTATAACCAGTCAAATCTGACAATTCAGAGATTGTAAACCTTTTTTTATTGATTAGGTGATTGTGAATGATATTGGCTAGGTGCTTCGACCAAAACTTGAGATAACTCACTTTGCCGTAGGGTGAAAGGGGAAATTCTGGACCACTTTTGAGTTGGCCAGGAGTCACTTTGGCTAAGGCATACAGGAACTCTATCAATAGAGACCCCAAATGGCGCCTTTGAAAGGGTGGGAAAATGCAGATACATGCTAGGTTATTATTATTGTCATATGATAGCACTTCCTTGGAGAAAAATCCCATTGGTTTGAAATTGCTTCCCCCGTCCTGTCCGTAAACCACATAAAAGTCAAAGTAGTCAATATTGTAGTACACCGATTTATCATCCAAGAAAAGCTTTCCAAATAAGCACATGTTCTGGCAGTATAAGGGGTATTTGAAGCCACGGATCTGTCGTATATAGTAGGGAGTAACGTCATCTCGGTACACGAGCTTTCCAATCGTGGGCTTTGGTTTGTTCAAAGGGCAAACTACCCGGTGGTTGTGGATCTCCGTCTCGTTTGCCGTATACTTGAAGCAGTAATCACACACATAAAGCTTGTCCAACCAGTACCCATCACTTGGAATGTGTCCATCCGCCTTTTTCTTTATTTTGAAGCCGGGATCATGGACCAACTTGTTCAGAAACGAGTAGCCCAAGTCAGAGTGGTTGACGTCTAGCGGATTGAAGTAAGCAGCATTTCCATACCAGGTATCGAATTCGTGATTACCAAAGTCGACACGACCGATGTTCCGCGAATTCAACACTCCGTACAAGGTGTCATCTGCCGAGTTGGTATCATGGGACATCCGGGGTGGATACTGATGGAGGGTAGTGGGGAAACTGCCTCCAATAGAGATGAGAGCACGTCACGTGCATAACCCGTACACGGTATCTTTCATGGAAACAGGCTTCAGTGTCGAATCTGGGGTCGTAGAGGATGGCAAGCCCAGTTGGGCTACTTCTACAGCAGTTCTGGACAGGATGGCTCAAATATGTTCAACGCTAAAGTTCATTGACCGTATTTCAGCATTATTAATATGACGCGTAGGATTCTGTTCAATACTCATTACTGACACGAACCATGCCACCAAAAGGATGGAGAAAGAACGCTGATGGCCAGTATCCACAGCCAAATAAGGACTCAGAATTGGTATCCATAGATGATATTCTTTTTCCCAAGAGCACGGTGCAAAAGTTGGCCAAAACCATCATAAGTGACGAGGAAGGTGGTCACAACATGATCATTGCAAAGGACTCTCTTATAGCACTTCAAAGGTCAGCCACCGTGTTCGTATCACATATGATGTTCTATGCCAGGCATGTGGCCAAGACTTCAGGCAGGAAAACCATCAACACCCAGGACGTTTTCCAAGCATTGGAGAACGCTGAATTCTCAGGATTCTTACCTGAAGTAAAGCTGAAATTAAGTGTATACGAGAACGCTGTCAACTTGAAGAAGAAGCAAAAGTTGGAGCTCAAGGTTGATGAAGAATCAAGTGATCCTGCTGCTAAGAAATTGAAGGCTAACCAGGAAATAGCCATTGATAGGACCGAGGAGGAGGAAGCCGAAGAAGTAGAGGTCGAAGAAGATGATGAAGAGGATGTGGCTGAACCTGAAGATGAGGATGTGGATGAGGACGCTACAAAAGAGGAAGTGGAAGAAGTTGAAGTCAATCCTATAGCTGCCATTTCAAAGGACGAGCAAGAGTTACAGGGACCCGAGCTAGAAGAGCCTGCTGATGAGAAAGACAGCAGCGATGAAGAATGATGTAAATCTAATAGTACCAATACATGTAATATAAATGTTTCAGCAATTTGGGTTTTGAACTCACATTCAGATGTAAGGATCCCTAGAAATTTGACCTACAAAACAGGATTGATTAAAGCGCAACTAAGTGAATATAATAGACAAAAATGATATATGGTGTTCATAAATGAAAGCAGTCTGCATATTCTTCTGGATTCAATTAATCAGAGGCTCCTTACTTACTTCTCGATTTCAAGGAATACACTGCTGGGTAATAATGAGTGGTCTAGGCAATCTAATCAATTATGACCGATACAATGACTAAAAAGTGGGAAGCCACACAGTGATCCCAATAATAAGTAGAAGAGTAGGGCAATTCCACCCCCCAAAGCTAAATAAAACTTGGTCTTGCCGATCCACATGTTTCTTTTTATCTGCTGTGCCTTCTTTTGAAACACCAGCGAGGATGTAGTGAGTCTATCCGTTTGATCCACTAAGCGATTGATTTTGTCACCCCTGCTTAACAACTTGTTGATGTTATCTAACATCAACAGCCTAACTTCATCTACTTCTTCATTTGCGAGTAACAATTGATTCGGATTGATGGAATCATTTGCATCGTCTCCCTCATCAGTCGAACCATATCTATAGGACGATTGATTTGAGTCGAAATTCATCTCCTCTACCTTTATGATCTGAGTCATGTAGAGCTTAAACTCTCCCAACCGTACCTTGGCCTGCTCTTGTTGGTTAGGGTCGTTTCCACTTCCAAGCTCCTTCTTGAAGTCAATGTACTTATCAGTAATCTTCTTCAAAATAGTCAAGATCAAAGTTTTGGAAACGTTATAGTGTGATATGACAACTACCGTTATCAAATCACTACTTCCATCACTATTGGAGAAAACCTTCTTCATGAAGTAAAGGAGTAATCTGGTATTGGTTACTCTAGATCCAGTTGTAATAGGGATAGATCCCACCAAGGTCTTGGACGAATTCACTAGCCCCAATTCTTGGGATATTATTTCTGAGCAGTTGAGATTATTGATCAAGTGGACAAGCTCATGGTTCTCATAGGTGAATAGGGTGGTTGAGTTGAGGGTAAGTGTGGTATGTATTACTGGTTGGTTAGTACTATTTCTATGATTGCGATGGAATCGATTGCTCACTCACACTTCTTATAGAGATCAGACAGGCTCATGATGGCCTTGCTTTACTCTTGAACAGGATAGGCTTCGGATTGGCCTGTTTGTAGTTTGCTTGAATGATAATCTGGAGTAGTCACTTGCGACTTGTAGGATCCTGCACGTGATGCACCATCCCAATCCTCATCTCAAAAAAATCACCTTCATCTCACATTAGATCCAAGGGCATCGTAAACGACATGGGGAAATATAGAAAGAGATTTAACGAGAAAGCCCGTGCTGGGATGCTCGCTAAGCAGGCCACTCTTAAGAGGGCTAGAAACAAGCAATTCCATAGACACGAAGAAGACCAAAATGAAGAAGTCGATACAGCCAAAATATTCAATGAGCCTAATTCCAACTCAGAAATACTAAAGCCAATGTCCGAGGAGGAAAAGCAAGAGCGTAAAAGAAAACTTGAGGAAACACTCTACTCGGAAAATGCCAAAGAAACCAAAATGTCGAAAGCCAAGAAGAAGAGATTGGACAAATATATCGAGCATCAATTGAAAAGAGAGGAAAAGAAAACCTTACTTGAAAAGTTGTCCAAAACTAAGGTTGATACCTCTCAACTCACTGCATCGAAACTCTTAGGTAAAGGAAAGCAAACCAGAAAAGAAGAAATGGTGGAAGCCTTAGAGCTTGAAAGACAAGGTAGAGGTGATGAAAGAACCAGGGACATCTTATATGAGGAGAGAGAGGTTAAAGAATGGCCAGAGGATATGGAAATAACTCCAAAGTTTCCTAGTAGCGAGGAAGACCTGTCGGACGAAGAGGCAGAAGAAAAATTTCCAGATACCACATCAAGTTCGGGATTTATAGATAATAGACCTGCCAAGTTTGGTGGAAGTGGACTTGGGTTTGGATTTGCCAATTTGCCAAAGATAGGAAAATCAACCGGTACGAAGAAGTATACCTGGAGATTGAAAGTGGAGAAAGAAGAGAACAAAAGATTGAAGATTGAAGATGATAACGATTTCTTGTCCACCGATGAGGAGGAACAAGGCCAAGATGACGATGTCAACGAGAGCGATAACGAAGATCAAGGTTCAGACGAAGAGGATTCCGAGACTCCTGAGTCGGAAGAAATAGATAGCGATACAAACGATGGCACGACCAAGGCTTCAACCGCCAGTGACGAGGAGGTCTCAGAAGATGGTTCAGATGGATCAGAGGAAGATTCTGACGAAGATTCTGAGGAAGAGTCGGATGAAGAACTTGATGAAGAATCAGAGGAAGAAGAGGAAATGTCGCGTTTGATGCAAAACAAGCCAAAGCATTCGAAGGTTGCAGAGTCATTTAAGCAATGGGCTGAGCAACAAGTTCGTAGTCTTGAGGGACGTGATCAGGAGACTGTTATGCCTACCTTAAGTAAGGAAACCAAAGAAAAATACTCCAAACCAAGCATTCATGAAGAAGACGTCGATCATTCATCTGATGAGGAGGGTTACATCCCAATTAATAAAGACTTACAAAGAGAAGCCTTCTTTGTTGAAGTTAACCGTTCTGCTGAGATTCAAAATGTGAGAATCCAATTGCCTGTTTACGGTGAGGAACATAAGATTATGGAAGCCATCAACCATCATGATTGTGTGGTGATCTGTGGTGAGACAGGTTCCGGTAAAACCACCCAGGTACCTCAATTTTTATACGAAGCAGGATTTGGTAATCTCAAACATGATTTATACCCTGGAATGATTGGTGTTACGCAGCCAAGAAGAGTTGCTGCCGTATCTATGGCAGAGAGAGTGGGTAACGAATTGGGTGACCACGGTAAGAGAGTTGGTTATCAAATCAGGTTTGATACCACCATAAAAAATGAAGGTCAAGAGAATGGTACTGCATTGAAATTTATGACTGATGGTGTTCTCTTGAGAGAAATGATGACTGACTTCTTACTTGCGAAATACTCTTCAATTATCATTGATGAGGCTCACGAAAGAAATATTAACACCGACATTTTAATTGGTATGTTGAGTAGAGTGGTGAAATTGAGAAGGAAGTATCATCTGGAAAATCCTGAAAAGTACAAGCCTTTGAAATTAATCATTATGTCTGCTACTTTGAGGGTATCCGACTTCTCCGAGAACAAACAATTATTCAAAACACCTCCTCCTATCATCAAGGTGGATGCTAGACAGTATCCAGTCAGTGTTCACTTTAACCGTAAGACAAATTTTGATTACGTGGAAGAGGCTTTTAAAAAGGCTTCCAAGATCCATAAGAGATTACCTCCAGGGGGTATTTTGATCTTCTTGACAGGTCAAAATGAAATCACCACAACTGTCAAAAAGTTGCGCAAAGAGTTTCCATTCCCTAACAAGAAAAAGCAACAGCCAATTTATGAGGAGTCTGAAGATGTTGTTGTCAGACTCAACAAAAATGCCGATGCAGAAGCAGAAGAAGTTGAACTTGGTGTTAACCAACAGGAATTGGAAGGTATGGATGATTATGACTCGGAGTCTGATTCTGATGAAGAAGGGTTTGAGGAAACGTTAGAGGCACACCAAACTGACAAGGATCCACTTTTCGTGTTGCCACTTTACTCCTTGTTACCAACGAAGGAGCAAATGAAAGTCTTTCAAAATCCGCCACCCGGCAGTCGAATTTGTATTGTGGCTACTAATGTGGCAGAAACTTCTTTAACAATTCCAGGAATCAGATATGTTGTTGATTGTGGTCGTTCTAAAGAGAGGAAGTTCAATGAAGAATCGGGTGTACAATCATTTGAAATTGATTGGATTTCTAAGGCTTCGTCCGATCAAAGAGCAGGTAGAGCAGGTAGAACTGGGCCAGGCCATTGTTACCGGTTGTATTCTTCTGCAATCTACGAAGAATACTTCCCCCAATTTAGTCGTCCAGAAATTTTGAGGATGCCATTCGAGAGTGTGGTTTTGTCTATGAAGAGTATGGGAATTGATCAAGTAGCCAATTTCCCGTTCCCAACTCCTCCAGACAGACTTGCTCTTGTTAAGGCAGAGAAGTTGTTGACCATCTTAGGTGCATTGGATTACGAGAAGAAGCAGATTACTGAGTTGGGTAAAACAATGTCATTATTCCCATTGAGTCCCCGTTTCTCCAAAATATTAATCATTGGTAATCAACATGGTTGCCTTCCATATATCATTGCTATTGTTTCTGCATTATCCGTTGGTGACCCGTTCATTGGAGAGAATGAAATAGGGATCAACACACCTAGAAAGAAACTGGAGTCAGACGAAGAAAGCGAAGAGGAAGATGATATGGATGTTGAAGTCAAGAAGAAGTTAAGATCGAGCTACAATCATTCGCAAGCAGTTTTCTCAAGATTAGACAAATCAAGTGATGCGTTGAAGTTACTTTCTGCTGTTTGTGCATTTGATCATGTTTCCTCCAAAGACAGGAGCCAGTTTTTGAAATCGCACTTCTTGAGGGCCAAGGTGATGGAGGAGATTGTCAAATTGAGAAAACAAGTTGATTATATTGTGAAGAGTAACACCAATCCAGATTCAATTGCTCTTTCCCACGAGGAGCAGGCTAAGCTTGGTGTTCCTACAAAGCAACAAATTTCAGCCATTAAGCAAATGATTGCTTCAGGGTTCATTGATCAGATAGCTATCAGAACGGATTTGGTTTCGAAGGATGTTGAAATTCCTAAGAAAACCACCATTATTAACATTCCTTATACTCCATTTGACCCACTCACTGACTTCAGGGCCGGCGAAGTGGCTTACATTCATCCAGNATCAGTTATCAACCAGTCTGGGGCCATTCCAGCTTCTTACTTGGTGTATCAATCATTGAGCGTTGGTGCCAACAAAAGAGAAGGACAGGAGCAAAAAGTTAGATTGAAGCCGTTGGTTGATATCACCGGCGCACAGTTGACAAGCATAGCCAAAAATTCCCCTTTGATTACCTATTCGAAGCCATTGAGCCATCCCTATGCACCAAAGAATATCACCTCCACCAAGAGAGAGTGTTATGTGGTCCCCAGATTTGCAGCTGCGGTTGGTTCTGGTGGTATAGGTTGGGATCTTCCTGCAATCAAGGTTATTCAGGTCAAAAAGGAAGGATCTTGGGTTATTGTATAGTAGCAAATTCCACAAAGGTAGTTATAGAGCAACGGACCAAATAAAAGTAAAAAACTACATTCTTAAACTTGCAGTACTCCAATATAGCTTTGAAAGTAGAGAAATACAATACTTCTACATTTCAAAAGTGGCACTTAACTCTGGACTTCAGATGTAGTTTCCTTAAAAAATTCTGATAGCCGTTACCTAGCCCCATAATTACTCTGAATGTATTCAACTTCCAACTTTTAATCCTTTACCACATCAAGAAGCTCAACATGCCCCTAGTCAGGCTAGTACGGCTTAGTAGTGCTGTATACGTCTGGCTACAGAAGTACCCTCGGAATTGCCCACCCTCGGAAATAATATCGCGATGTTTGTTTTCGCTAAAAAACTACCTACTACATCTGAAGACTTGTATCCAGAACAGCAAACACACAATGCCACCCGAGCAGCAGGACCGGCGCCACCACGAGGAGGAAGACCTGGAGCCTTTGATACCCTCGAATATTCTAGACCTAGCATCTCAGAGAGTGTTTGTGGTCTCGTTCTTCATATTGATCCAGAGTTGGAAAGTGTATGAGGTCTTGCTATTGAAGTCTGACGTGCCGATCTCCGGAGGCTCATTGGCACCTTCAAACAATTTCACCTTCGTTTTGAAATACGCCATAATTGATGGTCTCTTCCTATGGATCCTACCAATATTGAGTATTCCATACTTGAGATTCTCACCACTCAAGACGTTGATTCTTACCCTCGTGTTGAACTCCGTTACATTTTTTTTGGCCAGCAGTCAGACTGTGGTACTTGTGACCAGTTTTGTCATGCCAGTTTGGAAGGCCATCGCATCCAAGAGAGAATTAACTGTGGTGGGTGATTCCGTTAATTATAACAGAGTGGTCGACATGGAATCTCATTTTAAGGGAAAATTAACTATTCACTATCTACCAGACTCTTCGGCAAAGTTCAATCCTTTCCATTTTGACAAGATATGTTTAGAGAGATCAGAAAACCAACCATTGGAAATGCCAATTGAGTTCAATACTACAACTCAATTAGGGTTCTTGCAATTACAACATATCACACCTGATAACAACGTGAATTATCTTAATTACACAGCTAACACTCTCAAAAAGTTGGGTAGAAAAGATCACTCCCACTTGGGGAGATACCCGGACTACAAGAATGACGATTCCAGGATTTTCTACCTTGAAATACCTTTAAAAGAACCAGGGTTGTACAGGATATCAAAGGTCACAGATATCAAGAATATCAATATTAGAACTTACAAATCTGAGTTCATGATCTCTCATTGTCCTAGTTCCAAATTCTCGTACCCTCCCAGTTTTGATGAGTCAAAGAACTATAAATGTTTATCAAAAACTGGAAATGAAGAACCTCTTCAGCTTCCATTGCTCAGTGTATTTGGTGTCACCCCAGTCACCGTCAAGTTTAATGTGAATTTGAATGGAAAACACTATAAAACAATCAATTCCTCAGTGGGTGAGGTTACAACCAAGCCTTTACTCCAATCAAAGAGGGATGTATCGTGGATCGATTCGCACAGTCTTACTCGTAATACGTTAGAGCAGGAGATTTTACATTATCCTGAAATTATGAATGATGCCAAAGAAGGGACCTTAGAGTTTCAACTAGTTGAAATTATTGATCATTTGGGTAATTCTAAAAGATACAATCCTGCTTCTTCAGACAAAGATGTTAGATTTGATTTTGAATTGAAAAGTGTACCTTCATTTGGCATCACAGATTATGATTCTAGTACCGAGCTTCTCATCAATGGAACCAAGACAATTCAAATCGTGGCTAATCAAAATTTGAAGGATTCAGAATTCCCAATTACAGTCGATATCTCATACACCAATAAGGAAGATGAATTGCTCTCGCACACCATTTCCAAAACATTTAAAAGCTTAACAGACTTAAAACAAGGAATTATTGTCGATAAAGCTGGAAGTTATCGCTTGATTTCTACTAAGAATAGATTCTGCTCCTGTGAAATTTCAAAATCTAATGAAGTTTCTTTCAGTCAGGCATTCCCACCAGAGGTGGGGATTAACGCAGAACCTATTGTCGATAAATGCCTTGGAACTACAGGATATACTTTCGATTTAAGTCTAGTTGGAAGAGCACCATTTCAAGTACAATATACCGTTTATAAGAAGCAGGAAAATGGTGCATTACGCCCAGTTCAATCAGAGCGGGGTACCGTGGCTAGAGTTTTGAGAACTTCGGATAATCATCACACATTCAAGTTTACTCCCACAGCCGAAGGAAATTACGTGATTAAATTCAAAGAATTGAGAGACGCCAACTATATTTCAACAGCTGTTAAGTTAGATGAGGATAAGTACACTTACCTGACATATTTCAATCAAATTTCGAAAGTGTCATTCTTCGAGAATGCCGGAAGGTATATTGAGACTAAGAATATTTGCTCAGGTGAGTCTTTGGAAATTCCTCTTTACTTTACAGGTAATGGGCCTTTCGAGTTTGATGTTGATTTTGTTGACCCTCAAACGAACAAAAAATTAATAAGTTCAGTTAAAGTGAAGGATGCCATGAAATATCTGATTAAATCACCAAAGCAATTAATTGGTAAGAACTATAAGATCAAAGTTTCCAATATTAAGGATAAGTTTACCTGTGATGCTCTTATTGATGAGAGAGAGTCAATAACAGTTAAAAGTAGATCTGATATTCCAGAAGCTCAGATCCAAGTTTCCAGTGAGGTCAAAATAGTTGAAGGAGAATATGCCAATATTCCCTTGGATATCAAGTCTTCCATCGGAAGAACATCGTCAGACAAGCTTGAATATAAGGTTGCTAACCTTTATGACTCTTCAAAAATTACTACTAGAAGCTTAATTGGATCGCTGAACTTGAAAGTGAAGGAAGAAGGTATCTATACCTTAGTCTCGTATGAAAATAGCGGTTGCCCAGGTGTAATCACCAACAAGGAAAGATCTGTGCTTGTTACTTACTATAACAAACCAAACCTTACTGTGTCAAGCGAAAATGTTATGAAGCAACATACAGACGATTCTTTCATTCACTTGAATCCATTGTGTCAAAATTGCGAGAGCCTATTAAAGTTACAATTAGAAGGAGCAAGTCCATTTGTGGTCGATTACGAGATCAAGTTTCCCAACGGCAGATCAGAATCGAAATCTTTGGAAATCAACAAGAATGATGTTACCATTAAACTTCCAACATCACACAGCGGCAGATACGAATACAGATTTGTTGGAGTGTATGATAACTTATACACGAAGAAAACCTATAGAAAGGGAAAGAAGGAATTGCCAAATGTGATGTATGAAATTAATCCTTTGCCCAATGCTAAGTTTGAATCCAGTGAGCAATTCTCGCAAGTATGTGAAACTGCCCTTAACAAGAAGAAAGGACCAATAGTGTCGGTTCCAATGACCCTCAAAGGAAAGTATCCTTATCAATTGAAGGCATCGTTAACTCACGAAGAGACTGGCAAGACTAAGCAAATTCATATCAATGCTTTACAAGAAGCGAAAATTCATCTTGAGTCTGAATACTTTGTTGGTTTGGGTGAACATATCTTGACCATAAACGAATTGACTGATGCAAATGGATGTACAAGAAAGGATTTTTCAACGTTGAATAGTTACGTCATTGTCGTTACTGAGGTTCCTAGTGTTGCAAAGAAGGGTCCAAAGGTTAACTTTTGTGTTGGAGATCATGTTGAATACAACTTAACTGGTATACCACCATTTACTGTCTTCTACAAGTTCAATGACAATGCTAGAAAGGCAGAGCTGTCATTTAACTTCAAGAGATTGGCATCTAAACCTGGTGCTTTAGTCATTGACGGGCTTCAAGATTCATCGACCAGCAAATGTTACGTTGATTTATCTCAATCTCCCGAAGCCCAGGATGAGTTGAGTGTGTATATTCACGACCTTCCCTCGGTTGAAATTAATAAGGGTGATTACATTGTGGAAGATATCCACGAAGGCGACCAAACCGAACTTTACTTCACATTCATAGGTACACCACCTTTCACCTTGACTTACACCAGAACTCTTGAGGTTCCAGCAAAAGGTAACAAGAAGGGTAAGCCTATTGTTGAGAAGCACACCATTGAGAATATTCACGAGTATGAGTATTCCGTATTGGCAAGCTTAGAGGGAACATATGAGGCTGTTGAGGTCAAGGATGCGTTCTGTACGGCCACCAAATACGTATAGGTTATGTAATATAGATAGACAAAATGAGCTAATAGCAGGAAACAAGTAACACGGTATGTAGTCTGGAGTCGGTATGGACAGGCTGCTTCTATATATCTATTAAAGCAGATGAGAGGTACATGCAATTAGGTGGTGTAGTATGAATCATAATTATTCCTTGCGGGACACCAATTCGTTTATGATCTTACTTGCTTCAGACAACGAAACAGCTTTTTCCAGAGTAGTTTTGGGGGTAGAAAAGTCGTCTTGATATGTCTGATTTATCAATTCGGCCAACTTGAAGTCCAATGAGGTAATCTTGTTGCCTTGGTCATGAGTCGTCAACTCTATTTTCACTTTATTATATGTGGTAGTGATTGTAGGATGGTGCTTGAGGGTATGTGCTGGGATCACGATGGAGTTGAGGAATTTCCACGTCTTTGCAAAAGACCCAAACTTGTAGTCTGCCTGCAAGGATAATTGGTTGGGATCAGTGCCTGCTTGGTGCACTTTCCATCGCAAGGCATTTCCGGCGCTGATGTTGAGCTTGTGCACCTGCTCCTCCAAGAGCTTCCCTGTATATGTCTGTATTGTCTTCATGTTATCACCGCCAGGCGAAGGGAGTGTGAGTTCAGGTTGTGGGAAGATAGAACAGTATTCCAATACGGGTGCTACTGTATATGAAGTGGGCTTACCCCGGTGGGTGTAACGGCTCGCGGCATATGTGCAGGAGGTAGGTTTTGGTCCCACCAGATCACAGTACACTTCAGGCCATAGCCGAAACGCACAAACGTCAGCCTGCCTTACCTTCTCCGTTTGGATTGACCCAATATCCCTTGACAGTGGGCTTATAGTGCAGAAGGATAGCTTCCAAGCATGGTATGTGCCTTCTATATCCTATTCTGGCCTGATTCTGATATAGAGTACCCTCACAGTCAAGTGTTGTTGAACCGCAGATACAGAAACGATATACCTGGAGATCAGTCGTTAATACGGAACTTCGAGAATACGTTCAAGAAGCTTCCGAATGAGCAAAAAACCCCGTTTATTGAGAGCAATGGCATAACCTACACCTACATTCGAGGCAATTTCGATATCCTATTGATGGCAGTGTCAGTACGAAATATCAACGCCATGCTGACGATTCTATTTCTCAACCAGTTCTATGGGACCTTATGCCACTACTTATGCTCGGGATCCAATGGGCAGAAACTTGACAAAGACACTGTTAGTGACAATTCAATGTTGATTTTCGACTTGCTAGATGAATGCATGGATTTTGGCGTCATTCAAGTCACCGACTACAACTTGTTAAAGGAGTACATCAAAATAGAGGCCAATCTACCAAAGTTGAAGCAGGGTGCCGAAAAATACTCCTCCGATAGCGAAGACGAATCAGAAACTTCCAAATCGAAATCCAAGTCGAAGAGCCACAAGCACAAGGATATCAAATCCACCCGAAATCAAGCCAATAAATCCGATGTGATGTCTGATGACAATTCCGTGATCAATAGCTCAATTTTGAGGACGTATTCCCTGGCCATAAATTGGCGTCCCAAAGGGATATTTTACGCGAAGAACGAGATTTATATTGACATAATTGAGCACTGTGAATTTCACTATGATATCCAGCTGGAAAAGGTCAAGAAAAACGAAATCCATGGTTCGTGTGCTGTCAAGTGTTATTTATCGGGAATGCCCAATTGCAAAATTGGCTTTAATGAGAAATACATATCCAGTGTTGACAACGAGGATTTCATCGAAAATGAAGAAGAACCAATTGATATGAGTGGTAACCAGCTTGTAATAAAGGATGAAGATGATGATGCAGAAGATGAGCAAGAAACACTAGTTGGAGAAGAAGATCAGGCCAAACGCAAAGATCGTATACCTATCAGGGACATTCAGTTTCATCAATGCATACAATTAGGATCAATTTACAAAGATAATTTGGTTACGTTCACTCCCCCAGATGACAAATTCACACTCATGACATATAATGTTGAACAGCACAAGCAAAAACGAAAGGGAGCATTGATCATGATAAAACCCACTTATAGAATATTGAGCCAGTCTAAAAAGCTCCAAATACTTTGTGTCCTTACTACGAAGTTTAAAAAAAGGCTCCATTGCCGAAATTTACTCGTAAGAATACCAATCAACCCGAATATATTTGACATAACGTCTCTAGACGAGGATGGGTTGAAGTACAAGACGGAAATGGGAGAAGTTAGTTACAAAATCGACAGCTCGGAGCTAGTGTGGTCGATTGATAATATTACTGGGAAAAAAGCGGTGAAGATGATGGCCGAACTTAGTTTGAATTCGGTGACCCAAGCCAACCTACACAATATACAGAACCTGCTCAACCACAGGTTTGAAGAGCAGACACAAAACGAGGAAGATGATGACGATAATATCACCAAGGAGCTCGATACGTTCTATGGGGTGAATGGACAATCTTCCTCACTGGCATCCAAGATCTTGAAAAAGATTACACAAAACAATACTTTCAACAATATCAAAATCACCTTCAACATACCTATGCTATCTTATTCAGGTCTTAAAATTACCTATTTGCGGGTCGATGAAGAGCAGATGAAGTATACATGTTTTCCATGGGTGCGTTACATCACGGAAGCTACCGACAACCAAGTCGATGAACAATCTGGTCGTAACAATGCCAGCCATTGTGATTATCAGTTCAAGTTGGCACCGTCATGCTTTACCCTAATATAGATAGTAATGGTTTATATATACTGCATACACATATAGGGGACTAATCGCATTGTGTGGGGGGTCGTTATCAGGGATACCATGTCCTAATGCGGAACACGATCCCGCGATGCGTTATTATGTCTTATCTTATCTTTTTCAGGAAATGATTAGACAGCTGTTTAAACATGGTTAATTTGCTCTGTTGTCTCTTGCCGTAACCTAGCGTGTATTCAATGGTACTATGGCTACCAAAAGTGTGGCAACCAGAAGCTCTTCAAAATCAACTTCATGTGCCACCAAGCCCAAAATCACAAAAAGTCGTAACGGATGCTTGACATGCAAGAGGAAAAGATTGAAGTGTGACGAAACAAAGCCAGTATGTTTGAACTGTACCAGAAAGAAGATCGAGTGTGGTGGGTATGCCACAAATTTCAAATGGATGTCATATGAGAATGAAGAGGGTCCCGACCCAGAAATAACTTCCAAACCATCCGACAAGTCTCAGCTGCAAAACGACACTTTTCAAAAGCATTTAGAGCTAGCATCTCTCTCTATGACTGGCAAAACACTCGACGACATCAAAATAGAAAATGACCTTATCTCGAAAGGACTTAACCCCAGATCACACCGCAAACACAAACTCAGCGATCCCAAATCAACATTGCCCATGAAGAGAGCACGGAGTCTTTCACAAGAATCCTTGCTGACAGAAAAAGTACTGGCACAGTCATTACAAAGATCATTGAGTAGCAACAGCTGTGTACCGTCGGAACTAAAGTTGATAAAGTCAGAATTTGCTAAGACCAACCATAACTTAGACTCGTTAGCAGAAGCAGCGATTGATGAGATAGAGTCGTCTGGCTCGGGGTCTTTGTCTAAATCGCATTCACCTCTGCATCAAGTGCCATTCTCCCCCAATTTTTCAGAGTTTCTAGTGAAGCACAATTCAGAATTGACGACTACATCAAAATACCCGGAGCCCAACGACGTGAACTTGACTCCGTCTCTTTCTGCTTTGATTAATTTTGCATTTAATGCTGATGATGGGAAGGATGGAGCCTTTGATGTGGAATCTTTGAAATTTAACGGTGAAATCCCCTTGAGCCCCTTAACCTTGGGCCACATGCCATCCAATGATGATATGTCCAAGACCACTAGCTCTGGCAGTCCAAGAACACCAAAAATAAGATTATTAAGCGGCACCAACTCACCTGTTGACAGCATAAATACCCCGTTGACCATGATATTTGACAATGACTCTGCTCGATCATTGTTACGGACTTCAGATCAAGAACAAATCCTCCATTTGTATTCCCTGTACACTTGTACCATCATGTCAATCAAGAACGGAGCAAATGAAAACCCATGGAGGAATATGATTATACCATTGGCAACCAAATATTCCTGCCTATTCAATTCTATAGCATCAATGACCTTATTTCACATGGCAGGAAACAATGAGTTAAGCAATACTCGAAGTTACTTGAGAGCGAAAGGATACACGTATATGAAAAGATGTATTGTTGAGTTGGCTACTGGGTTATCAAGAACTAATGATGATGAAATTTCTCAAGAATTACCTGCTGATATAGCGTTGGCAACTTGTTTAAACCTCGCGGTTGGAGAGTCCTGGGATACCCACATCTCCAGTGGGATTGCCCACTTGAAGGGTGCGAAGAGTATGATCCAGAAAGTATTGAATTTGTTGCGGGAGCAACAGGCATTCTTATCAAAAAAGAGAAAGGAATTGAATAGCAGTCCAACTGCATCAGATTCGGATTACACCGAGATGATCGATAACAAGAAGAAGGACTTGCAAAAGAAATTAATTTTGTTGGACAATCTGGAATGGGATAGAATGGTCCAAGAATCGGACGACTCGGAGTCGGCAGACGAATTACGCTACAAGGACAAGAGTCACGCGGTTGCAATTCCAAAGAGTTTGCAATTCTTATTCAATATCTGGATTTATTTTGAGGTACTTGCCCAAATGACCACTGATAACAATAATGACGACAAGGGTATTGATTTGGTTGCAACAATTACCAGCATGTTGCAAAATTCCAGAAACAAGGAGAAGCAGTCCAGGCGAATAAGGCTGGTCTATAGTGAGACAGGCAGTGTTTCTGAAGATGGATCTCCAGGAAACCGGTCAGACTCTAGTGAACTGAGTTTCGGGGGTGGAGACAGGGATAGTCGTAGTGGCTTCAACTTGTTCGATAACTTGGATACATTCAACTACAACAACGAATATGTCGATCCGCTCTTGGGGTGTGCCCAGTCGCTCTTTCTGCTCATGGGCAAGGTGGCAACCTTGATAGCCAAGATCAGAAAGAAGGGCTCCGACAAGACCCGCAATTCCTTGACAATCATCACGGTTGCAGCCGAGCTCAAACACCAGTTGATTGAATGGAAACCCACCATTACGCCAACCATGTTGAAACAAGCCAATTCCGGAGGAATGTGCGATGATAGCAGCTCAGGAAACACCTGGGATATTTCCTCGTGCATCACCACTGCTGAAGCGTACCGTTTTGCAACCTTGCTCTATTTGCACCAGGCGGTTCCGGAAATTCCTTCACTTTCGTCACACCAGTTGGCAGAGAAAATCTTCATATTACTCGCAGCCATTCCTACAACCTCCCACTTGTATGTGGTGCATATCTTTCCATTATTGGTGGGCTCGTGTGAAGCTGAACCTGGCGAGGAGAGAGAATGGTGCGAGGCCAGATGGGCACACTTATCTCAAAGAATGTGGATTGGGAATATCGACAGGGCGTTCGAAGTGGTGAAGGAGGTGTGGCGACGCAAGGATGAGTATCTTCATAGAAAGCGCAGAAGCATGGATGCTAGCGACTTGAAGGTCAACGTCAGTAATGATGAACAGGACGGAAAATTGCGAAACATATCAGCACAAATTAGCGGGCTTATGGCTGCGGTACATAGTAACCAAAATTCGTCGGTCGAGGATATCCTTGGCGGCATCTCGTCACCCTTGCACTGGAACACTGTGATGAAGGAATGGGGCTGGGAGGTCCTCTTAGGATAGGTAGCATAGCAATAAAATATCTGACACATACAATAGGCCAGCATGGCACGTGACTCCACCCCAATTAGGAGAAAGCTCTGGAGTTGCAACTTCTTTATCACCACCATGTTTTCCATGAGACAGCGCTTGGCGCGTACAATCGTCGGCAGGAGATTCGTGTCCTTGAAGTCAGACCCCTTTGGAATCTCGGGCCTGTTGCCTGAAACTAATGAGATGTTCCCACCACCCAGTCTCATTTCGTTTGACGCTTTTGGTACGCTCTATGTGCCTAAGAAGCCTATTGCCGAACAGTACGCCGAGATTGCCCACAGCTACGGCATTGATTTGCCCGTGGAGACAATCTCGAGCCGGTTTGGCAAGATCCATGCTGAATTGCTCGAGCGGTTCCCCAACTATGGCAAGAACTCCAGCGAGATCACGTCGTCGGAAGACTGGTGGAAACAGTTGGTACTACAAGTGTTTGAACTCGACGCCAACAAGAGCCACGAGCTTTGTCAGGCGTTGGTCGACCACTTCACGGGGCCTGGCGCCTACACTGTGTTCGACGACGTAGAACCTGCTCTCCAGGCCCTCAAAAAGCGGGGAGTCAACATGGTTGTGCTGAGCAACTCCGACTCGCGAGTGGTGGCCATTCTCAAGAACTTGGGGCTCTCTCAATACTTCTCCAACGTGTACGTGTCGTACGAGCTCGGGGCGGAAAAGCCCAACAAGAAGTTCTTCGACGCTGTGGCCCGGAAACAGGGCCAGACCATTGACAAGTACGAGAGGATGTGGCACGTTGGCGACCACCGTGACAAGGACTTCATTGGTGCCATCCGTGCCGGGTGGAACGGGGTGTTGTTAGACCGGCACAGAGCCAGCGGCTACTTTGGGCCTCAGGCTGCCAGGCAGGAGGCGCTGATCTCTTGTCTGCTCGCCAGCCATGCCCCCACCCACGCATACGATAAAGTGATTGTGGCCAACAACAGGGTAGTGCTCACGTCCTTAACGCAGTTGGTGGAGTTGTACGAGTTTTAGCGTGAGCTCGAGCATGGATTACATCCATCATGAGTTGAGATGGGTTAGTACTGACCATCAGCAATGGATTTACTTTTCTGGCAGTCGTCGTTAACTACAACACTCAGTAATGGTTCATTTGCTTTCCTGGTAGTCCCCCTTCTGTGATGTTATGCAGATGCACTCGATTACGGAGCTCAAACATACATGTTCACTGCTACCCATCAATAGTTCCCTATTATTGTCCCATGTTGCGTCCTCTCTGTTATTGAATCTCCCCAGCAAATCCACCCACTACATAGACGGCCTTGGCGCCTAAACCTCCAGCCATTCCCGTGCCACCTACTTGGCGTCACCACCACCGTAGATCTCTTGCCATTCCCCACCACATCGGGTGGCTCTACGCAGGCACCAGTTCTAAACTTAGTCTCCCGCACGCAGAAATGTAAACAGGAGGCACAGTTAAACGTGATAGAAGGCTACGCATCTTCTACAAATTAAACCCTAGCTCGTTTATCAAACTAGACAGATTCCAGACGATGAGGTTTAACTTAGCCAATACTGTCGCTGGCTTGTGGGCGCTAGGCGCCGTCAGTGCCGTCGAATTAGATATCAACGATAAAGATTCCATCTGTGCAGCAGCAAAAGTCATAATGGATGGTGAGTTGAACTACTACGAAGGAACCAAGAAGGGAGGAGTGGTCGGCATGTTCGCTCCCCCAAACTACTGGTGGAATGCTGGTGAAGCATTTGGTGGCTTGGTCGATTACTATACCTTCTGTGACTCAGGCAACCTGTCCTTGGAGAAATTGATCTTGGACGGGATGTTCCATCAGGCAGGTGAGAACTTCAACTATATCCCCTCCAACCAGTCGATGACTGAGGGTAATGACGATCAGGGTGTTTGGGGCTTGGCCACTCTTCAGGCTCTTGAGAGAAACTTCACCGAACCAGAAAACCACAGTTGGTTGTCATTGTCCCAGGCAATCTACAACACCATCAACGCTAGATGGGACATGGAAGAGTGTGGAGGTGGTTTGAGATGGCAGATCTTCACCTGGAACTCAGGCTACAACTACAAGAACTCCATTTCCAACGGATGTTTGTTCAACTTGGCTGCCCGTCTTGCAAGATACACCGGAAACGACACCTATGTGGCGACCGCAGAAAAGGTATGGGACTGGATGGTTGAAGCTGGATTCATGGTGGAAATCGATGGCCAGGCCGAGATTTACGATGGTGCTCAAATCACCAATAACTGCTCTGAATTCACAAAGACTAAGTGGTCTTACACCTACGGTGTTTTCATGTCAGGAGCAGCCTACTTATACAACTTCACTGGTGACGACAAATGGTTGACAAGAACCGAGGAACTTGTCAAGTCCAGTGGCTATTTCTTTAACAACTCCATCATGTTTGAAAGATCCTGTGCAGTGGGTAACCATTGCAATAATGATCAAAGATCTTTCCGTTCGTTATTTTCCCGTCTTTTGGCCTTGACTGGGGTTATTGCTCCTACCACCAGATCCGACATGCTTGAAAATATCCAAAAGAGTGCTGCTGCCGCTGCCCAGTCTTGTTCGGGTGGTTCTGACGGTGTTACCTGTGGTGAGAACTGGTCTGTCACTGGTTGGGACGGAATATTCGGGTTGGGCGAGCAGATGTCAGCATTAGAAACAGTACAAGCCCTATTGGTTTTGGCCCACGACGTCCCACTCCCTCTTTCCGTGGACACTGGAGGAACCTCCAAGAGTGACCCCAATGCCGGTATCAACGATAGTATTCAAACTAATAAGAACTTGATCAATGTCAAAGGAAAAGACAAGGCCGGTGCCGGCTTCTTGACTGCCATTGCATTGGCCATCATTTTGGCGGGTGCTGTCTGGATGGTTTTGTAGCCAGGCTCCCCTGTATAGTTATACACCATAATCTCAGTAAACGTATATGTCACGTGAAGCTGCTTAGCCGCGATGCACTGTATTTAACCAGCAACTTATCTACTGATAACGAAACGCTTCACCCTTCACAATGGTGTTATTCGAATCGATAAACAAGCTCACCAACCCCCGCATCCTAGCGGGTGGTAGAAGAAGACATTTGTTCATCCCTCCATCCACACAAACCCCGCTTTTCAGCTATGGAGAGGGCGAGGACCAGAGGTCGTTTCTCTCGTTAATTGAATCTGGTTCCGTGATAGCAGACCAGGAAGACGACGTTAGTGATGCCGCCAGTGTAAGCACTTCGAGGTCGCTTCCTTCCACTTTAAACTCGGTACACACAAACGAAGACCAGGAGTCGTTCCACAGCTGGTTGCTTGAAACCCACCAGAGAAGATACAACTCGGAGTCCGAGAACAACAGCGAAGGCTCGGCATCCTTGAACGACCTCGCATCATCACAGCATACTTCTGGCTCCTTATCGAGCTCCTTCAACGAATGGGAAGATTTTGAGAACTTAAAGACAAACTACATCATTGAGTCCAAAGTGTTACTTAAATACTCCATACCCTTGGTCATTACCTTCGTATTGGAACATTTCTTCTCGATTGTCTGCTTGTTGGTAGTAGGGCATTTGGGTAAGAACGCATTGGCTGCCGTATCCTTGGGCACCATGCTCTCGACTATTACATTCGCAATCTTTGAGGGCATTGCCACAGCCTTGGACACGTTGTGTCCACAAGCATATGGGGCTGGAAACTATGATTTGATGAGTCTTACGGTCCAGAGGTGTACTGTGTTCTCGTGGGTTATTTTCATCCCCTGTGGATTATTGTGGTGGTTTTCGTCTTTCTACTTGAAGTACATTATAGACAATGAAGAGGTGTTGGAATTGACTTCCATCTTCTTGAAAATCTTGATTGCTGGAGCTCCTGGTTACATCTTCTTTGAGAATGCCAAAAGATTTCTTCAAGCGCAGGGTATTTTTGAGGCAGGAACAGGAGTTTTGATCCTCACGGCACCCATCAACATCTTCCTTTCGTGGTTTCTTGTATGGAATGAAACGTTTGGAATTGGGTACATTGGCGCGCCAATCGCAACAGTGATCAACTTCTGGCTCATGGCTATCTTCTTGGTTCTCTATGTCCGGTATATTGACGGGGACAAGTGCTGGTTTGGAATTGCGCCCACATCCAGTCTTTTTGAGGAGTGGAAAGAGTTATCCCACTTGGCCATCCCGGGTATTGTTATGTTGGAATCAGAATATTTGGCATATGAGATCATGACCTTGTTTGCGTCCTATTTCGGGACCACCGAACTTGCTGCCCAAAGCACGGTATCCAGTATTGCGTCCTTGACGTACATGGTTCCGTTTGCTGTGAGTATTGCCTCATCCACAAGAATTGCCAATTTTATTGGAGGCCAAAACATCCATGCTGCGAAGTGTGCCACCAACACCGGGCTATTTGCGGCATTAATCGTTGCGTCGTGTAACTGCTTGGTATTATTTACGTTCAAGCAAGAAATCGCTCAACTCTTCAGTTCCGACGAGGAAGTCACTGCCCTTATTGTGCAACTTTTCAACCCATTAGTGTCTATCATTCAAATCTTTGACGGAATTGCCTCGGTTGCGGGAGGCATTTTGAGGGCTCAGGGGTCCCAGAAAATAGGAGGCATTATCAATTTCGTTGCTTACTATGCATTTGCACTTCCGCTTGCCATGCTTCTCAGCAAGGTAGGAAACCTTGGCCTCGAGGGATTGTGGCTAGGTGTTGGCAGTGGAATGATTTTGATAGGACTCAGTGAGACAGTAGTGATCTTGTCCAGTGACTGGGACCACATCATGCTCAAAGCCGGTCTCCGTAACGAGATCTCGGATGAAGAATCAATCTGATCTCTCCGCAAGAAACCTAGATATAGAATACACAAAATCACCGTTTTATGGCAGTTTAATCCCGCTGAGTACATATCTCGAAGAAGCGACAATAACCAGGCACGCCAGAATAGCCCGCATTGGTTTCTAGTGACACAAAATGCATTCCTTATCATGAAATATTTTGAGCGAGTGAATGCGAAAGATAACTGGATCTAGTTAAGTTTAGAAAAGGTCGTGGGGCGTTATCGATGTAGTTCTGATAACGTCGATTTGGCCTGCCGGTGAATGTACTACTATTTAAGCTTCGGGTGCCCAATATTAGTTTCAATTTCTCAAATTCTCCTACCACTCACCCTACCTGACCACTATGTCCCAGTCTTCTAAAGAAAAGTCCAAGTATGAGGTCCACTCGGTGGAGAGCATGGGCTTTGGAGATATAAATCACTACGTGTCTAATGGTAGAGACGGTCAAATTAATCTTGACGAACTAGCTCGTGCTAACAATAAAAAAGCCGGATTCATTTTGGAAGAAGCCCAGGCCAACTTGGAGTTGGCCGCAGAAACTGGGTATAAACCAGAATTACGCCGTAACTTCAGTGTGCTCTCGCTTTTAGGAGTGGGTTTTGGACTCACCAACTCGTGGTTTGGAATATCGGCCGCCTTGACTACCGGAATCAGCAGTGGAGGCCCCATGATGATTGTTTACGGAATTATTATTGTTGCCTGTATCTCCATGTGCATTGCCATTACTTTGAGTGAGCTTGTCAGTAGTATGCCCAATGCTGGTGGTCAATATTACTGGACCATGAAGTTGGCTCCAAAAAAGTACGCTCCATTCGCTTCTTATATGTGCGGAGCATTTGCTTGGGCAGGTTCGGTCTTCACCAGTGCTTCAGTGACCATCTCTATGGCTACGTCGCTTGTTGGTATGTATGCCTTAGCACATCCAGGCTTTGTGGTTCAAAGATGGCATGTGTTCATTGCTTATCAGTTGAGTAATTTATTCTTATTGATGTTCAACATCTACGAAAAGCCCTTACCGGCGTTGTCAAAGGGAGCATTGTACATCTCCTTGTTATCATTCGTGGTCATCACCATCACTATCCTTGTCAAAGCTAGTGGCAACTACCAGAGTGCCCACTTCGTGTTTGTTGAATTTAATAACAACACTGGTTGGTCTTCCTCAGGTATTGCATTTATTGTCGGTTTAATTAACCCCAACTGGTCCTTTAGTTGCTTGGACGCAGCAACTCACCTTAGTGAAGAATTATTGGAGCCTAGAAGACAAATTCCGATCGCTATTATTGGCACTGTAATCATAGGATTGGTGACTTCTTTGGTTTATTCGATCGCAATGTTCTTCTCCATCAAGAATTTGGATGCGATCTTGACTTCTACCACAGGCGTTCCAATTTTGGATATCTTCTATCAAGTTTTAGGCTCAAGGGCCGGGGCAATTGTGTTAGAGTCGTTGGTGTTCCTCACCGCTCTCACCTGTAACGTTGCATCCCACACCTGGCAAGCAAGATTATGTTGGTCATTCGCTAGAGACAATGGACTACCAGGTTCCAGGTATTGGTCTAAGGTGAACCCCAAGACAGGGCAGCCTATTAATGCCCACTTCATGTCCTGTGCTTGGTGTGCCGTTATTGGGTGTATCTACATGGGTTCCACGACGGCATACAATGCCATGGTTATTGGTTGCATTATCTTTTTGCTCCTTTCGTACAGTGTTCCAACTGTATTTTTATTGCTTAAGGGAAGAGACAACATAAAACACGGGCCTTTCTGGATGGGGAAAATTGGATTATTCTCGAATTATGTGGTGCTCATTTGGACTCTTTTCACTCTTGTGTTCTACAGTTTTCCCCCAGTTATGCCGGTCACTGCTGGTAACATGAATTATGTTTCAGTAGTTATTGGTGTTTTTGGAGTATACTGTGTGATTTACTGGTTCGCCAGGGGAAGAAGCAAGTACACTACAATAGAAGTTAGAGAACAAGGCATTGAGGCTTTAACAACAAATCTCTCCAGGCAAATCACTAATGTCGAAATGATTTTAAGCAATATAGCAAGTAGAAAATAAAACTCCTCCGGTAGGCTGCAATATACATCACTTTTCACACCCGTAAGGCCATACTAAGATTCGATTACCAACTGAAGTGACCACATTTGTCTCATTATTTCTTTATATTCATACAATTTGTTCAGATTACTGCAAATTTAAAAAAGATAACTAACGAACTATTATTCAAATTTGTTGTCATCATCATTCATTATTCTGAACCTTTCCTAACTAAGTGGCTCGTTAGATTCTTCTTTCCCGAACATCATGAATAGCCGTTGCAATTTGGAATCAAATACATTGACCTTTTCATTATATTCCACTCTGTTCTGCTCAATACTTCTTAATCCCTGGATCACATCATCGGATAATGAATAAACCAATCCACCATGTAGATAGTATGGGTGCAAAAATAGCTTATTTGACAACTCATCTGGAATTTCCGACCAGCTTCGTTCCAAGATGATGTTCGTTTTGAGCAGATATGACTTGACGACCAACTCCTGGTTGGTCCTTTCAACTCCCCCATTATATGTCAAAACTGGTTTGCTAGTTAAATTTGTCCAAATGGCTTTTTCCAATGGGGATTTGGTTGCAAAGTTTAGAAAGTTCGAACCATGATAGCTACTTGCAAAGTGATAATTGACTGGGGGCTCTTCAATATACCTCAAACTAAATTCATCCTGATAGTACTCTATCAAGCTCATGAAATTAGATTCAAGATTGGAAGGTAAATACTCCAGAACCAGGCCTCTGATTTTTGGTTTGCTCCTCGAGCTATTACTGAAAAACGATTTGAATACAGCACCATAAGTCTCAAAAGATTCGTTATGAACTTTGAATACACTTTTGAAATCAATAATATGAGGGGAATAAATGTTGTAGTTCAAACATTCATAGTTATCGACATCTAGATTTTGTATCAAAAATTCCTCTACTGATCCAGCAATACTGTATGGTAACTCAAACAAAAATTCTACTCGGACTGTATGATACCCTCGAAATCTATACCTTAAACACTCGATGACAATCTCACCCGAAGGATAGTAATCTTGATAGGCAGTGGTACCGAACATTACTCCGGGCTTTCGGCTATAGCCACTTATTCCGTCTTCAGCATCTGATAGTGTCAAGACAAAGCAAAATGATTTATGCACATAAGCTCCGTTGGTGTCCTCATTCAACTTTTGCACCCATGGTCCGTATTTGAGAACGATATCGTTTAACTTGAAGTCTTGTACTTGGTAAAAATTGGTATTATTTCGCCTGCATAAATTCAAGTATGCTTCCGTGGTGTGAATCTTGTGCTCTGGTGCCGGCGATCTTGGTAAGTCAATTGGATGTGAAGGTATCAATACCAGATTCAGTGCCAAAGACATTAGTCTCATTTTAGTCTGGGCCATTTTGGGTCAAAAACACCCCTGACAAAGGTACACTTATATACTGTGCCACACACATGTGCTATATTGAATAGGGAGTTAATATCTGATTCGGTGTAGTTGTTGGCCGTTATTGTCAACACGATTTTTAAAATTGGGGTTGCGATGCAGGTGTCAATGCCACCGCTATCTCCGAAATGTGGAGCCTATTGTGCCAACGGCCTACATGAAGGTGCGAGAATTATTCCTCTTTGTTAATCGATTATCTACATTGGTTCATCTTGATTCATAGATCTATCTGCCTCGATTATGTACCTGAAACGAGCTAGCTTTTGCTGGATAACTCGTGTCTCCCTTTTGCCCCCCTTTCCTCCTATGCTCAGGCTACATTCGCCGTGGACTGATAAGCTGATTGCTCAGGGTCCAACATTTTAGTTACATATCACGGAGGACACAAATGCCAAATTAGACTAGGTTGCATTTACGAAACGACCCAACATGATATTTTGAATGACCAGTAATAGGGTTGAACGGGCTCAGTGCAGCAGCGCCTCAAAAATACTACAGATGTGGTTAGCTTTTAAATAATCATGGGGCATTACCGTAAATCTTGTGGGAATTTGGGGGGTCACATAATGAAAGGGTATGACTTGCTTTATCAAAAGGCTTAGTAGCCATCTTTCAATGTCCTGTAGTGGTAATTGAGGCCGCTGGCTCCGTGCTGCTTTCGTAAGTCGTGGTTCGATAGAGATTGGCACCATCTACGAAGCAGTAGCATCTTGGTAAAGTTGGCCCCTGCATCATCCTGGTTGTGAGGCGTTACAGATAGCGGTGTCAGCGCAAACCTGTAGCATATTATGTATCATCTACAGATAATATTTAATGCGCAACCAGGCGATAACCTTAAATTTGACACTAAATATGAAACAGAATGCGGCCTATAAGCAAGAGGTCAATCACACAATAATTTGAACCAACATAAATCTAGACTGACACATACTAGACCTTACAATTTGTCGTTCAAGAACTTAGCAACTCTGTAAAGTCCGAAGTACTTTTCTTGGTCAACATCCTTTAACGTTCTCTTCTTCTTTTTGATTTCACTGAATAATGAATCCTCGAAGAAAAAGCAAGAGTCGTGGACACCCCAAGGTTCGACGTAGATTCTGACACTAGCTCCTTCAGAGCCCCCCTCTCTATGGTATGAGTGGGTTTTGGGGTCAAAAAAGTTGCCAAAGTGGCCGTATTTATGTTGAGAACGAAGTGGAACCCCCAAAGCGTAGTCACACCATTCTAAAATATCATCTCTAAAGGCTTCATCCTCACCAAGAAGAACAAAGATATCAGAATCTGGGTTTGCAAATGTGGGGATGCTGTTCCAATCAGATCTTACTTGGGGAATCTTGTTGCTTGGAGACATAAGTAACGAGTTGAGTGAATTGTCACCTACGACATGCTTGAGATGGTTCATGTCGTAGTATTGAATAATATCTCTACCGTCATTGTCGTAGAACGAATTTCCTGGTGTGAATTGACTCTCACTTGGTAAGATCTTGACCCATGGACTGATGAGAACCAACTTCGATGGGTATGGCTTATTTGGAATGTTCTCGAGTTTCAACTTTTGCGAATAGGTGAGTGCCAAATGCCCGCCAGCAGAATCACCCATCAAGATAATATTGGAGCATCCCTTACTGAGCTCAGTGTAGGAAGAGTCAAGTTCATTCAATTGGGTAGGTAAAGTGAAACCATGGCAAGCCAAGCTATAGTCCAAGAGTAATATGGACAAATTTTTGCGTTTCTCGGGATCCAACAATTGATGGATGGCCATGACTCCAGTCACCTGAGAAGGAGCTGTTTGAATGTAATACCCTCCGCCATGAAGGTATATCAAAACTGGGTCTGAAGGCTTTCTGTCTGGCTTCTCGTAGATCCAAATAGATTTGGGGTCGAACTGCTTACCGTAGTTATTGTACTTGCTGGTGATTTGTTTGTGTGCCAATGGAATAACGGAATTGATCAAGGTCTTGTTCTTCAAGAACGATATGAACCTACCATCAGGGATTGGCAAAGAAATGCCCCACCTGTAAATAACCATCTTGATTGTAGCCACAAAGCGATTCTTCAATTTTCTGTAAGGGCTTCCAATAACAAAGTATCTAAGGATATAGTAAATCAACTCAGGCGTAAGCCTGAGCATGAGCAAAGATCCTCTTACTGAAACCATTGGGCACTATGCTTCAAGATTGACGTCTTCAGCACTATATATATATGGAACCATGTGCACTTCTAAAAATTTCAGATGCTTCTATCGCCCCGCAGATGAAGACCCCGCGTTTGCAACAAAGTATAGAGTCCAAGGCATTCGGGAAATGCATGCGCTGTTTGTATCAGGTAATCAAACCAAGCGGAATTAGCTTCAACAAGTATAGCTTATTTCCAGGCTGTGGTTCTTGACAATAGTTGTTAATTGTGCACGTATAGAGTAAAATGTACGCGGAAATATCAAGTCATAAAGATTGTTCGTACCTTGCATCACGCACTTCTAGGGATAATTCCGTTTGCCTCAAAAGATGGATTGAAGACAAGAAGAAGCTGTGGGTAGATTCAAATTCAATTGCAATTAATGAGGCAACCCTTTGGGTAGAATCATTGGCTATTGTGAACTCTTCTCTGGTTGTGGATTCATGTGGTCTATACTGAATAATTTGATCTCGTAGATTGCCCAATAATTGAACGAAATGTATTAAAAGTTACTCAAATTTCTATCAAAAGCAACAAGCAAGTGAAAATAGTATGGGGGTTAGGTAACAATCACAGAACAGATATGTCAAGAAATTAACTACTTAATAGACATTTTTTTAGATTTTTATTAAATTTAAACGAAAACGCATGGCGCAACTATATTCGCTTACAGAGGTAGTAACTTACATCCTAGTCTTGCCGGTACGAAAATCTGTACAGGTAGCCTAGGATCATTCATGAACGGAAAACTCTTATGATTCAGCTTATGTGCTCTCAGTACATTTCTCTTTTGTGTAACTCTTCATAATCGCATTGGCAAAAAAGTTGAAAATACTATCAACACAGCACTCGCGAACGGATACACAATCAATCTCGAAATTTTACTACAATCTTTAAGCATGACTGTCGAGAGTAAGTACTACAATGTTGAGGCCAACAGGTGGTGATTGGAAATCTCTATGATCAAGCGTACTAACTTTTAGACCGGTTTGAGAATACTCTTTCTGACATCTTCACAGTTTACGAACACGCTGATAAAGAGTCATCAGTTTTAACTACAGAAGTATTGCCTAGCAAATTCCTTGAAAATGATCCTGCTTCTATTTTGACCTCACTCAAATCATATATTGATGGAAACAAGAATTACACGAAGACTACTATTTTAAAGAAGTACAACCAAGGTGAGTATACCGGATCCCCATACAAGCTCTACCACGATGTAAAGATCGTATCGTCCTCATTGATTTCACAACATAAGGTTGGAACCAAGGAATACAAGAATATTGATTTCTTCTACAAGTTCAGTACCGAGATCCTTTTGAGAGAAGTTAGCAGAATTCACTTATCAATTTTTAATGAACATGTGGAATCAACAGAGTTAGAAAGTCACTTGAAGCAAGATTACACTAAGATCTCCAATACATATAGCTTGACCAATGGAGAAGTGATCACCTACGTTTCTAAGCCCGAAGAACCTGAGCCAACCTCAACCCCATACTCCAACATCTACGCGAATCCAGTCCATGTTCAACCTCCAAAACAGAACAGCATTCCTTTGTTTTCATCGTTATTGGGCAAGTCGGAAGTTGACACCAACCCAACTTATGTTCCCGATCCTTATTCTATCTCCAAGGTAGTACCAAATAGGATATCTCTGTCCAGAGCATGTCTCACATTTGATTCCTTGTCTCCTGCTCTTCCAAAGTTTTTGGCTGGCTCCGAGAATAGTCAAACTGAAATTTTACATGATTTCTTTCACCCCTTGTGGTATACCATCCCCGTCCCCACTTGGTTGGACTATAAGGCCGATTTGATTAAGCCTCCTACTGCTTTACCCATCCAAAATGTTGCTGTATCTGCACCAACTTCCTCCGCAATTAACGAAAAAGGTACTTCCATAAAACCAACATTGGCAGTCTTACAACAAAGAGGTAGTGGTTCAGATCCGGCATCTACAGTGGCAACATTAATTCAAGGACCAGGAGATTCATTCAGATCTTTCGCCCCTAATGTAGATCTGAAAGATGCTATTGTTACTGAAGAGTTGAAAGGAAAAATATGGCTCCATCATTTAGGATTCGCCGAAATTGACCAATTCAGAGCAAAGTACGAAAAGAAAGTAGATGTTGCATCTGGAGTCAGCAAATCAGAAGAAGAAGAATCTAAACTGGTACAGAAGCCAATCGATAAAAAGGAAGAAGTGAAGGACGAAGATCCAATGGAAGTTACAGATGAGGTTACAGATGAGATCAACGTGAAGAACTTGGTTCAATGGGACCCAGAACAAATAGAAGTCTTGAAGTTCTTGAGAAGAGAAAAAGCTTCCATCACCGAATCTCCAAAAGCCTTGCAAAGGTTGATCTCCACTCTCACATTAAAGTTAAATAAATTGCGTCAAGAGAGATTCCTCCATGCTGATGCCAAGAGCCAGTCCTTGCCTTCTTCCGAAGAAATAACAACCTACAGAAAAATAGAGAAATTGGTCACAATTGCTATCAAGTTGTATAATGTGTCTCCTGGCGATTTTCCATATCAGTTCAGCAAAAAGTTACCTGTTTTAACAACCGAATACACCGGTGTCTTGCCTGGGATTTCACAAAGCAAAATTCAACCCATGATGCCTTCCAACGTCAACAGAAGATTGCCAAGTATAAGAGGTCCTTACAAGAAGAAAAACAGGTTCTAGAAATATTCCGTCATTTCATGGCTTTTGTAATCTATCGTGTATTTTTAATAAAACTATAATCAGATATCAGCACCATTTGCGAATGCATATATCAAGTAGAAGTTCAAAAAGGTGATCAACAGCCATGTAGCAATACTGGCGTTTCTGAGGAAAACACCATTCTCAAAAGTGAACTTTCTAACTCTTACTTCTTGCGTACCGTCTTCGGACAGTTCACTATGCAACAACAAGCTTGACTCTTCATTGGTGTTTGTGGTAGTGTCATAGACAGTCATATACTCCTTTCTACTAGTAAACCAAATCAATGGCGCACTGACGATCGGTAAAATGAAACTCAACACCACCTGGGAAGAATTCATAATCTTTGATACTCCTTCTCTCCCTAATACCATTATAACAATTAAAACTGGAATTATGGCCAAAGTTCTGGTGACAATTCTGCGAATCCAAGGTTTGATAGTCCAATTTATAAAGCCTTCACTAATAATTTGACCAGCCATGGTACATACAATACCAGCACTCTGACCCGAAAACAACATGGACAATGCAAACACCAAGCCGGCAGCTGGAGAAATGTAGTAGGATAACATTTCATAGATAGACAATAAGTCCGCTTCTTCAGCATCTGGTTTGCCAAAGAGTGTGGAGCCTGCAACGATCAAAATTGCTGAATTAACGAAGACGGCCACAATAAAAAGGGACAAAATGAGCTCAATATATGAATAATTAAGACAATATTTGATAGCCTGATAAGAGGGCCTATATTTCGTCCTCAAATTTGAGCCATCAGAAATGCTTTGAAATTTGTGCAAAGTTGCCGTCAAGTTATTATCTTGGTCAACTTCCTCTTCCGTAGCTTCATCTTCAACTGGTTCTTGAATATTACCAATTTTGACATCATAATCCTTCAATCTTGGTTGAACCAAGGCGGATCCCAAGAAAAGTGAGTGTGGCATAACCGTACTACCAACGATCCCGCAAGATAAGAACAATGCATTCAGCTCTTTGAAAATTTCTTTGTTGATTGGGAGGAAACCCTCAATAATAGCCAAGAACGAACCTGGTGGGAAATCACACTTGAACAATTCTAAAACAAAGCAGATGCACGTACAGAAGACTAAAATTGACACCAAGAATTCGAAAACCTTGGTTTGTTTTAAACTGCCATCTTTATGGTACGCGAAAAGGATGATCAAAACGTCAAGAATAGTGATCAAAACACCGTAAGCTAATGGAATTCCAAACAAGATTTCCAAGGCGATGGCAGTTCCCACCACCTCGGCCAAATCAGTTGCAATAATTGCCAATTCGGCGCAGGCATATAGGGTGAGGTTCAATTGATAAGGCAAATGTAACCTGCACATTTCTGCCAAGTCTAACCCTGTGATAGTACCAAGCTTAACACACAATGATTGCAAAATCACGGCAAAAATGTTGGACATGAATATCAGAAAGCACAATTTGTACTGATACAGAGCACCAGACGAGACTGAAGTCAGGTAATTGCCCGGATCCATGTAGCTAACACTAACCACCAAGCCAGGGCCAATGAAGGCTGCATATTTCTTTAAGACCTTGGATACCCGTAGGGCATACCGGTTCGACAGAATAGCACTGAACATGAAAATGATAGACTATGGAGTATTCTGGAGTTGAGGCATTTGGAGTCCCCGGGCTGTATACAGGCACTCACTAAGCGAGGCACGTGACCGGTAACCATTTTCAATTGTTCTAGCTGTAGCGAATGAAATCCACTTCTGTCAATATCATGGTCTCCGTACGAATTGGTGGGCAGTTGGCGAAGATACCGCGGCATTCGATCTGGAGGTACGGTCTTGTTGCTCGCTTCAAGTCGTCTATCTCAATTGAACCCGTAATTAATGAAGTACCCTATGCAACAGTTGAGGAGAAAACGCTGTCCTCGAGAGTCTCAAACCCGGAAGCTTTGATTGCAGAGCTTGAAAAATATACCAAATACTTCCCAAAAGACAGATTAACAAATGGCCAGATACAGTCCTATAAATATCTAGTGAGAGGTTCAAACGATCACCAAACAATCAGAGTTGGAATAATTTATGCTGACCAGGCGGCTAGATCACGCTCGAAAGTGGTAGAAAGTTTGCTTGCAGACCCTTTGGCGCTGGAGAATCAAGTTTGGTACGATCCTGTCAAGTCCAGATCCAGGAGCAGAATAAATAAATTTGTGTCTCTTGACAGCCTTGGCGAGAATCAAGAAAAGGGCGAAGATCTATACGGGGTGCAATCTCCATTGTTAAATGCTGCCATCAGACCTTCCTTTTCAGAATCGCTTCAGCTGATAAGATCATATGATGACAGTAATATTGTCTTGACAGAGATCCAGGAGTTGGACCAATTAAATGCATCCGAGTATCACTATTTAATCAATGTTGCTACAGAACTTGAGCAGCTCATTTCGTCTCCTTACCCAAAGGATATACAAAGTAAAATCTTGTTAAACATAATTGACAACACAGAATATTCTCCATTCTCATCTGAGAGCACTCCTGTGACATTTGATACAGTCAATGTTCAGTCACATACAATCAAAATCGATTCAAATCTTGTTTACAATGGGATTGAGGAGTTCTTAAAGTTTGATACCAAAGCTGGCACTGTGTATATCGACTCCATTCAGAATAGTAATATTTTGGAACTCTATAAAGCAATTGTTTGGTACCTGAAAACCCATACGTTGACGCAATGGTTATTGCATGGAATCAAATTTCAAGTCAAAGGTTCAATAGAGAATAACGAAAATTTGCGTATCGATCTTGCAGGAATCAAAGATCAGGAAATCAATAGATATAGCCAGCTTGTGCATCTGGAATTACAAGATCACTTGATCCCTGATACCAGATCTTTTTTCAAGAAGAATTTAGCTTGGTGGAAGCTCTACTATAAGAACGATAATGTGGAATATGATCTCAAAGATTTCTTCAATAAATCCTTCATGAATAATAGCATTGAGAAATATAACTACTTGAGAGGACATATCGTTTCTCAGCTACAAAACCAAAGCTTTGCAAATTATAGTTCAGAGAAGGAGAAATCCAATCCCTTGTTTGAAATGAAGTACCAATTGATAAACCAGAGACTTTCAACCGAAATTCAACCTCATGTATATAAAATTTTGGGAAAGGCGTTTACATTGTATCAGTTACCAATTTCCGTCATATCATTCCTTTCTTACCAATATTTCGACTTTTCATCGAATGCTGCTTTTGCTCTTGGATTATTAGGCTGGGTAGTTGGATTTAATCAAGTTTCCAAAGCATGGACTGCGATCACGTCAAAGTGGAGTAATAACTTATTTGAAGAAGTCAGATTATGTGTTGGTAAAGATTGTATTGAGAAAGGGTTGTTACAAGAATTCTCTGTTCGTTTCGAAGAGGAACAGAAACTCTACAAGATTAAGCAAGAGGTTCTAAAGAGTATTGATAAAGAATGTAAGATTAAGGTATAAGGTAATATACACGGATTAAATAATTTAAATGCAAAGTTTCTGGAGTCAGAAAGCGGATGTGACAGCGTGATTTTTCCACTTAAACTCCATTAATTCATTAAAGAGATGGAGGAGCAGATTCTGCTTGACGAGAGCGTTTCAACTCTAACTGTTGCTCCAATCTGTCAAACTCTTTCAATGCAATCTCTTCCTCTGGGTCCAAGATTTGGACTACCTCTTTGACTTCCTCAATGTAGTGCATCAACATCGATTCAATACCATGCTTTAATGTGTCTTCACTCGATGAACAGGTTTTGCAGGCACCTTGCAACTTCAAGAATACAGATCCAGTTTCTTCATCGAAACCTTTATATTCGATGTCTCCACCATCGTCTTGAATGGCAGGTCTAATTCTAGTTTCGATTAATTCTTTGATCATGGAAACAATCTCAGAGTCGGCCTCCTCAGCCGCAGTGGATTCCTTGGCACTTTGTTCAATCAATTCGCGAGTTATCACTGGCTCCTTCTTGGAGGTCAAGAAGTTATCCATCAATTCTACCACCTCTGGTCTCAAGTTAGCCCAATTGATGTGGTCTAGTTTGTTGACAGTCAAAAAATCGTGACCCAACATGACTGACCTGATACCTTCCACCTTGAACAACTTCAACGCCAAAGGGGAATGTATGGCTTGTAATGTGGAAGTGAATTCAAAGGTCTTGTTGGGAATGGGTGAGATCTGGCATTCAGGTGAGATAAATTTAAGAGCGTTAGGGTTGGGGGTGGGTAATGTTTTGAAGGAAAATAGTCTGCGGGACAATGCGTTTAACACTGGTGTCCTATTAGAAAACATTGTTGCTGTAGATAGTAGTTGAGCTTCCTAACGTATATATAACCTCAGCTCGATATTCGGCTTCGGAACCGAAAAATAGTGATCCCCAGATTAGTCAGGAGTCGTGCACTGCTGACTATGGCAAACATACTATTGGGTGACCATTCCAACCCGCACCCTATATGCCGGACATGGTTATAGCGGTCCCAAATGCCCACTACGAACATCTCTTCCTCACTGGGTAAATAGAGTAAACAAAGGAGGAGAGCTTGTTCTACGTATCCTTGTCATGACAGTTAGGTCCAATATGTCGCACTTTGTGTGATTGCTAAGAAATCCAGATATATCGTTAATCACTAAAGGTGCCATCCATGTCATTTTTCGCAGCTACTGATTCCTTTCGGAGCAATCTATTGCCTATATCATTATTTATCGTTATTTCGGGTAAATCTTTTGGGGTATCCTAGAAGGTAAGGGCCACAACTAACAAAGCCATCAATGATAAGGTAGCATTGACGGACGAAAATCTTGTAGCTGCGTTTTCGGACCTCTTAATTTGGAAAAGGCTAAAAGAACTAGTTTCAGGGTCCCCAGGGTTAGCCTTCAATGACATTGGTCCATTGGTCAACCCAGTGTTAGTGAAATTCAGAGCACCATCGAAGTCCTTGGGTACTCCTTTAGCAATCGACCCATCCCAGCAGTATCTTTCAAAACATTTCTTACATTGGTCGGTTTGTTGTATTCCTCTTCTTTCTTCTTCCCTCCTGATAACGGCACATGCAACACAGCTTCTCCATTCAGAATCAATAGTTCCGTTCAACTGGGTACCTATGTCAAGTCCGTTTTGGATCATACTCTTCTTTGCAGAATCAGAGTAAGCAAGTTGGAATGTAGAAGTGTTGGAGTAATATTGGAATGGTCTGTTGGCCATGTAGACAACGATGGGAGGAGTCTTGTCATCCTTGACCAAATCAGTCAAGTTTTTAGCATCACAACCGAAGAAAACTGGTTTAGCTGTCAAGTTGTTGGCAAGGAAAGTGTAGACATCAGGCACATATGGACAAATGGTGGTCTTGCCTTGGTCCAGGAATTGCCTGGCGTAGGTGGCGACTAAAGAGGAGCCATTAGGATAACTATTCTCCCTGTCATTTCCGTTATCAAAGGCAAAGGCGATGTCCACATTTCTCTCGGTATTGAGAAGCGAAGATAAGGGAATAGTTTCACCTCCCAAACCACCATCTATAAGGTAAAGTGAATCTGAACTAGTGATATTGTTGGATTTTGCGTATTGAGACTTGTAAAAGGGGTTGGGAGTATAGTTAGCAACATCTTTCTCGTCTCCAGATAAGGCGTTCAAGAATCTTCTAACTATTGGCTTCATAATCCAACTAAGTCCCATACAATCCTCACATACCAATGTGTTCAAGAACTGGTTAAACAAGGAACTTGAAGTACCCATTACAAATCCAGCATTGTCATATCCAGCGATACATGAGCCATTGTTTGGCTTACCATTGGTAACATTTGTCCCAATATACTTCAAGTCAGTGAAGGTGTTCAAAGAGGGGTCAAAGGATCCCATTTCAAATGGGTTAAACTCAACGACTGTGGAATTCAAACTGTAGGTTAATGTATCAGGCTTTCTTCCCAAGGCATTTAAAATTGGGAAAGGCATCGAGTGGTTGGCAAAGACTGGTTCGTCCCTCAAATCAGACCAGGTTGTACCAGCACCATGGCCATTTTCAGGTTTAAGCAACTGGTAAGACAAACCTCTTCCCCAGTAATCCGTCAATGTTTCGTTGAATCCTGCGTTGGCCTTTGCGTTAATATCATACTCGATGGATGTATTTGTTACGTCCCACCAGTTCATATGAGTAAGTGCCCCTTTAAGATTCAAAAAGGCAATGTCAGCATATAATCTCCAGGTACTTGTGGTGTTAACCAACTGTCTTGTATCGGTAATATTCCAAAGATCAAACTCATTTTTAAACACAATATCTTGAACACTGCTGAAGTTGTTGAATGCAAGAGATCCTAACATCCACGCACCTCCTGATAAGGCACTGATGTAATTGGAACTCTGCAAAAGACCACCTAACCCAGTTGCATTTGAGCCAAAGTCTGTTCTGTTGTCCAAGGCTGCCAACTGGCCAGCACCACTTAACATGGCCCGGTAACCACCGCCCGAGAACGCCAAAGCAATCGAAACGGAAGAGTTATCCGTAATAAACTTTTCTGGGTTGATACCCTTTAATTTGGAGTCTTTGAGAAACTCGATCAAGGCAGCATTGCTCTTCTTTTGTCTCTCTTTTAACCAATCTTGTTCTTGTTTAGAAATAGAGTTAGCTTCTCTAATAAGGGTAGTGTTGGAACTTGGACACTTGACAACTCCTGGAGCGTAACCCCCTGTTGGAGACTTAGCAAGCACTACAGAGACAAGTAGCGTGATATACACATAAATTAGGCTCCACATCGTTACCAGTCAACAAGTATGACAGGAACGTCAGGGTATTTATACATTTGTTGGATTTAGTAACGGCATCCCCAGAAAATATGGCATATTCCGCAACTTAATGCAAGTACATGCATGTTTTAAGTTGTACACTCGATTTTAGCCATTGAAATAAGTCTAGTCGACGATGATGTACCTCCTTGCATGTATTATTATGCCTGTTCCTACCAATCTGTGGGTTGGCACCCGGTGGCATCTGGCTGATTTTGGCAAGAACGTTGAGGGTTTTCGCAGTCTTTCCCAAAATGGAAATTCTGTTTCGTGCACTTTCCTAAAACGGCAAAGCAATTGGAAGACTGCGCTTCGGCTATAACCTCTATGTATCAGAAATTCTTTGATGCTATTGTCACCTTGCTATTTGGAGGTTTTCAGCGTAAAAACGTATCGCAACAAAACGTACCGAGATTTTATGGAGATACAAAGCTAATTTGAAACGCAAGGCTCTAATTTTCCTTGCTTGGCTCTAAATTTGCCACCAGGGGCATAGTCTATGAATTTAAATAATGGTGATCTCACCCACGAAGCGCAGCTATCTAGTCTTTGTGGGACGAATCAACTGATCCTTTTGTGACAATCTCGTGTATCGCACTGTTCGTGTCAAAAGGATTGTCTATATATAAGTTGTGGCCACCTTGCTTGATTTTCTGGAAGTTTATCGTTGTTTGATCTGAGGAATTCTTCCGGATGAGTTGAACCATTTTCTCCCCTGCCTCAGCATTCATGAAGTCAAATTGCCCGTACAATACGTCAATCTTGAAATCATGCTTGCTTGACCTGTAGAAAGCATCAAACTTGTCATACAATGGCCACTTGCTAACGGTAGCGGGAGTTAAAAGATTCTTGATGTAAATGTCACTGTTCGAACCACCAGTTATGGAGTTGTACAAGTACTCTATTATCAAAAGGCATTCCTTTTTGGTTCCGATGACAGTATCATTTTCGCTCTTAATCACTTTTTCGGACCCACCTAAATTGTCAATCACCTTGTTGATGTTGGAAAGCTTTCGGTACCAAGTGTTGAAGTAGTATCTGTATCCCCAAGGACCAAAAATCTTAAGAAATATGGGCATAAATGGTAGAATGTAGTACCACTTTCTCACGTGCTCGTTACTCAATATTGGAACTCGAGAAAGGAACTTGTATGAGGTAGGATCTAAATCAGGGACAAATTCTGACTTATTTTCCTGAAGGATATCACTAGTGACAGAATGGACGTGTCTCTCTACTCCCACAGGGGACAACAAAATCAAGTGTTTGAGGTTATCAGGATACTTCAAAGAATATGAACCTGACCAGTACCCACCAAAAGAATGTCCGATTAAATAGTCAATCTGGCCAATATCAGAAGCTATCCTCCAATTCTCTATTGCTTCAATATAAAACTTCTCAATTTCTTCTAATAGTGGTTTGTAATGTTCTTGATACTGCGAGAATTCATTTCTATCGATAGTAAAACTATCAACCAACTTATAATATTTATTGTATAAATTGCTTTTATCGTTGGGCCTGGAATCTTTTATCTTTAAGGAAGGGCATTGTTTGATAAACCAGTGATTCACTCCCTCGTACTCGATCTTTGGGTTGGAAGACAAGCCGAACGTAATATTATCCAAGAAATGAATATGATAATTGAACTTCTTATCATTTTTGAACTTATTGATGAGTTGAAAGTTTCTAGCAAAACATCCCAAGGATGCCCCATATCCATGTATGAACACTAGATGCTTTGTCTGATACTTTTCATCGTTAATGATTTTGAATCCTACCTCATTGATGTGATTTCCGGTCGAATCGATGATAGTCTGCTTATCCTCTCTGATCATATCCTCATTTTCTGGCCTGCTCTTCAGTACCATCAACTCTACAAGCTCATCCTGAACTTCTTTAAGTCTATTTCTCTTCAATGACTGCCTCCAGTACTGAAATGCTTCCGAGAGGCTCAAGCCATCAAGCTTTTGCTCATTTCGCTTGCCTGAGTGAAAGCTTGCTGAAAATGTCTGACTTCTGGATGAAGATTTTAGAATGGCTCTTGAAGCCAGCCTTGGAAGGACCAAACGTATCATCGACCACTATGACTCTGTCTTACTGGGCTAATATCCGATGACGTATTTTAGGACTTCACTCACAAGTCAAGATTCTCATTCTCGGGCACGTGATATTCACTTTTTATTGTGGGTTATGAACTTTCAGGTTTTATCAGATTAACTAAAAGAGGGTCAAACTTCCGGAAAAACCTGAATCATAGATAAAATTAGGTCATAGCACAGCCTAACATCATCATATGTACCATCTAAAATCTTCGCTTGGCTTATTGTGTCTTCGCTTGGCTCAAAAACGTGTCACAATTTGTGAGGGTGCACCGCTTAGACCTGTTTTATGTTTTTGCATCCATATTACATCACGCTAACAAATGTTGCTAAGATAAAAATTAAAATACGCTATACATAGAATTGAAATTAGTTAAGACAGGTTGGCCCCTAAGCTCTTCTCTTCATCATATTTGTTAAAAGAGTTACCAGTAGCATACGAGGTTTCAATACCATGATGGACGACATGTCCTTGCAATAACTCATCAAAGTCCTCAACATCAGGAGACTCTTCGAACCATGCCTTCTCGAAGGCACCAACCTGTGGAGTACCTTCCACTGGACTCAAGCGACACAAAGTTCCATAAATGATGAAAGCTGAGAAGAATCCCATAAAGAAGTTTAATCTATAAACTTCAGTGGCCCCGATTGGTACCTTGTGTGTCTCAGTAGCACCAACGAATCCAACAATATTTGGTAAAATACCACAAATGTATGCAACGTAAGCTCTCCAGTTGCATCCTATGACGTTAAATCTATAGATGGACTTGGTAGTTGGCTCTTCTGGGGCAAACAAGGAATATAAGTGTGTCAACTTGATGTAACCTCTTCTAACATAGAAATAATCACAAGCAACAACACCAGCAACCGATGAAAGGAAAACGGAGTAAGCAGATAAGTAGGTAGTAAATTTGGACGAGGTGGAAGTGAGTTTCCATGGACAGATACAGAGAGCCAAGGCTGCACAGATGTAACCACCTCTTCTGATGTTTAAGAATCTTGGAAGAACGGCTGACACATCGGTACCAAAAGAAAGAGAGTTGGCAGAAATATTAGTACCCAATTGGGCCAATGCAAAGGCCAACCCGATCAAGAACACACCTGCTCTATTTCCTGAAGAGTAGTCGTCCAAAAATCTACCCAAAACATCCAATGGAGACCAGTATGGCTCGCCGTAGAGATCAATGGATGCGGAAGTAACCAAGATACCGATCAACGAGGTGATCGAGAAACACAAGGGAATGGTGATGGTGTAGACCAAGTATTTCATGCTAAATGAAGGCTTATCAGCAAAACGTGCGAAATCTGGAGCATTCACGATCAAGGTTGCAAAATTGGCAAGGGAATTCATAGTGGATTCAACAAAGGCCCATGCGAGGTCCTTACCGTGAACCTTAGACCCTTGGTGGATGGCAGGGCCGGCTCCCTTAGCCTTGACCAAAGTCCAAATCAAGAAGGCGAAACCTGCAGTAGGTGCAACGTATGCCTTGACTGTGAAAAGATGTCTTATCTTGTGAGGAGGGAACCAAATGAAGGGTAATGAACACAACCAGAAAAGGAAGAAGCACAAAAACTTGTAGGTAGTCAAGTCTGNATCGCTGATGTGGTTAGGCATGGTCTTGTCAAGGTTCTGTCCAAAAAGGGCTCTCAACATGACTTCAAAACATGGGCCTGCAATAGAACACTGTACGGCATACCACACTGCAGACATCACCACTCTGTTAATTACAGGCCACAAGGCACCATAAATACCAAATGACGATCTTGCAGCAACAGGGAAGGAGATGTGATATTGGAGACCGATTCTGGCACCTATGGACACGAAGATACCGCACAACAAGTAGCCCAACCAGACAGACAACCAGGTCTGCCACCAGTTCATACCACCGTCCTGAATACCAGTGGCAGCAATTTGCCAAGTGTTGATATTAAACGAGTCAGCAATCCAGAAGAATACGTAGTTGAACCAGGACCAAGTTCTACGAGCTTCTTCCACAGGACGCAAGTCGTAGTTGTAAAGATACATCTGGGATGTGGTGAGATCGCCCTTGGGCTGGACCTCGAAGATCCGAACCAATTTCTCTTTGAAAGATTCATTCTTGAACGAAATAGTGCTGATGTCGCCTTCGGCCACCTCGCTCTCTTGTGGGGACGGGTTCTTTTCGTCCTTCATTGTGTTGATATTGGTGAGAGAAGCTGATACGCTACAATCTACGGAAATGCATCTATTTATATGCTACCAACCCCACTATAGGCCATCGAGTAAATGAAACTGATCGTCGGAGTCGGTACGGCGTCGGGCTCATGATCGGTATAGATTACAGTTTTTGTGCTGCGATTAGAGCAGGGCCCTTGTTGTGAACCTGCATGGTATTAGTATTCTTTCTGGTCATGGCAATCGCAAGACACACAAGCAAGTGTCGAGACAGAGAATGCAAGTGGTGTAGCAAGCCAAGCAAAGACTTTTTAACGCTTAGCAAGCTGACGTAGTTGTCGAGATATCCGTTCTTGTGGACGAAAGGCTAGCTCGATGACTTGGAAATTTACTGGTGAAGGCTTTGGTCCAGATTTGAGGGGTTTGAAAACCCTTATCGCAACTCAAATATCATTTTCCAACCTTTACTATCAGGAGTTATCGCACAGATTAAGGCAATAATTGAGTCTCAATCCACGCGGAAAATAAATGGCCGTCGGCGCGAGAATCTCGCCTATTTGGCGATAAGATAGATATTCCCCTACATATATCAGCAGATTGTGGGGCTGTTAGACCGTTTACATGCACTTCATATGTTAAAAAACTAAAAAAGAATGCGCAAACCCGGAATCGAACCGGGGGCCCAACGATGGCAACGTTGGATTTTACCACTAAACCATTTGCGCAATGGAAACTCCGCGACGGGGAATTGAACCCCGGTCTACCACGCGACAAGCGGTAATTCTAGCCACTAAACTATCACGGATGATTTCTTGAAAGAGAAATTCGGTGCTTTGTGTCACTGTCACTTTCTTGTATAAATTGGTTAGGGAACGACCCTGGAAAATTTATGTGCCACCCCAAAGGTCAGCTTCTAATACAAACAGCATAGATAAAAAGAGTATTAGGAGCCTAGTAGCGGTCTAGAGGAACGAAAGCGTGAGATTTGAAAAGTTCATGCTCTTGAAATTAGGGATTATAGGCTTAGTACGCGCCATAGGTAGGGGTAATAAGCAAGATAAGAGGTAGAGCTCCATGATAAGGGGGTTGCAGATTACGAAACCTATAAAAGCATAGCGAAATTCTTATGAATCGTGAAGTGCATCACAAAATGCTGAGAAAAGACACTGCACTGCAATAAATATATATCACCCGTACCCAAACATGATACAGTAACATACTTCCGCCCCAGATTCAACTAGGGTAAGTCCTAGACTGTTGCTTCAGTTGGAATCACCCGTTCTAACTAGCGAGAGCAAGAGCTTATCACATTCTAAACCTTCTTGAGGGCAAGCACTACTTAATGACATACATGAGCTATATGATGATCATAAACCTCACAACCCTCCAAGGGAAATTAAGGATTTATTCCCCAATAATTTTTCACTTGGAAAACGACTTCATTTCGATGATAATGAAAAAATGAATACCTTTGATGGTTAATGGTTTGAGGTCAATTGGTTGACCCCAGTAAGTAACTCCAGGTAAATCAGACTCAATCTTATTTTCCCAGAGAGAGGTCAGAAACTTCTCTGTATGGTGAGGTTGTTCTCAAAGTCAAACCCTTCTTCGTATGAAATTGCAAATCATTTAAGGAAATCACCAATCGCAGTTAGCTTACTCAATGGGTGAAGGTTTTAGATGCTGAGCTTAACCGAGCCATTGACCCCGTAAAAGTGCTGGAAAATTAGAGTTTGAATGGGTTTGGGCTTTTTGCAATGAAAAGACTCGGAAATTGACCTTACTACTTGAGATGGCTTGTAATAGCAAATGCGCTGCTGTTCAAGAGTTTCAAGTTTGGAATGTTGAACGTGATAGGGTTCTTATAGGTCATGATCCGAATCATAAACCCCGATCAGTGAACTTTCAACAAAGCTTTTAACAAAATAAGCTTAGAGCTTGTATACAATTGTAAAATCTCGTACTAATATCTCACTTAACGGTATCTTTCGGAGATTAGCTCTTATATCCCTCTAATTAGTTAAATAATCTTTTTGTTGGAAGATTTCTCTTCTTGATCTGTTGATATTTGCCTTGGGGAATATTTGTCTTCTCTTTCCTAAGCACGTTCGGTTCAGTGGTGACACCAAGGGCACTTTAACCATTAAATAAGCATTCTCATATCTTCAAAGCAGCTCATTACTTATTCATCGGTAACTACCAGTGTTATGATGTGAGGAGACAGAAAGCTATTATATTCATTTCATACTAAATTTTTGATCGATATGTTGATAGTAGTTTCTCTGACAGCTTTTTATGAAATTTTAATTGAAAATACTCAACTTTGGGAAATGCTCAGTACATATAGAGCTGTATAAACATACAATACTTCCAAAATGGAGAAACTTGGTATTAAAATAAGATACACCCTTACTATAGTGGAGTAAATTTGTTATGTTTGAAGGCTTTACGCCAGGTTATATCTCTCGCAGACATTTTCCGTAAAATCTTCTGAACAGTGTATGACTAAATTCTTTGGCCTTAATCATTCTCGATCCATTGACCAGACTTAAACAGGTAGTGTGATTGTGGTCATAAAGGAAACGAAGTCAGTTCAGTAGAACATGGAAAGATGCTTTAAGGGGGTTTTCAAAGCTCTTGTGAAGTTCTTTTCAGGGTAATCGTTTACAGCTTAGATTTTTTTCCTCCTGGCCAAAATGATGTAGAATCAGGCTCCATAAATCAAATTTGATGCTGATGCATGGACTGTGCTAAAAGAAATGCCCTTGTAATTACGGTGGCAGTTACTGCTAGGAACCAAAAAGTGACAGACTCGGAGCATTGAGTTTTCCGGCAATTCACAATTGTTGCAAAATTTGGGAAAAATTGTTTGAGATATTTTTAATAAACACAAAGATGACAGGAAGTTATATCTCTTCTTGCAGGATGTGACAAAAAGGAATCTAATATCAGATGTACTATGATGCCAGACAGTGGAATCATGATTCAAATTTCAAACCATTTCTAGAGGTTCGATAAGAAGAATTATGACTACACTTTGGATTCCAACTTGAAATGAGAGCATATCTGTAGCAACTATTGAGTCTCTTACGAAACCTTGTTTACTCTTGCAACCAAAGGCGTACAGAGACTCAAGGGATTTGTAGATATAGACTCAGAAATACGAACCATGCCTACTTTAGGTAACCACCGTATAATTGCCAAAACTGGGCACCAAGACAGAACTCGCCAAGTTTTACCAACTTCTAGGCACTGGCACACCTCTAGTCTATTCATCACGAACGTCAGTGCAGCACACATTGTTACGCCCCTGCAGTTAACAATAAGCAGGTACAAATGTACTTGTGGAAAATTATCACAAGAAATCAGAAATGTGCAATTTGTCAGGCTGTGGGTCTCGATGCCAGGGCCACGAAATAGTCGTACTGTACGGTTTGACCTAGACAAATCACTATGTCCGAGGCTTTGTATCGCATAGCCCTGCACCTATGCCAGCAAATACCCTGAAAAACATATGGTTCGGACATACCGGGAAACCACCGTTTGCAAACCAGTGGCTCCTCCTGGCGACGCCCCTCACGTGCTGGGCCCAGGCTGACCCTCAAGGACCATCAGAAACATCATGGGTGACGGCTCGTAGCCAATATGGGCCCGTGGGACTTACCATGACCATGATAATCTCGCCCCGTTGCCTAGACCTGGATCGGTTGTGATTCGCAACCATTCTCGCCATGGCCACATTCCCGCCAGTGGGCCCAATTAGGCCATTTGGAGCCCTTTCGCTGACTGAATATTTTTGTGACAACCTGCGGAACTGGGGTAGCTCCAAGCCAACCTGCATACCATTCTCCCAGAACTCATCAGCTCCTACCCGATCACATAGAAAGAATAGATTCCACTACAAGAGGTGCTTTGGTACATATACGCTTTGCTTATCACGAGTTAGTAACGCTGACACGCCCCTCCTATTCCCCCGGCTTCTGATTTATCCCAGTTGAAGGGCGGACTGGCACAAGTACCTATCAGGTGGTCTACGAAAGATGACGACCTTTGCCCCCATATCGTTCGTGGCGCCCATGCCCCAAGCGCCCAAGCATCATGTGTCGGCCTCCAAGCACAAGAGCCTGGCTCCAGCAGCCTCTGGTGTGGAGGCTGCCAACATTCCCAATCCTGAACAGTTGATCACCTACGTGTTTCCAGACTTCAACGCAGCAAACTACTTCCAGAAGGAGTTTGTCAGCTCCAACGAGTTTTTCATCATGGAGGAGTCGCAGGTCTCGGGATTCGACCTTTATCTTGTCGAACAATGGGTGAATGCCCGCAAAATCGGCTCGGTGGTGGCAACCTACACCGGAGACATCAGCTCCTCCATTTCAGTCATCAAATTTACCATCATCAAGAAACAATCAAAGTACTACCCCATTCGCCTACAAGAATATTTAAACGAATTGATGACCAACCATGCCAAGATCAAGAAAATGGACGAGCGTTTGCCCCAAAGAAATAGTGCTTCCCAGAGTAATTTGGCGTCCATTTCTTCGGTGACCCCGTCAACCCTCCCAGAACCTTCCCTCTCCTCCTCCCACAGAGGCCAACCGGACGAAGTCTGTTTTGTCACCAACCTTGCATCCTTACCATCAAACTTGAACCTCATTCCTATCATAAAAGGCGATTCAAGAAGCATTCAAGACGATTTCATTATCAATTCAAACCTCAAAAAATTACAATGCTGTGGTAGATCTTTGTATTTGACTACCAATAAAATATCGGATGCAAATGAGGACAAATTCAGACACATGTATAAAGTGGAAAGTGATAACATTCCAATCAAATTTGCCATCAGAGAGCTCGTCAATGTGATACAAACTTGCTTATTCTATTTCGATTTGCTCGACGCGAAATATTGTGATGGATTGTTGTGCAACAAGACAGAAGAGGCTATCCTTAATTGGTGGAACTTAATAGGCTTGCCTCATTTCAACGTCAAGCCAAATCCCAAGAATGGAATCTTGCCTTCAAGAAGTGTCGCAGCTATTATTAGTTTGACCATAAGTGTTAAATTAAGATTGCAACTTGTCGGAGGTTGCGACGTTCCAAAGGACCCCTTTGATTTCGAAAACTTTATGTTGTCAATTGGTCAGTTCCAAAGGCAGTATAAATTGGAGAAGAGACGCAAATTGGATCTTGAAACTTTAAACAAGTTATTCTCAGTGACAAATACCAGACTCTTGCCTGAGAAGTATAGAAATTACATTGGAACCTCAAACATAGATAACTTTGAAGACCAGGATACCCAATTCTCGGGAAATACACTAAGTCCAACTTCTCAAAGAAAGGGTAAGAATTATTATAGTATGGAGCTTAAGAAGTTGACTAATGTTGTCAAAAACACTGTTCAAGATATACAAGCGGCATCCAGAGATAATGACGACATGCCCAATGGTAAATCCTCTGGTGGAAGAATTAGGAGTAAAATTGCAAAGTTGGCAGACAACATAAGTCCAATCGATGTCGAGACACTCGATCTAGAATTGTTGGTTAAGCATTATCTCACAGGGAAAACCTTGACTAGGCTCTTTTACGGTTTGAATGATTCATTCACAAATCAAAAGGTAAATGGTAATTTTCTGAGAGGGACTGAATCCGGTGACAAAGAGTATGGCCACAATCAATACTCAAAACGTTTAAAGCCCCATAGCCATCATCACAGACACAGGCAGTACTCTGCAAACTCGTCAGCAAAGCAATACAAGTTCACAAGTTTAAAAGATAAAATAACTTCTACTCAGAAGTCGATGATATCTGGTGGTTCATCGTCAGATCTTTCCAAATACTCGAGGGGTTTCAACAAAATGAAAATAGGTCTCTCTAATAGGAAGATCTTGGGATCTAATGGAAAGCGTAATGGAAGCGATGATGATTCTAATCCCATGCCATTTGCTATTGACAACAACCACAGGTTTGACGACAGATCTCCCATAAACCATGACATGATGTTAAATTCTTCGATTCTCGACTCCTCCCTACAGATTCCAGCAGAAATTAATAATGTGGATGGTAAAAGTGTGATTTCTCGAGCTTCAAGCAATAAAAACACATTTACACCATTGGAAAAACTTCACCATCGTTTGAATCGGAGAAACTCTTACCCGAACTTAATTCCTAAGGAAACGAATCTTAATATTCTTGAATTTTCAAAGAAAGAACGAGGTGTCAATCAACAGGATGTACTGATGCCTATGAGATTCAGGAGTGCAAGTCTATCAAAAATTGAGATTCCTGTGTCTCAAATTGAACAAGGTGATCCGGTATCTATCGAGAAGTTCAGCCATAGATATATTTCAGGTGTTGATGAATTAATCAAGTACGAAAATCTACTTAGCTACTACGAATCTGACAATTCCAGCAATCCTTCGAGTTCTCTTGCAAATACGGACACGATACCAACGGATATAGTAACAACTTCTAAGGTGAAGAAGAAGTACAATTACTTAAACCTAGAGCTTATTAAATTGAGGAATATTTATCAACAGATGCACTCTTCAAAATCAAAAATAGTCGATGAAGATTTGATGAATGACCTCAAATATAATATTGAAGATTTGAAAGGAACTGTTGACAGACTAGTTTATGAAACTAGAATCGTCAACAAGAGAATCAACGAATTGGACGAAAGCTGCAAGGTATTAGACATCAAGTTAAATGACCAATGCAAATCCAAATTAAGTGATTTAATTAGCAACTTGATAAATCTGAGGAAGTTCAATGAAGTGTTCAAAAATGATGCCGAGAAAAAGGATATTATGAAAAAATTGATTGGCAATAATGAGAACGCGTTTGAAACTACCAACACCAACACAAATGACAACATTTTGAAAGTCATTATAACTTTCATTTATGAGATGGTTTTATTTATCTTCCATCTTTTTAAATTTGACGGCACCAATATGAACCTAGACAGAATCAGGCAATCTTGGGTCAAACTTGATCCTAATAGAAAAATCATAAATCGTGCATACTCCTATGTCGGTAGGGAGCCCTCTAGATCTAGTGTGACATCAATCGAATTGGGAGATTGAGTCCCGGCGACTCTAAATTAAACTCAGACAGCTTGTTACCAAATGTCTCTAATGCTAATTGCTGAACTTCCATTCCTCGCTTAACACATTATTTAATACTTTAATCAATGCATTCACTTCATTTCTATATTCCTGCGATTCAAGGAGATCAAATTCTTGAGTGCTCTTTTCACTGTAAATTTTGATGATATTAGCCACCTTAGACACATTATTTTGTAGTTCCTGCAAACATCCCGATAGTTTGAGTTCAGTAGGCTCGAGCACACGCTTTACATAGTTGTCAAAATTCTGCTCGACATGCTTTTGTTCCTCCCAGCGAATTGAGTCTTTGTTTTCCAAGTATTCCTTGACGGTAGCCACAATGTCTTCATTTTGGTCTATCAAGCTCTGTAGTTTCTCAGTCATATAGTCCTGCTTCTGAAGATCCATCACAATATCAAGCCTCTGTCTTTCCAATTCCTGTATTATCCTTTCCTCACGATCAATTTCTGCAGTACTTGATCCATCATTATCCACTTCTTTGCATAGTTCGTTAAACTGGTTCTTGGGTGCTAGCGATCTCGCTATATTTTGCAACTTTGCTATATGATCCCCAGACTCATTTAATTGAACCGTGAGGGATTGAACTAGAGTGCTTATTGCTTGAAGTTCATCAAACGACCTTTCCATGACGATGGCTTTACTGTGGCCCCAAAACCAGGATTGATCTCATGAATTTTGGTCACGTGATCGTGGTTACCTACACGACAAAGTTTACACGTCTCACTCGCCTCTTTCAAAACGATCAACGACAACGAGATCAATTGCCAACTATTCATTACATTACCAACACAGACATAAAATGGTGGCAATTGGAAACGCTCATGACGACTTGATCCATGACGCTGTCTTGGACTACTACGGCAAACGATTGGCTACCAGCTCTTCTGATAAGACCATCAAAATATTTGAAATCGAGGGCACTGAAAACTACAAGCTAGTTACAACTTTGACTGGACACGAAGGTCCTGTGTGGCAAGTAGCATGGGCACACCCCAAGTTTGGTTCCATATTGGCCTCGTGCTCCTATGATGGTAGAGCACTTATTTGGAAGGAACAACCTGAAACTCAACAATGGTCTATTATTGCCGAACACAGCGCACACCAAGCCAGTGTCAACTCTGTTAGTTGGGCTCCCCATGAATTAGGTGCAGTATTGTTGGTTACATCTTCTGACGGCAAGGTCTCCGTGGTGGATTTCAACGAGGACGGCACCACTTCTCATGTCATATTCGATGCACACGCCATAGGTATCAATTCTGCTTCGTGGGCTCCATTGAACAATACCAACTCCAAAGACGCTTCTGTATTAAAGCAGCAACGTAGGTTTGTTACTTGTGGTTCCGACAATTTGGCTAAGATCTGGAAATTTGATGCTGCCTCCAATTCTTACGTTGAGGAAGCGAAGTTGGAAGGTCATACCGATTGGGTTCGTGATGTTGCTTGGTCCCCATCTGTTTTGACTCGTTCATACATTGCCACTGCGTCGCAAGACCGTACTGTTTTGATTTGGAGTCAAGATAACAATGGAGTCTGGCAAAAACAATTATTGACCGAAGAAAAGTTCCCTGATGTCTGCTGGAGATGTTCATGGTCATTATCAGGAAACATATTGGCTGTTTCTGGAGGTGATAACAAGGTTAGTTTATGGAAGGAGAACTTACAAGGAAAATGGGAATCTGCTGGTGAAGTCGACCAATAAGCAATTCACCACTATACATTTCTGTTTAAAGGGACTGATAATTTCTAACTAGACAAACCTTGACTGGGATGAGATAGTCCAATTCATTTCTACATCTTATGATTAATGTCATCAATAAAAGTAACTTATATATCTAAAGATTATTTACAACTCGTTAATAGTGGCTTCGATGATTTTCTGGACATCCTTGGATGCTTCGTTGGCAGCCTCCAAGACTTCGTCGTGGCTAGCCATACCTTCGTCCAATGGCTTTGGGTTTTCTTCAAACGCACTAGGTGGCTTATCGGCGACACCAGCATTCGTAATTAATGACAATGCCAAAACCCTCAAACCTGAATGACGGGCAACAATGACTTCTGGAACTGTAGACATACCAACAGCATCTCCACCAAAGTTTCTGATCATTCTAACTTCGGCTCTACTTTCGAAAGTGGGACCTGCAACGAAGGTGTAAGTACCTTCGTAGATTTTTCTAGTGATTCCAAGATCCTTTCTGGCCTTGGTCAAGAATAATCTTCTCAAATCCAAGTCATAGGCATCGGAGAGTGGTTGGAAACGAGGGCCAAACTCTTCCAAATTTGGGCCCCTCAATGGGTGGTATCCAGCCAAGCCTGGGAAGTTGATGTGATCGTCAATAAGCATCAAATCACCTGGAACAAGACCCTCGCGGACACCACCAGCAGCGTTAGTGACAACCACAGTTTCGGCTTGTAATTTCTTAGCCAATCTGACTGGGAAAGTAGTTTCTTGGAAAGTGTAGCCTTCGTAGAAATGCAATCTACCCACCATGCACATGACAGGAACTTTGTTGGCACCAATAAGACCGAAAATCAATTTTCCGGCATGGCCTGGAACGGTAGAGACCTTGAAGCCAGGAATGTCTTTGTACTGGACCTCAACCTTTGGCTCGGAGTGTAAGATGTTGGCGATGCCTCCCAACCCAGATCCACAGATGATCATGACTCTTGGCTTGGCCAAGGATGGGGTGGCTTCCAAGATAGACTGGACTTTGGTGGCGGCTTCATCCAATAAGGATGTGTATGCTTCGGGTGATAATGACATGTCTGGTATAGCAAATGTGAGGAATCTGTCTGTATTTAAGTAGCGATGCTTCGGGTGCTCTAGCCATCTAACGGCTGCTTACGTAAGGTGGGGTGGGGTGCCCGGTTTTGTGGTTGCGGTAGAGGTGTTCTCTCCATTCACGCTATTGCAACTATACGGCACATCGACATACATTGAAACCCAGACTGCAGTACGTTAGGAGTCGCTCATCCCCGAGGCCAGTACCCGCCGCCTACCACGCAGTAGACAGCTGGACGACTCTCTCTAAATCCACCCCTATTCTTAGGTTTGAATTTGTAGCATCGGAAACTCCGCGGGCACACATGTTGGTGTAGTAAAGCTCGTACACTGGCATGTATCTGTCAACAAAAGCTTCTACTTGGCTGTCAGACATTCCGCTGCCAGTACGGGCCACCAATGCGTGCTCCTGCTGTAGTCTCCATGTGTAGACATCGCTTATGTTGGCTGTTTCCAAGCACACAAATTTGTCGAAGTGGTTCCATATTTTTGTGTACTGGAACAAATTCTCGTTGACGTCTTCAATGTGGGGAAATTTATGGCGGATCAAGGCAGCGGAGGAAGATCCCAAATACTTGATGCGCAACTGATCTGGGTCCAAGGGCATGAATCCGTTAAACCAGCCTTCAAAGAGAACCACATCGATTGGGTTTTCTATGGTCTGCCATTGGGCTGGATCGTCCCTATCTCCCTCTCCCGCGAACAACGACTTGTCATAGCTGGGGATTTTGATGGGGCTGGCCAATTTGCCAGATATACGGCTCTGGATGATACTGTCGAAAATGTGGATGCCAAGCTCGATATCATGGGTTCCTGGGAGTCCTCTGCCTTGAAGCAACCGGTTGTCGTCCAACTCGGATTTCGCTCGTTGTGTGAGTGCAGCCTGGTCAGCATGGGTGAGGTACAAATCATCCATCAGGAATTGGACTATATTGAGGTTACTGAACTCATTTTGTAGTAACGTATGGACTTGTTCGGTTACGTATGATTTTCCCGACCCTTGAGGACCACTTATTCCGATCACTAGAGGTTTGCTGTGGGGACTAAAGTCGTGTGCCCTTATTGCACGGGACAAGAACTCGTTGGTAACCGTGACTGTAGTCATGATAGGAAAACAAATAGTGATCTGAGCTATGTTTCCATTGGCGGGTTCGTGGATTATGGGGAATCCGGAACCGATTTGGGTTACGCGCGACTAACATGGCTATATATTATTATCCGTTTTACTATTGTATTATTGAATCAGCTACAAGTTCCATAAGGCAAGCTGCCGAAAGAAATTGCCCATTCCCATCTGGTGGTGGGGTGTAGAAAACGACAAATTTAAAGAGCCTTGGCTTCCTTCAATTTGCTGATCAATTCATCGACACTCTCGACCTTGATACCAGCGTCTCTTGCAGGTGGCTCGACCACTTGGATGGTTTCCAATCTCGATGCAATCTCAATCCCCAAATCAGCCGCTTTCAACTTTTCCAAAGGCTTCTTTTTTGCCTTCATCACGTTTGGCAACGAGGCATATCTTGGTTCGTTGAGACGCAAGTCTGTGGTGATGATCATTGGTAATTTGGCACGTAAAGTATCGGCACCTCCATCGATTTCTCTGGTCACGGTAACGGTGTCGCCGTCAATTTCAACCTTGGATGCGTTAGTTGCTTGTGGCCAATTTAACAAACCGGCCAACATTTGGCCAGTTTGGTTGGAGTCGTCATCAATAGCTTGCTTTCCAAGAATGACCAAGTTTGACTCCTGCTTCTCTACCACCTGTTTCAATAATTTTGCAACGTTCAATGGTTCAACTTCTTGGTCCCCAACATCCACAAGAGTACTGCTGTCCGCACCCTTGGCAAGAGCAGTTCTCAAAACATCTTGGGATTTGGTGGGACCTATGGAAACAGCATGGATCGAATCAACAAGTCCTTTGTTGGCTTCTCTGATACGAAGGGACTCTTCCAATGCAATGTCACAGAATGGGTTGATACTGAATTTGACACCTTTAGTCTCAACACCGGTAAGAGCTTTGTTAATTCTTGGACGAATCGCAGCATCTATCACCCTCTTGACAGGCACTAAGATCTTCAATTTGGTAGACATTCTGACTTGTTGTAGTGAAGATACATCCACTCACCATGAAAAATCCGGTTCCGGAGGATACTGGAGAGCACGTGATACATGCCAAGGTAGTGATTACGTAAGAGCGCACTATAATACATTATTATACACTAACTAAAGTTGAGGGTGCTATTTCTAGATCTAGCTTTCATCTTCTCGATACGTGCTTTCAACTGGGATGTGACTTCAGCAGCACGTTTCCAGCTATCGTCGTTCGAATCAACTTCTAAAGTTTCCCTCGCGGGCGTGAGTTCGGGCGACTTTTGAGGGCTAAATCTATTGTAGCTGTTGCTAGACTTAGAAAGGAATGAGTTCTCTTTAAAAGTATCACTGTCGATAGATAATCTTTTAACTCTGGAACTGAGCTCGCCTGATGTCACCCTGGGTCTTGGTTCCGGTGATCTGAACTCGTTACTGACTTTAGACTCAAAGGGTGACCCATTACTGTTATTATAGAGCCCATTGTGATTGAATGATTGAGGTACTTGAGCTTGGTTTTGCTTGAGTTTCATTAATTCTATAGTCTGCTCAAGATCCCTACTCTTGAGTCTTGCACTTTCAAGATCACTGTTCAAACGATGTATCTGTGTTTCCTTCTGTTTAGCCATAAGTAATGCATTAGTGAGATCTTTTTGGGCCAAATCTGATTGGGACCGTATGTGAGAAACTTCTTGCGTCAATGCAATAATTTCTTCTTTCAATTGGACTTGTATCTGGTTATCACGCTTTTGTTGGGCCAACCATTGATTCTTTTCCTCTCGCAAGGCATGCAATTCGTCTCTTTCCGCGGATGTAAGAGCTGGCTCTTGTCTCTGCTTCGAGGAGTTGTGATTAGGGAGTTGCAATGCTGGAGTATTTGATGATGCCAAAGATCTTCCTGTCAAGCCTCGACCAAAAGCGGAAACCTTTGGTGCTTCATCAATCCTTTTTACTGGAGAAGAAGCGCCTCTCTTGGCAGGAATTGATGGGGCTGATGTTTGGACCTTAGTCTTTCGTTGTGGAACTGTGCCAGATCTTTTATCAGAAATATTGCTATTGGACGATGTAGATTGACCCGCTTTGGACCCCGACCCAAGCTTCGAATTGACTTGGACTGTTTCAAAGAATGCATTGACTTTGGCCTTTCTGTTATCATCAATTTTCTCAAGAAATACATTCAATTCTCTCTCACCGGTGATTTTCATCAATGTACCAATCATTTCTGTGGATGCCTGTCTAATTGGTTCTTGGGATTCACTCAACAATTTCACTCCAATTTCCATAATACTATCAATTTCAGAGCGAGATGGTGCAACAGTAGTTGATGCTAAACACCTTTGTAAGTAATTTGTGCTCGCAATCTTGACTTGAGGAGTCTTATGCTTCATTCCTGCTAAGATGTCCTCCAACACGTCACCCAAGCTAGATGTTTTGAAGATAGCGTCAAGGCATGTTTCCAAAGCAGTTGCCACAGATGCCTTTTTTTCCTTTGTTCTCTCTATCATGGGGGCTAAAATTAATGTTTGATATTTGTTGAATGATTTCCCAAGTCCTCGTACTATAAATTCTGTACAATTAGCAGCTAATTGTACTACCTGAATGTTTGCATCTTTCATACACTTCGAGAATATTCTTATTAAGGGAGTATAATCATCATTAGCCAATTTGATTGTTTTTTCAAGAATGGCATAGACATCATCTAAAGCTTCTTTTCTATCCTTCCACTTTGCTGAACCAATTCTTGCATCAAGGTCTGAGGGAAGTTTATTCAATACTTCGACAGGGTCAACCAAGTCGGCTGGGTCAAAGGTTGGTGCGCTTGATTGGACATCACCCGCGTCGTCCATGTCAACATCTTCATTTTGGTTTGCTCCATTATTAGACTCTAATTTCTCCAATTCCAATTGCTGGCTTCTGGTTAATCTTTGCTGCTCCACGCTTGTTCCTTTGACCGCATCGAATGCCTTGGTCAAGTCCTTCTGTTGAACTGGCTTCAAGTTTGGAAATAAAACCGATTCAAGCGAGTCTCCCATCCATTTATACAACTCAACAGTCAATTTGGTGGTCTCAGCTCTCACGTTTCTATCGGCATGACCAAAGAGCTTCCCCAAACTTGGTATGATTCCCTTTGGCAGAATTACTGCGCAGCCAAAGTTCTCCACGATAGCATGCAAGGCAGAAACACATCCGGCAACAAGTTTGGGCAAACGATTAGATAAGGAAGGAATAATATCCTCAATTATCGTATCTGGTTGGGGAGAAATTTCCACCATTTGCAAGAGAATCTCAGTTGCATACTCTTTAGTCTTTGCACGCGACGAAGACAACCCCTTCTCACAAATAGAAGTAATTACCCCTGCACCTTTAAGCCTACCCACAACAGTGGGACTCCCTCCATATTTCAAGTAGGCCGAAACTGTTTTCAAGGCGGTCTCCTGAGCCACCACGTTGGAATCAGTGCTAAATTTCTTCACTAACTCTGGTCTTTGATTCAATGTTTGAAAACAGTCGTCTTGGTCGTTTCTCGAGTTTTCAAACAATTTAGCGAGCTCCTCGTAAGCTGACAACCGCACTTTCCACACATTGTGGACTAGCCGCTCATCTAGAGGCAATGATGAATAGTCTTCCTCTGACATTGGGTGGTTATGGAGTACTTTGAGGTAGTGTAAACAAATGAGAACACGAGTAGAGATCCTGCATACAGTTAGGCGAGTTCTGCCATCTTAGCCTAGCATCATTCAGTGGTTTACGGGGATACCACAAACAACAGGTGAGTGATGTCTTACAATGGGTGAAGCCTAGAGCACATCTTCTGATATAGAATGCAGATTGATTATAGTATATACTCAGACGTCGGAGTCAACTGACGCTATTGCATAGGTAATACGCTAAATGGGTCCTACCACCTTTGAGGCCATAGGATAAGAATTTCGTTGAATGGGTTGAGCTGGAGGGATAAGATATATGGATTATTCTATGTTCTTGGCGAATTTGGCTTTGATTTCTTCAAATGGTTTCAACTTCAAGTTCCATTCCTCTTCACCAGGTCTGTCCACGTAGTATTTTTCGATATTGACACCGTGGTATGGGTGACGTGCAAGGTTGAACCATGGCAATATGGCCAAGGTGGTGAATGAGAATTGGGAGTTTCTGTTGGCAATGTCCTTCAATCTGTCATCCAAAACGGATTCGTTCTCGTGGTATGGCAATTTTCCTTCCGACAACAACTTTTTTATTTCGTATCTGTCCTTCTTGACTTCTCTGGAGTTTTCGGACCATCCCAAGAATCTCTTAGAAGATCTGACGTAGGCAAGGTAAAAACCACCAACGGCACCCAACAAAGTGGCAGTTCTCAATGCACCACCTGGAACCTTTCCTGGGGCCTTAAAAGCACCTGCTTGTGGTTCTAACTTTTCCCATGCTTGTAACGCTAATGGGAATCCAACAGCGGAGGCTGCCCAAACACCATAGTCGGAACCTCTGAAATATGATACAACTCTGGTGAAATGAGGGTCGACATCAATGAGCTCATAATCCGAGAGAGGTGGATCTGATCTTACTGGTTGGTTGGTAGTGGTGTAAGACATTGTGCTGATAAGGTATTGACCATCTCAATTTTGGCTTATTTTCAATTCTCAATCGTTGATTGGAGTGAAAAGTCGTGCGCAGGAACAGTTTGGCACGTGACATACGGTCCATGGAGAATGGTATCCAACAACAACCCAGCAGTAACGGTCCGGTAGGCTATTATTGTGGCTGTTACAGTGGATGTGTAGTTGAATTTGAAAACTGAAGCATATTGACTTGCTTTGAAATCCCCATATACAACTCCAAAAGAATAGGGTAGCCTAACACGATATGCTATATGTAAAGCTCTACATAATACTCTCTCCAGCTCTTCTATTTCCTGTTACTCACTACCTAGAGTATCCTAAGTAGACTATGTTGGTCCTCGAGTTCCGGTCTTCTGGCCTCCAGAACTTTGACTTTCTTAGTGACGAATTTCACCTGGCAAAATAAATTGTTCAACCACAAGATACCTTGGCCAACTTAAAGCCAGTCTCTTATACAAGCAGATGGCATGAGCATCCAGCTTCCATTCGTGGCTGACTGTTCCCATTTTGGCTCCAGAACCTGGCTGCTAATCACTCACTTGTTGCTAGTGAGCCCCTATACAGTACGGAACCTCATACAGTCTTAATTTGCCCCCACCTACAACTGAATTACCCAATGCCTATACGACTAGATGACGAAGCAGGTGCTTCTGGACACTATGTCCATGAGCAGCAGCACCACCCAGTGATCCGACTTATCAATGCATTACGAATCCACAACGTCCCTGCCATCAATTATCTTATCATCAGTGTATTGGGGTTCTTTCTTCTCAAGCTCACCACCCGTTATACGGGACTTTACATGAAAAGCTCTCTCATCACCATCATAATTACCAACTTGGTGTTGTATGGGATCTCAGAAACGTTGGCACAAACTCTCATCAGCTATAGAGGAGATCAACCACGCATATCATTCAAGATTAACGAAGGCTATAGCAGGTACATGTCCTTCAATTCAAATGACATATTCGGAACCACCGACCTCAATTCCCTTGAAGCCTATAGAGACGAGGAAAACGAGGAGCAGGCGGTGGGAGACGAACCCATCGATGATGCAGGCATCGAAAGATTCATAGACTATGTCGAAGAGGATCAGAATGCACCATTGCAGGAAGAAGACTTAGTTACTACACCTATAGTTGAACTCACATTTTTCAAATTCAATAGGTTGGCAGGGTTTATGTGCTGGGGTTTCATCCTTGCCTTTGTTCAGTGTTGGTGGTACAAATTCTTACAGATTTACTCCAAGGATCCAAAGTTCATAGAAGTGTTGAGAAAAGTGTTGACCGATCAACTATGCTACTCTCCTGTGTCTTTGTTTCTCTTCTTCACGTACGGTACCATGGTCCTCGATAGCGGTACCTGGGAGGACACCAAGAGCAAGTTGAGTAAGATCTATCTCAAGACCTTAATCATCAACTACAGTGTGTGGTTCCCAGTCCAATTTTTCAACTTCTTGATTGTGCCCCGCAATTTCCAAGTACCATTTAGTTCATCCGTTTCAGTGTTATGGAATTGTTTCTTGTCTATGAGAAACTCAAGCAGTTAGTGTTATTAAAGTGTCTATATACCTAAATATACATTCCAGAGTTAGAGAATCCATTGAACTTCCTGACGGTGCTGCTAACTTTCTTCAAATATTCCTCTCTTTGGTTGAGATCTTGAAGAATCAATTCGGCAACAGCGTATGCGGCGTCCACAATCGAATCATTGTCAGAAATCTCGAAACCAGATTGTCCTTCGGAATTCAACACCAAAATGATGGCCTCAGAGTCTTGCACTAAGCTGAGCTTGGAGGTAACAGCGCCAGAAATACCTGTTATTGAGTGGGGTGGCTGTAAAAATGGAATGGAATCATATAAAGAAGGGAGCACAAGCAGCTTATGGACCACAAGTTTATTGATGGTTTGGTTGTTGTTCAAGCTGCAGGGGGCAATGAGTAGCCACGACTTTTGAGGCCTAAGAACCTTAACTAAAACAGTACTTAAAACGTTGTATGTGATGACATTTGAGAACTGTGGGATAGTGACAGTAATGAAAGACCCATGCTTCATCACGTCCAACTCGAGACTAGGATATTTTTTGGCATTCACCTTCTCTATCACTGCATTATATAATTGGACGTCTTCGTCGTATTCCTCGGTGGGCTCCTGTACTTCTGGCTTGGGGTATGTTATAGATATCGAGCCTACTTTGACTCCATTGGAAAAACTTTCGGTTAAAATTCCTACTGTCTTGGGTACCACCAAAACATAGTCGTATTCTGTGGTATCTAACTCAACTTCTATATCTGGGATTGGGGCTGGGGTGCCATCTTCTTCATCAATGATGTGGCGTGGTGCTCGGAGGTTAAGCGGTTTGATCTAATGTTAGTAAGTTTTGAGACTCAAGAGAAGGTGTCAACATCAAGATCAAGGTTCAATGCTCTATTTATGGCTGATCATCCGCTTATTTGACTATAGTACATACCAACATAGGTGCTTCGATTGGTAGAATTTACAGAGGCAATAATATGGAGAACAGTAGGTGCGTCACGTGCCACGCACCATAATTGCCTGCCTATCAGAATTGGCCCTTTTTCACACCACAGGGTCGGTAGTACTTCCACTTTGTAGTGTGACACTCTGACACCCACTGAATCTGTAATGTTGTGCAATTTTGGCGCCAAATAGGCTTAGAAAAGCCACCTATTTATCGCCCATCTATTTGAAACTACAATCTATATGCAGAACCCTTTGCCTACCTGCAGAACCCAGGATTATACATCTGCGCAATGTTTGAAAGTGAGCCCATCAATATCATCACCTAATGCTCAAGTCAAGGCTTATTAGTGTTGCCAGAAGCTCAAGAGGGGTTACCAGAAGCTACCACTCGGTAGACCATCCAACCTCAAATCAAATAGTCAACTCGAAATCCGTCGAGTCCAAGATATTGACCAAGGCCTTGGACTATATTCCCAAATTTGGATTTGAATCGATATGTATAACCCAAGCCATTAGAGATATGGGGTATGCTGACTCCTTAGAATCTAGTGTTACTAGCAACCCTATTGGTACTCCTGAATTCCAGTTGATGTACCATTGGCTCAAGGTGCAAAGACAGAACTTGGAACAACTTGTAGTTGATCCCAAGAGTGAGTTTCACCAAATCCGTGACGAGTACGACAGAGTCAGCTACTTGATTAAAAAGAGATTGGAATTTAACGTGCCTATCATCAACAAGCTTGGAAAAGGGTTGGGACAGCTTGTTGTTCCTTACAACATCAACAGAGGCATGGAAGAGTTACATAACTTGAGTGACGACATATCCTTTTATGCTGGCGATAGATCAAATGACTTCGCTTGGTACTCCAAAAGATTGAGTTTGTCTTCGGTTTATGTGAGCTCGGAGTTGTTCATGTTACAAGACTCCAGTCCTGAATTTAAGAAGACCATGGAGTTTGTGGACAACAAAGTTCAAGGCATAAACGATTTGGGTAATGCATACAATAACGTTGAGCAATGGGGATTGTTCAATGCAATCACCTTGGTCAACTTGATCAAGTCACAATTGCTCAGGGGTTGAATCTAAGTTGAATTTAATTTGTCATGTTCATAGTACTTTATAATTCTACAGTTTTCTCAGAAAATCTATCTCATTATGTATTAAACTCGTTAACGGTACCCTCTACTAGTTGCCCATCTTAGCTCTGACTGCTAAAATCCCATCTCTGGTTTTTTCTATTCTCTTTTCTTCATCGGTGACTTTAGTTTCGACTCTCTTAATTTCATCTTCGATGAACTCAATTCTCTTGGTAACATTCATTTTGGCTTCTGCATAGTCTTGGGGTAATAATATGGGCCCCGTCAACTTGTAAATCTTTGAATCATCGTTCAACTTTTCGAACTCGGCCAACACTATCTTGTTCTCTTGATACTGGGTTTCAAGTTGTGATCTTGCAGTTATCAATTCATTGAGGTTGTTCTGTTGGTTACTAAACTCCATAGAGAGCTTTTCAAACTCTTGCTTGATGTCAGACATATTGTTGGAACTATTCAAAATCAAACCAGTTTGAATTTTCAAGAAGATAAAAATGTATGGTCACGTGGTATAAAGTCACGAGAATTCGTATCCATTAGATAAGCAAAAGAACCTATATAAACCTAAATACTGCGGCAGAGGACAAATGGAATGATCTATGAGGGTCCTTGATACAAGATGTTTTAGTCGTACGTCACAGATGTAGCATAAAGTGCAATAGTTATTACTGAAACGACTTTCTATAAATGTGCCAGACACTTAAGACGGAAAGATATCAATGTCATCTTCATTGATAACAATCTCAGTAACATGTACTTTATACCTCCTGTTGGTCGAATCACCCCCATATCCACTCATTTCTTCGTAATCATCATACTCGTCATACTCATTGATCACAGCATTATCGTCTTCGTCGGAGTCCTCATCCTCGTCATCTTCTTCGAGGTGGTAATTGCTCTCGTCATTGTCTCCCTCTGTATTCTTATTATTTTTCTCCTCTTCATTTTCTTCCACTTCCATAGGTGACTCTGACATTTTGTCTTCGGTGGAGTTATCCTCGTCTTCATCATCAATCACAGCATTGTCCAAGCTGGTATTAGAGTCAAGAAATACGGGCCTGGGGAAATCGTAGGAGGTATGACGACGCTGGGCAGGTGAGCCACAGCCCTTCCCAGTCATGGCTGCAGACGATTTTGGTTGTGATCTAGAATTGGACCTAGACCTTGACTTGGAAAAGCTGAGTGCTCTAGTTTTCCGTTCATTTGCAAGCGACCGCAGTTGCTGGTAGGGGGAAGCGAACAAGTCCTGGTTAAATATAAACCCTTGGCACTCCTTCAAAGAAATGATGTTGTAGCTCCCATTGTCCGAGAAGAAGCTAGGAGAGTCATATACCGAGAAATTCTCATTTTGGATCATCAGTGGTGACAAGAACGAGTTCCTGCGAAACCAGGGCGATGAAGTGGATGCAAACGAAGAGCTTCTTCTTTTGTTGGATTCCAATCTGGGGGAGCCAAACTCGGGTTTAGAAAGGATGCTGCTGGAGGTGTCTGATGCGTGTAGGGACTTCCGCCTCGTTTTGGGGCTACCAGAATCATCCATGCTGTTGGACATCTTGATAAAAAGAAGGAGGATAACAATCAAATTGTAGCAGAATAACCACAATTACTCACAGGCAGGCTTTATCGGTCCTGATAGGGGGTCATGTGACAGTTTAAGGAGGTGCGAATCTGTTATGCGGCCAGCCAGGCCGGTGGTGGTCACACGACCGGTGATCCAAACCACCCAGCAAGCAAGAGTAACTATACTGGATGGGTGGGACGTTTTCAAGCTACAAAATGCTATGCTCATAACCTTTACTTTATACAAGAACTATCATAAACTTCGTAAATACAGTTCCATCTCGTAGATGGTGACCCTAATAAGTTGGGAGATGCATTGCCTATTGGCTGGCGATATTCACTTCCTTGTACCAAATTCCGCCTTTTTCCTTGAGTCTGTTCATGACAAACTTCAAGCCTTCTCTGGTATTGGACATGTTGGACGAGAACCGTTTGAGGCTCCACTCTTCGATTTTTTGTTTGAAGCCCATGAGATTGGAGGAGAACTTGACTTTGGCCTCCACCAACGTGCTGTTAGGGTCCACCGTGCTATACTTCAAGTATTCCTCCACCCGGATAAACTTGCGATGGTCAACGTTGGAAGTGTAGGAAAGAAGGGTCTGGGTTTTGGGGTCCACCACCACCTTCTCGATAATCCAGGAGTCGAGGTTGGAACCCAAGAACGGTTTGATAAACCCCGGCAATCTCCCTGTTTTGACCACCAATCTGGTGAACCTCAAGCACCCGTCTTCGTCTACCGATTGTTCCAAGGTGTCACTGCTTAGCACATGCTTGGCAAAGGGGTTGGGGTACCGATTGAAGTAGGCCAAACTCACGGTCTGGAAATCGTGGTTGTACACGTGTGAGTTTTCGAAGAAGAGAACCATGGTCAACTAGTCTAGGGGTGGTCTGACTGGTGATGGACCGTAAATTTTCCAAACCACTAGCGGAGAGCGATTGGTAAGCGGTCGTGCGCGCGCCTCGGACATAATCAGAGGCCGGTGATTGTGCGATACTGGCACCGAAATTGTCCCCATGCTCTTGCCTGAGAGGGGGATTGTGCTGGTGTTGCGATCGGATGCGTTAGCTATCGTGGTATCTGGAGCCGTGACGAAATCGTATCAACAATCGACTCTGTCAGGAGATATGCGTGTACAGTATTCTTTTTCAGCAGGGAACACATATCGGATTGAATTCAATAGGCTAGCCTGGACAAGGCATGAAATAGCAGCAGTATTGGCACCGCTGCCTGTGAAGGAAAATAGGGCCTCAATCGCCTTTTATGAAATATCCTAGTAGATTAACCATAATTAATAGTCTCGCACCGAGCTTCCCAATGGCAAGGTTTATAGCCATTCGCGGCTTCATACGAGATCGTGCTGCCCTCAGGCACAGTGTAACCCTCAGGCAGAGAATTCTCCGCCTTATTCTCCTGGAGAAGATCATCCTCGATTTATGCAAGCAATGTAATTCTGGGACGCGAACAGTTCAAGAAGATCGATCGGCAGCCAATGAGGTCATACTACTCCACAGTAACCCCAAGCGATCCAGGAACCAAGCCTGGCAAACCGCCCAATGGCATACACAGCCATGCCCCACCAGCCCCACTTTCTCCGTCATTCGTTACACATTTACGTCAGGCCGCCATTGCTCGTGGCCCCACGTCAAACAGGTGTTGTCTGGTTGCAAACAACAAACAACCCAACAATAATAAGATGGTAATAATATGGCCGCCACTGGACACCAGCAGCGACTTCTCACCAATGGGAAACGTGTCGTGTTCAGAGCTCCACCCACGGACCTACTGGCCAACCACTCTAATACCGCCACCATCGTTTGCACCATTCTGACACTGCCAAGCCTGTCGCGGGTGCCGTTTAATGGCGAGCTCGGAGCGTCTGGGGTAGAGGTGGGGCAACTGCCTAAAAGACGTCCATTCCCGCCTGGGGACCAGAATCAGCCCATGGTCGCCGACACGGACACCTCGATCCAGCCTGGGGTGCAGTGTGGGGCAGATACCAGGTTCGTACCTCACGGTAGCGGTAAGCGATCGGTCCACCCGGTGCGAACCAAATCCGTGCCGGGGCAGGTGGTTCCCTGCGGTACCGCGCAATGACGGTAGGTAGCGCGGGGGAGCTATTCAGGGCACGTAATTTCAAGTGCGCAGGGAAATTTTTTAGGCATCACCGCAGAAACCGCTGGCTGCGTCCCCCGAGAATGACACCAACTGCGCAGTGGCGGGCATTATGCCCCAGACCCTGGTGGTGTCTCCAGCCGCGCTGTGACATTACCCACCATGTTGGCAGCAGCCACGGGTCATCACACCATGCCTACAACCATCCCACCATGCTTGCCACTTTCCCGCCGTCCCCTGATGGTATGGTCCTTCCAGGAACATTGCCTCACAGTTGATGCCCGGCCCCACCAGTTTTCTTGGGCATCTCGCCTAGTTTTTCCCTGTCGGACCGTTGCTGCGAGACTGCAAAAAAAAAAACCGTGCACCAAAAGAAATACCAACCAGAATTGTAAGTCATCGCCATTCAACAGTGCCTGTGGACGGTCCAGAGTCCTAGCTAGCGGGTTCTGGTGTGGGGTCCGCGGTTTGAGGCGTTTGCTCGGCTTATGTCCATCCGCTTCCTGCGGTTCGCAGGTATCCAGTCTGGGGATTCTCCAATTACAACCACCCATTGTGTTATCTGGTGTAAGCGATCTTTCTCCACGATTGTATAAAAGCTCCGGTCGTGGCTTGGTTATTTCAGATATATACCCACCCATTTCCTATCTTTGAAACTTCCCATATCTCCCAAACTCCGACTAGTCTTTCCTACCATGTCGGATATTCACAAACCCAGAGTTGAGTCTCTGGAACCTACCGTGCTGGAGATTGGTCCTTTCTACTCCGATTCCATGAACAACTCCAAGTGGCAAGACTTCAAAGACTCCTTCAAGAGAGCTGTGCCCACCGAGAAGGATGAAAACGTCAGAAGCAAATCCATCACCAAGAGACACTTGAGGTTGATGGCCTTGAGTACCGGTCTCGGAACCGGTCTCTTGGTGGCAGCTGGGCAAAAGCTTAGAACTGCAGGTCCAGCAGGTGTCTTGATTGCTTACTTCATCACCGGTTACATCATGTTGGTTCCTACCATCAACTCCGTCAGTGAGCTCAGTATCGCATACCCAGGCTTGCCTGGAGGGTTTCAAGCATATCCATCCAAGTTCATAGATGAGAGTTGGGGCTTTGCTTTGGGCTGGAACTATGCCATCCAGTGGATGACTGTCATCTGGTTAGAGTTGGTGACTGCCAGTATGACCATCAAGTTCTGGAACACCAGCATCAATCCCGATGCCTTTGTGACCATCTTCTTGTTCGTGGTTATTCTCATCAACTTCTGTGGTGCCAAGGGTTATGCCGAAGCAGAATTCTTCATGAACTCCATCAAAGTTTTGATGTTGGCAGGCTTTGTTATTTTCGGATTGATCATTGACTTGGGCGGAGGTCCTCAAGGTTTCGTTGGTGGAAGATACTACCATGACCCTGGTGCATTCACTAGTTTTAAGGGTTTAGTGTCCGTGTTCGTGACTGGTGCCTTCTCCCTTGGTGGAAGTGAGTTCATCTCTCTTTCTGCTGCTGAAACTGGTGGTAATGTGAGAGCAGCCATCAAGAGTGCTTCCAAGTTGATTTTCTTTAGAGTCACTGTCCTTTTCTTGGGATCCTTGTGTATGGTTGGTTTGTTGGTTCCATCCACTTCCGACAGATTGATGGGCTCTGGCGATGCTGCCACCCATTCCTCTCCATACGTGATTGCTGCCGAAATGCATGGTGTTAAGGTCCTTCCTCACATCATCAACGCTGTCATTCTTGTTTCTGTCACCTCGGTCGCAACTGCTGCCATGTACAGTAGTCCTCGTCTTATCCAGTCCTTGGCTGAACAAGGGCTTGCTCCTCAATGGTTCAACTACATCGATAGATCCGGTAGACCTTTGAGAGCCTGGCTTGTCACTGTCGTCACCTCGTTCTTCTCGTACATTGCCACCTACGAGAAGCAGGAAACGGTCTTCAACTGGTTGTTGTCGATCTCTGCCCTTTCGTTCATCTTCATCTGGTTGGCCATTGCCATTTGCCACCTTAGATTCAGGGCTGCTTTGAAGCATAACAACATCCCCTTGAGCTCTTTGGCCTACGTGTCTCCCACCGGAGTCATTGGTTCGTGGTTGTCGATCATTGTCAACTCGCTTATCTTGATCGGGCAATTCTGGGTGGCTTTGTGGCCGGTTGGTGGAGACGGCAAGCCCAACGCAGAGTCGTTCTTCGAGAACTACTTGGGTATGCCTTTCCTCTTGGTGTGCTACGTGGGCCATAAAGTCTGGACCAAAAACTGGAAGTTATGGGTCAAGATAGAGGACATCGATGTCAACGGCGGCAGAGTCATCCACGATCCCGAGATCTTGGAGTTGGAAAACTTCGAAGTCGAGGAGAGATACAGAAAGGCTCCTTTCTGGAAGAAGGCTCTTATTGTCTGTTTCGACTAAACATTTCACTTCTGTTCGCATTATTTATTCTCAATAAACCAGGTATTTTGAAACAATTTCGCACCCATGTATTCAACACATATTTGTAGGTGAACTGATACACATTTCCTGGGCAGGGGGAGGGTATAAAGAGGAGAAAAGACGTCCCTGGAACTAGCCACTGCCATGGAGAAATCGAGCGAGTGTTTCTGGGGCGTGATCGCTGATCTACTCACGGTGTGCTCCCAAAGAGACGGGGTCGAGTACATGCTCGTCACAAAACATCGAGACAAGGGCCTTGATTTTCTGTACTCGTCCGGGTTCACTGCCACCAACAAGGACAAAATCGAGGACTTGCTTCAGGAGTATACTGGCGGCAGTTTATCAACAATCAAGCCCGCCCTCCTGAAGCAGTACATGTTGGAGCTTTCCAGAACGTCTAATCAAGAGTTGTACACCCAGTACTACAACTTGTTGAGCTGCGTGAGCCAGATTGCCTGCAAGGAGATTGCAAAGAAGTGGATCAAAGTCGTGGAGCCCAAGAAACAGAAAATGTACCCTTACAAGGACCACAACGTGTCCAAGCCCCCATGGTGGCCCCACAACGTGGACCATATCGAACCAGACCATTTGGAGAAGGATGGCCGCATCCAGCTCCTCATAAGGATCCTCAGGGATCCGACCATCCCCATTGAGTCCTTGAAGCTACAGACCACCCATCTCAACTTCAAGTTTCCTATTGTTCAGAGACTATTGAGTGAAATTTACTATCTAGCATTTTGGGACCGCGCTTTCTATGGCTATTGTAGCGGAAGTACCCACTACAAAACGCCCCTGGTGGGCCAGGATCTGGTCTTTATCAACGTTAGCAACCTAAGAGAGTCAGAGCTGAAGCCTGGCATTTTACGAGTCAGCCAGATTGTGCCAAGCGAGCTTAATTCGGCCATCTACGATGTTCAAGGTTGTCTTCCCGTGGTGGGGCAACTGGAAGTTAGAACACCAACTACTAAACCACCTGAAGTCGAACCCCTCGCAAAGAAGAGAAGATTGTCAGCTACTCCACTGAAGGCCAGTACGAACGTAGACTGTTTCAGTGACGTGAGCTCGTTGGGTGATTCAGTCAATTATTACTACAACAATGCTACGTATCTGCAACCCATCAAGATGGAATGTACTGAGTTGACATTTCCTCGTTTGTACCCTCCAGATCAGACAGAATCTGATTATGTTCCCTTTCTGTATTTACCGTAGTCTGTAAAATGAATATTACCATTTAAGAAATCCTAATTTGTAGCGCCTAGTTTGTGGTAGAATTGCAAACTTTTAATATTTGCATAAAATTTGAAAAAAAGTTGCAAAAAAGCTCGAACACCAAAGCTATTACATCAACTACCAAGCTGCTAACAACTACCATAATGACGAAGCAAACCGACAGAGAAGTGTCCACTCAAGCCAAAGAGCCCGAACACCCTCCTGTAGCACCAAAACAGGACAACAGGAATTTGTGCAACCACTTGCACGAATACGCAATGGTCAGAGCGGTTAGTGATTCCATCCATGCCTTCCCACTTTATCACGACATTGTATTGAAATGGTCTCCTACTGCAGCGGCTATTAGGGAAACCCAACCGCTAAAGCTTGTTTTGGATCAAGGCGACAAGATTGGCCATGCCGTGTTGACCAAGATGGACCAGTTGGTTCCATCGTTGAAGACCATCGAGTCTCGAGACGTAACCGAGCCAATCCTCAAGCCGGTACAAGTTGCAATCACAAGCGTCCAGAATTCTGTGGACTCAGCCAAGAAGGGCGTCAACAATACTATTGTCGAGCCGATCCAAACGATGGCCGTGAACGTCAAGCTGAAGGTACAAACCACGCTTACAGATTCGACAGGCAAGTGTGTGATCACGTCCCTGGTCGACCCAGTAGTCGGACCCATCAATTATAATTTGGAGCACCTTGTAGAGTCCTACTCACCTCAAACAAGAAAGGTTGCAAAAGATGGGTTCTCCAGTGAGATTTCGAGAACTATTGAATTGTTCAAAAATATCGCCACAAGATCCAAAGAGTCTCCACAAGTCCTTTCAGGTCATCAGTTACCTTTGATTGATTCCCTTGCTCGAGATGAACCTGCGCAAGGAAGTAACTCCAACTAAGGTCATCCAAATTATAGAAATACGTAGGGCGCTCACCACTAATTTGTCACGCTTTGTCCTCGACTTACTTGCTATAAATAAGGGCTTTCTCCAGTTTCAGTATATATTAACATGCAATAAAAAAGTATATTAGTTTACAATAGTGTAGTTCTAATAAACTACAATAGAAAAACAAGGAATATTACTTGAATTAATCCTTAGACTTTTTCTTCTTCTTCTTTGGGGACTCATCATCGTCAGCCTTACGCTTCTTTTCCTTCTTTTCCTTCTTTTCCTTCTTCTCTTTCTTTTCCTTCTTTTCCTTCTTGTCCTTCTTTTCCTTCTTGGCTGATTTTTCTTCCTTTTCTTCTTCTTCTTCATCTTCTTCGTCAATTTCAATTTCGTCAGCGAGATCACCAACTAATGACAAGGCAGCCTTGATAGCATCGGAGTTCTTCATTGGAGCAGCACCAGTTTCGTAGAAGTTCAATCTGTCTTCAACTTGCTTCTTCAAAATGTTACCGAAAGCAGTGGTAGGTTCGTCGGAGTAGTTATCAATTCTGGAGGCAATAGAACACTTGTTGGCTAAGAATCTGGAGATTCTACCCTTGTTCTTGGCAGCAGCCTTACCGATGAAAGAAGAGTGGTAGATCAAACCATACTTTGGAGTGTTACCCTTAGTCTTCAAGGCTCTGAACAAAGCCTTTTCAGCACCCAAAATTTGGACGGTGGAAGCAGCTTGCTTGGACAAGTTGGTCAAGGAACCAGCGTGGGAAATCAATCTAGCACCAACAACTTCACCAATCAAAGTAGACAAGTTTGGAGCAACGGTGTGCATCTTTTCAGTCAAGTATTGTGACAACTTGGCACGTTCTTCAGTGGTGTTGACAACGATTTCAGCGAAGTTGGTGACCATGTCCATATCTTGTTCACTAAGATCTTGACCCATGGAGATTTTAGCGTTATCTATAACTCTTTGAGCAACACCAGAGTCATCATTGAGAATGGCAGCAACATCATGCAAAGATTCGTCAGTCAAAGAAGCCTTGTCCTTGATGGTCAAAGCCAACTTGGCATAAGATTGGTTGTCTGGAACTATCTTGGCCAATTCAGGGAAATGCCATCCGTACCATTCCTTGACTCTCATGGCGTAAGTGTTGATATCTTTGTCCAATTGATCTAATAAAGCAATAGCTTGAATGATGTGGTTGTCGTTCTTTTGGACAGAGAACTTAACTTTAGCTCTGGAGAAGGCATGACCTAAACCTAATTGGGCTCTTTCGATGTCACCATCTTGCAATTCTTTGAACAACTTGGCACCGTGAACTCTGATACCTCTCAAGAAATCTTGGGCGATTTCTCCGGAAATACAGTCAACGTATGGGAAGACCTCCTTAATAGATGGACCCAAGTTCTTGTCGGAAACACCCAAAGAGATCTTGTTCTTAGCAGAGGTCTTTGGCAAGTTCAACTCCAAAATAGACTTCAAGTAGTCGGAAACCAAACCTTCAGAGATATCGTTGGCGTTCTCCAAAGCTTGGGCAGCACCCTTGAAAGGAGCAAAGGAGACCAATTCAACCATCTTGGAAAATTTAGATAAGTCATTAGATGCTTCTTGCACTTCGCTCATTCTGGAAGCGATGTCATCTTGTTGAATTAAAACCTTGAAAATAGCATACCCGGTAGCTTCTTCAAAGAGAAGGTAATCCAAACCACCCATACTGTACTTTATGTGTTATTGATGAATGTAACCAAGGAACTTTTTGGAAAATTCTACACACTAGTGCTTCTAAGTTTTGGTACAGTGGAAAATTTCTCCCTCATCTCACTCCAAATTTTTTCATGGTGCCTTTGTGTAAGGATCGACGGCACGTGACTTGATGGCCCTTCTTTTGCAGCTACGGGTGGGACAGGTAATGGTGGGGCTCTGCCGTCGTACAAGATGCTATACTGGATGCGGGTGCTATTATTACATTGCTATTTACTATCATTGTCGTGTTATCGTCATGCAAAGTTGATATCCCATCCAAGTTCTTTAAGGATGGATTGCCAATCAACCACAGTATCACCTTTTGGATTCTGTTCCCATACTTTCTCCACCAAGAACTTCGCTCTTTGGATATTCCAGGGGCCATAGAGCTCCATCAAGTTAGTCATCCGTTTGAGCAACACGTCACGATCATGTTTGGTCACACAATGGATTCCTGACATGAATAGCGGAAACACCAAAGAAGCTTGTACCGGGGTTCCTAGGAGAATGTCAATGCACTTGATCAAGTCAGTGTTGAGAACCTGGATCTCTATCATCGATGGGTTGCACTTCAAGATAGATTGTTTCAAAAAAAGCTTTGCACTTAGTTGGAAGGCTTCAAAAAGGGTAAGCTGCCATTCCAATTCAGAATCAGTTATGCCTATTAAATCTTCAGGATCAGGTCTTGAGCTATCGATTTCCTTTTCCAACAAATTTGCTTTCTCTATAATTGTGTAAAGCATCTTGTTGATTTTTCCGTGCTCACTTATCTCTGATTCCCCATCTTCACTCGAGCATTCAGTATCGAGTGAGGTGTAGGTCGGGGATTCATCGACTCCCTTTTTATTCTCTATTTCAATGATCCCCTCGGAATAGATTCGCTGAAGTATCTTTTTACTCTCGAACACTAAAGTACTGATATCTCCAATGCTCTTGTATAACTTCTTTGATACCCCCAACAAAGGATTCAAGTTACCTCTTGAAAATCCAGCTTTGTCGGAGAAAATAGTGGCATAATCCTCAGATGGAAAGTAAGTTCCCCTTTCCGTGGAAGAACTTGCCAACAAGTCATGATAGGCAAAATTTGATATCAACCAGTGCTCTTCTTTCAGTCTGTTGAAATTCAATATTCCACCATGAGCGTAAAGGATCTTCCAGCCCCAATTCAAGAAAATTGACCAATTTTTAACATCTCCCTTACAGATCTCTGCACCACAAAGAATCAAAAGGGTCGCCAACTTTATAATTGTCACTTGGCGATCTTCAGGTTGAGCAACAGTGTTGTTGTTCGATTTGACTTCTGTCAATGATTTCATGAGATGTTCAAGTGCCATATCCACATACTTGGTACCTTCTTCTTTCCATTTGCCTCCCAAATGAAACCCTGCCCACGCAAGAATACCATAGAGAACACCCTTGTCCTTGTAGGCCAAAGGTAAGAACACCTTCTGGTACGCATTTGATTCATTCTGCGAAGAAGGTGCTATACTAATTTTGTCTGAAAGTGTTTCCACATAGTAGTTGTACAAGTAAGCACATTTAGGAGTGGCCAACTCAGGGAGATAAGATGGAGGATGGGGAGGGAGTGGAGTAATGATGGAGTTTAGGTTTGTAATGAAATCTTCTCCGTTGGACGGGGTCATAAGTTGCAAATATTGACTATAGTAGGGACTTTGGGGATTGTTGAACATGTGGCCCAACTCCAGCAATGATTCAACAAATGAATTGGGCAGATGAATGGTTAAATCTTGGACGTCTTTGTTCACGACGAGCTGGTTATGTGGCTCGTCTTTGACTACGTGTTCTGACAGGACGGAGGATCTCTCTATAGGGGAATCTTGGATTCCATGATCTTTCAAGAATGTCAAAAAAGACGAAGGGGACGATGGGGATCTTGGTTGTTCGAGGCGAGGAGAATTAACCTGAGATGCACTCTGGCTAGCACTCTCAGCGAGGAGGTTAAGGTTACTCCTTGATGTGGAATCGAACTGGGGCTCGTCATGGTTATGAAGGGAAAGTAAATGTGACATTGGCGACTCGACAGGGGCTTGGGCTAAATTGTTCCCGTCCAATGTTGATCTGAGATCGGAATGACTATATCTAAATGCCCGAAGGGGTTCACCGGGGCTGGCGTGGTCGTGTGCTAGTTTGGGTGAAAGAATTGAAGGTGATGGATAATTAATGTACGAAAGATGACTTGGAAGTTCCTTGACAGGTGCATCCTTTTCGAACTTGATGTTGTTGATGGAGGTCTCATCCGCGAGTTCGGGGGACTTGGAACTCTCTGGATGGGAATCAGCTGGTTTTGGTTCAGTGGACTGAGTTCTGGCTGGCTCGAACTCAGCAGGTTTCGAAGCCGTCTGTTGGGGGTTGGTCAGTTTGGATCTTCGTCTTCTTAGTTTCTGGGTCTTTTCATCGTTTTCGGCCTTCTCCCTGATCTCCTTGATTTCTGCTTCCGACATGTTCTCGTAGTCGACCCAGAGACACTCCTTCTTCAATCGGGAGCATCCAGAGCAAGTAGGTCTGAGCTCATCACACTTCTTTTTCCTTACCTTACAGGTGAGACACCCGTTTCTGGATCTCCTCGAGGACTTGGTGTTGAAGAAGTCGGTGGACTTGTTGATGAGCTTGAAGGAAGGGTCGCTGCCTTGGCTCGATGTCTTGGTGACAGGCTCGGAGGTCGAGCCTCCTGGTTTCTCGGGGGTGCTTGGGGTGAGGTCATGGGCGACCTTCGATGCCTTGCGGCCACCAGGGCTGATTTCTGTATTGGCTCGTTTCTTGGAATTAAAGGTAACCAACATTTCATCCATTCCTCGATGTAGCTGTTAATGGAGGTGCGATGTCATATAGGTGCAATGGAGGGCCACCAGGAAGAAGAAACAAAAGTGAGATGTGAATTACAGCTGGTACAGGAGCACAGAAAAAAGATTGTAATTTGGGAACTTAAAGCTAGGCCAAAGCCATTTAGTCAGTTAACACAGAGTGGGGTTACATGGGCCAGAAGTTAATGGTCCAATAGTGCAAGGCACGTAAGGGTGCAAAAAGTGCTATTGGATTTGGAGAAAGGGACCAGCAGTGGGGTACTTAAAAGTAGCCACAAAAATGTTGGGTGGGGAAAAACCGGATGGAGGGAAATTGAATCTGAGATGGAACGATCATTATAAAGAGGGGCTCGATGGTCGCAGGGGGATCCGGATAGTAGCCGGAGGGTGGGGCAGAGCGATGGGGAAGGGATGTTTCGATGCCAGCCGGACCTGGGACATGGACGTCACGAGAGAAGGCGCACGTGACGCCTCGTCCTCCAGTCGTGCCTGCGGTGGGCCGCTCGCGGCCAACCAGATTTTTCCATGACGTTCCACGGATATTGCAGGTTGGAGTCAGCAATGTGCAGCTTGCTAAGTGTAGTGTGTCACCTCACCCTCATAGATTTTGGCGGCAGTTCTTCCACACAACTGGATTTGAGATTTCGATTTACTACAGTTGATTTCATATTAACCTCCCCCATATAATCCATTACCATGTCTTTAAAACGTATTAACAAGGAGTTGACAGACTTAGGAAGGTATGTATTGACCGCGGATTTCGTGCTGCCCCTCATACAGTGAAGCTGGATGTTGGCTCTGGGTCGGCTCAGTGCCGGACTTTTGCCACACAAGGTTTCGTCGTCAAATCAGGTTTGATCATCTTCATGATGGAGGTGTGGTTGGTGGCATCGTGGCGAGCGACGTGGTCCTCGACTTGGGGCCCCTCGCCACCCCGGCTGCTGTGGCTGTTCATTACTAACATCTAGAGATCCCCCCTCCTCATGCTCCGCAGGCCCAGTGGGCGATGACTTATACCACTGGCAGGCATCCATTATGGGCCCCCCAGACTCACCATACGCCGGAGGTGTGTTCTTCTTATCTATCCACTTCCCTACCGACTATCCATTCAAGCCTCCAAAGATTGCTTTCACCACCAAGATCTACCATCCAAATATCAACAGTAATGGTAACATCTGTCTAGACATCTTGAAGGACCAGTGGTCGCCCGCCTTGACCATCTCCAAGGTCTTGTTATCTATCTGTTCGCTTTTGACTGATGCTAACCCTGATGATCCATTGGTGCCAGAAATCGCTCACATTTACAAGCAAGATAGATCCAAGTACGAGGCCACTGCCAAAGAATGGACCAAGAAGTATGCTATCTAACCGGTTGTGGGCGTTTGAAGTAAAACTTATACAGAATAGACCAATGGTGTCATAGATCGACATCCTTGGATTTATAAACGTTTTTATACATCCTTCAATAGCTTTGGACATACTTTAATGGAAATATCTCTAGTCATATGACTTACCCGTAGACTTGCACTGCTATCTTCAGTTGTATTCCTACCTGTGCTCGTCACTATTCGCTACGCAAGTAGCGATAGGGTGTAGAACACTTCTAGCATATCATTTTCTTGCTAATATTCAGCTTGGTGCCATCCTCTCTCGAATGGCATCTTCTCCCTCGGTCCACCTTTCTCTTCGCTCATTTATTGTCCGTCTTTTCTGGTATTAACCATTCTTTGCCAACCCCAGTTTGTGAGCACAAAAATCGCTACGAAAAAAATCGAGTGCAACGATAACCTGGTTGAAAACGACTGTAGGGAGTATTCTAGCCTACCATCGACAATCAATCGTTCCAAGAGGTTTACTATCTGGAAGTTGATCTCCGAGTGGCGTGGAACACTTCGTAATTGATTTGAGTTGAGTCAATTCAGTTGAAAGTACTGACAAAGCCGGTCTGTTTCCAATACTACCCATCCATCAAGTTCATCATCACAAGACGTGACGACTAAATACTATTGCTAGGACTGTCCTAAACTGTGCCAAGAATCAAGAAAACGAGTCTTGTTGTCCAAATACAACGATCAGAGTCGGTGCAACCAACATTAAGGACGCGACAGCATCACAGATCAAGCCTATAAGCTCCACAATCAAAGGTCAATATGGAAAGGCTATCAGCATTTGAGCTCAACAACTCCCGAAAGCTCTTTGAGTTGGCCAAGAAGTTACAAGACAAGAAGTTTTTCGAAACTTTCTTGAACGAAGCCCAATTCAAAATACTTAAGCATATAATCGATTTAGACAACTTTGACGTATGGTATAATTTTCTCGAAGGAAATTGTTATGTTCAGTTCTTGGATGATATTGGAGCTGATGATGCACAAGCTGAAGTCAAGCTCGAGCCTGGATTGAAGAAATCTGACCAGAATACCGAAGACACATCGATGGAAAATCCTGAAGAAGATTCAGAGAAAAGAAATGACTCTCCAACAGTACTGTCTGAGGACAAGGAGAAGACAGAAAGGAACTCGGAAGAATCGAATCAACCACCCTCAGAATCAGAAACAAAGGAAGAAGAGTCTAAAGGAGAAAAATCAGAAACAGGCACCAACCAAAATGACAACAATGAACTTCTATTTGAAGAAGGATCAAAAATGATAAAAATGTTGGCATTGCATATCAGATATTTGTTATGGGAGAAAGCAATTGATTTTTACTACGTTTCCAAAGATTTAGACCGGTCTGTGCATGACATCGAAGAGGTTACCGATGATTATGAATTGATTGACTCCTTGGACAATGTGCCGGAAGATGAAGAGCAGAATAAACCAGAAGAAGCATCCCAGCCTAGCAAACCCGTTGTTAGAGAAGAGGAAGATGAGTATGACGATGAAGATGACGATGACGAAGAAGTTCAAAAAGAGAAAGAGTCACAGCATGAAAATAAGGATGGGTCAGAGAAAAATGAGCTCGTTCTTGTTTTCAATGACGATAAGCAAATAGTCCTCGAAGTTCCTCTTTCCATTTTAAAACTGCAAGAGGCGAATCCAGAGGAGGAATTGACAAATGAACTTTCTGAACCGGCACCAGTGTCAGCCGAAAAAACAGAATCTCCTGCTTTAGCAGGGAATGAATCGTTTCAAGAGCAAAGCCCTGTTCTGAATCGTCCTACAACATCAAATGAAGAACACGATGCTTTAATAAAGGAATTCAATAAAGTGTATCATAACTTTGAATATGATCGTGAAACTTTGATCAAGAGGCGAAAATTGGAACGTTCAGATTTACAACTTGAAAATTCTAAGGATACAGATGATCAAGAATCCAATTTAAATGGTTCATCTTCCGATACACCGGGTGCCGCTAACAATTCATCTAGCAGTATGGGGATCAATTTGGGTGCAGCCAGTACATCATTGCAGCATTTATTGAGTACTATTCAGCAGCAAAGAGACAATGTTCCATTGAATGACCATGAATTACGAACGCTTTTCATGGATGTTAGAAAAAATAGGGGCAAATGGGCTAACGATGATAGAGTTGGCCAGGAAGAGCTCTATGAAGCGTGTGAAAAAGTTGTTTTAGAGTTAAGGGGTTATACAGAACACTCTACCCCTTTCTTGAACAAAGTGTCAAAGAGAGAGGCCCCAAATTATGGGTTGATCATCAAAAAGCCAATGGATTTGAACACTGTTATGAAGAAATTAAAGAGCTTGGCTTATTCATCAAAACAAGAATTTCTTGACGATGTAATGCTTATTTGGTCAAATTGTTTAACCTACAATGCTGATCCAAAGCATTTCATAAGAGCACACGCGCTAGCAATGCAAAAGAAGACCATGAAATTGGCCCCATCTATTCCAAATATTACTGTTCGGAACAGAGCTGACATAGAGTTGGAAGAAGATGAAGCCGAAGCTCGCCCAGCTACTCCCCTGGAACCTGGATTCGGGGGTGGTAAAGCCGTAAAGAAAGGAAGAAAAAGAACAAGGCAGGACCAAGTAAAGACAGAAACAGACCCAAATTCACCTATAAGTACCGCAGTATCGGCAATTGCATCACCCGAGGTAAAAGTGGCAGCTTCGGAAACCCCAGCAGTGGAGAATGGAAATTTGTCTAATGATGAAGAGGAAGAAGAAGAAGAAGAGGCAGAAAATATTAATGGTGAAGCGGATGGGATTCAAGAAGAAGAAGAAGAAGACGAGTTCGATCCTGAGCTTCAAGCATGGAGGGCACTAACTGCCAAATCAAGAGCAAATTATTGTGCTCAACGTTCGGAGTTATTTGACGAGAATTACCATCTCCGTCCTAATGCTAGAGCAATAATAAGAAAGCCTGCCGAAATGCAAAATTTCAATGAATACTTGACAAATAAGGAAGTTGTATCTAAATCAAATAATCTTTTAGAAAACGAGGAACCATATTTGTTAGAGTACGACATTACGGGAGGAATTCCAGGATTCGAATACAAAGGTGTTGATAAAGAAGAAGAAGAAAAACGCGAGGAGAAGTTAGTTGATATTTACTTGCAGCAAGCTCACGGTGATGCATCGAAGATTAAATCAGGATTTGTTCTTCCAACTGATTCAGGGTTGAACAAGTTGTATTTCGAGAACATTACTGAAATGCAAGAAATAAAAAAGATTTGCTTTAAGATTTCTTTGATTCGTCAAATGCAAACCCAGCAATTTGTTCATCATACTCAAATGAAGCAGCCAGAAATTGAAACTTTGAAAGAGGTCGACGTCGATTCTGCGTCTAAATTGCCTAATCATGAAATTAATGAAGAAGACATTCAGTTTGCTGTATTGAGGAGGAATGTTGCTAAAATAGCAATGCAAACCGGGTTTGAGTCAACACAACCCAATGCAATCAATACTTTGACACAAATTGCTGAGAGGTATTTGGGAAATTTGGTCAAGTCGCTCAAGATGCATAATGAATCCAACTCATCAAACAAATTAACATCAAGAGAGATCTTGTTGATGTCGTTACTTGAGAACGGTGTTGACAAACCTGATGACTTATACACATATGTACAGGAAAGAATTGTGAAGCAACAAGACAAATTGAAAGATTTAAGAATCAAGTTGTCTAATTTTTTGAAAGAATTATTGAGGCCTGGTTTGGAAAATTTCAATGAGAGAAGTTTTGAGGACAATAGTGAGCAATTTATGACAGGAGATTTCTCAAGTGATCTAGGAGATGATTTCTTTGGCTTTAAGCAATTGGGTTTGGATAAAGAGTTCAACATGTTGAGTACATCTATTCCCATTTATTTGTTGCATTCGAGGCTACACAATTCTTACAGTAGCACGGGTGTTGCTAGTAAAGGCAATAAATTTGAAGATTTGAATGATTTTAAGCCTGAAGATTTATATGCTAGTACAGTGGACCAGCAAATTGGATTGCTTGTACCATTCTATAGGAGGCTTTGTGAGAAATCTAAGGCTCATTTCATTAAGATGCAAAAGAAGAAAGGCGAGTCCACCGAGCTTCCACCTAATGATGCATTGATTATGATTGAAGATGAGGAACTTCCCCAAAAACAAAGAAATATCAGACCAAGATTGCCACCTACTGGTAAGATCTCATCTGTGAAAAAGAAGATAGTTGCTAACTCATTCTTTTTACCCGAAGAGACTGATTCTAACTCAGAAATCTCGCAACCATTGAAGTCAGAACAACTTTATTCCATGAAGGCCGAGGATTCCAAATCTAGTGTCTCGTCCAAAAGCCCCAAAAAGCTGCTGGTGAAAATGGAAGCGTAATGCGCTATGTAATTTAGACGATCGGAATTGTGTATTATTTATGTTTCATAAAGGACTGTACTGTTAGCATGCCTTCATGTCCTGGAGTAGAGTTCAGGCACGTGACCCAATATCCCACGTTTAGTGCTGCGACTTCAACGCGTAGTGAACCAGTCATCACCAAGCCCGCCTACTCTACTAGTTGATACAGCATAACACATCATCAATGTCGCAGATACACCATGAATAAAGAGGATCCAAAATATGTCAGCCAACTTCCAAAATTCTCCAAACTTCCGAAAGATGACCTACCCAAGAGAGATGTCTTCGGAAGAACCATTCTACATCTCTTGATCTTGAGCAACAGGAGCAATCTTCTCCAAGAGTTATTGAAAAATTCTCACATTAAGACCATCTTTAACCTCTGTGATTATGAGAACGGATGGAACTGCATGCATTACGTGATATTTTACAAGAGAATATCATGTTTTAGAATGTTGCTTGACTATTTCCGAGGAACTAGTGCTAAGCAAAACCTGGTTCTAGCCACCAACTCCTCATTACTAGAGATTTTAAAAACGAAAGATAGGGCTGGAAATACTCCATTACAATTGCTTGATAATGATTTTAAAGACCTCATATGGATACCAGATTACATTAACGAAAAGAGCGAGTTTCATATATCTTATAGATTCAAGCTGAACAAAGAGCCGGAAAGCGCGAAGAGGGCCTCTATCAAGTCTCCTCAAATACCCTGGAATCATGCCAGAGGTGGTAGTGAGGTTTACATGTTTGGAAACAATAACAGTAACCAATTGGGGTTTGGTGATTCAACAGATAGATCTATTCCTTCCAGGCTATCACATAACCCATTCAAAAAGTACAATCAGCATTCCCTTTCAATTGAAAATCTCAAAAAACCTCGTTACAAGCAAGTTGCTTTATCTAAATACCACTCAATCATATTGACTAGTTCTGGTGAATTGTTTTCCTGTGGGAAAGGCTCTAGGGGCAGATTGGGCCTTTCAAACCTTAGTGATAGCTTCAAGTTCCAGAAAATTGATATAGAAGATCCCATTAAATTTGTATCCAGTCATAACAATCATACAATTGCTGTCACCTTGCAAAACGAAGTATATTCCTGGGGTCTTAATAATTACAACCAATTGGGTTATGATTCATCTTCAAAATCTACTAGCAAAGGATTTACAGAAAAATTTGAACTGAGTCCTTCTCTAGTCGGAGGTGATTTGAGGAAAAATAGTGCAGAAATCAAGGGTGTTGCTACTTCTAAAATTCACGGAGTAGTATTTACCAAAACTGAATTGTTCTTTTGGGGTTTGAATATTGGTCAAATGGGGTTCACGGCTAGTTCGCAAAATATTGAATTTAAGCTAGATGATACCGTGTACAAGGGAGAGATTCAATCTACCCCAAGGGCCATTTCACTTAGAGATAATGTCAAATTAGTTGAAACTTGTGAATTGTGTACTTTTGTGGTCACAGATAAGAATGATATTCATGTATACTTTCAACACCATCATTATAAACTCCCAAAGATTCCAGTGAAGGGGTCCAGTGATAAACATTTTGATATTTTCAAACCTACCAGTCTTACTAAAGCTGTTCTGATTCAAAAAATTGTGGCAAGAAGCCTTGGCTCATGTATTATCTTGCTTGATAATGGTAACGTTATGAGTTTTTCGTTCAATCCTGACGACTATAAGAATACAAAGTATCTCTTTGTATGGCGAGCATATGATCATGACATGGTGGTCACTGATATCGATGCGTCTTATGATGGGTCAATTGTTCTTTGCACAAGGAATGGCTCGGTGTTTATCAAGTCAAGTCAGACCAAGCAAAGAAAACATTCGGTAACAGAAATCTCTTTGCCAATGCCAATCACTAAGAACAAATTCAAAAGACTTGATAACTTAAATAAGGTAGTACAGGTTTTCTGTGATCCAAGCTTTTCGTCTTTTGGATTTTTGAGAGACGATGTGGATTTATTACCTTTGAAATTGCAAAAGAATGATTTTGTGGATGATCTTGCCTATTTGAGCTGTATTAATGACGAGAATACCTATAGAAAACAAGATCAGTTGCTTACGTTGGATCATAACTACAAGACTTATGTCACAAACTTCTTCTACCCAGATAGGCTTGCCAATGATGAAGCTGATGAGCCCACTGCCGAAGACAATACAGGAGTAGTCGACCTTCTTGAGAAAAAGTATCATCACAAATACGATTACATCAGGAACCGTAAACCAAGAAGCTCAGAGACTTATGATTTAGAATTAAACACTATTCAAGATGGTTCGGTGAATATCACCAACGAAAAGTCGTTCAAGCTGAAATTTCTCGACGGACCATCTGATAACAGAGGATTTGACTGCAAGATTACTTTTAAGGATTTTCCCACCGTTAGCATAGGCTTTCATAAGCTTGTTTTACAGTTGAGATCAAGACCGATGAAGAAGCTTTTCGATGAGACTAATTCTGACGACCTTTTTGTGTCTGGTGATTTTCAGGCACAGTATTATAAGGATGAAAACAAGCTAGAAGTTCAGAGTCCTATTAATGCTATATCCATGGCATTGTTCATCCACTTCGTTTACTGCAATGATTTCCTAGATCTAAACGATGAAATTTTGAATCTGTTAGATTGTACTTGTTCCGACATAGTGAAATTTAGGAGGAAGGTTTCACTTGAGGTAGATCATTTGAAGAGCACATTTCAAATTTTTGATATGAACACAAGAACACTGGGAATATTGGGAGTCACAGAAATCTTTTCCACTTTGTTGGTGGAAAATTCAGGCGATGTTATTGTCCGTTTGAAGGATGATGAAATTAAATGTCATTCCTTTATTTTGAAGGCAAGATCAGCCTATTTTGAAACCTTACTTTCCGACAGATGGGTAAATGATGGAACTGAATTCTTAGATTTCACAGATGTAAGTCTGACGACCTTTGAAGCAATTCTCAAGTTTATCTACGGAGCTCATTCCGATCAAATATTTGATTTCGAATATCTGTTTGATGATACGGATGAATACATCAATGAAGTATTAGAATTAATCGAAGTGGCAGATGAATTATTATTGTTCCAATTGAAATCATTATCGCAAGTGGTATTGAGTGATTTGATTAACTTGGATAATGTTCTTATTTTGTTGACACATGCCGATGCCTTGTCTGCAGAGAAGCTTTTCATGAATTGTTGTTGGTATATATACAATAATTTGGAGATCTTGCTCTTTGATCCAACTTTCACAGATTTGTCATTAGACTTGATGCAGAAGTTAGAGGTTCAAGTGATTTACTTCCAAAATTGTAAATCGATAGATTTCTCTGATGATTGTGGTGTGTTAAACAAAGGAATGTTGACCAATTGGTTTGAAACGGATTCGGATAATCTCCTTAAAACTTACTTTGAACTGATGACAGAGTACAACGAGATATTCATAAGTGATAGAAAAGGATTCATGGGATTCAAACCTTTGGTTGATGTCAAGTATGAACTCAACAAAGATGGGAAGGAGGGCAAGAAAAAGCGAGACAGGAAGAATTCAAGAAGAAGCTCTACAGTGAACAACGAGATTCTTGATTTCAGAAACAGTATCAAGACTCGCGAAAAAGAGACTTATATTGATTCTTCTGTGCTAGAAGAAAAGAATGATGATGATACTGGGTTTGAGGTGGTGAATCGGGGAGGAAGACGGAAATCCAAGAACAATGGAAACGGTGTATCACCCACTCCACCTTGGACTCAGAACGGTTCTGCATCGTCTTCAACTACTTCCCTAGTCAGTAACATAGATACTGGACGCAGACCTCTGGCAGCCCCTGTTAGTTTACCAGCTAGTCTGTCTACTTTGTCTATAAACTCTACACTGTCTTCCACTGATCCAAATGTCAACATTTCCGAAACTGGATCGGCACCAAGGATGGGCTTGAGTCCATTTTCAAACTGGGCATCAAAGAGCACAGCTGTCCCCTTGTTTTCAGATAAACCTACAACTGCTTCACGTCCAGTTCTAGAGACCAGTTCAGATTGGGCTCGCAAGGGTAGTAGCAGCTCCAAAATTAAGATCGGCCCCATGATTAAATTATCCCAGAAAGAACGGAAAAAGAAGATGGCGATGGAACAGAACAGTGACGTGGTTGATAATACCCAGGCTGTATCATCTTTGCCCACCAACCCTTGGTCTAAGACCAATAGTGAAGCTACAGTGAGCGACGATCTTCCAGGAATGCCTAAGTTGGGTAGCTCGAAGAAGACCGTTCGGAGCGTTTTCAAGTCGACTCCATTGGCCGATGCTCCTAGAAGTCAAGCCAGCGTGGTTGCAGACCCTGTCCCAAGCATCAGAACACCGTCACTTACAGAGATCATGATAGAAGAATCACTTCGGGTGGAAAGAGCCAGGCAAGAAGAAGCTGAGAGGAAGACGTTGGCGGAAATCCAGCAAGAGCAAGAGTTTGCAAAATGGTGGGAGGAAGAGACCTTGCGGGTGCAAAAGCAGATGGGCACACTACAACTGGAGCCAAAGGCTCAACCAAAAGGGAAACCCAGAAACAAAAAAAAACCTTCTGGCAAAGAAGTTCCCCAGTCGAACATTCCTAACAAAGGCAAGCCGGCTGGGCCCAAAAAGAAAACCTCCAAGTCGGACAGCACCAAGGCCAAGTCCAAAAGTCCTAGTCCGATGACATCTCAATAATGTATATAATTAGATGACGATACGATACATACACAATCCATAAATCGAAGATCACTCACAGTAAGGGAAAGAATTGCACAGAAGGACAAGTTCCTTTTAGGATATGGATCCACTACTCTCGGCTCTCATAGATGAAAATGCAACTGAATGGGGAAGTAATATGAATTTCAGCGTGAATCATAGAATCTATGCTGAAGTCAGATATGCGATATGCTAAATCCTGGTGATATGTATAAAGCTGAAACTACTTGAGAAATTGCGTACTCTAAAACCAACGATATCCCATATCCAACTAGTGATATCCTAAAACCACCAAGTAATACTCCAAGTTCAGACACAACTGATCGATATCTAAAAGTCCACCTCATCAGGGAACCAGCCGTATTCAGTAAGATCCACCTTGTGGTTCTCCAGCACGATAACGCTTTCCCCAGCTAGCTTGGTGGCTTGAACGTACTCTCCCGAAGTTGCCCTAGGCGAGATTGTGCCAGAGCTCAGAAGTACCCGCCACCAGGGAAGTGTTTCGTAGGAGTACAGCAACTCGCCATCCTGTCGCAAGGTATCCATGATAGCCTTGCAATGCTTGAGGGAGTAGCCCACCTGCCTCGAGTTCTGGGGACGGTTGAGAAGGTAGGCTATGTGGCCTGTTCGTTAGCAACGACAATCAAAGTGTTAGTGGTACTTACCGTAGCTGGTGACCTTGCCATATGGAATTGAAGTCACTATCAGATACACCGAGTCATGGAACAGCTTCGACTCATCTGTCAATCTCATATTCAGATTAAAGTACTATCTATGCGATAGCTACAGGTAGTCTAATGATACCGAACTTTATTATTATCTATACTAATATACAAGATGGACTCAGGCGCGCTTGCGCGTCAGAGACCCGTATTAGCTAGCAGGCTTACAAAGCCAATAAAGCACCAGCAGCCAAAGCAGCGGCACCGGCAGCGGCGAACTTGGAGTTACCAGCGTTTTCCCAAGAGGTGACGACTGGAGCAGTACCGTTAGATGGAGCAGCAGAAACGGTGGTGGCTTCAGCGTGTCTGGCTGGGCAGTCAGTGACGGTGGAGTCACAAGAGGTGATGGTAACCAAAGTTTCGTGGGATTCGGTTTCGGTGACGGTGGCGGCGATGGCAGCGGCGGCGAAGAAGGCGACGGTAGTGAATTGCATTGTAAACGAAGGACTTGTTAGTTGGAAGATCTGAGTGATGATGAAAAAAAACTAAGATGGGGGCTGGGACCGGCAATATTTATAGAGTTTTTGACAGATGAAAAAATTGGCACCGGCCGTCAATCCCCGGCTTGGTGGCAGCCATTGGCAGTCCAGATCTCGGTTGGTGCCAATCAGGGGCTCCGTGCAAAAATCGCACCTGGTTGAAACATAAACATACCGGAAGCCTGCAGCTCTGCACGTCAACCGCAGGCTCAACTTGGTGGTGCAGCTGCCGCATTAGGAGGGCGGCGCGAAGGAAGATTTGCCAGGAGTATCTGCCAGAAGCAAAAATCGCACGTCGCTAATCGATTGGAAGAAACGATCGGCTCCCGCGCCCAATCAGGCAGGACTGTTGACAAATCGGGCTGGACGGCTCTGTGGGTTCAGATTTGTGCTAGATTAGTTGGAGATAAGAGGGCCGGTTGGCTGCGGGGCCCATAACAAATCGCCCCCAGGCGGCTTGCTGGTGCTTTCCGCCAATGGGTTTTGCCCATGGTGTGCCTGAAAGGCGACTGATGTTCGCGGGACCCACGTTTACGCAGAATGGGAGTAACCTGGAGCCCACGTCCGCCTGCAGTTTACACTCGGTCGCGCCCGCGCCCGCGCCAAATGGTACGAGTCCCGTGCATGCTCCTGCCAAACATGCCTGGCGGATGCAGGCTGTCGCAGCTACTGGTGGATACCGTGTATGGACTTCCATTATTCGCTATATACATTCGAGCCGGTGGTGCGCGCTTCCGGCTCTACGTGGTCCTCCACCTCAGATGGCGCTGGTTCCCGTGTACTTATCCGAGGCTCTGGCCTAGGTATCTCAACCAAACGTGCATAAAGAAAGCGCGTCCGTTCCTTGAACTGTTGCAATTTGAGCGAAAACTCCACCAACAGGTTATACTTGTTCTCGTAGAATTCTGCAGCTGCGAGGCCATCGAGACTGGCGTCCGACGACTCTATTATCTGGCGACAGACGTGGTAGCCCAAGTCTTCTGGCACAGGCATGTGGGACCCAAACTCGTCGTGGAACACCGCGAGTTCCACCTGCACCAGCTGGGCCTCCAAATCGACCCTACGTTCCAATTCTGCCATCTCGTCTTTTCTCCATGCTTCCGTCAACTCCACGATGCGCTGGTCCCAATCGGGGAGAAACGTCACGCCCCACATGAGGGCGTCTTTCCATGCATTGGCACCACCATCACGTACCCTGTACCACCAGCGCGACCATGCACCGCCCTGGCGGCTGTCAAGAATATACTCGAAGTCTCTCGTCCTTGCAACTAGCACGTGGATGACCTCGTTCCCGATCGATCTCGAAACCCCAGAGGTGGCACGACTGGTAAACCTCATTACCTTGCCTAGCACCAAAATGGGTCTGATCACCCATGGTTGGCGAACCTGGTTATTCTCAGGAAAGTGCTCCTCGATAGAGGCTGCAATTTCTGTGCCTTTGAATATTGTCAAGTAGAGAAGCGTGCCAACCACCCCGTAAGCAATCACAATTTTCCATACTTCAAGCGGAAGCTCGATCCCCAAAAGTTTCATCACCAACAACGACTTGAGCACAAATAAAACCGCTCGGTTGCCAGGCGCTTCGTATCCCACAAACAAGAGATTGAACACCCGCACCAACGCAGCCGTCGCTCCATCAGCACTGGGACGTGGTGCGCTGTTCCCTGAGGTCCCTGTGGAATTGTTGGTGGTAGGTGTGGGTAATGGTGTGGGTACGGAGGGGGGTTGGTTGCTGGCATTTCCTGGACGATTTGCCGGCTCGTACATCAACACTTGCACTTGCTGGATCAACGCATCGCCATTGGGAAGCCCAAAGTGCAGGCATAGCTTCGCTGCCCCTGATGGATTTAGCAACAAATATGGAGTATGGTCGCCCTTGTCAACGATAATACACTGCGAGGTATTCAAAGAGACCAGCTTGACTTGATCCTCGATCTTTAACGAAAACTCGTAGTCCAAACTCGAGATATCCGATTGATCAACCAACAACTCCTGTTGGTTCCTTTCGGTGGTGGTGAGAGTGTTGGGATTGGGACGTATTCTCTCGTAAGTCTCGCCTGCAAGGTTCCATTCAACGCCGTTCTCAAAAACAATTCTGGTTGGATCAATGGGTAGGATTGGCTGTTCTGGTTGCACAGAGCCGTTTTGCTGTGCTGGTCTTCGTGGCAAGAATTCAAATCGGTTGGGTCCTCTGAGGTCATTCAAAAATTCACGGCTTAATAACCCATTAGACCCGCTAACAGTAGAGGAAGTATCTACTCTGATCTTGTAGATTTTGTTTTGTGCTTGAGTCGGTCTCGTTCCCAACTCCAACATCAAATTACCGGTTCCAGTAAGGGCTAATTCCTGGTAGAACATTATCAACTCATCCTCGAAAGTTCTTCTTACCGAAAACTGGTCTAGTCTCGCAATGATCTGACGTCTTAATTCTGAAACGGTAGTGCCGTTATTGACCTCAAACAAACTGGACTCCTCTTGAAGCTGGCTTATATTAGACTCGACCTTGATGTGGAATCTCGTGTTAAATGATATCTGTACTTCAATTGCGACAGGGTGTAAGGGAGTGACATCCAAACCCAAATTTCTGCGCATATTAAACAGATCATCAAGTATCTTGCCGGAGGGTTGAAGTTTCACTGTTAATGACCCTTGATCGATCATTCTCGAATTGGCATACCTTTCACTATCTTGAATAATGTAATCTTTTAGAGTCCGCACTTCGAACAACAACCCTTCTCGATATCTCAGAGTATGGATTCGGCCATGAAAATCATTCCAACGCACTTCTAAGTCGAAGAGATCTTCAACCGGCTCAGCAACTCCTAGAGATGGATGATCAAACATTTCGTAGTCGACTTCTAATACAAAATCATCTTCGGATATGTCTGTAGGAACTTCGGAGGTGTCGAGAACATCACATAATCTCTCTGGTCCATAGATTCTTCTTTCTTGATAATATATTTTTAAAAGCATGGGCTTCAAAGATCGATCTGCAGAAAAGAGCCATATCAGATGTAATAAACTGTATATGTTGTGCTCCAAGGTAACATTGATCTTGTATTGGTCCTCTAGGTGATAGGCTTGCGTCTCTTCTGTTCGATTTATTTCCCTAACAGACAAGCTGAGTTCAAAAGGACGGTTCATCTCCAGCATGTGGGCAAGTTCCAGATGCACCCTCAAGTATCTAAGAGGGATATATTACTCGCCAATTGAGATCTATTGGGAAAGTGTGCTGTTCTGTTCTGTTCTGTTCTGTGTCTCACTAATCAAATTGATTTGGATATTTTCACGTGATGCAAATTGGTATTCATTAGTATTTACAAGTACACTATACACAATTAGCTATGGTGTATATACAAGGGTTAGAATCACTTCTTGATTGCGTGGTATCTCTTACCTCTGAAGGCAAAGATCTTACTGTTACTGTTGAAAGTTTCAGTAGGGTTGATATCCACCAAGTCAAGCTTGGTGCATNCAAACAAATTCTCGGTTGGGTCCATCAAAACGTCCATCTCGTCGTATAACTCGTGGTTTTGTAACCAGGAGATCTCTCTGTTGATGTCCTTTTCGTGGTAGCCTGTAAGGTAGACCGCACACTTGGAATCCAACAATCCCTTCAATGCCTTGTCCCAGTATATGGAGTCTGCCGTTTGGAAGCCAGGGTGGAACAAGTAGAAAACGTCCAAGTATGGGTCAAAAGGGAAAAGATCACCTTGCGCATAGAGCTCGTGGAAGTACTTCGTGTGATAGTGCACAGTTATCTGGTCGTCAAATCTCTTAACCAAGGGACGTCCGTGAGGCTCGTCTGTGGCACCGAAAGATCTGGTTTCTCTATCGAAGTAGGCCTCTGGACCGATCAAGTGAATTTCAAAATTGGTGTTAGGGAACAAGTATCCAAATTGCTTCCAAACATAGCCTGGAAGCATTGATTCCATCTTAGAACCCACTATGAATATTCTCATTGGTCTCTCCTTAAATGTCACTGCAGAATCGGTAGACTTGGTGTAAGGTGGGTATAAAGTGTATCTCAATGCGGCCAACGATTTCAACCCCTCCAAGGTAAGTGCTCCCTTTTCCATGCCATATGGAGAAAATTTATGCAAGGTAGCAGCAATGGTAATTGGGTAAGTCAAAACCTTTGTGGCAGCTGCCAAGTTGAATTCAGTATTCATTGGGGTGAAGTCTCTGGTGTAGAAAAAACTATCCCAGTTCGACAAGTTGGTAGTGAAGTCTCTAGGTTGCTCTCCAGGGAAAAGAAACTCGTCAAACTTACGGCCTGATCTTATGTCGTGCTCGTAAAGATTGACCTTCTTCAATAACTTATACTTTTGCTTGGAGTGATAGTCCTTGTCGTTCTTCCAAGCTTCCTCGGACGCATGGGTAGGAATACCAGAGTAAGGACAAACAAAGTTGACCGGTTGGTTGGTGACAGGACAAAGGGCCTTGGTTCTGATGAATGCAGCACGAGTACGGATGTCCTCGTAGGGGGATTCGTCCCATTTGTACAAGGTTCTTTCCACTTCCTTATTCTCTGGGTTGTTGAGAGCCAACAACTTCCAAAGGAACGAGAAATTACGTTTGGATGATGGCTGGTTCACAACATTCTTGGAGATGCGTTGTACTAACACCATCGTGGTTAATATCGTATGATGTGAGTGGTTCTGCGACTTTGCTCGACTATAATGCTCAAACGCAAATTTTTAGCTGGGTAGTTGGTGATATGCCGTTGCACGGAGTCTCGATCCTAGAGTATGGATAAAGTTCTTATCTAAATGATCCTGATAGAATGGGCTTTGGTTGTATTACTGAAATGTACATTTTTTCATTGCGAGCTAGACTGAAAATTACACTGCATTCTCCTGCTACGCGTAAATCAGGGATACTATACATGCTACAACTCATCCGTTTCCATGTTAGCGGGCGGGTTCTCTTCCTGTTTCCGTTGTTCTCCATCTTCAGCGTTGCCTTCTTCGTCAGCCTCGCTGGAAATGAGAAATTCATAGAAGTCCTTTAAGGTGTTCTCATTTTCTTGACTGATCTCAGCCATTATCTTAGCTATGAGCTCGCTCTTTGCGCTACCGGTGGACTGTGAATCAGGCTGGGTCATTGTCACTGTAACAGTTGTGGGCTGTTCGTAGCTGATTTTCTCTTCTTCGGAAGGTCTGTAGAATTTCTCAAAATTCCATTGTTTGTTGGGTGCTTCAAACTCTGGCATTTCCACCTTGTCCCCGTCCTGATCGATCATGCTATTTGGATCAATTACTTGAAGTTCCAATTGTTTCGCTTGATCGCCTCCATCCCGAAGAACTCTCACGTAGTATATGAAGTTTCCATAAAAGTCAAATAATTCGTACCACACAATAAAGGAATCTGACCAACTCAATGCAGATATCGTATTCTGACCAACAAAAACGGGAGAGAAGATCTTCCTCTCGAGAACCTTTTGAAACATCCCCCCTGCATGTCTCAATATATCAGTTGCCGATTCATATTCCCCATTGTATACTAATAACGTCTTGTCACTCCATGCTGGAATTGACGATGCTTGCTGGCTTTGTGCGATGTAAAACCCATAGCCACAAGGAGTCAAATGATAATCAGCTATGTTAATCTTATACTTGGAGTCGGCCAAAAATAAGTTGTTCTCGTTGGTGAGTTCTTTAAAAGAATCGAAGTCATCTCTGCTAATTCCATTGGCAACTTCTGTACTCTCTGTATCAATTGATTTGCATGTTATATCTATCACTTTGTCTTCGATATTATTGGGGCGGAATTCCTTGATATTGCATAGCTTGGGTACATTGATGACCAATTGGTACCTACAGGTCTTGTATTCTTGTACCTCCAAAATCTGGATTCCCCTGGTGTTCTTGAGGTCACACTTGTACACCACATCAACAGTTCTTGGTTCTTGGGTCAAATCACATATGCCTCCATTGCCCAATGTGTGTTGAACAAACTTCTGAGAACTGAATTGAATGGCAGAGCCCGAATCGGACAATTGATCAACTATGTCCTCTTGGATCAGAAAGTCCTCGGGATTTAAATCATTTTCGAGCTTGCTGGCTTGATTCTGCAGCTTAACTTTCGTCCTAGGAACACCTTTGAAACGTCCCAATGCAAAAATGTAGTTGGGGGACTCTGGTTTGTGTTCTTTGGTCTCCAAAAAATGCATGATATCTTCATGAAACTGGATAATTTTATCACCAAAGCAGAACCCAAATGTCCAGTATCCTCCATTCAAGCCAATTTCGAAAACGCAAGTCTCTCTGGAAAAGGATGCCGTTATGGCCTCAATTGCGCTCTCAATCAACTCTCTGTCCGTTGAATTTCCAGCATTGCTCGGTATAGATTGTTTCATATGAGAGTCTGTACCATTGGTCCTTTGCTCTTTGGGTAAACGACACAAGAACTTCTCTCGGTTATCAACTCGATCGATATTGACTATTTCGAATGATTCTCCCTCACCACCGAGTCCTACAAACTCGTTCGCTATTTTGATAGGTATGGCGGTATTCTCATATTTGACCTTGTACTTGGATAGCGAGAACTCCTCAGTAAGCGCCTGGCTTAGCCCAGCCAATGCCAATAGCCATATCAGAGTCTTCATGATGCTGAAGAGAGGTGACAAGTATCAACTAAAATGGTTTGTGAACTACTGAGTATCGCGCTATACAAATCAGGCACTACCACAGCCCTCTAACAACTTCACATCGCACAAGTGCTAGGTGGCCAGCTAACAACGTGATGTCCTTTCCGATAGAGCCCACCGTACCAGGTCTCACGACACCCCAGTTGAATGGAGGAGAGATTACTGCTGAGGCGAAGACTGCTTCAACAGTGGAGACGAAAACAGAACAGAAGGTTTCTGTTATGGACATAGCCCTGAGCTTGGAAAATTCTTTGAAGGAAGCACTCGACATGGTTGATAAGAACGACAAAGAGGTCAACGACAAGCTTGAACTGTTGAACAAGAGGCTTCTTTCAATAGAGAGTGAATTGAGACTGACGTGAATTAGCTTCAACACCCCGCCAAAAGCACACGGCAGATATGGCTTCATAACCAATCATACTATCTGGACATTATATCCTGGCTTATGTTTAGTGGAAATGGCCCTAGGTGTGTGGGGGGAAAAATCGGTCAATCGGATATTGAACTTGGGGTAAGCCCAGTATGGGCTAGCAAGACGAAAAGAGGAGGTGCAGGAATTGCACACGTATCCAAAGAAGGCCTAATGCCCAAGCAGTGGCCTAGACAGCACTAGTACCCGTTACTGAAGACACACAATATAGTATATACCGTAAACATATAGTATCACGTGACCAACTATCAATCTGGCTACATCGCATCACCAGTAGTTTCACATCTCTTGTCAAGCATGGGTAACCAAAAGAGAACCAAGAACCAGATTAGACGAGAGAAGGCTAAGCTCAGGAAGCTTGACCCTAATGGAAATGGTCCGGCAAATCCTCCGCCACAACCAACCCCAACCATACCTTTACTGAACAGAAACAATGAGAAGTCCAGCATCTCTGCTGAAGATACCAACGATTCTGAAACGACAGTACCGCTTGGTTCCTCTGAATTGATGGAGCAATTTTCACAAGTCTTTGATCGGTTCAAGAATAGCACAGAAGAACCAGATGAACCATCGAAACAAAAGGATGAAGTCTTTAGTGAACAGGAATCTTACAGTGCATCGGACAGTGATAGTGACTATGAAGACGAAACCAAGCCTTTATCCAAACGTCAATTAAGACTCCAGAATAAGGTCTCTTTAGCATACTTGAAAGCTTCCACAAACAGACCCCAACTCGTTGATTGGCACGATGTAGATGCCAGAGACCCGTTCATGCTGGTAGCAATGAAATCACAGCCCAACGCTATTCAGGTTCCTGACCACTGGACCGCCAAACGAGAGTACCTTTCTGGAAGGAAAGGTATGGATAGAATGCCGTTTGAGCTACCTAAGTTCATTCGTGATACGGGAATCCAAGATATGAGGCAACCGCAAGAATTAAATTTGAGACAGGAACAAAGAAACAAAGTCCAGCCCAAAATGGGGAGGTTGGACATCGACTACCAAAAGTTGTACAATGCATTTTTCAAGCACCAAGAACAGCCGAGAATGTTTGGTTTTGGTGATGTTTACTTTGAAGGTAAGGAGGCCAATGATGATTTTGTTCAACTGACTGCGCATATAAAACCTGGAGTTGTTTCATCAGGCCTTCGGAAAGCGTTGGAAATGACGGATAACATGAAAGTTATGCCTCCTTGGATTTCAATAATGCAAGATATTGGTAAGCCCCCTTCCTACAAGAATTTGGTTATACCAGGGTTGGACACAGAATACTCGAATACTGGGTACAGAGAAAAGGGAAATAAACAATACAACGATGAAGAATACTGGGGTAAAATGCAAGAATATGTGGAATCTTCAGAGGAGGAGGATGAAGAGGATGAAGAGGATGAGGAAGAACATGAAGAGGAAGAAGAGGTGAATGAATCGGACAGCCAGGATAACCTTCAAATAGGAACCTTTGAGAACGAAGAGCCAACAAAAGTTCCTATTTCAGAGTTAGGAAATTCCGTGACTCTGCCAGCCAAATCTCAGGATATCGATGATAATAAATCAAAATCCTTGTACACGATAATTGATGAGCAGACTACAGAATCTGGAGGTGTGCTCAGTAACCAAGTTGGATATGATCTTTCAACAAAAGACAAGAAAACAGAATCCGACAAAGAAACGACTAAAACGAAGCAGGCAACCAAAAAGTTCAAGTTCTGAGTTAATACTTTTATACTTTTATACTTTTATACTTTTTAATGTGTATTAATAATCAATGAAGATATGAGATAAAAAAAGAAGGAAATGCTTAGGAAAACGGATTTTGAAGATAAGTTTATATGAGAACAAGTATGAGAATTCAATTCAAATATAGTGGAGAATGTGCCGCATATAGCACTGTGTAGTTCTCATGCCTCCAATTTCTATTGTATGAATTTTATAGCATTGCTAATTTTGTTGGAGCATTGGTAGGATGGTCACTCCAGTAGAATAAATATGATTATGCAGTTGGTAAGGTATTGAGAATCGACTTAATTAAAAGTTAATGTCTGGCTTGGAGTCAGTGATCTTGTCAACTTTAGCACCAAAGGCAGAGATACACTTAGCCATGGTTGGAGAAGATCTGGAGATGACATCAGTGAAATAGAAGTTATCAATTGGGTTCTTCAAAGCACCGCCAACAATCTTAGCAGACTTGTTCTTGTTAACCAAATCAAGGAAACCAATTTGAGCGATGTCCTTGGAAACGGGTTCAATAACATTGTGTCTGACAAAGTGTGGGGCAACCTCACCTAATCTAGTTCTAACAGCAAGAATATCATCATATGGCAACTTAGCATTCAAATATTCGGACAAAGCTCTGATAATCTTCCAATCTTCACGAGCGGCTTGAGGAGCGTTGGTGGCAGCACGGGTAGATTGAGCTCTACCTTCAGTGTTGACGTAGGTAGCAGCCTTTTCGGTGTAAGCAGATCCTGGCAAAATGACATCAGCAAATGAAGCTCCCAAGTCACCATGGTGACCTTGGTAAACAACAAAGGCGTCCTTTGGAATATCTTGGTTCTTAATTTCATCAGCACCTAATAAGTAAATGAATTTAGCTTTGGTAGCAGCGACTTCAGGGTCTAAAGTAGCGAAACCAAGATCCAAGGCAGCAACACGAGAAGCTTCACGGTGCAACAAGTTGAGACCATTCCATTCGCCGGTGTTAAAGTTAGCATTCTTAGCAGAGAAGTCACCAACTAACTTGTAGATAGCTTGAGCGTCTTCGGATTCAGCAACACCAGAACCAACAATGATCAATGGGTTCTTAGCCTTGGCCAATTTCTCACCAACTTCACTGGATAATGCCTTTTCTAAAGCCTTGACATCAGCGCCCAAGTTGGAAACGTCAAAGGTAGATTCGAATTCTTGGCCAACAGCAGAGATTTCTAAGTTTTGTCTCAACCAAACCTTTCTAATTCTGGCATTCAAGACAGCAGCTTCGTGTCTAGGGTTAGTACCGACCAACAAGATTTGGTCAGCATCTTCAATACCTTCAATAGAGGTGTTGAAGATATAGTTGGATCTGATGTCAACACCGTGGGCTTCAACAGCAGACTTAACGTCGGTGGTAACGTTCTCAGAACCTAATTTGTTGACCAAGTCCTTCAAGACAACCAAAGACTCAGCATCGGTCAAAGCACCAGCAATGGCCTTAATTTCATTATCCTTTGGTGCAATCTTGGCATAAGCAGCAGCAACAGTAGAAAGAGCTTCATCCCAGGTAGCAGTTTCAAACTTGTCACCATTTCTGATCAAAGGAGTGGTCAAACGTTGAGTCTTCAAACCGTCACAGGCAAATCTCGACTTGTCAGAAAGCCATTCTTCGTTCACTTCGTCATTCAATCTAGGTAAAACTCTCATGACCTCAATACCTCTGGCGTCAACTCTGATGTTAGAACCAACTGCATCCATAACATCGATGGTTTCGGTTCTCTTCAATTCCCAAGGTCTAGCTCTGAAGGCGTATGGCTTGGATGTCAAGGCACCAACTGGACACAAGTCAATGATGTTACCAGACATTTCTGAGTTGATGTTTCTTTCTATGTATGTTCCAATTTGCATATCGTTACCACGACCAGCAGTACCCAATTCAGGGGCACCAGCAACATCGTTCATGAATCTGACACATCTGGTACAGTGGATACATCTGTTCATGGAAGTTTTCACTAATGGACCAATTGCCTTGTTTTCAACGGCTCTCTTACCCATGACTTCAGTAAATCTACCACGGTCAGAACCATATCTTTGAGACTGTTCTTGCAAGTCACATTCACCACCTTGGTCACAAACTGGACAGTCCAAAGGATGGTTTTCCAACAACATTTCGGTAACACCTTCTCTGGCCTTCTTGACTCTTTCGGAATCAGTATGCACCACCATGCCGTTTTGGACAGGCATAGCACAGGAAGCAATCAACTTTGGCATCTTCTCGACGTCGACTAAACACATACGGCAGTTACCAGCGATAGCCAATTTGTCGTGGTAACAGTAACGAGGAATGGTGACACCAGCCAATTCAGCTGCTTGAATGATGGAGGAACCGGCTTCAACCGACACCTTACGGCCATCGACAATCACTTCCACATCGGCCATCTTTCTAGAAGAAGCGGATATGAAACGCTTGCTGCCTCTTAATAGTTGAGTTCTGAGGGACATTGTGGTGTTGATATCTAGACAACTTTATCGGGAGCCAATGGGTGCTAAAATGATATGTGAATAAACCCCTGGGCCTTGTGGAAAAGTATTCGGGTCAAGCTCAATTCAAGTATCTATAGAATCTTTAACTAGATTCCACTAACGTCAATTAGTTTTAGATATGAGACCCGGGTATGTTTCTATTGGGTTACAATATCTCCACTGCCTATGGCCACAAATTTTTCTGTGCTGTGTTTAGGTGTGCAAGCACCGATTTGTAATGGTTGAATATTCCAATGCTGATTCGCTGATCTTGGGGTGACCCGGACATTCCTCCGCGACATCGTTGCCGCGACAAAGGTGCACAGATCTTACTACTACTGGCTGTGGAGTATTGGTGCAAATTACACGGGGCCGGCCCCACAATCACGGTTTGTATGACTTCGTGTTACGCTATCTGGTACTATATTGCTAATCAATGCTCTACGTTATTTCTTTTCTTCTCCGCCTGACAACATGAGGAACAAGAGCGGGAGTGTAATATAGATCCAGTTCTTCTGGATCCAACTCCGTTCGTCCACAGCCACCTCGATCACCTCTTCCACTTCGACCTCGACCTCGTTACCCTCGTCATCGGTCTTGGTGATAATCCTTTTTTTGGTTATCTTTTCTGTAGCTGGCTTACTTGACTTCTTTGCACCCGAAGAATCGACAGCGGGAGTTTTGTTGGGACTGGGCGCAACCTGCGCTGAGTTTATCACAACGTTGGGGGTTGTCTGTGGAGCTCCGATGGCGGTGACAGCCAACCCAGCAATATCGTTACGTGTGTCCAAAAATAAAGTTATCTGGGTAGCAAACCCCTCGATGACGGCAAAGCACTCGTGGTGAGGAATATCGTTGGTTCCGAGACAGTACTGGCCCGCTATTTCCAAGTCTGGATTGGTGACTTTGAATTGTGCCTTGTTGCGTTCGCTGTGGTATCTCAAAACCCCCCATTCGTGCTTGGTGTTGGACTCCAACGACCTGTAATGAAGCGCCACATCGTGTAAATAGGCGGCGCACAAGGCAATGACACTCAATGCCGCTAACAATCCGTTGATGTGTACCATTATTGTGATGTGGAGTGATGATCAAGGGGATAATATGTCAGAAGTGTCTCGCGTCAATCTGAAAAATGAATTTGTGACACACCACGACAACACCAGTTCATGATATGTTTGAAGGCATTACAGACTTCCAAACGGTGGGGTAGTCAAGCCAGGGCTGGTACTGGCAGTCTTTGTCGCCATTTCTCGGGCGGGAGTGGCTACCAAACGTGTCAGGAGTACTTGGACTATTGCAAGCACAATAAAGTGAGCCTTGAGACTGCCAACTTCAACGGTACTTTGTACGAATTGTATAGTAAGCAGATGTTGGAATCATTCTTGCGGTGCAAGGGACTAATCCGAACCGGAGGAGCCTACGACAACGGGTTGGATCTCTATGGAAAGTGGGATCTAAGTCAGTTCCACGCCTATTCCAAGGAGAAGTTAGACCGTACAGAAAAAGTCTCTAGCCGGTCCTTGGTCAAACAGTCCATCGAGGGGGGTGCTGCATCACTGGCTATTTCGTTGGAAAAGGATATAGCTGTCTTGGTCCAGTGTAAGAACGTATCCCGTCGCATCACTGCTAGCTTGGTCCGTGAACTCGCTGGCATTTACAATTACCATGTTAAAAAGAGAACTGGCCCCAACTCCGTTCTCACTAGTTACATGCTCTTGATAAGCCCCACCACCATGACTGCTCAGGCATTAAGTCAAATGAATACCTCCACCTTTCCAATGGTCCATTTAGTGTTGCCAGCACTTCAGTACACGGGACCAAGGGGCTCTGATACTGTGTTGCAACCACAGGACCTATTTGATGTAGTTAACTGGTCTGGGAAAGGGATTCAGCTGGCGTACCTTAATTCCAAAGCACGGAGTCTTCTTGCAGGACTCAATATGGAATTGCAACTACAGTTAGTGGTCAATAAATTTAAATAAAAAAAGATAATAATTAGTACAAATCTGGACGGGTGTTGCTTTGTCATAGTGTCGTGTTAATTACCTTGTCGTCATTGTCGATATCAACAAGTCTTAATGTAGTAGTTTACAATCTCTGCTCTGGTCGCAGTTTATTCAAAAAATTGCAAAAAATTACAAATTATAGAGCTCGGTCAGCCTGCTAATTTTAAACAAAGACTCGATAATGGCAATCAAGACTGAACGAAACAATCTAATTTAGTACTCACAAGCAATCAAGTAGGAGAATGTGGCTTACAAGGTTTTTTATCATTATTCATTTGTATTATAGAGCTGGCTCTAGAACTAAAGAAAAAAATCATTAGAAAACAGAGGGTATTAGAAAGGAGGGTATTTGACCGTACAATTACACACGGGTGGTGACAGTGGCGATGATACGAGTCGTAGCAACAGTCTTGTAGACTGTTTGGAAAGTGGTAACCAAGTGTCCCTGGACGTACTCAGTGGTGGGCTTGACAATTGGAGTCACAACCGATGAAGCAATGGCCCCACTAGTGGTTCCACTTGCGCTCTGTTGGCTACTTGAACTTGGAACATTAGTGGAGGAGGTTGTGTCACCACCAGCGAGGGAAGTGCTCGTTGGTTGGACGAAAGAAGTGCTTTGGGTAGTTGGTGCAACCGAACTGCTTTGTGTGGTTGGAGCAACAGTACTGCTAGTTTCAGAGGTTGGCACAACCGAACTGCTAGTTTCAGTGGTCTGAGCAACAGAGCTGCTTGTCTCAGTAGTTTGGGCACTAGTAGTTGGCACAGATTCCGAGGTAGAAGATTCTTCTTCCGAGGAAGTAACCACTTCACTTGCACTAGTCGAAGTGACAGTGGTGAGAGTGGTTGGAACTCTGGTTGGGAAGGAATTGGAGGTGGAAGTTTGGACTGCAGTAGAGGTTGGAGTAACAGTAGAGGTTGGAGAAGCAGTGGAAGTTGGAGAAGCAGTGGAAGTTGGAGAAGCAGTGGAAGTTGGAGCAGCAGTGGAAGTTGGAGCAGCAGTAGAGCTGGTGGAGGTTTCACTAGGAGAGGAGCCGGAGCCGACCAATCCCTTCAATTGTTGTGCATAGTTTTCTCCATCAGATCCAGTGTTGGTCCAGGCAGAAGTGGCATCCCAAAGAGAGAATCCACCAAAGTGCTTGGAGTTTTGGAATTGATCCAAGTACTGCTTGATGGTAGAAATCTCAGTGTATCCACTGTTAGCAGCCCTGGTGCTTCCTGGCAATCCAAGGAACAACTTGATGTTCTTGTTAGGAGAGACATTTTCAGCATATTCCTCCCACTTTTCCCAGTTGAATTGGGAGCCAAGAGCACAGTAGTTGTTGTAAAATTGGATGAAGGCATAGTCAAGGTCAGCATTTTCCATAAGCTTGCCAACAGAGGCATCAGGGTATGGACATTGGGGAGCAGCGGAGAGGTAGTATTTCTTGGAGGAGTCCTTGGCGAAGAGTTGTCTGAGGGAAGTGGCTAAGGCAGCGTAACCTCTTGGGTCGTTGTTTTCGATGTCAAAGTCAAATCCGTCAATCACAGCATCATCGAAAGGTCTGTTTGAGGAGTCATCGGTCCCCTTACCGAACTTGTTCCACAAGGTGGTGGCAAAGTCGCTGGCTTGGGAGTCACTGGAGAAACCGTAGGCACCAGAGGCACCACCCAAGGACAATAACACCTGCTTGCCCAAGCCTTGACAGGTCTTGATATCTTTGGCCATTTGAGGACAGTGTAAGGTTCCATCAGGAGTGTAAGAGCCTTCACAGGCGTTGGCAAAGTTCAATTGGAAGTTGTTGGGGAAGGCATAAAGGAAGGAAAGGACCACGATGTCCACTGAGGAAGACTGGCAGTATTCGGCCAACGGCTTTTGGTTGCCATCGGAGTTTTGACCCCAGTAAAGAACGACGTCGCCAGAAGCTGCAACCACAAGAAGTGAGTTTAAAATGAGGGTGAGGAAGAGAAGCATGGGTACGTAAGGAACGACAGGAGTGGGAGAGAGAAAGGAGTGACAAAGGAGTGTGGAGTGGTGAACTCTAGCTGGATTTCTGGGGTCGGGATGATAGTGATGAGAGGCCAGGATGGGGAGGCATGGTGGATATATATATACATGCCAGATTCTGGTTGCAGAGAAGGTGCAGGGAACCGTGTCTATTTTGGCAATCCCTTTCTGTAATTAGTGTATCCCTTTGGGAGTAGATTCATGCATGGCATGGCTGCATTATTTTTCACAATGGCTGATAAAAATATCGATGCCAAACAACCATAGGCTAATGACACCACTTCCGGGAGAAGGCCAGATAATACGCCCAGCATGAAAAATATGGTTGCTAGTGTGCTGTGGGGACGGGCGAGCAAGCCATTGTCAAAGCTCCCCCGACACTGGAGCCTCTGGTCTAGCTGGTTGGTTTAGGTGCAAAATTCCTGCGACTTTGTATCACCGCGAAAGTTCACGACAGCGTTGTTACTTCAGGGGTATCAACAGTAGCAGGGACAATACGCGTTCCGGGGAATGCACAGGACGTGGTGTCTGGGAATGTCTTAGACGAGCTTGATTCTGGTACAACATCATGGCCTCGTTCTGTCACCGTATAACTAAGGTTTCGGAGTGTCCGAATTACACTTCGATCTACGTTGGGCCGTTTGGGCCACTAGTGCAGCGGGTGCTGGCCCAACCCCCAATCGGTACTCCAAGCGCACAATAGACGTTGCTCGCTTTAGACACTAAAGTGTCTGCAAGGAACGTCCGATTGTTACCACCTGGTAGAACAAACGTTCCAGTCTATTCAATAGGCCCTTGTCAGGTTATGTTCCAGAGGGCTATTCAGGGAGCCAGGAGGCTTGTTTCAGAATAGCAGCAACAACGAACGTATCCCCTATAATTGGTGAACTAGGGGGCTCCTCCTTTGCCTCACGATATCGGTCTGATCGCACGCCGCTGGTTGTTTTTGCCGAAGGGGGACACTATTTTCTGGGGTGCGGCTGGGCGCGACTGGCCAGACGCGTCGCGATGGCTCCATCCTACTCACTACCAACAGCTCCACCAAGCAACGAAGGGATGGGGTGACACTGGAGGCAGTCGACGTGCTCAGCACCGCCCTGCTAGCGCACCATTGCCACCCAGCGTGGGCGTAGGGCGTCGCTGTGCCAGTACAATTGGGCCAAGATGGCTTGTGTCACGTGACGTCCGCATTAGGCAACTAGTAGCATTTTCGGATCGTCAGCCAGCCTGGTCCAGCCCAGCAACAGCCTCGTTTCAATTGTCAGAAACCCGGAGTGCATTGGTTTGAGATCAGTTTTAAGAAGGATTGCTGCGGTCTGTAGAGAACTATGGAATGCATCATCGCTTCTAATGCACTGCATTATCGAGCCTCCCTATTGTACCAGCGAGGCTATTATACTTAGCGAACATCGCTCAACATGCCTGTTAGTCCCAAGGTCTGTTGCTGCTCTGCTCACCCCAGAGCCCACGAATAACAAGCTAATGCTCTTCTTCTCGTAATAAAAATATTTCTTTGGCCTTGCCCCAATCCAGCTACAACCAGCGACCGGAATAACTGAGATTTGAAAATATTATACCCTTGGCTCAAATGGACCATTAGACTTCCGTATTTGAAGATCAATTTATAATTTATAAGATGTTTATGCACTATACCAAGCAGTGGCGGCTGGAAAACTCGAGTATTATTTGTAACGTCGCTAAATAAGACCTATTTTGACGTAAATCACCCTACACAAACTACTTTCCGGCCAGTTTGGATGTGCAAGAGCCCAACTCTTGCTATTTTCTCACCTGGCAAATCCGATTTGCAGCTACAAAGTTTACTTACCATTGCGGCGTATACCTTTGCCAATTTGAGAAAGAAGGGAAAATACCTCAAGCTAGTGCCATACAACAATTAAAGTCCATAATAGGCAGAAGAGCCACTATTAAAATTGTTGGCACCTTTGTAGGCAAAATTAACCCAGGTCGTGCTATTTTCTCCATTTAAAATTTATTTCATTAGACTTTCCAACAAAGACACTGAAGAGCTAATGGTATATCAGATAGAATTCGTGACATCAACTCCAATGACCAACTTTGATATCCCCAACCGTCAATTTATTGGATGCTACGCATATCAATTAGGGTAATCGTTCCCAAAGTGTTAGGATAGAAAGCCTATGCGGGAAAGCCCTATTGATTATTCTTTTAGCATAAAGTACTTGTATCTAGTAATTGCCGATCCAATTTTCTCTCTCTTTTTTCTGCTTTTAATGATGCCCTATTCAATGCAAGCGTAGGTTAGATTGTGAGCCAAATCAGTTGGATAAAGTACAGCTCTACTAAAATGTTGCACTTAAACGTGCGGGCTTTCTTTCATTACTTTGAGAGATCCTCACTTTGGCCAGTTAATTTGCAGTTATTGGGCAACTCTGAAGCGTAGACAATGTTACACTCCTGCTTCCAGAAGTATGATGATATCAATTGTAAGTAATTGAACTAACAAATCTTAATTAACCCATTTAAAGAACTTAGTAGTGTTTATACATCATGTTGTTTTCGTAGCAAGCTGCTAGATCTCCAGATACGCCACTTGAGAGTGCCAGAGAATTGAGGTCAATTCGGCCATTTTAAATTTGAAGTATGTTGCAGAAAATGGGACGGGACTAATACACTCTGTCACTTAATAGGTAATGGATCCAAAGATGAACTGATAGTTCTCGTGGGAGAGAATAAGCATTAGATTTTAAAATTGATGCGTTGTACTTCCAGGCCCATTAGAAGTGGAATCGGATGAATCCCACAATGTGAGAATGCTACGTAAGTTGTAGAGAATGTCATGGTTCTCTTGTGGAGGACTACAAAACAACATATAGCACGTGATTTGACGACTCAACTCGGCGAGCCCTACGTAAACAAGTGTTGTACTGGTAGTTAGATCAACCATGTTACATGTTGGGCTCTAATGCCGATATTGCCGTCTGGCCACAAGCGTGGACAATGTGATTCGCTGGTGCGCTTAACCACTGGCACTAGAACGTTCCAATTGACGACCCCCACCCAATCAAATTCTTGAATTGGTAGGGTAGATGGACGCACACAGAAGTGAAACTCAACAGTACTCCTATATCCTGATAGCCTTCAGCCAATAAAACTGCCTCCAGTGTGCCAGACTCACAACCACCATGTGTACACTACGAGAAATTTCGCCGAAATAAATTACACAAAACGCACCAGCGGCCGAAAACAATACCAGCACATGCTTGTCTGTGGATTACATTCCCAATAGGATCGGTGATCTCCAACGAGTGCATACAGAGTACTGTTTAATGAAGTGGGCCCTACGAATTCTTGAGGCTCAGTAGATAGTGATGGTAGAATGGGGACTTTGGCCCAATCCAAAGTCTTCGATTGCTCATGAGGGGTTTGCGGATGGGAACTCAAAGCTTAAAAAAAGCCGCAGGTATGAACATATTGTTATAGTTTCCTTAATTGTGTGTTTTGTGATATGTTGAGAGGGGGGACTTTGCCCATTTCGCCGAAACTTCGCCGGGTGATGGTGAGGAACATAGGGGGCGTGCATGAAAAGGGCAAAATACACGTATGAATGTGTAAATCTACGGGTAGTTCGCTACCCGCCCACCGACTCAACAATTGCTTGTGCTTGTTGTCAAAAACTATAAGAAGAGCACGAATCCCCCCTCATCTATCTTCTTTAAACCTACTCAACCAAGATCTATTTCCACAATGTCTATCAACTTCAAATCCAGTAAGGCCGTCAGAACAGATGATACTTTAATCACCAAGTTCACCTATGAAAACTCTCTCGTTGAGAAGGACGCACAAGGTAACTTGAACGTCACTCCAACTGCCATTGACTATGATTTCAAGCTTGACTTGAAGACCCCAAAGACTGGGTTGTTGTTGGTTGGTTTGGGTGGTAACAACGGTACCACCTTGGTTGGTTCCATTTTGGCTAACAAGAGCAACATTTCCTTCGAAACCAAGGAAGGTGTTGTCAAGCCAAACTACTACGGTTCGGTCACCCAATCTTCCACCGTCAAGATCGGTGTTGATGCCGATGGTAACGATGTCTATGCCCCATTTAACTCTATTGTTCCATTCGTCAACCCTAACGATTTGGTCGTCGGTGGTTGGGATATCAGCAAGGCTCCATTAGACCAAGCTATGAAGAGAGCCAAGGTCTTGGATGTTTCTTTGCAAGAGAAGTTGCGCCCATACCTCAAAGACATTGAGCCATTGTCCTCCATTTACTACCCAGATTTCATTGCCTTGAACCAAAAGGAACGTGCTGACAACGTTTTCAACACTGGTAAGGGTGGTGAAGTTAACACCAACAACAAGTGGGCCGATGTCGAAAAGGTCAGAACTGATATTCGTGACTTCAAGAAGCAAAACAACTTGGACAAGGTTATTGTCTTGTGGACTGCCAACACTGAAAGATATGCTGAGTTAATTGACAAGGTCAATGACACTGCTGATAACTTGTTGGAAGCCATCAAGAACAACCACGAGGAAGTTGCTCCATCCACTATCTTCGCCGTTGCTTCCATTTTGGAAAACGTCCCATACATCAACGGTTCTCCTCAAAACACCTTCGTTCCAGGTGTCATTGAATTGGCTGAAAGATACAACACCTTCATTGGTGGTGATGACTTCAAGAGTGGTCAAACCAAGATCAAGTCTGTCTTGGCCCAATTCTTGGTTGATGCTGGTATTCGTCCAGTTTCCATTGCTTCATACAATCACTTGGGTAACAACGATGGTTACAACTTGAGTGCTCCAAAGCAATTCCGTTCCAAGGAAATTTCCAAGCAATCTGTCGTTGACGATATCATCGAGTCCAACCAGATTTTGTACAATGAAGAAAACGGTAAGAAGATCGATCACTGTATCGTCATTAAGTACTTGCCTGCCGTTGGTGACTCCAAGGTTGCTATGGACGAATACTACTCCGAATTGATGTTGGGAGGTCACAACAAAATTAGTATCCACAACGTCTGTGAAGACTCCTTGTTGGCTACTCCATTGATCATTGACTTGGTCATCATCACCGAATTCTTACAAAGAGTCCAATACAAGCGTGCTGACGAAAGCGACGAAAAGTACCACGACTTCTACGCCGTGTTGACCTTGTTGAGTTACTGGTTGAAGGCACCTTTGAGCAAGCCAGGATTCAAGCCTATCAACGGTTTGAACAAGCAAAGACAAGCTTTGGAGAACTTGTTGAGATTGTTGGTTGGATTGCCAATCAACAACGAGTTGAGATTCGAAGAAAGATTACAGGTTTAATCTTCTCGTTCATATTAATATCATATCATCTAACCGGGATAGCTAGTCCATACCTCTTATGTATTTCATTACAATTAATCATAGAATTTCAAACTACTGTAGGTTGAGACGTCAGGCATGCTGAGCCACGTTATATATGAGAAACTATAATGCTGTGGGAATAGCAGAGCACTTTCAGAAAAGACATACCGCCAGGCTTAATGCAGAAAGCACCCATGCCATTAAACATCCTAGCAGATACCCAAAAGCGTTGTAGTAGGTAGACCCCAGAGTATAACAGTCGGGTGGAGGGAGGTAAGAGTAGTAAGGATGTTTTTTCAGCTGCCTTTCTGCCTGAATATAGTAGCAAGAAGGTGGTACTAATACCGAGAGATACATGCAGGATTTGCACCCATTGCCATAGCGCTCAGAAATCTATTCTGCATGCGTCGGGCAGCCTGAAATCAACTCATCGCATTTCTAAAGCCGAGGAAGCGCACGGCTAAAATTTACCAGTCGATTGCAAAGGCTCTATCGAGGGGGTGGTTCTGGTAGCAGAAAACGTCGTTGGCGTACGAATTGCATGTTGGCGATTACAAGCACTAGCTACGGGCCTACCCGAGCGATCAACCCAGTCAAAAAATGTGGTAGTTAGGGTGCATGAGCCGAGGTCCATGGTGGTGCCGGGCACTACAGGGCTTTGCAGTGGCTTGCAGTGAGCTGGAATTGTGGCAGCGAACAATCCGTCTGGGGCCGGGTCAAGATCCGTGCGAGTTAGCCATTGGCCACTCTTAACAATGCATAGAAGTCAAACTGGCTGAAAACATCCCTACTGCCCATCCAGATCACTCGTCTGGATGCAGTCCGCCCTTTCTTATCTGTTCTCTCCGTTGCTAGTAAGCGCACGCGCATGCCAGCTTGACACTAGCATTGGGCTCTAACAGGGAATTTTGACGGGTGCATCATGCATCTGCCGGGCGGAGCACACGGCCATCTTCCTGTGATAGTCCAATGGCAGGTGGTGTCGCCCATGCTCTTGCAGCCACTTTCGCCACTCTGCCTGCAGTCCGAAGTCTCGGTGCCTAATCAAGTAAAAAGGGACCCAACAGAATTGTCTGCAGGAAACAATCTCCACAACATTTTCCCACATCCAGTGCCTCGGAAGAACCGATCCCTGTGGCCGTGGCGGGGACCACCAGGCGTGCTGGCCACTCAATGGTGGCAGCAGCCGCTGCACCACCCACGGGGCAGCCAACTCCCAGTAGCTCGCCACCAATCCAGTAATTCTCACTCCTTCAGCTCCCGTTTTGCGCTCCCCTCGTAGTACTGTGCACCCTCTGCCAGCAACGATACCCCACCCGTTACCCCTGCCACAATTACGGAGGCTGACCCCAGGCTGTCACTGGAACCTCACGTGCCCGTATCTCCGCTTCATCTCTCACCGACTGCACTGCAATAGCCGAGTTCTTATCAGGAACCATCGCACCAGGGCACGCTGCTGCCACGCCTGCCCTATTGGGTGCCAGAGACAAGAAAATAGCGGAGACCACCGCCAAGTAGGATACCACCACCACTCCATGTCCATGTCTATGTCCATGTCCATGTCCACGTCCACGTCCACTGTGACCGCCACTAGCACTACTGCTACTGCTCCTACTGCTACTTTGCCACTAGCTACTACTGCCTCTGCCAGGTATTAGGGATAATTACCTGCATGGACCATCGCCCTGTGATAGGAAGGCGGTGGTATCTAAAACGGCAATATACTGCCCCTCCTCCTACTCCCCTCTCTGTTGCTATTTCATGATCACACTCGCACTAAACCCTGTAAAAATGTTGGCGCCTATATAAACCGAAACTCTCGCTCTTTTCGGCGGCGCTGGTTTAATCCATCGAATCCCTAAATCAATCGTCTCGACATCATGGCTCCCGTTACCGTAGCCGTTGGCGAAGCAAAGGCAGGCGAGACTGCCCCCAGAAGAAAGTTGGCCCAGAAGGACGGCGCCGTGGAAAGACCCTACGACTCCAAGGCCACTAACTTGGTAGAGTTCTTGGACGAAGTGGTCCATCGCAACAGCTCCCGCCCAGCCATGGGTTGGAGAGACTTGTTGGAAGTCCACACCGAAACCAAAAAGGTCACCAAGTTTGTGGACGGCAAGGAAACTAAGGTCGACAAGGACTGGACCTTCTACGAATACTCCAAGTACAACTACATCACCTACAAGCAATTGGGTGAAACCGTCAGGCATATCGCCGCGGGACTTGTGGCTGCCGGCTTGGAACCCAACCAAAAGGACAAGCTCCACCTTTTTGCCGGTACCTCCAAGAAATGGCTCCAATCGTTCTTGGCTGCCTCCCACATTTCCCTCCCAGTAGTTACCGCATACGACACTTTGGGTGAATCTGGATTGACCCACTCCTTGGTCCAAACCGAATCCAATGCTGTTTTCACCGACAACACCCTCTTGAGTCAATTGATTAGACCATTACAAAAAGCCACCTCCGTCAAGTACATTATCCACAGTGAACCCATAGATGAGGGTGACAAGCGTCTGGGTGGCAAATTCTACAAAGACGCTGTTGCTGCCAAGGAGAAGCTTTTGGAAGTTAGACCAGACTTGAAGTTCTTCTCCTTTGACGAAATCATTGAATTGGGTAAGGAAACCCCACTTTCTTCAAAGATTTCTCCAAAGTCCGATGATACTGCTTGTATTATGTACACTTCCGGCTCGACTGGTGATCCAAAGGGTGTGGTTATTACCCATGCCAACATTATTGCCGCTGTCGGTGGTGTCTCTTCCAATGTTGGTAGAAAAGATGTTAAACCTCACGATCGTATTATTGCATTTTTGCCATTGGCTCACATTTTTGAATTGGTCTTTGAATTTAGTGCTCTTTGGTGGGGTGGAACTTTGGGTTACGCCAATGTTAAAACCTTGACTGAGGCCTCTTGTAAGAACTGTCAATCCGATTTGCAAGAATTCAAGCCAACCATTATGGTCGGTGTTGCTGCTGTTTGGGAATCAGTCAGAAAGGGTGTCTTAGCAAAGGTTAGGGCCTTGCCTGCACTCACCCAAAAGATTTTCTGGGCTGCATACAAAGCCAAGACTACCTTCAGCAGTTACCACATCCCAGGTGCTTCTATCTTTGACATCATTTTCAAGAAGATCAAGGCTGCCACTGGTGGTGAATTGAGAATTATTATGAACGGTGGTTCTCCAATTTCCAAGGATACACAAGTTTTCATTTCTACTTTGATCGCTCCAATGTTGATTGGTTACGGTTTGACTGAAACTTGTGCCCAAACTACTATTTGTGAGGTTGATCATTTCGAATACGATGTTGCTGGTACCTTGACTGGTGCAGTTACCGCTAAATTGGTTGATGTCGCTGATGCAGGTTACTACGCTAAGCACAACCAAGGTGAAATTCTTCTTTCTGGTAAGTCTATCGTCAAGGAGTACTATAAGAACGAGAAGGAAACTGCCGAAGCTTTCACTGAAGATGGTTGGTTCAGAACTGGTGACATTGGTGAATGGACCGCAAATGGTAATTTGAGAGTTATTGACCGTAAGAAGAACTTGGTGAAGACATTGAACGGTGAATACATCGCATTGGAGAAGTTGGAATCTGTTTACAGATCTAACCCAGTTGTGCTCAACTTATGTGCTTACGCCGACCAATCAAAGGTTAAGCCAATTGCTATCGTTTTGCCTAACGAACAAGCTCTTAAGAGTTTGTTGATTGATGAAAGAATCTACTCAAAGGATGAATTGAGCTCCAAGGAATTGTCTCACCTTTGCGAAGAAAAGAAGGTCGCTGATGCTGTGCAAAAGTCTCTTGCTGCTACTGGTAAGTCTCAAGGATTGAAGGGTATCGAAATCATCCAAGCAGTTGTATTGTTGGACGATGAGTGGACTCCTCAAAATGGTTTTGTTACTTCTGCCCAAAAGTTGCAAAGAAAGAAGATTCTCGAGTCTTGCAAAGAAAAGGTTGAGGCTGCTTATGATAGATCATAAGCATTCTGACAATGAACTTCACTCGCATTTATTTATTGTTCTATTATTGGCGCCCCTGGCTATTCTTTTAAGGTTAATTGACATAGTGTCCTTATTGCTAACAAATTTCCCACGCAACTATCTATTTTGATTATGCAACTAATATACAATTTATCTAACCGCCGTAAACCCCTCCGAAAATATGTTTGATTTCAGACAAATTGAGACCTTCGTTCAAACACAATTGTAACAAAATTCTAGACTTTTGTGGATTCAAGTATCCCAGTGCAATAGCACAGTCAAAGGGTATCAGGTCGGAGCCGACAGACTGGGGAAGCGAGCCTTTTGGAACCATACCATCCATGGCTCTCTTTGAGTAAATAACGGGGAATTTGTCTCCGTATTTCTGACATAATTTTGCGATGAATTCGTTGGACTTGTCGGCCATTGATCCTGCACCCATGGTAGCTAAAACCAAACCTTTTGCACCCAATTGTTCTATGGCTATCTCTATAATTTTATTATTTAAGCCTTGGTGAGCGAAAAGAATGGGAACTTCTGGGAGGTCGATCTTTGACGCAAGGTTCAAGTTAAAGTAACGTATTCCCAACGGTTTTGCAGCTGGGTAGTAGTAATGGATTTCGTTATTGACAAAATTCCCCAAGTATCCCTGACCGATCGATTTGAATGTGTCTAAGGAGTTGGCATTTGATTTTGTGATGTAGAAGCCAGAACCAATCCTGTCATTTAAGGCCACCAACACTCCCCTACCACGCGAAGACCTGCTCGAAGCAATCACAATAGCTTGATACAAGTTCATTGGGCCATCTGACGAGATGGCTGTTGAAGGACGCATTGATCCGCACATAACAATGGGTTTATAGGTGTTGATTGTCATCTGTAAAAAGAATGCCGTTTCTTCCATGGTATCGGTACCATGGGTGATGATAATTCCATCATACTTGGCCAAATCTTCCTGAATTTTGGCATGCAACAAGAGCAACTCTTCGGTACCAAACTCCTTGGAGTCCAAGTTCAACACTTGCTCGTACTCCAAGGTACATGTGCTTGACAAGTCTGGAATGGACATGCACAACTCTTCAATGGTGAGATCGACCTTGTAGCCAGCAGTCTGATGAGAGCTGGACCCTTTAGAAGCGATGGTACCTCCTGTTCCCAAGACTTTGACTATTGGGAGGGTGTCGAGGTTGGAGATCTCTGATAATCCTCCAGTGGAGATCACGGAGTTGGAACGGTATTTGATTTTGAAGATAGGGTGTTCAGCATCATGAGTGTCGTGCTCGATCTGGAAGTTGGCGTCCTCGGGTACGGCAAGGATCACTGGCGATGAAGGATCGGTTGGGCCAGACATGGTTGGATACGAGTGGTTGAAGGTCGAAGTGGTATCTATATATAGCAGAGATGGGGGACCCTCGATGGCTTCAGTGAAGACGTGGTCACGTGAACCCCGGAGGTACTCGGTGGGGATACCAGAATGGGTAGGCGAACACGAACTAATATGTTCTTAATTTCCAGTACCCCGCCCTGGAACCACCACTGCTGCTTGAGGACCATACGGGAAGGCGGGGATTTAGTTCCGGTCAAATAGGCCCAGTCTGTTATGGTAGAAAATGCCCCACAAAGCTGCACTATAAGCTAGGCTTTTAGGCTTTAACTTCAGTCAAGTTGTTGAACTTCTTTTCGGGCCACTAGCATAAGCCGCTGTTGTGTGCCGGTACTCGCCTATTGTTCCCAATGAGTTGAGGAGGATCGTACCTAAAACACTAACTGGGTTAGTCAGTTTATGGCCACTTTGACAAAGTATACTCTTCCAACTGCCAGCATCACTTCGCACCAGTAGCATTGCATCGACCAACCGAGTGTGTGCGCTTACGAGTCGTACGAGCTCGTTTCTTCATATTTGTGTGGAGGATACGCATGAATGCTGTATCCGAGACAGATTCGCTTCAGAGCTGTCTTCTTTTTACGAGAGTATTATTAGGTATATTTGAGCGTTTTTCATTGTAATATCATGATCTGGCTTGCGGTTAATTACTAGAGAGATGTTGCACCCAATTTTCAGTGCGGATGAAATTGTTACCCGTATTCTGGCGGAGTATTTCTCCAAGAGCAGTATTGGCCTACCACTAACGATTTAAAGCATTTATTAAAGTGCACTATCTAAAGCAATATTCTACCCAAGTATTTTTTGAGATCAAGATCAAGTATTTCTTGATCTTGATTTTAGTTAAATTACAAGTCGTGGTTGCAATCCGATTCACTATGATAACCAAAGCTCCTGTATGTTTCTATTTGCAAGTAGTTGAAGAATAATAACGGTGGTGCGATGAAACATTATTCTGACGTATTACCAGTACTTCTGAACTCTGTTTTACCTGTTTCGTCTTACAAACCGTCTCCATCGAAAGGTGGTCGTGCCCCGATGAAGAATCTGGGCTTTTCCAAGATTCTTCATGATGATAAGAAAACAAAAATCAGCAGATGCTTAGGGCCAACAAAGTCATCATTCCATATTATGAAGCATTATCCACAGACTGAGGATCATTTCTCTATTTAATGGTGCAGTGACTACTAGCCTTATTCAATCCAAATCAAACCCCATTGACAAGCACACGACAATTTCGCACGTGAGCATANATACATCGAAAATCATCATTTGGGATGTTAACAACTAGCCGATCAATATGGGGTTTTTCAGTCAGAACGAAGACGTGCCAAAGTTGCCACCAAACAAATCCAAGAGAAAGGAGTGCTGGGAATCCCGCGACCAGTTCTTTGAGTGCTTGACCAAAAACAAGATCGACAACTCATTAGATCCAAAAGAGCAACAGAATGTGGAGTCCAATTGTGGCAAGTTGAGAAAGGAATTCGAAGGCAAGTGTGTTGCTAGTTGGGTGAAGCATTTCCAAGATAAGAGATTCAACGATTTGACCAGAGCCAGATATATCGAGAAATTGGAGGCTGAAGGTGCCCAACAATTACCATTCAAGTTGGACAACAGAAAATAGATTTGATAAATAAAGTTTATTCTTGTATATAGATAATGAATTCAGTTTGCTAGCACAGCTAGCAAACATGACCTTGCTGATTCGAACCAGCCCATTTTTATGATTGGCCTAAGACCGTATAAAAACGACCGAGATTCTGCAAAATTAGACAGCACACAAGCTGATCGGTTCTCTTTCAGTTATTTGAATAGTATTGGAGTTCATGACTTCCAAAACCGAGCCCCATTCATATTCACCCTTCTCTAAGATCACAAAGCTAATGTCAACATCCATCCTGTCCCCAGGATTAACACCGTCCTCACCTAGATAGTTCTGAAGAACACCGTTTATCAATATTCTTCTGTCTAGTGACATTTGTGAGTAGTTTGGAGTGTTCAAACTCAAGGAGCTCAACCCACTAATTGNAAATGGAAGATGTCTTAGAATTCCCTTGATTTTAACATTCGAGTTATTGATGATCGTTGTCCTCAAGAAATAGAACTCTTCAATATTTAAAATATATTGAGTTCCTACCTTCTTGATAGGTTCAGTGGGTCTTGTGTCAGAGAATATGGAGCTGGTTATTCTTATAGGATTATGGATCAGGATATTTGCCATCTTGTTAGTCAAACGAATGTTACGAAGTTCAGTATAACCATGCCTTACATCATTGTCACCAACTGATCTCCAAGTTCCTTTCAAATTCTCCAATATAACACTTCGCAACCAAAATAATTCTCTCATTTGCATCTCATCTTGTTCACTAAGGGAATAGTTTTTCACAAATTGTTTATTTCTTAAAGATGGAATTGGTTTCGATAAATCGATGTCCTCATTGGAGATACGCTTCATTGGCAATAAGAACCTTGAGGTCTTTCCAGGCTCAATAAGATCCTCCACTTCGAATGTTACCGATTTTTCAATTGCATATTCCAAATGACTTACAAGCTTTTCGTTCCACGAATTCCGCAAGTCAATTATCAATAAGCAATAATCACTGATGTCCTTTGTATCGGAATCGATAATGCTAGTAATGAATTTTAAAACTTCCTCCAAGTTTTGATGAGTATACTCACTCTTTAATCCTTCAAAACCGTGTAATGAAGAGGAAAAAAGGGGTAGAATATCACATCCGACGACTTCCAATGATGGCATTATGGACAAGTTGATTGGGACTTGCACATATTTCACGAAAGACTTAGATAAATCTGCCAACTTATGGGCATATTCCAATATGATTTTCAGTTCTCTAATCCCACGCTTTGCAGTAATTTCATAATCAATGGTAATATCACTCCTGGGTAAAATTTTTTCATACTTCTTGCTTATAACATCCTTATTGAGAATTTTGAATGGTTTAAATTTCAAAAGGTGCCACTCAATTTCATAGATATCCGATGCTGATAGTTGATTACCAACGTTACTATTGAGCTTTTTATTGAGAGCATCAACAGTTGAGTCCCAAAATGAGAACGAGAGATAATTGATAAGTTCATTAGAATGATTAGTTAATGAAATCGAGAATGGAATTTGCTCACCCTCTAATAACATAATCCAGCCATTAGTTACCAGGACATGTGTTAAGGAGAGACTTGGTTGTGGAGGAATAACTGTTAGGGAGAGGCTTTTTAAATCAACCCTAGATTCAATGTTACTGGTTTCCAAATTACGACTCACTTTTTCGATTATTTCGTTTTGATTCTCAGGCGACTTCAGAGGCTTGACTTTGAAGTTTTGTTTCAGGATTTCCTTGTCGATGATCTTAAAGAATTGCTCTTCACAATTATCAATGGTGATGTAAAATCCTATAATAGTCAAATCCCCATCATCTAATGGTCTGAATGTGACAAGGAATTGTTCTAGCGAAGTTGGAGGTATTACTAGAGCATTAGAAACACCCTGTGAAGATGAGATCAAGGGAGACTGCGCAGCTGGTGGCTTTTTTAACATACTCGAGTTGCTTCTCAATTTATTGTTCAAGCCATTTACCTTGATTGTTGAGGTATTGGATAATGACGGGATTGTAATGGGTTGATCCATAGACTTTATATTGTTCCTCAAAGTCTGCACACGTACGCCACCTTCAGTGACAATGGATATATTGGTTATTTCCACTTCAAAAGCGAATGGATTTTGAAGCTGGACCTTAAGCTGGTAGATTTCGTCCTTGATTAATAGTTTATCTTTGTTAACAGTCGAAGGCTTTTGTTTGGTGTATGGATTGAAGATTATAGGTCCATTTGTCAGCGGGGCTGACTTTGGTAAACCCCCTTTGTTTATTTGTTCGTATTCGAGGAACGAGACGAGTTCATCTTTATGACGGTTTGTAATAAATTTGACTCTTCTGACCAAGAAAGGATCCCAATAACTAGTTGAAAGATTCAATTTGTTTCGATTCGAAAGATAAATCAAATTATCGATCTTCTCCTTCAACTTCTGTTGATCTTCTGCAGTTAAACAATGCGTGAATCGGGTTAACAATAATGTGCACAACTTTAGTATGAAGGACCAATCCTTAAGGATCTCAGATATTCTCAAACATAGTCTGATCAACAGGATTTGTAACGCAGTCCAATTACCTTGTGAATGGTCATACGCTGCTTCAGAATAACTTTCTGATTCGCAATTGATATTATATGTGGCAAACAAATAATTAAAGATATCCCGGATACTTGAAGTTTGATCTTTCCGATCCGCTAAACCATTGATACTGGTGGTAATTTCATCCAAATCTGACTGTGTTTGAAGAACATGTTGTTCCAACTTAGGCAAAATTCCCACCAACAATGTTCTTAAGATCAATGCCCGTTTTCTATAAAGTCTTAAGTCCGAGTACATTGATGCTAATGAGCAATAAATACGGCATTGATCAGTGATTCCCATATCCACCAACTGTAATGAGAAAACCTTCTCAATTTCTGCTAGGATATCTGCTTTCAGAAAATGATTCTTATCAGCAGCATGCTCAGGAATTCTTGTGGCTTTGATAATATGATCAATAACGCTCGAGTCCAATTCATTACCACTTAAGTAGATGCCAATCATGTACTTTATGGTACGCAATATAGACTCCACATACACTATATCAGGCACCATGTTTTCGTAATCATTGGTACTAAGATTGTAAAAATGCATGACTTTGGAAGAAATGAGCTTGATGAATGTTGGTAATGGCAAAGAGGACAAATCTGGACTGGAGCCGAAGTTAAAACTCAAATTGCTGCTTGTAGAATTTCTTGGTGAAAGATTTGAGTTTCTTTGGTTCTGTGACGGTTTGGAAAGGTGGATCGATGTACGTCCATTGCTATGTGAAGGTGCATCAACAGACATTCTTTTAGGGGACGAGACTTCACTATCGGATGCTGTAGTCAATGAGTGCAATTTGCTTTTTGAGATTTGAAGAACGCTACAAATTGTTTGACTTGGGAGCTGGTATGCCAGATGGACGTATTGCAATAATAAGCAGCTGATTCCAATGCCTTCCAACGCACTTCCAAGCCAAAGAAAATCTTCACACTTCTTTAAATTGACCAAAGAATCTGTAAACAGTTGTAATGCTTGATTGTATTTACCAGCCAATAGATAAAGATTCCCCATCAATTTCGACTGTCTGCCAATATGACGTTGTTGCGGTTTAGATTTCGGGTCAGTGGTGGGTGGCTGATTCGGATTGGAGCTGGAGAATGACGCTTTGAAAGAGGTCGAGCCCGAACTCAATCTTTTCTGAGCCTGATGAATAGTCTTGGTCAACGTATGACTATCGGTAATAGACACAGGAGACCTCAATGTGATATTTGAGTATGATGATGCATAGTTATCCAAGGCAGACAAAAAATGGCCACTGACGTCACACATAATAGTTTCCATGGCGGTAATATTGTGATCCATGGACCCATCGTGGAAGAAGGAAAGTTGATCGTCGGAGGCATGCTTGTGCTCAGGGTTGGGGGTGTCGAATGAAATCAACTTATGTACAATCGAGCTGGGGTATCGCTTCTTCAACTGAGCTATGGATTCTTGGGGATCCACTTGGGAGGCGTATTTGCCTATTCCCAAGATAATGAAAGTCTTTCTGAAAGGTTCGAAATCATGCAAAAATATTGATTCGCTATCAGGGGCAGTAGTCACGAAGTCAAATATTATTCTACCGTTAGGAAATGTCTGAGGATTGAAGTAATGGAGGGCTGTGTTGGGGGTGATGTCCAATAGTCTGACCTCACTAGCACTGCTTCGTATGATATCCACGTATCTATCAAAATTGGACTGGGAACAGCCATTTATCGGCACCAACAAGCACTTGACCTTTGCTGGTGTCACGTAGCTGTATCTGTCGTTCATGGGGTAGGTGTGTCTCCAGATGTTGCTGGTTACAGTATTCCTGGACCCGTGCGGTGTGTGGCAATTGGTCAATTCCACTTTTCCCGCCTAGTCAAGCTGCCAGATCTTATGCCAGGCTCAGATCAGGCTTGAAAACTTTTGGTAAACAGGTGGAGTCGTGCGAGCGCGCCCAAAATTTCGAAGGCAAAGCGACTACAGGAACTGGTGATAGTACGACTATATACATCATACTTACTAGCATTACCCTTCTTAAGACACAGGCACCCCACACAAGACACCCAGAACAAAATGCCTGGCTTAAGCTTTGACAATTACCAAAGAAACCATTTCTTGACCACCAAGGGTTTTGGTGCTCCAACCGCAACATCTACAGGTACCACAATTGTGGGATGTCAGTTCAAAGGCGGAGTGGTGATCGCTGCCGATACCAGAGCCACCGCAGGAGACATTGTTGCCGACAAGAATTGTGAAAAGTTACATCGTTTGGCTCCCAAGATTTGGTGTGCTGGTGCAGGTACCGCCGCCGATACCGAGATGGTTACACAATTGATAGCATCCAACTTGGAGTTGCACTCATTACTGCAGAACCGTGATCCTAGGGTGATCACCGCATTGACCATGTTAAAGCAGCACTTGTTCAAGTATCAGGGACACTTGGGCGCTTACTTAATTGTGGCTGGCGTGGACCCTACTGGCGCACACTTGTTGTCAGTCCAGGCCCACGGGTCTACTGACGTTGGTAAGTACCAGTCGTTGGGATCCGGTTCCTTGGCTGCCATGGCTGTGTTGGAAACCCACTTTAAGGAAGACATGACCAAGGAAGAGGCCATGAAGTTGTGCGCCGATGCCATTGAGTCGGGTATCTGGAACGATTTGGGTTCCGGTTCCAACGTCGACTTGTGTGTCATGGAAGTCGGCAAGGATGCCGAGCTCTACAGAAATTACCTTACACCTAATGTTAGATCTCAAAAGGCCAAAAACTACGTTTTCCCCAGAGGCACCACAGGTGTGTTGAGAGAAAACGTCCGTGAGCTTTTGGACATAGAGGAAACCGTGGTGACTTTCGGCGACGCCATGGAAGTGGACGCTTAACGTCCATAGAACCGAATATAAACCCCACATCAATATATGGGTCTGTAATGTCCAGCGTAGGCTCGCAGCAAATGACACAAAATCGATTTTCTAGACTTTTCCACGAACCACAATATAAGTACTCCAGACGGTACTATCATCGACAGCACTATCGACAATGGTTGTGAACAATCCTAACAACTGGCACTGGGTGGACAAGAACTGCATGGCTTGGGCCAAGCAGTACTTCGACGAGAAATTGGCAGGGCTCAGCGTGAACAACGCCGGCAAAGTTGCTGCTGTCAAATCGGTTTCATCGGTGGAAGGTGATGTTGAAGTGTGTCAAAGAAAGGGGAAGGTGATCTCGTTGTTCGACTTGAAGTTGGTTTTGAACGTGACCTGTCTCGACAACGACGAAGAGAAGTTCAGTGGATCCATCACCATTCCCGAATTGGCGTACGACACAGAGGCTGACGAGATACAGTTCGACGTCAGCATTTACAACGAGAACAAAGAAGCGGAGCCCTACCGTGACTTGATCAAGCGCAACTTGATTCCTGAGCTTAGAACCATTTTGGCCAAGTTCGGAACCGACTTGATTGTCACTCATAGTGGCGATATCCAGCTTGCATCCGATGAGGTGCAGTCCAGCTTCACCAAGTCTAACCAGTCGTCTGCACTGGCCACTGCCACCAAGCCAGCTCCCAAAAAGGATGCTGGTGTGAGCTACACTCCAGTCCAGGCTGCTGAGAAGACCAGTACCAAGACGTCTAACATCCCCAAGTACAACACTGCCACCCTCCATCTTGAACCCGTTTTCAACACCACCGCGGAGCAGATCTACGTGACTTTGTTGGACGACACCAGAATCGCTGCCTGGTCCCGCTCGTATCCCCAGATCGCAAAGTTCCCACCTCCAGAGGGTTCGGATTTCCAATTGTTCAGCGGAGCTGTGTCTGGAAAGTTTTTGCGTTTGGTTCCCAACGAAAGAATTGTCCAGCTCTGGAGATTGGAAGATTGGTTGGCCGGACACTACGCCGAGTTGGACATGCAATTGATCCAAGGAGCAGGAGAGACCAAGATGGTGGTCAAGTTCACTGGTATTCCGATTGGCGAAGAGGACAGGGTCAGAGAGAGATTTGAACATGTCTACGTGATGGCCATCAAGTTGGTGTTTGGGTTTGGGGCTGTGTTGTAGGGGATCCACCAGCAGGAATACCCCCCAAAACAAGAGAATGGTCGCTCATGGCCCACAGCCGGTAATAGTGCCATTCTTGGCATGGACTTGGTTCTGTTCGGGTGATCAATTGGTGCAAGTAAGATAGTATAATTGATAATAAAAATCAATTTAGAGTACACAAGTTCACTAGATGGCCTATATAGAAGAAATATGCAATATACCGAACTACTCTTAGCTCTACAACGTAGCCACGGTGGGTGCAAACAGCACTTCAGACACCCCACTGAGCCAGTGTCTGCGGGGGCAGGACTGCGGATAGCCATACTGAGCGCGCACGCTAGCTCGCTATCATTCCCGATCCGACGGGATTCGTTGCCCAGTTAGTGGTCGTGCCCAGTGGAACCAACTACTGGATTCAGAAAGAATTTCCCGGGCCCGAGATATATAATCCTTGGAGAAGAATTCATCACCAGTATCTTATCCAAGTGCTATAGAAACATTCCAATCACACAATGACCGAATCAACCGTCGGAAAGGTACGTACTGTGCTTGGCACGCTTTCAGTGCTGTTGTTGGAGAATTAGGCGGTATCCGATCACCATAGTGGCAAGAGCATCTCCGGACCACCAACGGGTGGTGGATGTGCTAGGGGATTCCGGCTTTGATGCACACAGGCAACTGCCAACGTATCGGAGCAGATTACGAGATCCTAGCCATGGTTCTGTTTAAATACTCTGGCGAAAACACCCTGGCAGTTATACTAATATTAGACAATCCACTGCAAGGCTGCAGTTGCTTGGGAAGCAGGCAAGCCATTGACCATCGAGGACATCGAAGTCGGCCCACCAAAGGCCCACGAAGTTCGTATCAAGATCCTTCACACTGGTGTGTGCCACACTGATGCCTACACCTTGAGTGGTGTTGACCCAGAGGGTGCTTTCCCAGTCATTTTAGGACACGAAGGTGCTGGTATCGTCGAGTCTGTGGGTGAAGGTGTCACCAACGTCAAGGTCGGTGACAGTGTCGTTGCATTGTATACCCCAGAATGTCGTGAATGTAAGTTCTGCAAGTCTGGTAAGACCAACTTGTGTCAAAAGATCAGAGTCACTCAGGGCCAAGGTGTCATGCCAGACGGCACCTCCAGATTCAAGTGCAAGGGCAAGGACTTGCTTCACTTCATGGGATGCTCCACCTTCTCCCAATACACAGTGGTCGCTGATATTTCTGTGGTTGCAGTCAACCCAGAAGCCAAGCCTGACAGAACTTGTTTGTTAGGATGTGGTATTACTACTGGTTACGGTGCTGCCACCATCACTGCCAACGTCCAAAAGGGCGACACTGTTGCCGTCTTCGGTGCTGGATGTGTCGGTTTGTCCGTTGTTCAAGGTGCGCTTGAAAGACAAGCCTCCAAGATTATTGTCGTTGATATCAACGACAAGAAGGCCGAATGGGCCACCAAGTTTGGTGCCACCGACTTCGTCAACCCAACCAAGCTTCCTGAGGGCACCTCTATCGTCAGCAAGCTTGTTGAGCTCACCGACGGTGGTTGTGACTTTACTTTCGACTGTACTGGTAACACCCAAGTCATGAGAGACGCTTTGGAAGCTTGTCACAAGGGTTGGGGTCAATCCATCATCATTGGTGTTGCTGCTGCTGGTAAGGAAATCGCCACCAGACCTTTCCAATTGGTCACTGGTAGAGTCTGGAAGGGTGCTGCTTTCGGTGGTGTCAAGGGTAGAACTCAATTGCCAGGCATAGTCGAAGACTACATGCAAGGAAAGTTGAAGGTCGACGAGTTCATCACTCACAGACACGAGTTGTCCAAGATCAACACTGCCTTCGATGACATGCACCACGGAGACTGTATCAGAGCTGTGATTGACCTTTAGCAACTAGCATCCAAAATTTGAGTCGGCTAGTTAGTAAAAAAATAGGACTACATATCAAATTATTCTATCGCAATATTGTACATATCCTATTTAGGATGGTCTATTAAGATTACTCTTCCTCCTCTTCTTCAGGGCCGTCCAAATCAATGGCAGCTTGCAAATCTTCGTCCTCCTCTTCCTCGAAGTCGCTTTCTTCTTCAAAATCGTCATGTCCATCCATGTCAATATCTTGGTCGGATTCATCTTCTTCGATGATACCCATAGCCTCAGCATCATCTATGTCTTCGTTGTATTCAACATCGCTTTCTTCGTCCTCTTGATCTTGCTCGTACTCTTGAATTAAGATTTCTCTCTTCAAGTCATTTTGTTGATATAACATGTTCAATCTTCCTTGCAATTCCAACAATCTTGGTAAAGTGTTAGCCTTCTTAATTAACACCGAGTGCAAGTTGGCGAGCTTGATGCTTAAGTTAGGTAACGATGCTAAAACAGTTCCATGAATAATCACAATCCACTTCAACCAATAGTTTAATTGATCAAATTTGCTTGCTTGACGTTGAATCTTTTCAGACAATTTATCCAACAAGATAACTGCTAAAGAAGAATCAAGCTTCTTGATAGTGTTTTGAATAACTTGCGGATCTCTGTTGCTCAAAACAGTTTCTAACAATGCATGGTCATTATTTCTTAAGGATTGTGCTAAAACGATGGTTAAAGTTCCTGTCTTGGTTCCCAACTTTTTCTTGGTGCGGTTCTTTTTAGGTTGTTGATCAGTAGTGAGTTTTTCTAACTTATCAGCTAAGGTCTCACTGACCTCATCCTCGTTGTAATCGATATCTTTGTAGTTGTTACCATCACTAACAATAGTATGCGTTTCCTCATAAATTTTAGCTGATGCAACATCATGGCCAAATGAAGTATGACTAGTTGGTTTGAGGTTTGGTCTAGATTTGAGTACAACCTTGTCAGACTCGATTAAGGAAGTTCCTGATTCGTCGATCCACTTAATAGAATCGAAGTATGGCACGTTACCATTCTCCAACCAGGTGACCAAAATGGAATCACCAGACACACTAATACAGTTGATCATCAAGTTAGAATCATTAGGGTTCTTGATTTCGGTTTCTGGTCTCGACAACTTGACAGTTCCGTTAGAAGGCCTGGATTGGATTTGAGCAGCCTGTCTTCTCTTCTTCTTTGCTTGCTGTGCGGAGGATGCAGTGGGAATTAACAAACTCAATGGATTGTTGAACACTTCTAAGTTACCATTTTCATTGATACTTGTCAACAAGGATTTTTCACCTTGAACACCAAGATCCATGTCTAACACAGAAACTTGAGATACAAAGACCGATCTTGTAGTTCCCTTTGAGATAGAGTAAAGGTTAATGAATCTGTCACCTTTAGCGCTTGTCAAGAACAAGTCTGGGTCATTTGGAACTGGTAAAATGGAGTTGATTGGTTGGATATGACCAGGGAAAGTCTTTATTATTTGACGGGAAGAGATATCAATCAAATAGATAGAATGTGATCCTATCAAGAGGCATGGCTTTTCATTATACATCACACTTGAGATTCTATTGATGGTTTCTGCGTTTTCCAACACATCATTAATATTGAAGCTTTGTAACAACTTATGATTCACGACATCCCATTCATAGATAGATCCACCATTGTCACAAGACCATGCTGACTGGGTGTATAATGAGAAATGGAAGTCCAAGATAGATGCATGGCTTGGGGTAGTTAATTCAGTGATAATTTCATTACTCGAAGGAGAATAGATAAGGATCGAACCCTTGGTCAAACTTAATGCTAAAATATGCTGTTCACCAGCTGAGGGGATCCATGATATCTGGGTAAGCTTGCTGGACTTGTCAAGGTTGAATGAAGTATTGAGTGGTGATTGGGATGGGTTTACTGATTGGACTTTGATTTGATGGGTGTCCAAAGCAATATGCCCAGAAGCCAAGAAGGTCTTGCTGGGGTCAAACTTGGCACAAATGAAGGGTCCGCTTGACATGATAGTTAGTTCGGAGATGAGCCTGTTGATTCTCGATGGCTTGTAGTAGTAAGAGATGAGCTTCCTAAACAAAAATTTTTATCGCGGTCGGTGTTGTGTGCAGTACAGAATGTGGGTTGAAGTGTATCGATATACTTAAATATATTAATCGCATAACTATGAGTAGCCTCTGGAAATCCTATCAAAGGGTTCCACTAGATGGGTTGACTTATTTAGAGTCAATTTTTCTTTCTTCTCTTTGTGTCCTTGTCACTGGAAGGTTTTGAATCAAGTTCTTTTTCGCCTTCCAGAACTGCAGCTGATCCCGAAAGATCTATGGGTGCGCTTATGTTAATTCCTCCTCTAGAAGTTCTTCTCTTCAACTTGCTTCTCAAATCCGTTTGCTCTGCTGGCGGGGTCAAGTCTGTATTGGATTCATCCTCGTCTACTTCGTTCTCGAAGAGATGAGCATTAGGGATGGTTTCTTTAGCTTCAGCAATCATTTGCTGATAATCTTCTTTTTTTATTTTACCTTCTTTGATCACCTTTTTGAGCAACTCGCTTTCTTTTGGAGTGCTAGCTGGTTTGGGCGAGTCAGAGTTTGATTTTGCTTCCACAGAAGGTGATTTTTTATCGACTTGCGATGGTTTCGATATACTGTCGTGAACTGTGTTTAATGTATTGCTCAAACCATTGAAATAGATCTCATTGACATTCAAGTTCTTGTTGGGATCTAGGTTTTTATCCTTTAAGCTCTGAATGCTTGCTTCTCCCTCCGGGTCTTGCTTAATTTGTGGTAATATTTCTCCACACTTTAATGCAGCAGCATCTTGCGAGGTATACTCTTTAGCATGAGCTATTCTGCTATGATTGAGAAATCCTTGGGCTGAGGAAAAGTTACTTCTTTGACAATCGGGACATGTTAACTTGACGATAATGCCGTCTGTTCTTCGGTATAGACATCCGAGATTTTGATGGTTCAATTTATTAACTGACTGGCCTGAGGGACCAGAGACTGATGAATATGAAGGCCTCAATGAGGATGTAGTAGATCTTGTTCTATATCCCCCTCCTTGTTGAAATGGTGCACCGGAGCCATCATGTGAATATCCAACGTTATCGTTGAATCCACCTTGGTTTTCACCAGCGAGGAAATCCGGCTTGAATAGTCCTTTGCCCCCATAACTATAGTGTGGATCTCCGAAGCCTACCAGCTGCTGTCTTTGTAAATCATTGAATCTTACTGCCAACGACTTGTTTAACACATCAAAGTACTTTAAGGTAAACTCGTTAGGCTCGCTGCTGATCTTTAAATCATTCGGTATATCGAAGAACTTACGAAGGACTAGCATTTGCGACTCTATCTTGCCAATTTCAGACTCTGTGAGCTTCAACTCTTGATGCTTTAATCTTATTTCTAGGTCGATCTGATTCGTTATGATCTCCTTAAGCTGTTTTAATGGTATTTGCTCCAACTTCTTCATCAAACTTTCCTTTTGATTCTCCTTCGAAGCCTGATATGGGCCAGGCTGAGTGGGCTCCGAAGTCGCCACTGAGTCATTTGTAGTTGTCGGTTGTACTAACTGCTCGGGGACCAGTTTTTCATGATCTTCCATCCTAACTATGAGATATTAGACAGTTGCAGGAGAATAATTGGAAGGCAATAAAAGGTCACTGTTTAGGCTAGCTCTCCGATAGGAGGCGAGTGTTGCCCATACACTATGTCACGTGACCAAAATCTAGACTTACACAAAATGCCGGGTGTGATTGCAAAAAAGAGAATCAGGCAGGGCCCTCCTAAAAACTTTAGAGAGGCCTTATATAGCGTATAGCTGTTGAAATTAGTCAGGCTTATTTATAGGGTGTTAGAAGTTGATGTTTATTGGCTATGCATAAAGGTTTTGCTCGAACATTTTCTCTTGATCGCAATCGTGCAATTTTGTTGGGCACTTTTAATGGACTTTGAGTAAAAATTGATAAATTTGTAGAAATCTGTCAAAAGAGTGCATTACAGTTTTTGAGCTTTTGTGATGACATTGGCGTAATTCCTCAAAATGGTTTTTAATTCTATCGATATTTACATACATTAATCAGAGAAGTTGGATTACATTTAGTTTTGAGCAAATACAGTCTCATTAAATAGCAGATTACAATTGAGAAGCGAAGAAGTGAAGTGTTGCCTGCATTTATCGTGTAGTCTTATTCAGCGTAAGCACTTTGATGTGAACTCACTAGATATTATACACAAAAATCTATATCTGTAGCTTTTCAAGGAGATTCATCTCTTCTAGTACGCAGTCTCACGTGATCGCGTCACTATCAAATATTGGCACCCCAGATGGGTCTTCACAGCCCATCAACATGTCCGAAACTACCATTCCGATTGAAACTATCGGCAGGCTCTTTAAAGAAGTTGCATTCAAAAATGCCGACACGCAAATCACGCGTTCCACATTGGAATTGGCGTCGGAATACATCAAGCTCTTCGTCAATGAAGCAGTGTTGAGATCGAACGAAGAAAGAGTGTTGGAAGGGGATTCCTTGACCAAGGTCGACGGTATTGACAACGTTGAATTTAAGCAGACCCAACCAGGGGAGACCCAGGATGCATTAGAGGAAGAAGTCTTTGATGATGATATTGATCCCGAAATTAATGAGCCAAGCACCCAGGATCAATTGGGTGCTAATAACGAATATACAAATGATACTTTGGACTCAAGACATCTAGAGAAAATTGCAGGAATATTGGTGTTGGACTTCTAAGGCTACAAGATTAGTAGTGATTCGATATTTTTATCTATTTGGTAACTTGGTATGTGCCTATATCAATAACATTCCAATATCCATAGGACAAGTTCTGTTTTGAAAGCTTTAATACCTTGATTGCCTGGGGCAACTCCGCCTGCACAGTGATATAAAGTGGAATTTTAATGTCAAGTAGATCGCTGGAGTCCCAAGTGTCGGTCTCATCATTCATTTGCACAGAAATAAAAAGTGGGATCAGACTCCAGCCAGCTCCTTGAGCAACTAGCGATTCAGAAGATTCCGATACGTCCAGGGTATCCTCAGGTTTTTCCTTGAATAATGCACTTCCCATTCGTGAAATGAGCTCTGCTTTCGATATAGTGTTCTTGGTAGTCAAGCATGCGGTGGGAATAGTTTTGATGAGGTTCTTGGTCGAACCTGATGATTTGATAACGATGTCAGGAATGGGGATGCTCAACTCTACTTTGAATTTCAGTTTGTTTCCCCCAGTAATGAAGTTGTCGGCAATGTACGGCAGACTACCCACATGGATCTTCATGTCTACCTCTAGCGGGTTCATTAGGTTGATTAAGAAGGTACGTCGGCACTCCAATTGCAAGTTCCTTGTTTCAGTTGGGGGCGTGGTGAGAATGGTAGGAGATATAGTGTTGGTCAACTTTATAGACGGCATGTAATCCACAGCATTGAATTTGACTCTGAGCTTATTTGTGGTTGGTAATAGGCCGTCTTCTGTGTGGGGAAGAAGGAGGAACGTGTTGCAGTTCAAACACTTGTAGGACTTTTTCACGGTCAATTTCCGGGCCACAGGGTACTGGTTGGAATGGTCGGGATGTGTCGTTATCTCTACCCTGTTTCTTACCTCAGATATATCTTCTGGTCCTAGTGTATCGATGGGACTATCCGGTGTTCGAGAGATATTTGATAACGACAAGTTTTTCAACCTTGTTTCCGACTGTTTCACTGGCGCATCTGACGCGGTCGAAAGCTGTTGCTGGTACTTGTAGAAGGTCTGGTGCTGGGCTTCTTTCTTTTCCGAGCTGATGATGGAATGCAATGATTTGGGGCTGGTGATGACGCCAGACTGATATGTGTACGTACAGTACACACACGAGAACTGGAAGGCCTTGCCTAGCTTGCCGTTGATTTGGTGATCAGTGATGAAGATGGTCAACGACGAGGTGCACGACGGACACACGAAGCAGTTTTTGGCACACCTTTGGGTGTCATTGGAGGTGTGGGAGTAGTCTGTGATGCAATGGGAGCAAAACTTGCACTCAATATTGTGGTAGCAGTCGTAGCGTGATTTGTGGGCCTGGCACGAGGGGCAAAAGTAGAGCTGGGACAAGTGATGGACCGAATTGGCGGAAAACCCGTCTAGGGTTCGGTGGGTCGCCAGTTTGGGGCAGTAGATGTAGGAATCATTATAGATCTTGGACATCAGATATCAGTAGACGTGAGATAGATGGAGCCATTTGGAAACGCATTTTGTGGAGGTTTGCGGGACTTTGTGGCAGCACCCACCCGATTTCCAATTAGGATGGTTCTGCCGTGCGTGTGAGCGGAGCGTGGAAGAAACCAATTGGGGGAAGGAGAACCTAAAATAATAAAATATGCCAAATGTGTATGTGCATGCGAGGCAGCCGTCAAATGGCAAGCAGGTGCCAAGTCAGGCAGTCTGAGGAAATGCTCCTCCAGAAAGGCGAGATAACCATCAGGGCCAGTTGTCAGGTGAATTGGCCAACGTGGAGCGGGGACACGTGCTGGTCCACCAGGGTATAAATAGCGGCCCCAACCATGCGATGCCACCAAGATGAAGCCCCAGACTGCTCTTGCGACGCTTGTGGGTGCCCTAGCCCTTCTGTACGGGGCGCTGGGCCAGGTAATTTTGGGCTTGTCCCAAAACGATTTGCAGCAGCCGCTTCTGCATCATCACAATAAGGGCCCCCATTACGAGGTGCTCACCCACTATTTCAAGCAGGACGACCCCACTACCGACGACGCCACTTTCGACGTTAGCCAAGACTTCGGACTCTACCCCAACACCACTTGGACCGAGTTGGTTGCGGAGTTGCAGGCGTTGAACGCTCAGCACCCCCATCGCAAATATAAACTATTGTTCTTGCAGCGTCACGGAGAGGGCTGGCATAACGTGGCTCCTGCAGACTATCCCTCCGACCAGTGGGCGTGCTACTGGCAGGTGTTGAACGGGAACAGCACCGTGGAGTGGTACGACGCCGAATTGACGCCTTCAGGCGTGCAACAGCTCACCAGCTTCCAACAAGCGTGGGCGTCGCGCGTGGCCAGCGACGGGGTGCCCATCCCCCAGTCCTACTACGTGTCGCCCTTGCGAAGGACCCTCCAGACGTGGGAAATTCTCTGGAGCAAGCTTGCCACCACCCGTCCCGTGATCAAGGAGTTGGCTCGTGAAACCTACGGTATCGGCACCGAGAGCAAGCGTCACAACAAAGAGTACCTCCAGCGCAACTATGGGTTTGCCGATTTCGAGGCTGGATTCAGCCAGTTTGACGATCGCTGGGTGCCCGACAGGCACGAGTCGTCGCAGCACCGTAAGTACCGGGCCCAGCAGCTCCTCAACGACATTTTTCTCCATGACCCCAGTGTAGTGGTGTCAGTGGTGTCGCACTCGGGGTTGATCAAATCGGTGTTGAAGGTGGTGCACCACCGCAAGTGGGGGTTGCAGACAGGACAGATGGTGCCGGTGGTGGTGGAGGCCAGGTACAACAAGAAGGGCGACACCTACGACTTGGACAAACCGTGGAGTGAGTATCGCAGCTGCGAAACCAGTTGATGGCAGCCACTATTTTTAGAAGAGATATGACGCAATAGACATCTCCCATCGCCTAGTGTCTGGGAACATATGCGGGCCCGCATCCGTGCCGGGGGGCGCGACAGGGCGCGCTGGTTCTAGACTGAGGTCTTTTCCGGCGAGATATGTAGGCCCACGCACAGTGACATCATGGGGATCTCAGATCTAACAGTTAACGCGGCGCGCCGTCACTCACTTAGGAGGCAGTGCATAATTATTACTCTGACTGAGACAACCATGATTGTCTGTGCCTCCCTGGTGGGTGGCCAGTTTCACCTGTTTCAGCGGACATCCGGCCACCTCCTGGTGGCAACCGCTGTCCCGGCAGTGCGCTGGAGGCAACTGTTCGCTCGTAACGCGCCATGACCTCATCCCCCCGCTGGCGCTGTCTGCCACCTTCGGTATCCTGCCCCCGGTGCGCATTTCTGCACCTCGCCCGTTCAGACGCACTCCTTCCGCCAAGGCACCTGGCACCTTCTCCCTAGCCCACTATCGCCACCTTGGGAAACCCCGGCACTGCACCACCGTAAAAGAAATTCCGTCACTGTCACTTTGGCACTGTCACTTTAGATCTCCAGTCACCAATATCTATCTTTATTCTCATAAACAAATACACCTCTTTTTATAAAGCCCTGCCACTTCCTGGGCCATCCATCCTTGCTCCCTCAGTCCCTCCATCCTTGCGCCAGAGCCTCTATCCTCGCGCCCGCATCCACCTGCTCACCCTTTCCATCGCGCTCCGCCTACCTTGGCACACATTCTGTCCGCAGACTCCTCCCTGCCATTACCTCCACCACCACAGGCCTACACAACTCTCCTGTTTGGCTTGCGGTTCCCCACTCTGCAACTTCTCCGTCGTGCTGTCCCCCACTGCTCGGTTTTTGCTATTGTATTGTCCCCCACCACGTCTAAGATTGGTCATCACACCAGCTTAGCACAAACATCAGCAACGGTCTAGCCACCAAAGCTCATAAACACTGCAGCCACCAAACGCTTTAGTCTACAGAATTTCCCCATCAAACCCATATATCACCAAACAACCTACCCACCAATCTGACCCCACCATGAGCTCGTCCCCGTCCATCTGCGCGTCGCCGAACTTCACGTTTCCTTCTACTAACAGCCCTAGGGACACTCCCGTGGACTACTTCACCATGAAAGCTGACGTCAAGAACTCGTTCCCCCATCCTGGGCCACCATCCTCAAGAATCATACCGAGCCAGCACGCCCAGAAGCCTCCCAGCCTCCATCCATCGGGACCCAAGGCCAAGCTCACCACCGCCCACAAGTCCATCAACGACTCCATCAGCTCCATCACATCCAACACCTCGGACCTCACCATCTACGAGAACAGCTTTGGCAAGAGCTTGCGCACAAACTCGATCGCATCCACAGACACCTTGGTCGACGACACCGAGAATGAGTCCGACAAAGTCCAGGATATCGACTTCCACCGCCACCAGAACGAACGCAAGTCGTACAAGTTCAGCTCCCAGACCTTGAAGCTCAACCTTCCCAGGCGATCCAACAAGTCCCAATCCGCATCCTCCAACGATATCATTCCCTCCACCGGCTTGCTCTCTTGCCGTGAAAGCGAAGAGATCGAGTCAAACAAAGCATCCTCTGCAACAGAGTCTTCATTTCCTTTTCACACCGCCACGCCATCTTCATCCCAAAACTATTCGCATGCCATCCAAGCACCCCCTGTTAAGAAGCAGTTCACGTTGCCAATCATATCCTTGCAGAACGAATTGTCGTTGGACTCCATCAAGCACGAACAGCTCAAAAGATTACACTCGCTACCAACTATGAATTACAGACAACAAATTGAAAACCTCAGTTCTACCAGCATTAAGTACATTTCTGAAGCTGAGGCTGACTTGTCTTTACGTTCCAACAGCGATCCCCTTTTGGTGATTGATATCAGACCTTTTGCTGACTATGTAAAATCCCATTTGAAAACTGCGTTGAATGTTTGCTTGCCTTCGACCTTGTTGAAGCGACCCAACTTTAATTTACATCGCTGCATTAACTCCTTACCAGCTTATGAAAAGTTGCAGTTCAAAGACCTTTTTGCTACTCTGAACGGAAAAGTCTTTATCTACGATTATTATGAAAATTCTGCCAACTTGTATCACATGTGCAACAAGTTTGTTAACAGTCCTTTATTTGTTGATACCAAGCACTCGATTTACTTGATTGATGCCAACTTATCCCATTTCAATGAACAATATTCCCACTTGTTCGAAGAGGGCAGCACATCGTCGGGAAACCCAGATGCCGTTAGCAATACCCCGTCATTCTTGAATAAAAACGTCAATTCCAACTTAAGGCCAGCACCAACCACTTTACAGAATCCATCTTCAACAAGTAACATTAATACTTCGAGTGCTCACGAAAATAATCCTAGTGGGTTTGCTCCACAGCTTCTGGCTATCCCCAAGAACAGGGCTCAGTCATTAGCCGACTTGTCAGCTATTCATAAGTCTAACCACGATTTGAAGCGTCATTCGACAAGCATTGACTTTGACACTGTGGATAGTTCAACTCCCATTCTCTCCAACTTCTCTTTGCCTAAACTTACCGGAGGTAACGTTTTCAAAATCAGACACAACGAAGAATTATACAGCATGAATTCAAATCCTTTCGACTTTTCTGGGTCATCGTCTTCATCAACTTTGAATCAGAATGCATCCAATTTATTCAAATTACAGAATTTACCTAAGGATAAATCACACTTGCCGGAATGGTTGAAGTCTTCCGTATTAGAAGGTCTGGTACAATCTAATAAAATCAATGCAGATTTCTTTGCCTTAGAAAAGTTTGAACAAAAGCGATTAATTTCAGCATTGTCATTAAAGAACTCGGAGGGGGTTTTGTCGCCTATCAAAGATGAAGTTGTTCCAACAATTAGTTGTGGAATTGAATATGGCCATAAGAACAGATACAAGGACATTTTTCTTTTCGAGCACTCAAGGGTTAAATTGGGTGATCTCAATGGTCCCACCAGTACAACTGATATTCCTAGTGATGACGATTATATCAATGCTTCTTACTTGGATCCTATTTCAAACTTGGAAGACTATTCTAAAGTCACGCCTCAAGTCTTGTCTCACTTGAAGTTCATTGCTACTCAAGGTCCTTTGGAACAAACTATGGGTGACTTCTGGAAGTGTATTATTACAGCTAGAAGCCCTATTGTGATGTCATTGACCGATGAGATTGAAAATGGTGTCATGAAGTGTTCGCCATTTTGGAAATCGGGTGTTTACCGTTCGAACCAGGATGTGATTAACTTGAAACTTACAGGAGAAGTTAGAGTAAGCGACCACTTGATACTTAGATCCTTCTCCATGACTATGAGCAATGTTGCTGGAGGACCAACCTTTTCTCACAATGTGCTTCAAATGCATTTATTATCATGGCCGGATATGGGTACTATTTCCACCCCATTGGACATCATTCAATTAGTTCAGTTGAAGTACTACATATTGGAAAAGATGCAAATCCAAGAGGATTGTAATTATCCTACTGTCATCCATTGTTCTGCTGGTTGTGGTAGAACTGGTACGTTCGGGGCCATTGACACCGTGATCAATATCTTGAAGAATAACAATTCCCAAGAATTGAACTCCGATCCAATCCACCAGATTGTCAATAATTTTAGAAGACAACGGATTTCAATGGTACAGAATTTGAGACAGTATTATTTGATCTATGAGATTGTTTTAAACTATTTAAATGTGGGTAATTCCATCGAAGATCCCACCAATACCCTTTCTCACTGGGATGATTTGACCAAATTGGACATCGTGAATGATTTCATAGCTACATATCCTAAACTCTAGTTTTAGTAAGTATGTTAATTTAAAAAGTATAAAAAAGTTCGATTAAATACATCGGGATATTCAGGAGCACGTGAGAGTAGTTGTCGACAAGGATTGGGTAACCATCCAGTGGAAGAGTCTGAACTGGAAGCACCGAAGTAGCAGTTTCTACCTAATGACTGCCACTTTGACAGTGGCATTCAAGGGATTAAATAACGGCTCCCTGCTATCACACTCAAACCCCGGCATAGTTGCTCTCTCCAGATCCAACTGTTAATCATTGATTGCGATCGTTGGCATGCAATTGACCAAAGGCAGGCCGTTCGAAGGCATTTACACTACACAGTATTTCTTTATTAAACGTTGATTCATTCATATACTATTTAAGCGTGAGTTTCAACAGCTTGCTTAAGAGCAGATGGGTTGGCACCAATGACCTTTTGAACGATCTTACCTTCCTTGATGAAGAGAACAGTTGGCATGGAACTGATTTCGTATTCAGCAGCAACTTCAGAAACTTCATCGACATCAACCTTGATGAACTTGGCTTGGGTGAATTGAGCAGCAAACTTGTCCAAGAATGGAGCAATCATCTTACATGGACCACACCAGGTGGCGAAGAAATCGACAACGACTAAACCTTCGAACTTCAAAGCTTCGTCGAATTCGGCTTTACTTGTAACTTGAGCAACCATTTTATGTATTTGATTTGGTGGATACTTTCACAGGTGAGAATGTCGAACTCTTTTATAGTCGCGGCCATGTCACGGGGTGCCCGACATCGCCGTTGCCATTACGTAATTCAAGAGGCTGGATCGCTATTTTCTCGCACCATTTGTAAGCCACGCACTAGGTGCTGGCGATTCGAGAACCTTCCTAGTCTAGTGCCAATTGCTTAGGTGCGGTTGAATAAGCACTCCATTCTTCTCGGGCAAGATGATCAGGAATGAGAATAGACTTTCCTGAGTCATGCTTTCTAATTAGTAATTGTAGAGTGTGGTTCCTCAACTCGATCACATTGTCCAACACGTTCCCGAAGCATCCATCATCGGACAGTTTCTGATTGACTAGGCCACGACTCAGGGTGATGATATAAGCAACACACTTTGTAATCATCTCTTCTGTGGTGTCAAAAGCATGATCATTGGTAATTTGCTCCCCTTTGACCGTCACCCCTATTGGCGGCACGCCATTAATAATGTCGTATGCTTCTTCTTGGTGTTTTAACAAATCGATGATTTCGGCATCATCAAGTTCCACCTCGTCTGGGATGCTGTTGTAACGTCTGAAATGAGCAGAAGCAACTTCGGGCCACTTGCTATTGTACTGTATGTCTTCGTCAAAGAGCAAGGGAAGATTGCTATCGTGTAGATTGATGTACGCATCGTTTGGTGTCAATACTAACTGGACTTGTGGCACAATTTGCAACCATTTAGATTTGAGCAATACTTCGTGCTCGACCTGCAAGTACAATTCGAGTAATTGGAAGTGGTCTACTTGCTCCTCCTGTTCGACCTCGTTCACAGTCTTTATCTGAGGGATAAACCCATAAGTGCGAACAAAATGACCAACACTCTCAACCGGAGAGTACGAGATGGTAACCTCGAATTTTCCATGCTTCAAATGAGACCTCTTGATCTTCAATAACACTGCTTTCGAATTTGCGTCCACATCAAAATAGGCATTGTTGTTATGAAAATGATTAGCAAAATCTAAAATTGGTACCAAGGTGATATTAGTGATGAAATCCTTATCATTGGAGATTGTTGCAGTTTTTCCATCGTGATCAGGTTCCTTGATATGAAGTTCCTGAAATGTCTCTTCGAGCTCTTCTTTATCCTTCTGTTCTATGCCATGGGGAATTTCTAAAGTTCTCGATCTAATGGCCCTACTCAATTGATAAAATGTTTCGAATGAGAGTATCAGCTCAAACTCAATCTCTTTTTCTCTGTAAAGAATATTCATGCTTTCCACGAACGACTCATACTCGAATTTGCAGGTTTGTGCCTCCTGTATGACACTTGAGATAAACTTATCGGAGCTTTCATCTTTCCGTGGGAATCCCATCACTTCAGTGCCTAACAAAATGTCCAAATACTGATCATAGATTCGTAATGGACTGGTCAGATGATATTTTCCGGAGATACTTAATTCTCTAAGAATATAGAAAGCTATCACGTAGCAACATAAAATATGAGTTTCTGTATGGGGTTCCATCACTGTAAGCACATTGACAATCAATTCTGACTCCTTCACGTTTTGATGCTCGAAAGAAGTGTTTTGATCCCTCTCTTTCAATCCGTCCAACATGGGTAATAAGTTCATGTAGTCAAGTGTGACATCGTAAGGTACACGGAGCACTTCGAGATCCTCATCTTCACCAAGCTCTTCATCAATCACACCTTCGAATTGTAATCCAATCCCTCCAAGTTCACTCTTTCCAATAACAAGACGTGGATGCAACTTAATGATGTTCTTTTCTATCCATTCCTGGAGGACATTGTTTCTTGAAACGCCTGGTATAACTGTATCTTTGGCGATGCTCATGACTATAACCGTAACTGATGTTAGCGATTGCAACTAATATTTTTGCGAATCACGCGGATGGTGCTCCTAGAAATAGTGTCCGTTGCGAAATCATTAACGTAGTAAATATAGCTAAAGCGATATCGTACGGAGGACGACTCACGATACGGACCTCCCGAGGAATATTATAGAAGCAGCTCTTCTTAATTAATATCAGCTCATTGAGTCTGGAAGACTCGGCTCGGAAAAATAACGGCCGCATTTGATGGAAAAACCGGACCCACTAATCCCAATCCGAGCTAACCTTCCCTTTGAGGCATTTAATGCTCGACATAGATATTCGAAAGTTGTTAAAAATAAATGGTTGACGAGATGATAAACTATGGAAGTCTCTAATTGATATGGAGAAATTGTCCTCGCACTCTCTATTTGGTACTATTGCTACGGGGGATATTAAACCAATAGACCGCCAAAATCATACACCACAGCCAACACCCAGATGAGCATAACTTTGCATATACCCCAAGGGCTATTATAGTCTACGACTACTCTACCAAATGGCATGGCTGTTCTAAAGCACTAATTATTGCAACACGACCGATACTCGGTAGGTTCCTGGATGCTAAATTACACAAAATCCATTCAGTCTAACAAAAATTTAAAGGAACAAAAAACTTTTCCTTGATTGTATCGTAAAAGTATTATCATCAATATGTCCTGGGACGACGAAGATTTTGACGCACCAACTACTAAAACCACAGCACCAGCTGCTGCTGCATCCTGGGAGGACGAAGAGGAAGATGAAGTTTTAGAATCCTGGGAAATTGATGAAGAAGAAGTTGCCAGAAAGAAGAAGGAAGCCGAGGCCCAAAAGCAAAAGGAAAAGGCTGAATTAAAGAAGAAGCAAGAAGAGGCCAAAGCTAAGAAGCTTGGTAAGCACAAGGTTGTCTCTGAATTTGATGATGTTGATGAAGCCACCAGAAAAGAATTGTTGAGAAAGGCTGAATTGAGTGCTGACTTGAACAACGCCGCCGATTTGTTCGGAGGTTTAGGTGTTGCAGGTGATGATGACTTTGACATCAATGAGCATCCAAGAGAAAAGGCAAGAAGAGCTGCCGCTGCTGTTGCTGCCAGAAAGCCTGTCCTTAGCAAGGATACTCCAATTGACTCGCATCCATTATTCCAACCAACTAACAAAGCAGAATTCGAAAGTTTGAGAAAGACTTTGGGACCTGTTTTGACCGACTTGGCTGAGGACTCCTTGATGAACTACTCTTCTGGTTTGGCTATCGATTTGATCAGAGATTTGGCTCAACCTTTGTCTGTGGAGAATCTCAGAAAGGTCTTATCCACTTTGAATGTTGTCATCAAGGATAAAGAAAGACAAGAGAGACAGAATAGATTGAAGAAGACTGGTGGTACTTCCACTGGTGGTGCTGGTAAGAAGAAGGCTAAGCCTGCTGCTAGACCAAATGTTGGTGGTGGTTTCAAGAAAGATGGCATGGATGAGTTAGATGACTTTGATGATTTTGGTGATGATGACTTCATGTAAGTTCCTTGATCAGTTCGGAGATAGATTTGTTTTGCATCATGGTCAGTAGCTCCTTCGTTTAATTAGTCTTACCTAGATGGGACCTTGTATAGTATTTAAGGAGCAGCACTACAATAAATTTTTATCAGTAGCAACCTGTTTGATACGCCTTGCAATCAAGTGGTAGCGTCGATTTCGTAACAAATCGATAGGATCTTTTAGTGTTCCCTCTGTTGCTGCACTTGATTGATTTCCAATTTTCTCGATAAACTTATTTACCTTCAGGATTTTGGTAGACATATTCTGGTTAATTGTTCTCACACTTTCAAGTTCGACTTCCTGGTTAGCATTGGGAAATACTTCCCTATCTTTCAACTCGTTCTCTTCAATGCCTTGCATACAGTTTTGTATGAGGAGAACATCTTCTGCTGTAGCTGAAGTCTTTTTTGTTTGTAAACCTCGAAATCGCTTTTTTTTTCTCTTTGCAGTATTATTATTACCTTGAGTTTCCGTTTTCCTTGCGACAATTTGCTTTTGAATCTCCTCGACCTTGTATGCTTCTAACGGTTCATGAATTAATGAATTTGACGGTGTTGATGTGGCTTGAAAGGAAACATCTTTCAATTGGATCCCCAAAAGGTGATTTCTACTGGAAGCCTTGGCTTTAGTACCTTTTGGCTTCTTCTTGAAGATCTCCCTTAGACTTGCTGCGGTGTTTATCGTCTTAGCGGCAAGAATTCTTCTGCTATTTGCAGCCGGCAAATGTTTAGCTGAAGAGAAATTTTTCACTAGATGTTAGTACATGCCGGTATAGTCTTTAAACTACGTACCGCTCTTACTACCATCAGTTGACGCCCTAACCATTTCACAGTATATTTCACAACCATGTTGCAAACTTCGAGACAATTGTCGCGACATTCCTTGCGACAACTGCGACACTTTAAACCAAATCTGACTGATCCATTATAGGAACAGCACAAACGAGGCAGTAATAGAGATTAGGGTCAGATGTCGAACGATAACATAATCTTGCCTTCTGCAGCAAGTTTGTCTACACTTTCTATTGCAGATAATCCCAAATCTGGATTCGGGTACAATCCGTCCTTGGGTCCCTTGTCCAATACCATAACACCAGAGAGCTCCAACATCCTATTGAATAGAAAAACATTGAGCCTAACTCCTACCTCTGGTAACTCCATATACGACAAGAACGTCAACAACAAGAAGATAAATGAAATCAACTTATCGTCGTTATCCTTCTTGTTCTGTGAAGCAGTGAACTGGACCCATAGGAATTCCAAGGGAATTCAAGACTTGGAAACCCGATTGAATGGTCTAGGGTACCAGGTGGGGCAGCGATTCCTCGAACTCATTAAGCTCAGAGAAGGTGTCAAGAGCAGCAAAAGAGAGATTAAAATTATTGATATCTTGAGGTTCATCCATGGAACATTTTGGAAATCTATATTTGGAAAAACCGCCAACGAACTAGAGAAGTCACAGGATGCTTCCAATGAGTATATGATCATTGACAATGTTCCGTTGGTGTCCAAGTTTATCAGCATACCCAAAGATTATGGAAACTTAAATTGTTCAGCATTTATGGCCGGAATAATAGAAGGAGCATTAGATTCCTCTAGCTTCCATGCCAACGTCACTGCCCATTCTGCTCCCATTGATGGAGTACCTCTCAGAACTGTGTTTTTGATCAAGTTCGACGAACAGTTGGTGATAAGAGAGAGTTTACGATTCAATTGATAAATAAGCACATTAATTTTACGATTTTTTCTGTTTCGATATCGGGTAAATGTTAGTCTATTTAGATCTAGTATTCTGAAATAAGAAATGCTCCAGTAGGTTAGGAAATCAATTTTAAGTCTGTTTATCAGCAACTTTCTTGTGCTCGCACGACCCTACTGAAAAAATGGTCAAAGGTATCTATGGCAAGAGACTAGAACGTTCAACCTCAGATCCCTCTCACCATGGGTATAACAATCAGGCAAGCGACCATCAACGATATACAGGCTATGCAAAATGCAAACTTGCACAACTTGCCTGAAAATTACCAATTGAAATACTACATGTACCATATTTTATCATGGCCTCAAGCCAGTTTCGTTGCGACAACCTACGATGAAGTTGAAGGGTTCGGAGACGAGGAAGAACAGGATGAGGACAACTTGAAACAACCAATAGCATGCGACCCAAAGGGAGACTCTGCCTACATAAGTAAAGGTGAAAAGATTGTGGGGTATGTGCTTGGAAAAATGGAAGATGATCCAGAAGCAGAAGATAAGACTCCTCACGGCCACATCACTTCATTGTCTGTTATGAGAACGTATAGAAGAATGGGGTTGGCGGAAAAGTTGATGCGTCAATCGTTGTATGCTATGTGTGAATCTTTTGGTGCCCAATACGTTTCGTTACATGTGAGAAAATCAAATAGAGCTGCATTACATTTGTATAGAGACTCCTTGGCATTCAAGGTTACCACTATTGAAAAATCATACTACCAAGATGGTGAGGATGCATATGCCATGAAATTGGAATTAAAATTGGAGGAATTAGTTCCTTCGAAGGCAAGACAGGTGATAGAAGACGATTTATCCAAGGACTTGTTGGAAGGTTTATAAAATGGTTTGCAGTAATTATCGCCGTGTATATAGGTGAAGTAGTATACAAATAGAAGAGCAGAAGAAATGAGGAATGAAGAACACTAATAACGTTCCTTCATTCTAGATGCAACAGTACGTAAGTTACCATAAACTTTACCTGGTGGGGAACCCAAAATTAATGACACCACGGATTCTCTGGCCATTCTGATGTGAGTGAAACCCCCCAAAATATGGATCTTGGAATCAGCCAACACTATTCTTGTTCTGGTGGCATTTTCAATGGCAAACTTGGTCTTACCATCCTTACCAGCAATTCTACCAATTGCTCTGGACAAATGGTCACCTTGCAAGGTCTTAACGTCCTTGATTTCGAATGTCTCAATATACAAATCGTCCAATCTCAAAAGTGCAATAGCATCATCCACGTCGAATCCGAGGGTAAATGCTTTGACGAAATCGGCACCCTTTTGCAATGCACCCACGTCTGTGGTCTCCTTATTAGTTCTCATTTCCACAGTTCTGGTCTTTAAGTTCATTCTCACTTGTAACTTCAAGTGCTCCACTAATGGGGGATATATCTTGGTCCAAGTATTCTTGAGTGGGGCCATTCTGTGTGGAGGAACAGGCACCTTTCTGCTTTCCAACTTCACCTTCATTCCAGCCTTGGATGCTGCAGCAAACTTGGGCTTTCCGGTTTCATCCAACACCACTCCTTCTGCTTCAGGTTTGGCTTCTTCGCTTCCTTCTGGAGCTGGGGCAGCTTCTTCGGCCACTGGCACGGAAGAGCCGTCGATGAGCATTTCCTCCTCATTTTCCTCCACTGGCTGGGCCACGGCGGCGCTTGGAGCCAAGTCTTTCTTTGCTGTTGGGGCCACCATCTTGGTACTGTAGTTGTAGATCACGATAAGATGAAAAAATCTGAGAGATGAGATGAACCAATGGTCACGTGACCAGGTGTCCAATTTCGGTTTAAGAGGCTATTAATGCTTTCGTCGGCCTCTGCTGCTCGTAGTTGCCGTGCTGGAATACGCAATGCTCAATTTCCAAGCACTCAGCGCCCAAACACCTCTCTGTGCCTTTCCACTTGCTGTGCGTGATCGACCAGCTCCGCCAGCCAATAGCGCAAAAAAATTGGTTATGTGCCGCACCCACACAAAGTTCCCTAAGACCGTCACCACATTGAATTAATTGAAAAAGTTCACCACAACTTCATCCCAACTTCATTCAGAGTTCAACACTCGACATAATGTTTCCTCTTGGATTGAGGCGAACCTATTTAGGAGGCTTGACACGGGTATCCAGAAATTTGTATGGTCTTGTGACTTTCAAGGGTCCAGAAATTAGGCCACTAGTTATCGGCAAACCAGCCAGTTTGCCATGGATAAAATTTCTTCAAAAACGACAAGCAAGCGGGTCGCCTGCCCTCTTCAGGAGCCAGCAACTGCTTCCTTCGACTTTGCTCTTGGGCGTCAATACCGCAAGAGCTTTCACCACACACTCGGCCAACCCCCAAAAGGCATCTCATGATAAAGAGCCTGAACCCACCGCATCTAAAATCACCAAGGCCAATCTCCTCTCCGAGGCCAACAACACCTTTTCTAGAACTCTTGTACATATTAAGTGGCCGTTGCTTCGTGGAAACCGCAACACGTCTGCGTTGGACATCACCTCTGCATTCATCTCATGGTTGGTCATGGGAAACCTCCTATGGATCATTTTGGGAACAACTACCTTTGGCTTGGTTGCAATGTATTGCATTCATTATTTGGATAATTTGTGGTACAAGTTCAGCCAGCTGGAAGATGAAGAGAACACCAACGACAATAGCGTTTTGGGCACATTAACCAGTATGGTGCTTGCCCATGGCTTGGGGATGAAAATCGAATTTCAAAAGGGAAACATCTTGCCCGAACTCAGAGAGGGAAAGTTGAGATTCAGGAACTTCACAGTGAGTTCTTCTGTGGGCCAAGATGAGGAAGAAGACAAAATGTACCAATTTTCGGCCAAAGTCGAAGCTATGGATATCACATTGTCGTTCAAAAAATGGTACGAAGGAAATGGCCTCATCAACGACATGGAGATTTTTGGACTCCACGGTGAAGTCTTCAAATCAGAGAGATTAAACACCACAGATAATATCCATGAAAGTATCCATTTCCAGTACGACGTTAACGACTACAATCTTGAGGCATTATCTGTGCCACCTCAACCACAGGCAAAGGTAAAATCATTCCTTGATTCCGATTATCAATTAGATCATTTGAAAATAAGAGATTCCTACTTCGAAATATTCAGTGATTCGTCGAAATCAAACGTTCCTTTGAGAGTCACGATTTTCAGTTGTGACTTGCCACAATTGAGAGGTGACAGAGTATTAATTGATTTCTTCAATGCGAACAACGTTAGTGGCGCATTGAATGACTCCATGTTCACTATACATAAACGTCAAAACGTTACTAACTATGGCGATACGCAAGAAATTAATGAGAATAAAATTGTTCGATGCAAGATTAACGGCATAAACTTAGGTGCAATTTCAAAATCAAACCCGAACCTGAAGTTCAACTGGTTAGTTAATGGTTCTGCGGAAATCACCGCAGATATTACCATACCCAATTTGAATGAAGAAGAATTTCAATTCGTCAATGAATACAGAAGAGTCAGTAACGCACTTTCCAGTATTGTGTCAGATTTCGTGAGCGTCACCAATCCGGAACCCGAATCTAAAGACAATGGAGATTTGTCTGAATCAAATACGCTCTTGCAAGGTGCATTAGCAGCCATTTATCACACCTTCTCAAAACCAACTAATGACAGAACGCCAGGAAAATCTAACTACGTTATGGTAAACGTTAAAATCAAATTTTCAGACTTGAAAGCAAGTTTACCACAGCATTTGCCATACTCTTCAACTGGGGTCCCATTTATTTCTTTGCAAAATCTTAGATCCTTGATTGCTTGTATCAATACGTTGTATACTGGGTCTCCCACACTTGATAACTCTTCTTCAAGTTCACCTTCTCCCACAAAAATTACTTTCAACGCACACAATCCACTAATAATTAAAACCACAGTTATTGAAAAAGTTACTGATCTTTATAATATCGATAATTTGGGACAAACAAAGATTGTTGACTCAATCATTAGTGATGTTTATGAAGACTTGCTCAAACTAGTGAAGGCCAATGAAAGAAATATCATCAGCGAGAGGTCAAATTTGTGGTCTCACTCGATTGCTAGTCAATTGTTGTTGTTGGGATTGGGAGTAATTGTATAATGTCATCTTTTTCAGAGCATTGCTCTCTTTTTAATGAATCACGAAAGGGTACGCCTATTATTTATTTTGACAACTTGTAGCTACCGAGTAATCTGCTTGGTCCTTAGTCACGTTCAGTTCTACTCCGTTCTTAATTCTTCTTATCAATGGTGCCAGTAGTTTTGTACCTTTCTTGCCGTGAATATCCTCCATTAAATCCCCTTCCACGGCCTTAGCTCCAATGCCCAATAAAATGCCTTTCTTTCGATGCTCTAGAGATTTTTCCAATGTCTTTTCAGATGTCTTGTTGGGAGTAGTTTTCGGTTTCCATCCCATACCTCTCAACATAGCTGCTCCAAATTGCTCAACGGGTACCTTATCGAAATCTGTAGCTTCCTCATCCGATTCCTTTTTACTGTTATTCATGGGAATGACAAGTCCTTTCTTCTCATGAAGCTTCTCCCCTTTCAAAATTGAGCTTCTAATTTGGTCCTCTTTCGATTGTGTTCTTTCCTCTGCCACTGTGTCTTTATCGTTTAAGCCAGCCGTGTTTGCATCAAACTTTGTAACTCCATACTGTAACCGTGACTCCTTCTCTTTAAGCTCAGCTGCTAAAGTTTCCTCGTCGTTTTGTTCCTTGTTTGGTGTATAAACCTGTTGTTTCTTGATCCCTAAGTTCAAGTTTTTAGGAGTAATAATCAAAGGCTTCTTTGCTTGACTGATCGCGCTGCTTCCGGAAATTGCACCTCCCTTGCCACTGTCAAAGCCATCTATCTTTGTCACAGCGGGCTCATCATCAGAACCATCATCAAAGGAGTTAATCGCATTGGTTCTCTTACCGGGGACTTTTGAACTGGTCCTATTCGGTCCTAATCCAATGCTTATCTTTTGCTTCTTGGTATTGTCTTGCTTCGACTGTACATTTCTCTTTAGATTTAACTGGAATCCAGCCATGATAGTGTTGCAGTAGATGTTTCTGATTTGAGATGCTGCGATATTTGCTTATGTAAAAATGCTGCGAAAGCAAACTTCAATCTATGACTATTTGCACCAGACCGAAAAGTTTTGACCGAATCAGCAAACTCGGGGAAGTCTCTCGACAGTACTCTTTTTATCTAAATAGTAAACTACCAAAAGTGAGAGCAAGTCTGGACTTGAGTTCCAGGCAAAAATTAGTATGTTGAAGACTCTCGACAAGAAAATCCTTGAATTTACCAAGGCCCTTAGAAGCTTAACATTGAACTAGATCATTCACTTATATTCAGTATTTGGGAACTGTAATGGAAAAAAATATGAAACAAAAAATGGAATAAAAGTTTCTATAATTGTCATAGTTTTTAAATGTTTATATGTTATGTGGTCGAGTAAATCAAAAATATGAAGAAATGAAGAAATCCCATGAAAACTAAAAAACATACTCTAGACCAAAGTAGATACAGGCTGATGATAATATTGTCAATAGTCCAGTCTTTGTAATCTACTCTAAGCATCGATCTCAGCCTCTCTTGTAAAATTCAATCTATCCCCAGACTCTAGTACGGACGCACTTGGGTCCATCATTACACAAAACACGCCCCACGACGCGATCTATACCAACTCAACCTCACTCATCTACTTATACTGGAGGGCTTAGGTGATGGGGAACGATTCGTCAGATCATAGAAACCGTTCCCATAGCACGTCAACATCTACCACGTTCTCAGCTAGCCCCACACCGGCGTTGCACAGCATGTCTTACTCGTCCAATGACACAGATATGACAGATATTGATATAGATCCATTTTTGAAATCGGCCTCCAGTGGCTCCCAAGAGACCAGACCTCCGGTGATATATCTGGCACACGATGATATGAAATTAATTGAAACAGACCCTGGAACGTCTGATATTCCTCCAACAAAGCCAAAAGCAAGCGTACCGTTGGGATTGATGTCCCTACTTTCTGGAAAGCAAAAGACTAAGAAGAAGAAGATTCCGAAAGAAGAAAAGCTTTCAGAGAAACCCATCAACGATGTGGAGACGGACTGTGATGTCTCGGATAATTTTGACTCATCTTTTACTGAAAATAGAAGTAACCAACTCCGCAAAGATTTCGATGTGTTAGAACTAGAAAAGAAGATATACAACAACGACATTGAATCGGTATCGGCCAAGGATTTCTTTTCCAGAATCAAGAAAAAGGCAGAGCCTTCCCAAGTTACAGAATCTTCCGGTACACCTACAATAGAGATTCTGGAAGGTACTACTCCGAATAATGCTGAGCCTATTCTTATCGATCTTGATGAGGAAAATGACATTGTGGTAGATACGAAGTCTTTGGAGGCAAAGATTTACGGAGATAATGCCAAAAGAACCTCCGCCAAAGATTTCCTAAGGTCTCTAAAGCCTGTTCCAAAGAAAACGAAAAGAGAACCCAAATCATACTTTGTCACCTTGAAAATCAATCCTGGCGCATTAAAAGAAATAAAGAATTACGATAACCCCTTCAAAACCAAAGGAAACATATCATTTCAAGGGACATCGAGAGGCTCCATCAGAAACGAGTTCTTCGATCGACCCAAGGTTGCAAAAAAATCTGTGTCATCCAATTCCTTCTTTGATTCAATGATGAAAGCTTCAAAGAATACAGTGAAGTTGACACCCTTACAGAAGTTAAAAGAGTTGGAGCCTCCTATTATCCAAAAATCACAATTTCATGTTTGCTCTTCGGACGATTTGGTTCGGCATAATGACATATTAGCATGCTTGCCACCTAGAGTGAAAGCACAATCATCCGATTATGGAGATAATAATATAAATCTTATGACAGAGCAATCAGTGAAACCGCAACTTGTCATTCGTGAGACTTCTATTTCCAAGTTAGATCTTTTAAAGCAAAAGATACCTGACTACCATAAGCATACTGAACTTCGTACACTTGTCGAGAAGTTTATACTTATTGAAACAAATGACGACAATGAAATTCATGAAATCACACAATCTTCAAACACAAACTCTCAGCTCTGGACAGACTTGTTTTATCCTGATTCCACCAAACAGCTATTAATCGCCAAAGACACAAGAAATTCTATCAAAAATTGGATCCTGAACTCATTCTCTAGATTAAAAGCACAGAATTTACGAGATCCCAGGAACGTCTTGATAAAGAAGAAAAAAAAGAAACAAAAGAATTTGGATAACTTTATTGTGGATGATTACTCTGTGGATTTTGATAATGAGGAGACTGAAGAAGAAATTTTCGTCCCTCTCTTGATATTACAAGGATCAATAGGCTCAGGAAAATCTTCCTCGATATACGCAGTTACCAAAGAATTGAATAGTTACGTTCATGAAATCAACACAGGACTGAATCGAGGTCGAAAAGACATTTTTAATAGCTTGAAAGAATTTTGTACTACTCAGTTGGTGCATAGACAGGATGAATCTCGTACATTTCAACAGGGCATTGTTTTACTCGAAGATGTTAATATACTATTCGAACAGGACAAAAACTTTTGGAGTGTAGTTCAAGACATATTGAACATCTCAAGACGCCCAATTGTCATAACTTGTGAGACATTACTCAATATTCCGAAATCTTTGCTTGAGTTTGCAGGGGAGGAAGGATCCATTATACATATGGACCAATATCCCGTGCAGAAGCAGCTAATCAAGAGCTATATTTGGATTTGTGGTCTAACTCAAGGATTTGATATGAAGAGTTCAGTTTTAGAAAAGATTTTGAGGAAGAGCTCAAATGGATACAACTACGATTTGCGCAAATGTCTTATGGAAGCACAATTCATTTGCCAGTCTAATAAAAGTGCAAACAAGCATACTGTCGTTGAGATCTCATTACCAGGCAGGCCTAAGAAGCAAGGAATTCAAGATCTTGAGTCACACGCAACATTAATGGATATACTATCTTGCGGAGAAGTTATTAGTGGAGGTTATCACTCAATGCTCAACCATGAGGTACAGGAAAATGAATTGGTTGATATTTATCACATTGACGACACTACCAGGATTACACAAGAACCCTTGCCATTCGAGTTGAACATCGGTGAGTACTTGATTGAGAAAATGAGAGAAGACTACGAAGTTCAAACACTGTGTCCGTCCCCCAGATTTTCATTCAATACTATACGCGAAGAGGTAAGTTCGTTTATTGGATCTAGGTCTAAAAAACGGCCCAAATTTTTCCAGGACTTGGCAATAGTTACCAGAACTACTAGGTCCCAAAACATAGAATTGCTGGATGAATTATCTGATTCACCATCGCAAGATTGGGCATACGACACAACAGGAGTACCTGAGACATCGTTCTTGAATTACATCTTGCCGAGTTCACTTACTCTTGATGTGTTACCTTTATGCAGAAACTGGATTGGTTTCCAGATTGAACTTGATAAAATTGAACAAACCACCAAAGCATCAGGTGGGGCTAGCGTGAAAGAATTCTTAAACTATCGGGACTTTCAGAAAGATTCGACCATTCTATTGGATACATTAACTCGATATAGCCTTTAAATAGTAAAAACATCGCATTTCTTAGATTAATCTGGTCCTGCTCTTGACTCTTCCTCCACCAAAAGACCTAGCGGCCTTGTGTTTGAAGTCTATCGACTGTAATCTTCTCCAAGCTTCTTCAATATGGTGAGGCATTATTGGATTTTCCAATTCATCTGGCTTATCAAAGAGGTATTTTCTCTTTTTTTGTTTTTGCTGGCCAGGGTTTTCACTCTTTTCAATCTCCGATTTGATCTGGATCAATTTCTCCTCGGAATTTTTGATCAACATCGCTTCTTCAGTTAAAGAACACACAATTTCAAAAGTCAAGAAACCGAGAATATCAATAACATCATCATTTGGTCTTGAGTCACATAACTGGGTAATTTGTGCCCATTCTCTGAATCTTTTGGCCTTTCTAAATGTAAAGGATGCTTGTCTACATTCAGACCAATGAACGTATTCTTCTCTAGTCATATTTTTGGTACGGTCGTCAGCCATTTTCAACCTCTTCAATGATGCAATCGTGGCGGCTTTTTCCTCGTCGTCTACTTGTTCCGATTCTTCTGCGGTCTCTAAATGCTGTTCACTAAACATAAATTGCAACTCCCATGGCAACCTGATCTTGGATTTTTTGTATCTTGACAACATTTTTGAGGAGTCATTGGCCTGACTGGCCGCTGCACCGCTTCCACCACCCCCAGCGCCATCACCTTCTATTAATGATTCAGTACCACCACTTTCTTGATCCTTTGCATTCTTACGCACATCTTTCCAAGACAAGTAGGTTCTCAAACGGTTCACTTTGGCCTTGTCGTGCCGTATGAGAAATATGACATCTTCTGGCGCAATTGACTTGGTTCCTCTTGCTGCTGCTGTCTTCGTGGATTGTAAAAGTATCTCAATCACCTGCCCTCGGACGATATCCTCTATGATCGATGTAGTGCCAACTGGGGGGTCATTGGACTCCCCCAGTACGAACATCATCTGCTGGATCTCGATCCTATACTTGTACTTGTCACTAGCACTCATGGTGGTAACTACCCTAGCTTGGTTAGCCCTAGTAACAATGTTTAGCAGTCCAAACTGGACGCCGGGTAACCCCTCGGAAAAAACTATATAAGAAGGGAAAATTTCTTGCAAGTCTGAGAGGATAAGATTGTATCTTCGGCTAGTGAATATCACTAGGCTTGGTGTGCCAAAACTTATTTTGTTCAGCTTGAAGTCAGTTGGCTTGGAACGGCTCTGCTGTTTCCTGTGAACTGTCGAACAGTTGATCACTTGATCTAATCAGTTTATATGATGACTCTGAGTGCATTTGGCTCGAGACTTTCTGTCGGTGTGGAAAAAACCAAGCTACCTTACTATTTTTTGTCTGATTACTGATTCTTCAAGTGGTTACTGTTTGTACAGCATCTTTCGACGGTTGAACAATATTGTAGGTTACGATAGTGAAGAGTAATGGTAATAGCTGGTGCAGATCGAGAAGATGGCGTGTTCTATCTTTTCGATCTGAGTCAGTTGTTGCCCAATGTGAAAGAGGTTGAGTGGATCCCACATAGGGCAAGAAGCCGTAAGATCAGTTTCTATTCCTTCAGTCGCTCTCAAGCGATTCGTCTATGTATTGCGATGCTACCGACTACTTAAGCTGATTGAACTATGATACATTTTGCATCGCATGATATTAATGGCTCTATTTACGTGATCATAAGGCTAAACTATCCAAATAACTTGATTGAATCACCCTCAACACGTACTTCCTCTTCTTCGTCGTCTTCTTCGACTTCATCGTCTTCATTCATATTCACCTTCTGGCCCAACAAAGATGCAAAGAACTCGTCAATTTGATTGTCATCCCACTTCAAAGAACCTCTGGGAGCCTCAAAATTGGCAATTGGTTCCTGTATATGATATCTTAACTTACGGCCCTTGGATGCCTTGGTGTCAACGTTCTTTTTGAACTTTTGAGCCTGTTGAGCACTTCTTAAACTGACAGTCAAACCGGTGGTTGGATTGCTGGACTGGATCTTCTTATCAACCAAATCATTGAGCAATACACGGTAGAAATCTTCATCATCGAAAATCTCATCGATTTCAGCAATGTTTGACTTTGCAGTGTTGGTTTCCTTTGGAATGTCTGGGTTTTCATCTTCTTCGTCTTCTTCATCGTCCTCCTCCTTTTCAAATTGAGATTTATAGTGATCATAGCCAAGAGGTTTGATTTGACGTCTATTAAGTTTGGTTCTCTTGACAAGTCTATCCATGTCTGTCAAGTTGTTCATCACTTGTTGTTCGAAAGATTGGTTAATGGCTTTAAATTTACCAGCATTTATAGCAGTAGCCCCAGAAGAGTTTTGAACCTTTGCCGACCATTTGGTCAACACATTCGAACGGTACTTGTCTAATGCAGAGTCCATTTTGGCAGTAACGGACGAATATTCATGGTAGGATCTCTTTTTAGAAGCACCAAAAACCTTATCAGAAACTTGATCTTTCTTGAACAAAGCGTTTCTCAATGCAAATATGGAATCAAGCAAGTTGTAACATTCTTCCTTTGCTTTTTGCAAATTCTTGGCTGTCTTCTTGGTTCCTAATTTCTGCGATACTAAGGTATCATGACTTGGAGGTAAAAGGTTAGAATTAGTCAATGACTTCTGGATCTTCAAACGACTATCTATAACTTTGTCGAAGAACTTGTGTTGTTGGGAGATTGCAAAACCTTTTAATGAATCATTGGTGGCAGAATTTGAAAGTCTACTCACAATATGAGTTCTTTCTTTGGCCATCAACTCCTTAACTCTAGATCTCTTGTGCTCCAATTCGGCGTTTCTTTGGTCAACACCGGAGTCATCCTCATCATCAGATCCCGATTCTTCATCAGAATTGGCTCTCAAAGAGGCCCCGGAGTCACTTTCCTCGGCCTCCTCATCCTCGAGGTCTTCAGCATCCTCTTGGTCGGAGCCTTCACTTTCCTCGTCCTCTTCGCCTTCAAGCTCACTATTTTCGTCAGATGCATATAAGTCATCTCTGCTGGTGACACTACCGCTGTATTTCTTTCCCAAGGCAACACCTACTTGTTGTCTCAACTTGGATCTGGGCACATTAACGTAGTGTTGTTTCTTCATCGTGTCGTCTTCCTCGGAGGCAGAGCCCTCGTCGTCTTCGTGCTCGAAGACATTGTCCTTGAGACCACTGTCTTCTATGTCGAAGTCATTCTGAGGCTGAGTCAACAGTGCTAACTGTTCCGACAACGATTTCTTAGCCATTTTGGTGTGCTTGGTATCATCTCATCGGTCAATTTTTCATAGCGATGGCATCCAGTCACATGATTATGTATCACGTGATACATTACCCATGCCGGAAGCCGCCAGTATGGATGGACGGGGTAGAGGCGCAATTCTAGACCCCCAGAAGTATCCTTGTCCAGGTGGCTTTGGCGTGGCAGGCTCCCGCTGGTCTAGAGTCTATGCGAGCCCCTGAGTGGCCCAAATCTACAATCGGACCAGAAGCTGGGGTTACTAACTAAAACGAGGCTGTGGACGTGTGGTGCCTGGATTTAGTACGGAGTAAACGATCGTGGGCGTCCTAGACTCTGCAATAGGCACCAGAAGCGGAGCTTGCTGGTATTGCTCAATAGTGGTGCTCACTAGTAGTGCTCGTTGGTAATCCTCATTGGTATGTCTTTTGTAGTGTAGTCTCGTACCTTTTGGGTGTCTGTCAGTTCCCGTTCAACGCTCACGATCTATCTTGCAGACACTCCTCCGCACATAAACAAAAAGTTGGGATATAAATTGACTGATACTCTCAGCTAGCAAGCGCCCAACACAGAATATACCCGTGAAGGATCAGACTAGTGACAAAGCAATCCGCACCACGCCAGCACCATGAACTTCTACACCATCTTCAACTTGTTTGCCCTTCTCGCCATGTGTTTGGCGCAGAAGAGAGCAGACGACGACAAGCCCACCACCACCTCGCAGACCAGTGTGTATGTGACGGTAACAGTCAACGGGAAGGCCACTGTTGTGCAGACAGTGTACTCGCAGACCTTCATTTCCACCTACGAGAGTGCCACCGGCGCCGTGCCCTCGGGGGCTGTCGGTATGGGCTCGTTGAGTGGGTCGGTCGGGGGTGTCCGTTCGTACTCACAGACCACTGTGGGCCAGGCTAACGCTGCTGCTGGCTTGTGGAGGCCAGAGAACATGTATGCTGGAGCATTTGGGTTCGCCTTCTTGTTGATCGGGGGATTGCTCTAGTGGGCGTAACCCGATCCTCGACACCAGCAAAGGTGTTCCAGCTTCAAGAGCCTGAACGCCTTCTTGATTGCTTTTCAAACCCCTACTGGTCAACAGGCTGTCTGGGTCACAGATTCACCGACCGCAGACATCCTTATTGAAGGACGCTACACACAGAAACGATGCTATCAGGACTTGTCCTCTGCACGGCTCCTCACTTATGTGCGTGCTAGCAGTGCAGCATCTCGTGTGTGTGCCAGCTATGGGGTCGTTTTGGCCCTCCTTCTACATCCATGCTTCCAGATGTCTTTTCTGAAAATCCCAAAATTACAGGGCCTGCTGCCCAGCCTCTAAATGACATTGTCCCGGTGCAACCAGCCGGCCTGCTTTATATTTCTTCTTTGTATATTACACCAGCCAATATAACAACTGTTAGTTCCTCGATTTACCTATGATCCATCCTGCGTACTCACATTTACCCGCGCACTCTTCATACAAATTTTTTCTTGCCTGTTGCTCAATCATCGTCAAGTTCGGAAAACTTAACAGTTAGAAGTTAATACAATAGCGATACTTAGCAAAGGTATGTTCATTGTTTGATCCCAGGCCCCGTGTGGAGACAGACCCAAACGCACCTGTTGTGCGAGCAAAATTGGCCGATTTCCGTCGAATTGCATTGGAGTTGGCCCAACCAAGGCGGGTGAACCACACCAGACCTTCCCAGCAGTACTAACCAGCCAGATGTCTGAAGAATTAACCAAGCAAACTGAGGAATTAAACTTGGAATCCAAGACTGTTTTCGACAACAAGGAAGAGTTCGAAGCCAAGCATCCTTTGAATAGCAGATGGACCTTATGGTACACCAAGCCACAAACCAATAAGAGTGAAAACTGGCACGATTTGTTGAAGCCAGTCATCACTTTCTCTTCTGTTGAAGAGTTCTGGGGCATCTACAACTCCATCCCTGTGGCCAACCAATTGCCTTTAAAATCTGACTACCACTTGTTCAAGGAAGGAATCAGACCAGAATGGGAAGATGAGCAAAACTCCAAGGGTGGTAAGTGGCAATATTCCTTCACCAACAAGCGTGAAGCCAGTGGTGTCATCAACGATTTGTGGTTGCGTGGATTGTTGGCCGTTGTCGGTGAAACCATCGAAGACGAAGAAAACGAGGTCAACGGTATTGTCTTGAATATTAGAAAGCAAGCTTTCAGAGTCGGTATCTGGACCAAGGATTGCGAAGACAGCAAGTTAAGAACTGTTGGTGAAAGATTAAAGAAGGTCTTGCAATTGAGTGATGAGCAAAAGGTTGAATTCATCTCCCACGATGCCTCCAACAAGAAGGGTTCTGAAGCTCAAATCGTTTTGTAAGAACCCTACATCCTACATCTCTATTAATTGTTTCGTTCTCACTACATATGAGGGAGTCAGAGTCTTGAGATATTTTAGAGAATGATCACTTCTCTTCTTCTTGCCTAACTGTATACATATTAACGCCAATTTATTTACGAAAATAGTCCCTCTAGTATCCCACTGGATTCACCTTGTTTTGTATGAATGACTGAATCTTGTCCCAGTAATCAGGCTGCACAACTGTGTCATTATGCATGGAATTCTCAAATGTAAACATGGTTTTATCTTCGCTTTGTAGCAATGAAAAGATGGTGTCCATATGTGCTGGTGGGACGATTTCGTCCTTTCTTGCGCTCAACAATAGCACGGGAATATTGGCTGGAATCAACGGCACCAAGCTCTCCAGCTCCCATTTTTGGTGGACAAAGCGGGTTATGTATTTCAAAAAGGGGAAGATGTGTGGCACCGTTTTTCTAATGGAAAGGAATGTGTTCTCCAAAATCAAAGCATGGACCAGAGATGACATTGTGGCAGCAATGTAGATGCTCACTGCTCCTCCTAGCGATCTGCCGTACAAGATAATGGACGATTGGGAATACTGTTCATCCTCGGTTGTCAAGTATTGCATGACCCTTTGAGCATCCAACTTAAGGCCATTCTCCGAAGGCTTGCCTGTGGATCTTCCGTATCCACGATACGAGTAGATGAACACGTTGTAGCCGAAGTTCTTGTAGAAAATCGACACAATTGGCAACGCATGTCCGATGTTCCCAGCATTGGGCGAGAGGATCAACACAGTCTTGTTGGCGTAGTTGGGAGAGCTTTTGGGGTGCTTCAACAGGTAGCACTGCAAAGTCTCGCCATCGACGGTCTTCAAGTGCACCAACTCGTAGTTGGGCATGTCAAATTCGTCGGGAGTGGCACAATGGCCATGTCCGTCATTGAGTGATGCTGGATAGATAAGTGAGCTCTGGTATGTGTACAAGCCAACGAGAGCCAAAACACCCAAAGTAATGCCGACTTGTGCCATGGTTTTGGCGAGTTTCAATAGTTTGATGACGATCGCTGACAGGCCAAGAAACATGTTGCTGGTGAAAACTGACCTAGGCTGTTGTGTATATGGCACTCGTTATCGAGGGGAAAAAAGGGAAAAGGAGGGAACGGGGCTGAAACGGAACAGGTGACACGAGCGTTGTCGAGAGACACCGCAGTAGCTGGAGTAGTGGTAGTAGACAGTGATGAGCAGCGATAGCGCTGGGAGGCACCTCACTCCAACACCCACGGCAGCACGCCAATATATTGATTACGTAAGCACTTACCAAGCGCATCCATATCTGGGAGCCTGCCGTTGGTGTCACCCGCCATGTCTTCCAACTCCGGCAACCTGTTGGCAAAGTTTGCCTTCAACATATACGGAGCCCTCAACCAGACGCCGTCTCAGGAGACGGTTTCGCACACGAGCTTGTCCAATGGGTCTACGAAGTCCAAAGTCCATGAGGCATTCAAGTCCAATCGGTTGGTGTATGCATTTGACAAAGAAGTTACCACATTATCCCAGTTGAACTTCCCCCTACGTAACCTCAATCCCTACGAGAGTGAAATCTCCCATCATGTTGTTGCGGGAGGAAGAAACTTCCTTCGAATCTTGGCTCTCAATGAAGACCAATCTAGAATAATCCAGGAGATTAACGTATTGGAACCAACCAATTCCTTGTATTCGAATTCGAGGGTGCCTTCTACAAACAAGCTAAACAATATCAATACGATCAAGACATCGGGTGACTTGGTGGCGTGTGGCCTCTCTAATGGACTCATTTCAATTTACAGAATCAACTCAAACGGAAAATCGAAGTTGTTGTACAAATTGTCCGACCACAAGAGATGCATAAACTCATTGGACTTTATGGAGAATGACAGTCCTCATAACTTGATTTCGGGCTCCCAAGACGGGACCATCAAGTTGTGGGATTTAAGATCAACCACGCCAAAACCTGTCCTAACAATACTATCAAATTCACATTCAGATCCTATTAGGTCATGTCAATATTCTCCGCATTCTTCTGTCAGGAACAAAACTACCATTCTTTCTGTTCATGATTCAGGTGCCTTGTGTAAATTTGATTTAAGATCTTCAGGTGGAACCTACAACTCCCAAAACATATACTCCCCCGATCGAAAGTGGAACCTCCATACAGGGCCTGCATTATCGTTACATGTACATCCAGAGAAAGAATATGTTTTGACTGGTGGTAGGGACCAAAAAATGTGCGTGTGGAACTACAGTGAATCCGCTCTGACAAGCAACAGAGTAATCCCAGAGCATATGATAAATACTTATGGTCCTGTAATGAAAGTCAGGTGGAGCTCCACCCACAACAATTCTGCAAATCAATACGGCGAGGCCCTCGATAGTCTCCAGCAAAGCATGGACTTTGGCAAGTATGAAGATAAGTTGGCTTACGAGGAAAGGGAAGCGTTGTACTCGAACTACAGTGTCCAATCAAATCCATTGTACAATTATGACTTTGCATGTCTGTACTTAAATGATGACTCCACCATAACCGTATACAATTTGAGCAGAAAATACATTCCCAAAGAAATCATTAAAGCACCAGGAAACAAACCATATCAAAACTTCATCTGGGCTAAAAATCTCAAAAACAATAGGAAAATCTGGACAATCACCAAATCCAATGTTTTCAGCTCCTATGACTTGGATTCAGGCGACTCAATTCCTGAATCGGATATTTCCCGTCCTTTGGACGAACTTAGCACAGTAGCAATGGCTTGGAACAATGATTTCAGCAGCATGTCATTTGTCAATCAAGAAAAATATGAGTTTGAAATAACTGATCATGAATCGATTGCCAGCGAGAATGAAAACCTAGAAGCAGATTTAGAAGCTGGAGACTACAGCAGTCTCAGTAATTTTGGTGACGATAATGATCATCGAAGTATTGATCAAATGTCGAACAGTTATGATTCTAGAAAGCCCATTATTGGCTCTGTTCCGATAGCACCAAACTTAGGGGTTTTCTCTTCTTCGCTCACTACTTCACCAATGGAAAAGCCACCAATAATGCGCTCATACACCTACAACCCTATGCATACAAAATCACCATCACCAATTCCCCAAATGAGATCCACAAATATGTTGAATGAACCTACACATACGCAATCCAATTTGAGCAATATATTCAGACCGAAGATTCTTCGAACCCCTTCGCAAACCACCCAGGATTCTAACTTTTCAGTCCAGTCTCCTATTCATAATTCTAATTTACCACAGAGCAGAAAACATGTTCTAGTTAATCATCCTTCTCCTTATTTAGTGCCATTGGCATTGCCATTGCCACTTAATGATCATGCAGTCTTTGAGGCATTATCTAGTAACTATCTAGTTGCCATTCCAGATGGCTTTAACCTTATTGATGTTTGCTTGTTGAATGCTAATATTGCTGCCAGTGTCAATCGTTTCAGGGACTGTCAAATATGGAGGTTGCTTTCAGTCAGCCTTGCTGAAGACTCTTCGGAGCCTCATGAAGTTCTTGACGATCAGGACCTCAAGTCTGCTCAACAATTTTATCCAGAAAAAGATGAAGATGAGTCTAAATCAATCCTGTCAGACATAGGCAATTTCGTCGGGTCATACAATTCAAACTCTACTCTGACTACGAATTATGGTGGTAATGCAACTGATAGAAAGGACAGTAATAGTGATCTTGTTAAACCGGCCCTTTCATCTTCGCCAAAGGAGATGAATACCAAATTGATGGAACATAAAAATGGTTCTAGCAATAACATCATCGGCACCATTAATCAAGTAAGAGGTGGTTCACATGGTACATATCCGTTGGCTCGGAGCAATAGTATTCTCAAGGGTCAGCAGAACAAATTATCGGGAGAAAATGAAGTAGCAGTATACGATGATGACGAAGGTGACGAGCATGAAGAGAAGTTACGGTCAATGGAGAATCCTGAGCGGGATGCTGTGAGCAGGAGGTCTTCTGCAAACAAATCCTCAAAAAGAAACTCCATTTACGCCGGGAGCGGATACGATGGAAACAGCTCGCCAATCAGAATCAGATCCCCTGTTGACAAAGTCTATAGTGAGAACAATTCGTTGGAAGAATCTCCTAAAAACTCGATTTGGAGCCAACACAACAGCCACAAGTCGTATGCTTCTCAATCAAAGTGGCATACACGGCTGAACTCGGGTGTTCCAGCGTCAGAAGACTTGGACAATGAGAACTTGAACATTTTACATAACGCAGCCACCAACACGGGAGCAATCCCTTCAACTGGCAAAGCACACGTGGGAAGCTCGAGTCCTGGCTACTTCAGCCAGAGCCACCATTCTTACTCAAATCACCACCATAGCAGCACCGCGCTGGGGTCGTTGCTTTCTAGACGCAACTCGTCAGTTCAGGGTTACCATTCACCCTACCGCACGAGAATTTCGCCTGGGCAGCAGCCTCTAATGAATGAAGAATTTAGTAAGTCTGAACTCAATATAGTGCAGGAAAGACCAGAACCTTCCGAAAGTGTGACGAAATCTGAGCTCACGAAAGTGCTTCATGATAAACCGGCAAGCAAGTCTGAACGGCCCTGGAATACTGAAAACCTATTGAAGAACACACTCGAATATGCCTCAAGTCAAGGAGATATTATACTTAGTGCTACATTAACAATATTGTTCTATGATGTATTTAAAATCATCACGAAAGAAGCTGGGTTGGAATGGTTAGCACTCTACGTTGATATTCTTCACCGCAAGAGACTCTTCGTAACTGCAACAAAGATTATTAACCATGCACCCAGAGAACTTCTCAACGAGTTGAAGACTATAGGATCCAAGGAAGTGGATCTTCGTTTTTTCTGCTGCTACTGTCAGAAGTTGCTAGTCAATGAAAAATCCAAGCACGAAAACAAAGATTCGTTTGGGTACTGGTATTGTGACGAGTGCTCTAAACGACAACTGAACTGTATCTACTGTCATGAGCCATGCAAGGGATTGGTGGTTGCTGTAAGTTTAAAATGTGGGCATAGAGGGCACTTTGGGTGTCTCAAGGAATGGTTCATAACTGAGGAGAACTCAGAGTGTCCTGGTGGATGTGACTACTCACTCTTTTGACGTAGTTATGTAAATTTCAAAAATAGAAACGGCTCGAATTCTCATTCTGTAGCACTTTCACGGTGAGCACGTAACCTTCGATGGCCAGAATTAAACAATAACAGTTGGTCCACTCTGTATGTCTTTTGAAAATCTCCTTTATTGTGCCTGTATTTATATCATCACCACGTCACCGATGCTGATATAGTCCCTCACCAACTTATACTTGACCACATATATGCCATCGTTCACCAAGTCAAGCTCGTCGTCTTCGCCGAGGGAAATAGTTATGGGCTTATCGGTGATGGACTTCACGAAAACGGGCTGGTTGAGGTCGGGTTCCACGATCATGGACTGGCCCCCGCTGGTATCATCCAACAAGGTCAAAGTATGGGGAAGGCGCTTCAAAAAACAGTTATTGTACAAGCGGGTCAAAATCTTGAAGTGCTGATGCATGTACTTTTGTTCCTGGCTGGAGAGGAGTCTATCCTTCGAGTCGGGATCCTCGTCTGCTGTTTCGTTGATGTAGAAGATGGTGAACTTGTCGATTTTGCTGAGCCTTGTCCTGAGATACAATCGTATCAAGTAGTTGATTCTTTCGATGTCGGTTTCTATGATCATGAGCTGGAGCTTGAAGTCACCAGTGACCACGCCAGACTCTGCGTTGACGTCCCCATACTCGTGGGAGTCGAGCAAGAACTGCTGCTGGTTGGATATTTGAGCCAACACTTTCTGCAAAAGTTCGTGCTTGAATGGAAGAAGCTCTGGGGCCATTCTCTCGTTGACCATAGCCACTACCAACTCGTCATAGAGCGTGGTTGGGGTCTTCTTGGTTTCCTTCCTGGAGGTGGCTGTCTCGAACTCCTGGAGGATATCGTCGATGTCCATTTCACTCATGGCTGCTTGGGGAGCGAAGTAGCTGTACTTGGTAAGGCGGGTTAGCAGGTATACTCTCGGATAGAGTCACAGATCACCTTGGAGTGGATGGATGTGAAATAACCAGTCCGATGTCTGACAGTACGCGTTGCATGATCCGGGCATTTCGGTCAAGTTCCGGTCGGACTCACTGCGATTGCACTTCTCCGAGGGTCAATCAAAACAGTCCCACCACACCACTCTCAACATGGATCGCCAAAGCCTATTGGAGCAGAAGCGACAGCGGCTACAGGAGCTTAAGCTGCGGCGCTTGGGGTCTCCTGTTAACGATGAGGCAAAAATCGAGCTGTTGATCCAAAAGTTAGCAGATACCCCCAAGGTGGGCGTGAGCATTGGAGTCCAGGTAGACCCCATAAATCACGCTGTTGCAGAGGTGCTGGGGCTGGCTGTGGAGGGGCACAAGGCTCCAAAGATTGAGAAGGAATGTCTCACCTACGATAAGGCTGTGCAAACGATTCCTGTGGTGATAGAACACAAGACTGTGAGTCCCCAAACTACCAGTCCCAAGCCAGAAACGGAAGTGATCCTGGTGGTGGAGGACGTCAACGAAGAAGAGCTTAACAATGCCGTCAAGGAGTCCATCAAGCTCGTGCACAGAATCAACGTCAGCGAAATCAAGACAGACTGGGTCGACTACACAAAGAGACTTGATAATACCTCCCACACTAGCAACAAACACACCTTCGACATTACCCCCTACACCACACACAGCCACGTGGAACAGACACGCAACAGGCCTGTGTGCTGCATGGACTTTTCCCCCCACCACCCCGAGCTATTCGTGGTAGCATACTCCCACTCGGACCTGAAAAACTCGAGTCCTGGCTTGGCCATCATATACAGCGTGAAAGAGGATAAGGTTTTTCCAGAGTTCTACTTGCATTGTACATCGTCCATCTCCTGCATCAAATTCGATCAAGTCACCTCCACCAAAATTATCGGTGGATTATCAGATGGCAAAATCGTAATCTGGAATTTGGAGGAAATCAACTCAAGGAGTGTTGCCGTGTTACCAACGCTAATCACGCCAATGTTCTCCATGTTGACATCACACAACTCCGGCCATAGCTCCAACATTGATTTTAAGCACCATACATCTGCGATAACCTCCTTGATCCAGTTGAACATAGATGGAAATGATTCGATCGTCTCCTTCTCGCTTGACGGAACTATCAACACCTGGTCTACAAACTTGCTTGCATCTCCAAGTCTGGACTCGGTCAAATTGGCCAAAGATGGCCCGACTAATGAATTCACTAATTTCAAGGAAACCTTCAGAATATTGAAAGCCATCGCACTAACCTCTGGCGACAGAACCTCGCATATCAACCTGAACATTTCTGGCGGCCATCAATTTCTCAATGATATTGTAGTTGTGTCCGATAGTGGAACATTATTTCAGTTGTCAAGCCAAGAAAGTCAAGAGTTTATCAAGTTTTCGCATGAAGAAAGAGTGATTGAGGAAGATTCATATTCATCCTATCCGAACGATATCACAGACTTCCAGAAATTGCCCTCGGGTAGTAGGGGCCCATACCTTATTACCTCAAACCTGGATTGGACATTCAAAATTTGGTCCCCAAGCTCAAAAACTCCACTTATGAGTATACCCACTAAGTCCTTAGTTCTCCGCATAGCCATTAGACCAAATAGGAACTTCCAGTTTGTGACACTCGGATTAATGAGTGACTCTAACTTGAAGAAATCAGTATTGGAGTTTTGGGATTTAGAGTCTACCTTATTTAAGCCGGTCTTTGAAATCCCAGTACCTGGAGATATAGGATTTGCCACTACGGTGAGCTTCAATCAAGATGGATCGAAACTTTTGGCTGGATTCGGTGACGGCTCATTCATACAATGGCCCATAGTGGAAGAGTCATTGAGAACTATCATAGACGCTCACAGAGAAAACAAGCTAGACGAAGGCATTCTGTATTATTTGCATAGGAATTAAATAGATTAAATTATATAATGTACAAATGAGATGCAATGTACACAAGTTATTCTTGTGTAATGAGAAGTGTCTAAACGTTTCATACTAAGTATTTCTGAAATCTGGACCATTAGTTAAAGAGTTCATTATTGTTGTAATAACATTAGTTTTCCAATAGGTATCTGCCCTATTCAAAGAAAGCTGCTGAAGAGGCGATCTCTTGAGCGAATATTAATATCTGCGCCTATCTTGGTTTCGTGAGCTTCTTGTTCGATTTCAATGCAGTCATTGGTGGCCAATACTAACAACTCAAAGAAACACTTTGTAGCTTCCTTTCTCTGATTCACCTTTTTTGAATCGGAGGACCTGCTTGTGGTACCCAAAGGTAAAAGCTCATTGTTGTCATCATTGATCTTCAAGTCTTTCTCGATAAGAGCAGCCAAGTCAGATTCACCCTTATCGCCAAGAATGCTTCGAAGGTGGTCGGCCACTTGTATAGTTGACCTGGCCACATTGCCATTTGTGATATCCTCCTCTTCTGTCTCCTCCTCTTGAATTTCATCGATAATTTGGTTTGCAAATGAGTCCTCGGGACCATTATCTTCGTTGTCAAAGTCCGGTAATGACAAATCAAAGTCCAAATTATTATCAAAATCATCGAATTCTTGCTCGAACTGTAAGTTGTGTTGCTCTTCGAGCTCTTTCTCTTGTCTTGCCAATTCAATGCATCTTTCTTGAAGCAGAGTATCGATATTCCACAACTTTCTTCTTTTGTTTGAGGAGATAGGTGCCGATAACTCATAAATAAGCTGAAGCTTTTCCGCTTCCGATAAGTTCAAAGTCAATGTATCGTCTTTGCCGAACCCATTGAGTATCAACTGTTGGTTCTCTTTCAATGTCAGGATTGGAATGCCATCCAAGTCCAGGGAGGAGTCGACCTTCAATTTACGTTTTGTAGTGATCAATTCGCCTTCTTCAGTGATCCGGTTTCTCTTGGTTCTTGGACGAGGTGGTAAGATTGGTTGAGGAGTGGTTGGCTCCTCTGGTCCATCGCTTGTTTCTGCTCCACTGGCATTTTCAAGTTCGGGTTCCTCAATGGTGTCCAAAGGCTCGCCCAAGTCAAAGTCGAGGGCTGGTTCCTCGTTAATATCCTTACCTATTGATAACACCGACATCTCCGCGTCGTTTGCTAGTTGCGACACGTTTCTGCCAACTTCTATCGAGTGGTCGGAGGCGTCGTCATCGTTGAGGTCGAAGTCAAGCTCCAAGCCGTAATCATTTCCTGGAGTGACGGGATCTTGAGGCTCTTCGTAACGGCCAAATTCAATGGATTGGTCGAAAGTGAAGCTGTCTTCAGTGTTCTGGCTCTGGCTGAAAATGCCTCTTCCCCCACCAGAGGCAAAGTCGTCATCCAAATTTAAGTCGTCTTGGTACAATAAATCGAAACGCGTCACTTGATCTTGCAAGGTGATACTTTTGACGTTGGTGATGATGGTATCTTGGGGTTGTAAGTTGACTTTATTGGCAGAGATGTCCGACCCCAACTTGACGCCACTGGCGTATTTGAATGATGTCTTCAATTTTAATAAGATGTCGTTGACATCATCCAACAAGTACTTTGTCTTCCTGGAGTAGATCCTCACTATTCCTAACAATAATTGTCCTGACAATCTTAAAGTTATGGAGTTGGAGTCCTGCTGACTTCCCTGTGACGACGAGTGGCTGATAGGATGGTTGGAGATGAAGTCAGACGACTTGACGATGCTGGTGCTCAAGAGTTGTTGTTTGGTGAGTTTCTTGTCGTAGTTAGCAGCCAACCACACATGAGCCAATGGGCCCTGTTTGGAGACGAGTTGTTCAGTGTACATGGTACTGGCTGGAGACGGGTCTGTTGATGGAATAGAGAGTGAAAGAAGGTGGGTAAGTAGGCCAGAGTGAATCGGAAGTGCTTATGGTCGCGATGGAACGCGTACGCGAATTCTCGAGACCGCGTGGAGTGGGCAGGTGCAGGTTGAAGCACCAGGTGCAGGTTACGGTGGCATCATTTTTCAGGTTGGTGCCTCGATAGGATGGCCTGCATATGCGCCCGGACTTGGGGTAGGCGATCCACCAGTTGAAGCATAGCCACCTAGTGTGTGTCGCCGTTCCCGAGGATGCTGGTCAGGTGGACCGAGTCTTCTGGGGCCAATGACCGAGAATCCGCTCTCTCGACGTTCCTACGGCCCGATTCCGCTCATCTGGCTTGTACTGCTTATTCTGCTACTTTCTACTCCCCTCGCATCCACACTAGTGCTCACGTGAGCCATTGGTGAACCTGTACAACTCCGACAAGTATCGACTGCGCCAGAAACCACCACCAACGCCAGGATGAATCTCCAGGCTAAACTAGATAATTCATTGAACGATATCCTCAAGACGTCTGGCTACATCTTTGAGATCATCAACAACAACAAAAAACAATCCAATCTAATTACAGGATCGAACAACCAGTTGATCACCCCCACCATCACATCGCAACTAGCCAGTAACATCTCCAAGTTCGATGAGATTCTAGACGATACGTTATCCAAGTTCAACGATGCTCGTTGGTGCATAGAAATGATGTTGGAAAACAAGCAGCGACAAGAGGAGTTGAAGTTAAAGGAAGAGCTCGAGAAGCAGAAGAAGTTGAAGGAGGAAGAAGAACGCAAGCGCCTCGAAGAAGAAGCCCTCAAGAGGCAGGAAGAGGCCAGAAGGCGCAAGGAGGAAGAGGATGCCCACGCAAAGGCCAAGGCTGAGAAAGAGGCTGCCGAGAGGGCCAAGGCAGAGGAGGAAGCAAGACTCGAGAAAGAAAAACAAGACCAGGAACGCAAAGCAAAGGACGAACAGCTTAAGAAGCAGCAGGAAGAGGAGATGAAACGAAAGGAAGAAGAGAAGCAAAGAGAACTGTTGCAACAACCTACGGATTTCAACGATTTCATGTCACCTGGTTTTGACTTCAGCATGGGGGACATGGGAGGTGCCAACGAAAAGGCTCCAGGCGACATTCCGAACCCCTCAGACATACTATCCTCCATCAACTACACTGATGATCCATTGATGCAAGGAAACATCGACAATAATCAACAACAGATCAGCAACAACACGGGCAAGAACGATTCTGGCGACCTCGATTTGAACATGAATAACTTGCTAGGCAACGACGAACTTAACTTGGACGGCTTGAACATGGGCTTGTTGGACCAACGGTTCGACGGCAACGGTCTGAGCCTGCTTCCTAACGATGACGAGTTTGACGTGGACAATTTCTTGAACCAGTTCGGTGGAAGCGACTAGACTGAGCCGACTAGATGTATAATGAGTAATGTATGAACCGAGTAAGCTTGTGCTGTCTGGGCCCTGGGTTTCCAGCCTGAGAGCAGCACCAGGTGGTAGTGTGCGCAGGCTGCCGTATTAGGCAGTCGACGCTCCGCCAATGAAAACGCGTAATTTGTTAGTGCACTCTCGGATTCCGGTAGTGAAAAAATTGATACAACCAAAGTTTCAATCGATAATCAAGGACGATTCTATACCGCAATGTTCAGACAAGCCTTACGTCAAGTTGCCAAGCAAAGCAGCAACACTGTTAGAAGAACCTACGCCACCGAAGCCTCCGATGCTTTGAGATTGTCATTGGCCTTACCACACCAAACGTTGTACGCTGACTCCGAAGTCCAACAAGTCAACTTACCATCCGTCAACGGTGACTTGGGTATCTTAGCTAATCACATTCCAATTGTCGAACAATTGAGACCAGGATTGTTGGAAGTCATCACCAAGGGTGGTGAAACCGAACAATACTTTGTCAGCGGTGGTATTGCCACTGTTCAACCAGGTAACAAGTTGACCATCAGTGCCATTGAAGCCTTCAAGCCAGAACAATTCGATGTTCAAGCCGTCAAGAACTTGATTGCCGACGCTCAGAAGAGAGCTGCTTCTGGTGACGAAGTTGCTGTTGCCGAAGCCAACATTGAATTGGAAGTTTTAGAAGCATTGCAAGGTGTTGCTCATTAAATAAAACCGGGTTCTGCCCACAATTTCATTTCACGAACGTACTTATGACTTCAGTACACATCATAGTCACTAAATGTAGGCTGCCCTGGGCTGTGTGTAGATCATGGACGAGATCAATTGGGTTATACACTCAATTGCAGGAACGGAGAGTAATAGAACGAATGGAATACAAATGTCTAGGGAGATACTCCAAGGTTAGTTATTCCTGGAAGATACACCTGTTAATCGTCATGACGAGTGGCAATTGATACCAAGAATATTATGAGGATGGGTATTTAGAAGTCATCAGTTGGCATACTTCTACCATTAACCAGAGTGAATGCACTCAGGATGATAATGAGAAATTGAATGGACTACCACAATGATACAATTGGGAGGTAATTCTACAATGAGCCAGAGATATCCTGGGGAGCTCGGTAGTTGGGGTAAGTCACAGTGTCGGCTCTGTAAACTCGAGATGGATCGGGTAATCGATGGACTATAGAACTTGGATAATTCTCCCATTGGGCATGTGTTTAAAGGCCCTCATCTAGATTCAAGTATATGCTAATGGATAAACTAGCAACTCGTACTGAACAAAGAGTAACAATCACTAGTGAAACCAATCGAATCCTCCACGTTTCGCGTCCATATTGATAATGCCAGCGAGCCCACCTATATTCATGGAAAAAGACAAACTGCCCGAAAATACCCTACAATCACATAATTGCACTTGAAGAACGCAATATCACCGTGTCGTCAGCTCTACATCCCCACCCCACGAGCTGCCCCACTACCAGGTCCGCCTCCACCTGATCTGCCATTTGTGTGCCTCGGAAAAAGCCCGGAAAGTTTCGAGTATGGGGTAATGCGCAACTGGTGACTTGGAAAATGTATATATAGTGTAGAATTCTGGCACCACATTACCTCTCACCACCCACAGTAAATATGACCCCCAACCCATCCTTAGTGTTGAACAAGATCGATGACATCTCCTTCGAGACCTACGATGCCCCAGAAATCTCCCAGCCCACCGATGTGATTGTGGAGGTCAAGAAGACGGGTATCTGTGGATCCGATATCCACTACTACGCCCACGGCAAGATCGGCAAGTTTGTCCTCACCAAGCCCATGGTGTTGGGACACGAGTCTTCTGGTATTGTCTCCAAAATTGGTCCTGGTGTCACCTCCCTCAAGGTAGGTGACAAGGTTGCAATCGAGCCTGGTGTGCCATCCAGATACAGTGACGAATACAAGAGTGGTCACTACAACTTGTGTCCCCACATGTGCTTTGCTGCCACTCCAAGCGCCTCTGGCGACAATCCTCCAGGAACCCTCTGCAAATACTACAAAAGTCCCGAGGACTTCTTGGTCAAGCTTCCTGACCACGTCTCGTTGGACATGGGTGCATTGGTGGAACCTACCAGTGTGGGTGTACACGCAGCCAAGTTGGCAAACCTCAAGTTTGGTGACTACGTAGCTGTTTTCGGGGCTGGTCCCGTTGGTTTGTTGGCAGCCTCTGTTGCAAAGCTCTTTGGTGCTGCTGGAGTCATTGTGGTTGATATTTTCGACACCAAGTTGGAGTTGGCCAAGTCCATCGGTGCTGCCACCCACGTCTTCAACTCTAAGACAGGAGGTGCCGAGGAGTTGATCCAAGCTTTCGATGGTCACAGTCCATCGGTGATTTTGGAATGTACTGGTGCTGAGGTGTGCATTGGCTTGGGTGTCGAGATCGCTGCTCCAGGTGCTCGTTTCGTTCAGGTTGGTAACGCTGGAAGTGCCGTCAAGTTCCCTATTACCGAGTTTGCAACCAAGGAAATGACTTTGTTCGGTTCTTTCAGATACGGATTCAACGATTACAAGACTGCAGTCAAGATTTTCGACGAAAACTACAAAAACGGAAACGACAACGCTCCAATTGATTTCGAGCAGTTGATCACCCACAGATTCAAGTTCGACGACGCCATCAAGGCCTACGACCTTGTCAGAGCAGGCACTGGTTCTGTCAAGTGTATCATCGATGGCCCAGAGTAAAATTTTAGTAGCCACTTATTAAATAGCCCATCCACTCTTCAACACCTCGTAGTGACTGCCCTACTGGCATCGTGCTGACCTGTCTATGTCCCGACTTCCTACTCTATAGTAATTAGCCATAGAAATCTTTTCCTGCACACAGTCCAGGTGATCAAAATTTTCGGTCCTGAAAAGTTCACTAGTAGTGAATCCACTCCAGTAGCAAAACATCCCTCCACAATGTCCTTAACTGCCAAGGAGGCTTTCAGCAAGCTCCCTCAGAAGTTGCACAACTTCTTCATCAAATATCCCCCAAGACCTTTCGCCGAATACAACACCAAACCATCTACCATAACGGATCCAAAGTTGAATCCTTTCTTGCCAAACAAGAACCCAGAAAGCGGAAAGTGGCACAGCCCTAAATTCTCGCTCAGAAGATCAGCAGACTTGTACAAGATGGCCCGCAAGTTCGGCATCGAAGAATTGTTACCACCAACCCCAAAGAAGTACTACGAAGAGAAATACGACAACAAGAACTGGATGAGAGGTGTGTTGACCCAAAAGAAGAAGAGATGGGAAAGAGAATTACCAGAAAAACTCGAGGCCAGAGAGCAAGCTATTGCCACCATGGACGAGACCATCGCTGCCGTCAGACCAGGCTACAAGAAACAAATACAAAAGAGAGAAGCACGCAAGAAGACCTGGTTTTAATCTTCTTTCATGCTGGAGATGTGCTGGAACTAATAACATACTTCCAGGAGTCGCTCTTGATCATTCATAACACCTACACGTTCATCTGTACATATTCAATACATTACTATTTTACAATACTATTTCGTTCTAGATGAGATTTGTAAGCCTCTCCCACCCTAAAATGCTCTTCCTCTTCCACGACCTCCACGGCCACCTCTCATAGGCCTTCCTCCCCTTTTGGGGGCTCCGCTCAGTAAATCCTGGCTTCCTGGTCCTGCCCCATTGCCCTTAATTTTCGTCACACTCTTAGCTAACACACTGTCGATATTCAAGTCATCTGGCAAGAGTATCTGCCTGATTTGGTTTCCTCTGATGTTGATGAACTGCAATAATTGGGGGTCTTGATGGGGTTGAATTAGCTTGACGTTCTTTAAAGATAAGTTCATCAGCGGCGTAGAAGACAAGATTTGGCCGTTCACGGAAGTTCCGTTTTTGAGTTCCACTGTCACTGGCTGGTTGGTTGCCCCAGGCAAGCTCATCAAGAACCGTACAAGCTTCATGGTGGAGGATTCGTTATGTCTGGATGATGATTGTCTGTACACAGAATGAAAATTTAAGTGTATATCGGAGCTCGCGCGTAAATTTCAGACTGGAGTAGAAGGTGTTGCAACACTACATGGAGTTGTGGGATTATTCCATGGTTGCAAGTGTACCGGGTAAGCCCTGTATATGGTAGAATTAATAGATTCTTGGTGTTGAAGAAATGGTATTTATTTTCTAAAAAATCAATCCAGTAAGAGGTGGAAGCTTGGGGTAATGAAAGTACATTCACATAATCGCAATATCAAAGACAATTCCATCTGACTTGATCATTTACCATCCATAGTTTTCATTGTGAACGGGTCTAAAGCGAAGCGTCTAGTATTGCCATTCGCTGAGTTGATTTATGATGGTGTAAGATTGGTATCGCGGTTTGAGGACATCGCAATCAAGAACGCATAAATCACTAACGAGCCAGCTCCACTAGGACTAAATTTAAAATCCCTTTAAAGCAGAAATTTGTATCACCTCGGGAAAGGCATAAGTAAATAAAAGAGTTTACAAATTAGGCTCTAAAAGCCAGCCTAAAAATGAATACCCCAGTCCAACATTTCGCTTGATCCTTCAGAGAAACCACTGGCGAATAATCACAATAAGTAGAATACTTGCATCTCAACAATTATTTAGCAAACTTACTCTATTTATCTATTGCTTATTACCCCTTACAATGTAGCTGCTTAGTAGCTTCTACTAATAGGCAATTCCTAAATATCTATGATCGAGATTATCATCTACTCGGCACACTAAGTGCACCGGAGCAGATCGACGGTAAAATTCCACAAGTCGAAAAAGAAATCAGTTCCTCCAAAATTCTTACCAGATAAATTATCATTGGCTTCGACCTTGTTTCTCTTCGTGTACACTTCACGTATCAGTTGTATAGAATTCGGGACTATTTACTCTTATCTGAACAAATGGTGCACACACCTTGAGTACAGGAAGCGAACTAAAAAAACACGTGTGAACATCTTCAAGCGATATCTACCCTTCTTTGACACAAGTTCAAACGAAAGCATCAGTGGTTCCATTCTGGCTCCAGGCTCTTAACATAACTTTGGAATTCGATAGTGGTTTTTAAGGCTGGCAATTGATTTTTTACCCTGAATTTATTACTCACACACCGCTAACTCCATGCCTTCATTAGCCGAGACAATTCGAAGCTTTCCTCCGGTGACTCGATTCTTCACCATCACATCCGTCTTATCATGCATTGCCTGTAGTATGCAGTTGGTTCGGCCTTCTGTATTCTTTTTTTCATTGTCAGAGATCGAGCCAAGCTGGTACATGGTGAAGGTGGCATTAGCAAATGGCACAGTGTTCGAGGTGGTTAAATCGATACTCTTGTTCTTATTGCAGAGCTACAGGTGCTTCACTTCATTCCTCTTACCTAGTGGCTATTTTTACAATAGCGATATTGAGGCCGTTTTGGACATTTATTTCTTCTACACCTTCGCCAACCACTTGGAGAGTTTCCATGGCAAGTTCCACGGCAACTTCCCCGACTGTCTTTGGTTCACTTTGGTCACAGGAACATCCATTATCCTTCTCACCTTAGCATATGGTTTGACCATAAACTCGACGCAACTTTTCATTCACCACGAAATCATGTTATCATGTCTCACCTACTACTGGTCCAGATGTTCCAAGGATCTGATGATTAATTTCATGGGAGTTATTCCTGTCAAGGCCTATTACTTGCCTTTGTTCAATATCTTCCTTAAGATGGTTGCCAGGGGTTTCTCGGGCTTCTTGGACTCCTTTATTGGAATCTTCGCTGGATACCTCTACCAATGTATCCAATCTGACACCATACCCATCTACAACCTTTTCCCCGACTCGTACCTGGGCTACACCTCGAATAATGCTGGCAGAAGAGTGGGTACCAACACCATCCACACTAAGGTCCCTGAAGGAATCGAGGACGCCATTTTTGACAAGGGCTATTTGAAGGCACCCTTGTTTCTTTACAATATTTTAAAATACCCTGTACAAACCTCGACCAGAGAAACTGCCTTCCGTCATAAGCTGAGCTACGGAGGAAGCCCTGCCTACAAGCCTAAGGAAACCACCAGCGACGTTTCGCCTCCTGGGCAAAAAAGTGCGTTCAAGGGTAGCGGGAGAAGATTGGGCGATTAAGCCTCTGGGTTACAATTAAACAAACGGTGAGACTTAGAGGATGAGACTTACCCAGAAGATCAAAAAATGATATTTAATCAGAAAGAAACTTCAATAATCAGAAGATAAGGCTTTGAAAAATGGGACTCAATAAAGATGGGACTTAAATGATGAGACTTTATCAGAAGATAGACTTCATCAAGTGACCAGAACATCAGCCTTCAATAACCAGAACATGAGGCACAGTTCATGTTTTTTATCAACGGAATGAAATGGCCACATTGAATTCAACTCTGGTCTAATAAGGAGCAAAGTCTCTGAATAGAGCTTTATACATCTAGTATTATATCTTCTCTATCAAGGTTTAGAATACACGCCGCTACACGAAATTTACGATTCTACGGACTAGATAGAGCCATCTCGCTCCCGATATACCAAAGCCGATCTTGTTCACTGCTCTGATCTTTGCAAAAGTCAAGACCAAAGTCCTGGCAGTGCCAATGCCACTCACCAGTACTCAATCTGGACCTCAAATCTCCTGACACCTTGCTTCAATCCCTGTAAGCCATCCGTCTAAGACATATCCCAAAATGTAAACCAGACCGTTGGACGCTCTAAAAATGCTATTTGTGCACACAACCAGCAGAACCTTGTTCCGCCTCAGAATTCCGGCATTGCATCTTCACCAACCTGACAAAGCTCTGTCACAATTCACCGTAGAATCCCCTCTAATCCACCCTGTGGTCTCCCTGCCAACCACAGGAGCAGCATACCACGACGTCATCACGGTTGCAACGCTCCTCCCCCAGTTTTGTCCCAATCTTCCCCTCCTCCACTACCCAGAAATTCGGGTGGGTAATCGCGTAAATTATCATTAGTCAATCCACACCTGCCCGTTTCAGACCTCCATCGTATCAGTTTCTGGCCATTGATAAGATGTCCGATAGCAAAGCTCCTGCCACAGGAACGCCGGTGGCTACGCCTGGAGGACACGCTCAAGCAGGATCGCTGAACCCCCAGCAGCCTGCTCGTGGGACTTCCAAGTCTCCACGGATAAAGCCGGTGGACCAGGAAGTCCTTTCGTCCCGCAACGCCAGCAACACCAGCGTGTTGTTGTCACCCAGCTTGAGAAACAAGTCGTCAGCCAAGTTGAAGAAACTCAAGTCCAAACCCCATTTGAAGCGCCTCACCTCGGGCCAGGGGGGCCACATGAAGCTCGTGTTTTCGGTGGATGATGACATTGACGACGACCTCGATGAGGAGACTGTCAAAGACTCGGACGTCAAGTCCAAGAGCAAGAACGCAAGTGACCTCAATTACTTGGAGGGCTACACCGACGCCATCAAAGCATTGCAACAGAAGAAAAAGTCGTTCCACAGCTACTTCCCGGACTTCAACAAGCTTGACGAAAATGAAAGTGTGGGCGGGCCCAAGGCCCAGGTGAAGTCGCCCAATGTCACGGACTTAGACGACAGAGCGTTCGACTTTGACACCAGAAAACTCAACGATAATATCTTGGAGGTGAGCGAAGACGTCACCGAATCGGAGGTGGGAGAGGATGCAGAAGCGGAAACAGAGAATCACAACTCAGATACCGAGTCTGTCGACTCTTCATCCTCCTCGCAAACTTTGGAATCGTTGAACTTGCGAGAAAGACAGAATGCCATCAACTCCACCCATCCATTCGGTATCAAGATCTGGAAACCAAGTTTGTACAAAAAGAAGCGTTCGGTTGCAGACAGAGCAGACGAGGATATCCATGCATTCGATCCCCACAAGCCCAATGCTACTATTACGTGGGGTGTCATTCTCACAAACTATCTCTGGACCTTGACTTTTGGCTTGCTCATATTTCTTATTTGTACCATTGGTGCTGCGATTGTGTTTGTTTTCTCTGGATTCGCCATCCACAGATCTCTGAGACCTTACGTTAGGCTTTTGCTAAAGTTGGGTAAGTACGGTCTTTGGCCATTTGGTAAATTTGTCTTGTTGAACAGAGACGAAAACTACTTGGATGAAGACGAATTGGATGGAAGATCCATTACAGAATTTCATAAATGGAGAGTGCAAGAAGAAGGCAGATTGTTTTTTGCTCCCCCCAGAAGATACACTACCAGCAATGAAACAAGACCTTTAATTAAAGACCATACCGGTAGACCGCTCAGAGATGCATATTCATCATTGGGTGAAGTCGACTCAAATGCAGATGATGTTATTGATGGAGATGACATTCACGAAGAATCTAATGATATTAAAGTTAGATTCTTCGGGAGAGGCAGCTGGTCTTCCGGTCGGTTCATGTTCTACATTTTCTTTTATTCGGTATTACAAAATATCTTGTATTTGATTGGTTTCTTCTGTTGGTTGTTCGTTTTCACCATCCCAATGGCAAACATCACCAACACTATTTGTGACCACTTGAGACGTCATCCCTTGGCTTTGGACTTTGAATTGGAAAAGAGTTACTACAAACGTGACAAAACTAAGAAAAGGAAAAACCAGCTGCTTATTTTGTGCACTTATAGGTCCTGTGGTTTCCATTACTACAAATATACCATTGATGGTACCAATATTTTCTTTATCAACTTGTTGGCGGCAGTTGCATTTGTTATTTTGGACTACTACTTACTTAAAGAAAAACTAGGATGGAAAACTTGGTTTACAGACCCCACCTTTTTGTTCTGTTCTTGTTTGTTCTCTATCATTCCATTGGCTTACTTCATCGGTCAGGCAGTTGCTTCTATCTCTGCTCAATCGTCTATGGGTGTTGGTGCAGTTATTAACGCCTTTTTCTCCACTATTGTTGAAATTTTCTTATACTGTGTTGCATTGAATCAATCCAAGGGCAAATTAGTGGAGGGTTCAATGATTGGTTCAGTTCTTGGTGGTGTTCTCCTTTTACCTGGATTATCCATGTGTGGAGGTGCATTAAAGAGAAAAACCCAACGTTATAACCCCAGATCTGCTGGAGTCTCATCGACTATGTTATTGTTTGCAATGGTCACGATGTTTGCTCCTTCTCTATTCTACCAAATTTATGGTGCCTACGAACTCAAGTGCAAAAAGTGCGATGAAGACCCATTCTTGGAAGCCATCAAAGACAACTGTGTGAAGTGCCGTTTCATACAACCCTCATTATCCTTGGATGCATTGTACTTCAATGTCATTCAACCATTCTCGTTGATTGTTGCGTTAGCTTTGTTTGCGGCTTATGTTTGTGGATTATACTTCACATTAAGGACACATGCCTCATTAATTTGGGCTACGAACTCACATGAAGCTCAAGCTAAAAAGGAAGATCTGTATTTGCGGTCGCCAAGCATTGCTAGCATCGATACGCCAAAAGGAAACGTCGGCGGCAATGCATCCTCAAGGTTCACTGGTTTACCTCCATCCGCAAGCTCTGCTTTGGCAAGTGGTTCTGATGCAAGAAATAGACAAAGTGGAACGACAAGCAAGGTACCTTCAACGTTGCCATCGCCATCTCTTGAAGTTGCAAAGAACAGACAAACACTCGATCAGAACAAACATCAACAGCTTGCAGAACAGTTGAGAGGGATACAACAAGATAAATTAAGACCATCTGCTAGCAGAAAATTGAGTCTTCTTAACAACGATCCTGATTATGAAGGGGAAGAAGATGGTGGAGGACATGATGCTCCCAATTGGTCCCGTAACAAGTCTACCGTGATTTTGTTGGGAGCTACATTAATTTATGCTATAATAGCAGAAATATTGGTTGATAATGTCGATGACGTTTTAGCTGACTTTCCTATTGACCCTAAGTTCTTGGGTTTGACGGTATTTGCATTAGTCCCAAACACCACCGAATTCTTGAACGCTATTTCGTTCGCTATTGGTGGAAATGTGGCCTTATCGATGGAAATCGGAAGTGCCTATGCCTTGCAAGTTGTCTTAATTCAAATCCCAAGTTTGGTACTCTTCACAATTTATAAAGCTCCACTCCAGATTGAGCAAATGTTTTCTTTGGTTTTCCCTAGATGGGATATCATTGCAACCCTAATTTCAATTTATTTGTTTACCTACATTTATGCCGAGGGAAAGTCCAATTACTTCAAAGGTGTGATCTTGATCTTAATTTATGCTGTTGTTTTGGTTGGATTTTGGTTCAACGATAAGATTGAAGCACTTGACGATGAATACACCGGAAATCCTCAAGCTTATGCAAGAGCACTCTCATTTTTTTGAGCAGTCTCCTTTTCCTTTTCCTCGATTTTTGCATATGCCTTACCACTTGTTGTCCATTATGGACGAATAATCCAAGCTGGACCTAATTTTATGTTATTAATAACTGCAAATTGTAAAATCTAATCAGCACTCACCATGTTTGATAAGTCGATTTGTTCCCATAAAGGTGACGCCATTGTCACATTAATATAATAGATACCATGCGATTTGTCGTTCGTAGGAGTTTCTCTTACATCCTACATCTGTTATGCACAATTATTCCTCCCCTCCCAGAGGTAAAATCCATACTTGACTACTCTATGGCCTGAAAACTACTCAGAAACGTTCGCTGGATAGATGTTTATTTCGTATTTAGTCATAACGTGAGTTCAACACAAGTCAAATACTCGCAGGTCGTGAATAAGTTTACTTAGTAAGGTATGCTCTGGCTTCGTATGGAGCCAATTCATCTTCGTTGTAGTTGTCAACATTACCGTAAATGTACTCGAGCTTCTTTTCGGTGTGGTTAACGAACTTCTGAGGCTTGTCAGAGAAGTTGATAGTGATGAAGGCACTTTGGTCACCGTTCACCTTCAAGAAGGAGAAAGTTTCCTTGTTTCCAACATCGAGGATTCTGAAAAGACCGTGGATGAACAAGTCCTTGTATTCCTTTCTGAATTTCAAGGCCTTCTTCCAGAAGGAGAGCAAGGAGTTTGGATCGTTGGTTTGAGACTTGACGTTGATCTCCTTGTAGTTGTCGTGAACTCTGGTCCATGGAGTTCCGCTGGTGAAACCACCATTGGCAGAGTCGTCCCATTGGACTGGGGATCTAGCGTGGTCTCTTGCAACCAAGTTGATGCTGTCCATGAGCTTCTCGAACTTCTTGTTGTAGTCAGCATCGTTACCGTACTTCTGCTTGAATTCTCTGACGTAGTTGACAGTGTTGATGTCTTGGTACTCGTCAATGGACCATTCTCTTGGTAAGTTGACCATACCAATTTCCTGTCCCTGATAGATGAAACCAGTTCCGGTCAAGGTAGATTGCAACAAGGCCAATGCCTTACCGGAGATGACTCTGAACTCGCTAGAGTCGTTACCGAATCTGGTGATGGATCTTGGTTGATCGTGGTTTTCAGTGAAAACAGTTGACCATGCATCGGTTCCTTCAATGAAGGAGCCTTGGCTTTCGAACGCCTTCTTGAAGTCGCTCAAAGTGAAACCTTCGTAACGGAATCTGTCGGATGGGTTGGAGCCAACCTCAACAACGTCGAACAAGAACATCATGTTCATTTCCTTTTCCTTGGCCGAGACGTACTTCAAGGCGTCTTCACGGGTAGAGTGGCCCACTTCACCGACGGTCATGGCGTCGTACTTGGAGGTGACCTTTTCGAACATCTCCTTGTGGAACTCGTGGATTCTTGGTCCACTTTGGTGGAACATCTTGCAAGGTTGGTATGGCGAGTCTGGGAACTCGATAGGAGCATCTGGGTAGCTTTGCACCTTGGAGTACATACCAGCAGTGTCGATTCTGAACCCATCGACTCCCTTCTCGTACCAGAAGGTCAACGCAGACTTGTAGATTGCATTTCTGGTCTCTTCGTTTTCCCAGTTCAAATCTGGCTGAGACTCAGCGAACAAGTGCAAGTAGTATTCGTCGGTGGTTTCGTCGTAGGTCCAGGTGGAGCCTGAGAAGTACGAGCCCCAGTTAGTAGGAGGCTGTCTGTTACCGTCGGCGTCGTATCTGGCAGGCTTCCAGATGTACCAGTCTCTCTTGGGGTTGGTCTTGGAAGATTTGGACTCCTTGAACCACTTGTGCTCGGTGGAGGTGTGGTTGATGACCAAGTCCAAAATCAACTTCATGCCACGAGCATGGGTCTCATCAATCAACTTCTGCATGTCGTCCACAGTTCCGTACTTGGGGTAGACGTTCTCGTAGTCGGAAATGTCGTAGCCCATGTCATCTTGGGGCGAGTCGTACATGGGACTCAACCAGATCACGTCCACTCCGAGGCTCTTGATGTGGTCCAAGGTTGAGATGATACCTGGAATGTCTCCCACACCATCGCCTTTGGAGTCCTTGTAAGAGGCAGGCCAGATTTGGTATACGGTTGATTCTTTCCACCAGGGATGTTGCACGGTCATGTTTAGTCGTTGCTTAATGATGTTCTGGCTGGCGCTGCTCATCTCTTATATACCTCGAAATGTGGGGACGCGGAAATCACCTCGCAAATGGGCCTTTGCCCGCAAATCCGATCGCAAGCTGGCCAAGTGTTCGTAACGAGTTCTGACGTATTTTAGATGAGTACCAAAGGCGGTGGTGGGGTATTTGTGGGGTGGTTGACGAAACTGGCCGGTTGGGGCAATATTGGCCTAGCACTCAACGATTGTCGGAACTAAATTCTTGGGAACACCCGTGCTACAATATCTGGAACTGCTGTGGTTATGACCACTTAGAGTCCCAAACGCCTACCCCACTGGCCAGGGATGCCAAATTGCGATGGGAAGCCGACAGCTGGATCCAACCTATTCCTTGAAACTGAGAATCCAGGAGGTATGTGGCATCGATTTGGCTGTATCGGGAAAGAGTTCCGAGGGGATCTGACTGCCCCGCGGCGCAGCTTACGTAAGGGGCGCCTTCACTCAAATATCCGTACCACTGTGGGACTCTACCCCTAACACCTTTCGTCATGAGTCTTGCCTACGACAAGTTCATATTATTTGGCGATTCCATTACCCAGTTTTCCAATGAGCCGCACATCGGCTACGGCTTCCACCCCGACTTGCAGAATGCCTACACCCGCAAGCTTGATGTGATCAACAGGGGCTATTCTGGGTACAACTCCAGACACGCCGCCTTGGTGCTTCCGCGAGTGCTTGAGGCGGAATTGAACCAGTCCAAGACCAACGTCAAGTTGATGACCATCTTCATTGGCACCAACGACGCGTTGGAGCCAAACGACTCATTGGGCAAGATCCAGAGGCAGTCGCCTGAGCAGTACCGCCAGAACCTCTCTCAGTTGGTGCAGTTGGCGCTCGCCAACAACATCAAGCCGGTAGTCATCTCCCCCACCCTCCACGATAACAAGTTGTCCAAGGAGCTGTTGGAAAAAGATGGGCGTTCCTCAGCCGTCCCGTTGTCTTCCAATCGCAGAAACCGTGTCTATGCTGACACGGCTGCGGAAGTTGCGAAAGAATACGATGTAGCGTTCGTCGATTTGTGGAACGCGTTCCGTGACGCCGGTGGCTTCAGCGACCAGCAGTTGCTTGCTGACGAGGCAGACTTGGCAGAGTACCTCCACGATGGCATCCATTTCACCAAGAAAGCATACGACGTACTTTTCCAGCACGTCACCAAGGCCATCGCGAGCAGGTATCCCGAGTTGAGCCCAGAAAACTTGCCACTCCAACTTGCAGTATGGAGAAACATCGACCCAGAGAACATCGAAGCATCGATTTTCAAGTGAAGGTTGGCACAATAGACACTAGAGTTAGAAGTTAGATCAATACAATTTATTATGGGATCGTGTAAGTCTCTGGCATGGCTAGGGAGTTTTACTGGGTATTTCGGCGCTGGCCTGGCTAGACAATTTACTGGTAAGCTTTTCCAGTTGGCTCGATTAGTGTAAATTACTATGTCTGGACTAGGATAATCTACAACACAACCCTGACTTCTGAATAACTAGGATAGTTTACTATAAAACTTAGCGATTGGCCAGAAACAAAATATACAACTTGATCTCTGATATGGATTCCCTGGATTAAATACTAAAATTTGCTAATAACTAGTATCTGGTTTATCCTACAATCTACTACGTATTCATCTCCTCGTGGCAGTAATATAACGACGTATTCATCTCTACTAGATTTGCAACTAAATTGCCATGTATTTAACTTCTCTTGATTAGTAATACTAACTAACCATACAACCCTGGACTGGTAATTTTTTACATATACAACTCCGTCTCTTGTCTTGATTTGAGGAGTAGCTGCGCCTGGCCCAGCTCTCTTGCCAACCTCTCGTCCCGCTGGGTCAAGTGGTAGGCTACCAAGGTCATTATTAATCCAAAAAGCGCCAAATATGCTGTGTAAGTGAATCCCAAATGATACTCCGGTTGATCGTTTGTGTTCCATACAACAATTGGTACCCATGCCCCCGTGACATAGGCTAAGGTGTTTGTCACCACGACCACAAAGCTCCGCTTCATATCGTTCTTGAAGAGAAGCCTGTTTACCCAAGAAAATATGAACGGTTGCCCCCAAGCTGTTGGAACCCCGACCAAATAGAAGGAAGTCCAATGCCACCACTGTGGAATGTCCCAATGGGCCAACAGGGCACATCCCACCACCAAACATACAAAGTATAATGCGATAAAGCTGGCATTCTTGCGTCCCCCCAAAAAGTCGTTTCCGTAGGCAAAACCAAGAGTCACAATAATGCCAGCCACTTTCAAATATGACGGATACAAGTTGTAGATCTCAGACGGCTTGCCTAATGTTATCTTCATCCATGATTGGAATGTAGGCTGGCCGATTGCCGAGCAGGTGTTATTGAAAGCCAAAAACAAGAGTGGAAACACATAGATGTGCCAGGTGCCGAAAAACGTCTTGACCTTAGCCCAGGTAAAGGGAGTTCTAGTGGTCAATTCAGCACCAATTCTTCTTCTTCTCTCCAATCCCACCAACCTATCCTGCTCGGTAAAGTACCAGGCATCTGTTGTGGAGGGAGTGTTTGGGTCGACAAACATGGTGTAAATACCAACTGGGAAGCTGATTATGGCGTCGAATACAAACATCCACTTGAACGGAGGAAGACTGGATGCACCAAACCGTTCGATAATGAGTTGTTGCAATGGCCCTGAAACAATCCCACTCACACTACCAGAGACTGCAAAAAGTGCACTTCTTTTGGAAAGCTCGTCGGTGCTGTAGTTGGATCCAAGGAGCCACTCCAAGCCAGGGAAGTAGCCACTCTCTAGAAGGCCGAGGACGAAGCGAATTGCGTAAAGACTATGGATGTTGTTTCTTCCACAGAGGATCATCAACACCGTCAAGAACGCCCACAACACCTCCAAACCTCCTAGATAATACCTGGCCGAGAGCCGGTGCAACACCAAATTCGAGGGTATCTGTCCAATGACGTAGCCAACGGTGAAAAGCGCTGTCATGTAGTTGTACTGATTGTTGTCCATTGAGTAGTACTCCTCCATTCCATTCATGTATGCAGTGGTGATGTTGAACTGGTTAAGACTCTTGATGAAGTAGCCCAAGCAAGACGACGAGAGGAGGAAAAAGTCCAACTTCAACAAGTACTGCTGTTCGAGAGGGTGCTTGTCTGCTCCGTCCCACAAGAACCGTTTGAGCTTGTACCACCTGGACGTGTGCCTATACAATGCTTCCTCTGGCGTAAGTCTGACCTCCAAATCGATGTAAGGCTCTTCGGATACATCGCTGTATTGTGGGTCTTCCACCACACTGACTAGGTGCTCTACCCCTTTCTTGGACATGTGTACTGGCTCTTCGGACTCGTTTGTGGTGACTCTAGTCCACCCAACCTTGGGTGGAAGCGACTCTGTTGCAACAAGATGACTTTTAAGCGTGCCAAAGAAACCCATTGTTGTTCCTAGCACTTGGTGGAGATAACAAGGATGTTATGATGGGATAGAACGGACCGTGGGCCCCACAGCACCCTAGGACTGTATAGTAGCAAATAAATGGATCTGGTATACTCCGATCCAAATGTCGCAAGTGTGGCTGCGAAAACCAGCCATAATTGCATAATCAGTCAAGAGTGCATAGTAGCGATAACAGTAATGTGAGACACTCTGGCACAACACGAGTTTAACTAAAATAGAATAGGTTAAGAGGCTTATGGTCCTGCTTCTTTAGCTCTTCATATTCTTTTGTAGGTCACTGGCTAGTTAGATCTGGCCTAAGAGAGTAGTGGCCATTTGACTCGCTCTTCTTATCACATTTCCACCCAAGCTACTACTTGCACAGGACTTCAAATATAGAGATCGTTTCCTTTCCAACTGGCTATTTCCGATTGGCCCGTGATTGACTCGGGAAGTCTACACCCACGACACAAACTCGGTTGCTTACTCAGCTCGACCAAGCTAGCACACTCTGTTGTTAGGAACATTGCCCTAGGCTTAACGGAATGAGTAAGTTGCTAAGTGGAGATCAGGAGGGGAATAGGAGATTTGCCCTGTAAATTTTAGGATTCGAGAAGTTCCAACTATTGAGTCGAAAGTATTGTCGTAGTAAGACTGCATGGCGCTTGATTATTAAAACATGTCCCAACCGATCCCCCTACATTGCCAAGTTATTCCATGTATATAGATCACTGCTAGCATTTTGGCTTTTAGTCATTAGTAACTTAAAAGCATCCATCAACTACAAGTTCACTTCTAAAGATCCTTATTTATTTCACTGCCATAGGCCCTAGTTTATTTCACTTCTATAGATCCTAATAAATTGAATTAAATATCCGTAGAATATATCTTTTCGTTATTTGCTCGTATCGAGGTACTTTCTTCGCTTTGAAGAGAAGCTTGTTCTTCTTGAGCTTGTTTTGCCAATCTCTCATCACGCTTTGTCAAGTAATACGCGATTGCGGTCATTACCAATCCAAAAGCAGCTAAGCATGCGGTGTAAGTGAACCCAATAAAATATCTTGGTTTGTCAGCAGTATTCCAAGTCAAAATTGGAACCCATGCACCTGTAACGTAAGCCAAGGTATTGGTAATAACAACAACAAAACTTCTCTTCATATCATTTGCAAACAACAATCTGTTCACCCACGAGAAGATGAATGGTTGACCCCATGAAGTTGGAGAACCTATCAAGAAATATGAGAACCAATGCCATCCTCTAGGTATATCCCAGTATGACAATGAAGCACAACCGATAATCAAACAAATAAAGTACCCAGCAACAAAGAACACATTTTTTCTACCTCCAAGGAAATCATTCACATATGCAAATATAACAGTAAGCACTATACCAACAGCTGCCACAATAGAAGTGTAAGTGTTATAAACGTGCGAAGGCTCTTTGAGTGTAATTTTCATCCAAGTCTGGAATGTAGGCTGACTGTTAGCAGCACAAGTATTGTTGTAAGCCAAGAATAAGAGTGGGAAAACGTAGATATGCCAGGTGTTGAAGAAGGACTTAATTTTGGCCCAGGTGTAAGGAGTTCTGGTGGTCAATTCAGCACCAATTCTTCTTCTCCTCTCCAATCCGACCAACTTATCTTGCTCTGAGAAGTACCAAGCATCAGTTGTGGAGGGAGTGTTTGGATCGACAAACATGGTGTAGATGGCGATTGGGAAACTAATAACAGCATCAAACACAAACATCCACTTAAATGGGGGAAGACTCGACTTTCCAAATCTTTGTAAAATAGCTTGTTGTAAAGGTCCAGAAATAATTCCACTAAGATTACCAGCTACAGCAAAAAAGGCACTTCTTTTGGAGAGTTCAGCTGTGCTGTAGTTTGATCCAAGTAACCATTCCAAACCGGGAAAGTAACCACTCTCAAGGAACCCCAAGAAGAATCTGATAGCATAAATACCTTTAATATTATCCTTACCGCAGGTGATCATAAGTACCGTTAAGAGAGACCACAACACTTCCAAGCTACCCAAGTAGAATCTGGCGGAAAGACGGTGAAGAATAAGATTCGAGGGGATCTGGCCAATAATGTATCCAACGGTGAAAAGGGTGGTCATGTAATTGTACTGGTTGTGGTTCATGGTGTAATATTCTTCCATACCATTCACGAAGGCAGTGGTGATGTTCGATTGGTTAAGGTTCTTGATGAAGTACCCTAAGCACGACGAACTCAACAAAAAGAAGTCCAACTTCAACAAGTAGCGCTGTTCAAGAGGGTGTCTTCCAGTTCCATCCCACAAGAACTTTTTGATCTTGAATATCTTGGAGGTCTCACGGTAGTGGATCTCCTCTGCCGTGAGCTTCAAGTCCAAGTCGATATAGGGAACATCGTCCCAGCTTGAGTCCAGATCTTCATAGACAACGATCTCGGCATTGTTTCCCTTTGAGATACTCGATTCCAGCTCGTTCTCCTTGGCAACAGTTTGGGGGCGTCCTGTCCTTCTAGGCACCGCCTCTTTCGCAAGAACCTGTCTCTTGAGTGAGTTGAAAAAGCCCATGCTTACCAGTTTGTGAAGTTCAACTTGGACGGCATGAGACCTTTATATACTCCATTGCATGAAATGCTCGCAACGGCTGAGGAGCTTTCCATAAAGGGTGGCTTATAGATAGAGGTAGATTTAGTGGTTGATAAGCAAGTGTGGCTGCAATTCGTGGAACCGCCAATTAAATTGCGAAAATCAGGCCTCGTTGCATTCTTCCTCAGGGACAGAATTAGATCTATTGTGGATACTGCGTGGGGCATTAAACAGCTGATTTAGGTACTTTCCGCTTGTGTGGGTAGGTGGGTGGTTGTGTATGCTGAGGTAGTCGGGTTGCTGGGGACAGACTCCAAGAGACCCTAGACTGGTACTGCGGTGCCGTAGACTTGTTTTATTACTATGCTACAAATGCTAGTGGCTGAAACTGGGCTAACGGAGAAAGTCAGGTGCTGCGGGTGTAAGCGTGGGTGGCCCGTATTTTTGACATTTAGTATGTGATGTCACATTATTAGTCGACTTAGTGTGGCAAGCCATATAGCGGCAGCAAGTACGAATAGCCTTTTTGAAGCATATGAACGGAAACGACGGAAATAACCGAGAATTCAGCCTCTATATTCCGCCCTCGCTTATTCCCAATTTGACTCAATTAAAGCACTTTGGGCCTACAAGTGTTGATCCACAGTTCCATCTCGCACTTCAATATTAGTAATGTTCAGCAAATCCTCTCCTTCTGGCAATTGCTAGACACCCTAGTGGCCGCTGATAACATTAAAAAATAATGGCAATTCTACTCACACATGGGCGGTGGCCATAATTACATCTCGCTCCATGAATTAGCAATGCAATCGTAAATAAAGACCCTTACATGAACTGGATCTACCCCATGTTCGTGCGACATCTGGATCGGCCGCGACATGGACCCCGCGACATGAAAACTTATTCGGGCCTGAATCGCTATGACTCAACACCACTACCATGAAGAACTACACCATCGTGATTAAGTTGGGCACCTCGTCCCTCGTGGACGAAGTCACCCGTGAACCACGCATAGCCAACATGTCCTTGATCGTGGAAACCATCGTCAACCTCAAAAGACAGGGCCATCGGATAGTGTTGGTCTCATCTGGGGCAATTGCGTTTGGCATGAAACGTATGGGATTGCAGAAAAAACCAGGCAAGTTGGCTGCAGTTCAGGCTTTGGCTGCCATTGGCCAGTCCAGGCTTATGGGGCTCTTCGAGGATCTTTTCAGGCAGTTGGATGTGCACACAGCCCAAATCTTGATTACTAGAAACGATATAATTGATTTCACCCAGTACAAAAATGCCACCAACACCTTGAATGAGTTGTTGGAGATGGGGGTGGTCCCAATTGTCAATGAAAACGACACGCTTTCGGTGGCAGAAATCAAGTTCGGTGACAATGACACCCTTTCTGCCATTACTGCTGGGATGATGCATGCTGATTATTTGTTCTTGATGACCGATGTCGAGTGCTTGTACACAGATAACCCCAGAACGAACCCTGATGCTAAGCCAATCTTGATTGTGGACAAAATTGATGAGCTAGCAGTGAAAACCGATACCGAAACTGGAGCTGGTTCTCAAGTAGGAACAGGAGGAATGACGACCAAACTTATTGCAGCAGAGTTAGCAACCAATGTGGGTGTCACCACCATCATCACATTATCGAGCAAACCGCAGTCCATACTCTCTGTTGTTGCCAACATCCAAGCATCTGAGGAAGCAAATCTCACCACTTCAGAAAAGGAAGAGTTGCTTCTCAAAGACATTGCGCAAAACAAGGTGCCACTCCACACCAGGTTTTTGGGTCTCCCAACCCACACACAAATCAAATCCGATCGTCGGTTCTGGCTCTTGCATGGGTTGAAGACCAAAGGCTCCCTCATTATAGACCAAGGGTGCTTCGAGGCATTGACCAGAAAGAATAGAGCTGGTTTGCTTCCAGCAGGTGTCATTGAAGTGGAGGGTAACTTTCACGAGAGTGAGTGTGTTTCGATCAAGGTTGTTCCCACCAAAAACTCAGACATCTCTGAAGCTGTCCAGGTGGGCCATTGCAGGGTCAACTATAGCTCTGTAGAAATTAACCTTATAAAGGGTTTGAAAAGCAAGGATATTGAACCCACTTTGGGGTTCGCCGATAGCGAGTACATTGCGCACAGAGATAACTTGGCATTTCCCCCTGTCCGCCCTGCCTCTACTGACAATCTAGCATCCTTGAATTAATTTATAGACAAAATTATCTGATCTTTAGTTCAGGACAGTAAACGGCTTGTGGATTCTGTAAGAGTCGCCCCCTTGCATAATGTAGGTCAGTAAGATTTACAGTCTAAAGATAAGCGTATATGCTATAACGACGATCTGTCTTCAGAAAGAGCCAAAAGGTAGACTTGATACTAGAGTATTTTGGGTCATCAGCTACAGTATACTATCTAAACTAATAAAACCCTTCAATTCTGGGCCATAGGTTGAACGAGTTTGAAACTATCCAGCCCTTATCATCAGCCGAAAATCATCTCACATGGTGGTATGACTAAGATCCCGGAAATGACGTGGACCATTATCAAAAACCGTTTTCCTACCTGCATTAAAACCTAACCCCGTCTACCTTCCATAATAGCCCGTCCGGCATCCAAGTTAGCCCCGCGTATTTGGCTTATTCCCGTTGAAAATCTCCTGCTTGTTTTAGTGATGGATTAGTAAAATAGTGTCACCCCGATGCGCGGCCATGGCGATCCACAGACAGATGCAACATGGCTCCGTGAACGGGGAGTACTTATATATGAAGAGTTCCATCTAAATACGTGGCTTTGCGAGTATTTAGATTGGCTCAGCTGCACACCCATACTTTTCATTTTCGCACCCAGTTATGAGTTCTGCCGAAGAGTCGTCACAAGTAGGATCGAAGAACGAAGGGGTGCTATCGGAGGAGCTGGCAGAGGGCATAGACTACTCGTCGCCTTCTCACCAAGAAATATCCAAGCTCAGAGAAGCTGTGTTCTTATTCCTATTGTGCTTATCGCAGCTCATCACCCAGATCTCAGTGGGTCAAACAATGGGTACTGGTAATTATATTGCCAGGACATTTCATGTGGAGGGCATGCCTGGCGAAATGGCCTGGTTTACCGCAGCGTTCTCTTTGTCGGTGGGAACTTTCATATTGATCTCAGGTCGCCTTGGTGACATGTACGGCTACAAGACCATGTACTTGATTGGCTACGCTTGGTACGCGGTATGGTCTTTGGCTACTGGATTCGCAGCCTTCGTACCAAATCGAATTTTTTTTCAGACAATGAGGTCCATGCAGGGTATAGGACCTGCCATAATGATGCCAAATACTCAGGCACTAATTGGATCCTATTTCCCGGATGGCACCAAAAAATTCGTCTACTTGTCACTTTTCGGAGCTGTTGCCCCTTCAGGATTTGTGATTGGATCGTTGCTATCAGGCACATTTGCGCAATTGGTCTGGTGGCCCTGGACGTTCTGGCTCTCTGGAATGGGCTCGGTGCTTGCAGCAGTGATTGCCTTCTTTATCATCCCCAAACACATTGGCCATAAATCATACGGCTCGTTCGACTGGTACGGATCCGTCACTGGTGTTTCGGGGTTGATCCTAATCAATTTTGCCTTGAATCAGGGCCCCAATGTAGGGTGGGACACACCCTACGTATATGTCCTCCTCATAGTGGGTGTATTATTCATGGGGGCTTTCTACTTGATCGAAAAGAGAGTAGCTAATCCGTTGGTTCCCCCAGACGTTCTTAGGGGAGATACTGGATTTGTTCTTGGGTGCATCACTGCTGGTTGGGCGTGCTTTGGAGTTTGGCTTTATTACACATTCAGATGGAGTATCGAAGTCGACCATCTCTCTCCTGTTCTTGCAGCCGCCCAAATTTCGCCTGCTATCATCACCGGCTACATAGCAGCCCTCGCATCTGCTTACTTACTCCAGACCATTTCCCTGTCATATGTGATGGTTATATCCATGTGTGCTTTTTTTATTGGGTGCACCCTACAAGCAACTCGACCAGTGGGTCAGATCTATTGGGCGCAAAAATTCTTCAGCTTTCTTATTGCATCCATGGGGATTGACCTGTCGTTTCCTTCAGCGTGCATTATTTTGAGCCAGGCCCTTCCAAGACATCGGCAAGGAATTGCAGGCTCGTTAGTTTCTACATTTGTCAACTATTCCATTTCTGTAGGAATTGGATTGGCTAGTGCGGTGGAAGTTTACACAACTAAAAATAAGACCCCGTCGTTCAATACCACTGTCACTGGAATGCGTAATGCATTCTACTTGGGAATGGGATGTGCTGGTTTTGGGATAGTCTTATCAGTTATTTTTGTGGTGATACAGTTTAGGGCCAAAATGAAGAAAGAAAGAACCAGTGGCCTCCAGTGATCCTCAATTCTGTACTCAAATCCTCGATTCTGTAATTAATGATATAAACTGCATTTTATTCTGTAATTCGTTGGTAACTCCTCAACAATGTACAAAGCTCATTAAGGACACGAACCGTATTCTCTCGCAATTGCGCTGGTGACACTAGTAAATTTCAATCTGGATTATTATCATTAAGATATCGAAATTATTTAAATGAGAACTCAACTGAGACTCTCGAAATATTGATTCTTGTTTTTCTAGCATTATACCTCTTCTTCCCAAATCCAGATTTTTATATTGCCTAAGATTCGCAAGTTTTTTGCAACTATCAACATTTATTGAGAGCGGCTACTAAATTTTATCTTTGAGCTTACCATAGTTAATATATTTTCATCTTCTAATATTCTTCCTATCTGCAAGTAACTTATGCCAATTTGAGCCGGTTTAAAGCAATGCTGTAACTTCAAATCTGAACACTCAAGAATCTGGAGATATGTGGTACGCACACGCCAGAAGATAGGAAAAGGTATCATAGGTAGTGTCAGTACCGCTTACCACCACTATATCCCATTGCATCAGACATGGAGTCTAAGAAGGTGGTGCTTGATGATCAGTTGGGGACTTTATCGGGGTATCAGTTCCGAGAGCTCCTCACTGACGTCGCTGACTCCTTTGATCTGGACAATGAACATATAACAACCATTAGATCATACGAAGCCAATCTATACGTGGGGACTTCAAAGGGCAAGATATTGCACTATCATCTCTTCGAAGATGCACCCAGCTACATTCTAATAACACAATTATCGATTCTGGATGAACCAGTGACAAAGATGATCATCTTGCCTCAAACTCAAAGAGCTTTGATACTTGCTGGAGGTACAGCCACTCTATATTCACTTCCTGAGTTGACACCTTCAAACATTGGAAAGATTAGAGACGCCCATGATATTCTGCTCCTCTCATATTCCGTGCATGCTACAACGCAGTCTCGAGCTCCAGTCCAGAATGACAAGATTATAGCCTTTACTCCCCAGAAAATACGGATTCTTCAGGTGGGACCAGACCAAATCAAGTTACTCAAAGATGTGAACTATTCCAAAGCCATCAAAGGCATTTCAACAGCATCTGCTATGTCTAGCAACTACAGCAACTTGGTATTGGTCGCCAATGATTCTCACTATGATATCATCGATTTGAAACATACTAGAAAAATACCTTTATTCGAATATTCCAATGGCTCAAATAGAAATGTCAATCCCTACATTATTCCCTTCAATGCAGAAGACAAAGAGGAGGAAGAGTATCTTTTGACCATCAGCTCGGACGAAACTACATCAATGTCCATGTTCATTAATCCACTTGGGGATGTCACTAGGGGCACAATCACTTGGATCGAAGAAGGGTACCCCAGTGGAGGTGTCGTTATTGAATGGCCATATGTGGTGGGACTATTCAGTTCTTCAAAAGATAAGAATAAGTTGATTTTCAGCTCATTGGAAACTTTTGAAGTCGTAGCATCTACAAGCTTGGACCAGAAGCAGCCAGACAATATGACAAATGAAGATAGAAGTGTTACAGAGTTTCATGCTCCTGGTCTGGAGCTCAACCATCAGGAACTTCAACAAGACAATGCTGACCTCAATAAAATCGATGATAAAGATCCCCTATCAAAAGAAGAGGAGAACTTGAAAGATGATACGACAAAACTGGACGTCTCCAAAAACGCAGAAAGTGATCAGGAATCACTGTCAATACCCAACACCGAGTTGAACAAAGAAACTGATACCATAGAAAAACAAATTACTGATGAAGTGACCTTAACTTCAAAAGATATTGAACCTAAAGCCTCCAATTCGGAAATGAACGACACTACCACTGATAGTTTGCAAGTTTGTAAGGTTACACAAATCAAGCTTGATAACCAATCATTAAATGACAAACTTTCCAGAATCAACCTACTCACCAAAGAAAGAGAATTGCCGGGGATATCTGAAGTTGATAAAGGATCGATTCTTATCTACAGCAAGTCAAAAGTTTGGCTAACATATCAGCTACACCAAATTGATGAAATATTAATTTTATTCCATAAAGCATTACTATCAAGTACTACCAATGAGTTTTCCAAGGCATTGCAATCAACGTTTGATTCCTTTAAAGGGCTAAAGCACGATTTCTTATTGTATTTGCTTATTATTTGTGACTTTCTCGATGAAAACTATGACAATACCTTGAAGTATCTAACTCGTATCAAAGGGGGCGAGCTTATTATTAGTCCGTTGTTTGTCGTGCACTTTCTTTCTACGGCTGAACTAAAAGGATCGGACAACTTTCTGATATTTAAAGGAATTCTTGAAATTTGCGATGGTGTGAAATTCAAGAAATCTGATGCCTTCGTTGCATCTTACTTGAGCGAAGTATACCCAGACCTAGTTAAGAATGATAAAACATCATGCCAAGTGATTCGAACATTATTTTACGTTCAATTTTCAGACTTAAAGCAAGCATATGATTTTTTCAAAAACAATGATCAGGATAATTGGATGGAACTTGACTCGACTAACAACGAAATTATTAAAATCCTCCAAGGGAAATCAATTTCGCCAATCCTATATGTCATTTATGAGAAACTACTAGCAGTCAGTTCTGCAAATGTTCCGGAAATAATAGAGTCATATTGCTCGATGTGTTTAGAGCTTTTGAGTGGTGATATTATTATTTTGGAGCAGTTAAACATCACTAAAGATCAGCTTATAGACAAGATTCTTGGTCAATTACAAAAAAATATTGAAAATGAAAATGCTTATTCAAAGTATCTATTAGAGGTTTTAAAGATAGACTCAGAGAGATCTTTTCAGTACTTGAAAAAGCACAAGAATAGCAAATTCAAGGATACACATAAAAGAATTATGGATGAAATATCACATTCTCACACTAACGAACTAGATTTTTCACTTCTCCGTATAGAATATTTGGAGGGTAGTTGGATTGACTCCAACTACAAAATAGAGGAATCAAAGGAATTGATTTCTGAGCTTATAAAAGTATTAATTTCTCCCACAGTATTGAGCAATGAGAATAGGATCAATTTCGAAATTTTGCTTGCAACATTTAAGGTTGAAAACTCTTTGCAAGAAACAAAATGGCCCAAACTTGAATGGATTGATTATGTACATTTGAATTTGAACAGAAATGAAGCCAAAGAGCTTTTGAAGTTGTACCTAAAAGTATTCGAGTTGCTATATCACATGAAGTCGAATGGGTGGAATATTGAAAATTATTTGGAAGACTTGTCCAACATTGAGGGCAGGCTTTTTGATTACTTAACTTATCTCACCCCAAAAAATACAGAATCAATCATCGATCTGCTCTTGGAATTCCATGATTTCTCATGTGCAGAACACTTTGCAATTCACGGCAGTTTACCATTTTCTTCTCATTCACTTTATTTCAAGGACTCTTCATTTATCAAATCAAAAGAAACCAGTTTCACCAGTGGGGCAATTAAATCAAACTTACAGAGGATTTTGGACCATTACATACGGGAAGATGAAGCTGACTCCTTAAACATTGCTTGCATACGACACTTTGCTTGCACATATGGTTACTCCATATTCTCACCAACGGAAATGCTCAACTTACTACCACAAGACATTCCAGTTATACATCTCCTTCAGTACCTCGAGGGTGTAATTATAGACTTGAAGGCCCAGAATCGAGAAGGGATAGTCAAAAAGGCCCTCAGCAAGGCTGACTCGGCATTCACAAGCAAGCTTTACAAAGATCTTTCTCTGTAATGTTCTACTTGTAATAGCTGCATATCCGTTCACGAACAGAGTGTACTGCTATTCGGAAAATTTGCAAAATGAAGTGGTCGTTCATAATTATTCCACTGTAAATCATGCATTTTCTCTATATACATTTATAAGAAACCGGATAGTTTCAAAGCATAATCGATAACCATTCCAAACCATAAAATAAATCCGTTCTTAATGTTGCTCGTAAAGAAGTTCCAACAATCTTTTGGACTATCCAAGTCGACCTTTTTAAGTTGTTGGTAAAGTCTCACCATGGCCACAGTACCCATGATGTAGAAACCAGGGCCCATTCCATTCAAAGCTCCCGCAATACTAAACGAAATTGCTTGACCAGCCAAAAATCTATTCAAGATAGGCTTGGATCTGTCGCCCCAAGCTAATGCACTGGACTTAATGCCAGCGTTGATGTCAAACTTCTTGTCTTGATGAGCGTAAACAGTGTCATAAATAATTCCCCAGAACCAGTTTGACAATGCCAATGGCAAAGCAACCCATAAGTCAAGGGGAGCACCCACGGCAGGCCATCCCAAGAGACATGCCCAGCTGAAACAGAGCGAGAACCAGAATTGGGGGTAGTAAGTGTATCTCTTGAACAAAGGGTACAAGAAAATCAAAGGGATAGCGGCTGCTCCCAAATAGAAGCACTCGAACGGTAATGACAACAACACGGCTAATCCGGCAAAACACTGGACACCCAAGAAACCCACGGCTTGTGGAACTGAAACTCTTCCACTCGCAACGGGTCTTTCTATCGTTCTAGCAACCTTATTGTCAAGGTTTCGATCTAAAATGTCATTGATAGTGCAACCTGCTCCTCTCATTATGAGGGCTCCCACAGAGAACAATCCGACTACCGAAAGGAAGGTGGTGACTGGGGCGGCAATTGAGTAGGCAGCCATAGTGATACCCCACAAGGAAGGGGTAAGGAGGAGTAAGGTACCAACGGGCTTCTCCAATCTCATGAGCTCGGCATATGGGATCCACTTCTCGGGCAACTTGGCAAGCCATCCCAACCCTGCCAATCTAGCAAGCCTGGCAGCTTCGAGTTCTTGCTGAGAAAATACTTGCTTGACTGATGTCGTGGCGGTATGAGGATCAGCCTGGCTGTCGATTGTAGATTTTGATTCCTTCTGGGATGGTTTGGTTGAGGTTCTGTGTGGTTGAGTGACTGAGAAGTACTTTGCACCAAGCACCAGGGACGAAAGCTGGAAACATGATTTGCTCGGTATTCCAAGGGCACTCCGACCTATGTAGCCATGGCCCACGCGCTTGACTGCCAATCTGGTCGCCGCTAAAGCAATCATGTTGAGGACTTGAAGAGCTTGAAATCCAACTTTTTCATATCGCGCTGATTGGTCTCGGATGTACAAGAACAGAAGGAGCCCCGAGCAATGCCATCGGAAACGTCCAGGAAGAAAGCGAAGGTGGTTTAGGTCTCGGTTTGTGGTGTAGGTGGGATTTGGGTCGTTGGGGTCCGTCAATTGCCGTCGTGGGACTGGCAGTTCACTCTTCAGAAAGAGATCCCTTAGGTTACTCCACCTGCTGGCCGTCGAATGCCTCGAACTCCTGGTCACTTTCGTTAGGACCTCTCTCCCGTGTAGCCTTGTGGCCATCAACGAGTCGTTGGAGCTTTTTGCCGTCTTCTGCACCAAAAGTGCCTTCCTTGAAGAGGAAGATCTGTCGACACATGGGACACAAGCCTTTGGAAGTGTCCTGCTCGAGCCACTTCATAATACAGTGGAGGTGGAAGTTGTGGGAGCATCCTAAGCCGAGCACTATGGGACACCCGTCGCCAGGGTACTTGCAGTTGGGGCAGGTTCCGTCAAAAGACACCCGGCAAATGCCACACAACTCGTCCTCGTAGCCAGTTCCTGGGATGTCCCAGTGCCATGTGGAGAACGCGTGCCACTCGACGATCTCTACCTTCATGGATGTGGTGTGTTGTGGTGTTGTTGTCTAGGAGACCTTGTGGATGCGATTGGAGACTGGGGGAAGGGAGCTACCGGACGGTATTACTCTGCTTATGTGTGCTTCCGAAGGCTTTCACTGGGGTGGTGGTGTGTATTTGTTCTTCAAATGGTGATTCTGCCCCCGTCGGTGTGTTTCAAGTGGTGGTTTGTCCTTGTAGGCGTGTTTGTAGTGGTGATTCTGACGCTGAGTTTGAAGACTATTTGCAAGATCTGAGTCGCGACATCAAAACAGCGCGACCAGGCAGATACGTGGATGGAGAGGGACACACATGATAGAGCCAGCCGAAGTGGCAGTGGTCCAGGTGGTGGCTACAGTAGCTGGAGGACGATTTGGAAGTAATATGTTCAAGCTAGGAGAACAAGGTGGTAGACCAACCTGTCATATGGCTGCGAAACCAGGCTGGAGAGATGGAGGAAATTAAGTAATTAAGTGACTATAATTCAAAATTATCTTTTAATTGGGCATTGAAATCAAACAAGCAGCATACTACAGTCCTGTACTGATTTCTGCGAGATTTCCATGAAATAGGGTTAGAGAAATAAGTGGTGGGTGCAAGTTCTGTGAGTCAGTCACTACATGTTTCTGCAATAGTTCATGTATTTATTTTCATTATTATCCTGTATTTTTATGTTTTTGCACTTCTCGGAGATCGTTCGTTCTTTTCGATGTAATACCATTTAATCGAACCAATGCAGCTCATTTCTAGAACTATTTAATTCAATAGTTCCGTCATCTAATGGACAAAACTATTCAATTGTGTTCATAGTTCTGTCGCTTCTAATTGAAGTTATTCATCTCATTTAGAAGTTCAACTCATTGAAATAATATTCAATTAATAGCTTTATTTCATCGACAACACCGATGCTTAGTTAATAGTTCATCTCGTCGACACCATTCCTTTTTTAGTATCTCAATCTCTCACTTCCGGTACACCAACCCCTTGAAGATGTCGAACGAGTTCCCGTCTGGCTGCAAGTGCAAGATCTCGTGGTTACGGGTGTCCTCGGCAATCAATAAACCATAGTCGGGAGTGATCCCCTTGATCACACAGGTTCTGGGGTTGCCGTTACCCTCATCCACTACCACCCGCTGGTCGGAGTGGAACCATCTCTTGTAGTACAAGGGCAAGAAGGGCGACATGCCTGTCTTCAAAAACACACCAAAATACGAGTTCATGGTGTACATGAGCTTGGCAAGCAAGATCTCTGGTTCAATTGGGGCCAATGCAGGCTTGCCCTGGGAAGCCCTGATCTTGTTCAATTTCTCGAGCACGAGGTTCAACGAGGTGGTGGGGGCCGCGTTGGACACGTTGATGCCTCCACCCCACACCAAGTGGTAGTTGCCGTCGATGAACTGGGAGTTGATAATGGCTCCCGACACCTTGGCCCACTTCTGGTCGTCGCCCTCCACTGTAGAGTGGGTCTCGTCCTTGTCGCTGATTTTGTTGAAGTACTCGGGCTTTAAGATGTAGAGATCGTTAGGCCACTTGATTTTAACAGGCATATCCTCGTAGCCCACAGCCTGGCCAGGCTCCTCGCTGCCGTACCCGAAGATACTCTCCACGAACGCCAACCCGCCCAAGTACTGGAGCGTGACCACGTTGCTGGGGGTGTTGGCAGGGATCTTGAACAATACAGACGCTGCCAAAACTCCGTGGGGGTTGATCCACACATTTCCACCACGACCTCTGCCTGCCACCTGGGTGGTGGCAGTGAGCACGGTTCCTGTGGGCAACAGGCTGAGAAACCTGGGGTTCTTGTCCATTAAGGTGCTGGTGGAGCTGACCACCTCGCCGTAGCCTGTAATACGCCCAAACTGGCCAAAGTTGCCCTTGTAGAGACGGGTGAGATGGCCATAGTACGCTGCCAAATTGAAGTAGGGCGTGCTTTTGACAGTGGGCAATGCACCCAGTGTGAACACCTTGACGTGCTTCGCCACGGTGTCGGGGTCCTCGATGTCGTCGTTTTCGGTAAAGAAGTAGTCGTGGTCGTCCTCGTCCTCGCGGTGGAACACAAAGGTGTCGTTTTCGTCCTCCAAGGTGCTTCCGTTGTGCAAGTCGTTGTTTTCAGCGATCTTGATCATCACCTCGTTGATGGCGCCAGGGTCTGCGTGTGCACAGAGGAAGAGAGGCGTGATCTTGGGCACTGTCACGTCGATGTTGTCGTTGACACGCAACCCCAACTTCTTCAAGCACGACACCATGAACTGCTTTCTGTTTCTGTCGTTCTTGCCCACCACGCTGATGACGTTGGCAAACTTGGGGTCGCCCTCGTTGTTCTTCATCAACGCAGGCGTGAACTCGGGATGTGGTCCCGACAAGAGCACGTCACCCTTGCCGACTTTGCAGTACACCACGGCCGCCTTGTCTTCATCGTCGACGTCCACGTCCTCGGCGTAGGTAGCCAAAACCTCCACGTTTCTGTGCTTTTTGGCGTCGACGAACACCCCACCCCCGTTGTAGTACGTGTACACCGTCTTGGGCAGCTCAGGCAAGAGCTCGTTGTTCACAGACAACATCGACGCCCTGGCGCCCTTGTGCGACTCGTAGACAAACCCCTTGAAAGCACACCCCTTAACGGTGCCGGGGAAAAACCCCAACTCTCGGGAGCCAGACACCTCGAGAGGAGTTCCCTGCTCGAACTCGCATCTGGCACTGGAGTAGTAGGCACCAGCACAAATACCCATGTACTTTCCGCCCTTCTTGACGAACTGGGTGATTTTGCGGTTGCCCTCTCCATTCAACGAGTTGCAGTATGGCAAGTCAGCACCTCCTGGAATCACCAAGAGCGACGCCTTGTGCTGCCACGGGTCCCGCAAAAGCGCAGCTTCCGAGATGGAAACAACAGCATAGTATGGCGAGAGGTGGAGCTTCAAGGTCTCGATGCAGTGCTTGACGTTTTCGGTGGTGGCACCTGGCCCAGAGTATACCAAAACGTTCATGGTGTGCTTGGAAAAATATCGGATGGCGTGTAGGAAGACCACGGTGGAATTAAAAACACACTGACAGTCTCAGGCCAACAATCAGTTGTTGAACAGTGACTCAGGGTGACTCAAGTGAAAATTTTAGCCAAGTGCGGGTTTGCGAAGGCATATAAGCACTACCACCCCACACCATGGCATTAGTAGAGGCAGGAGAATCTATCGCCTTGGACCCTAGCCCTGGGTTCGTAGTCAAGACAAGGATCCTTGAGTCCAAGAAAGATTCGCTCGGCACCAAGGTGTTCATCAACGTGTGCCACGATGCCCAGGTACCCCAGCCACCAGTGGAGTTCGAGCCGTCGGTGGTGTTTCCGTTGATCATCGACAACCAGTGGGAGATCCCGCTCATCTTGTCGAGCGAGAAGGACACCACCGACAAGAAGGGGGTGGTTTCGCGGTTGTACGACTGCTGCATCAACACCACCTGTTTCCAGTGGTGCCAGATCAACGCAGACTTGCGGACCATCTTAATCGAGTGGTGCATCGAGGCAGTAGAGATGTTGTACGAGGTGACGTTGGAGCGGGAGTACACCATACCCAAGATGCTTTGCAAGGGCGAGCTCTCGCGGACCGTGGTCAGACAGGACGAGTTGACAGAAAACGGGTTCCAGAAGAGGCTACAGGAGTTGAAGAACAACGAGACGCTCGGATTGCTCCAGGAGCTCGACGGAGGGGACACAGACGAGCTGGAGGAGTTGCCAGACTTGATGAACGTGAGTGGGGAGCAGAGACGGCCCCTTATCGAGGAGTTGGGGGAGATGAAGATCAGCGAGGAGGTGCAGCAGGAAGGCCAGAATAAGGACCAGGAACAGCCTTACTCCAGCAAGATTCAGGAAGTGCAGAGTAAGGATCAGAATAATCACCTTTACGCCAGTAAGATCCAGGAAGTGCAGAGCAAGGGCCAGGGGATCTCCACCAGCAATAGCCAGGGAATTTCCACCACCAAAAGCCAGGATCCTTCCTCCACCACTCCTGCCACACCCCTCCACTACGAGCTCAACTACACTAAACTCTCCTCCACCTACCAATTACTCATCAAGCTCGTGTGCTCCCATATCAGTGCCCTCACTTTGGGCTACAGCACTACTAACCACTGCTTGGTGTTAACTCTCCATGACCCCTCCGTGTACTTCTCCAAAAAGTCCCCGCACGCCTTGGAGGTCCCTCTCCCTAACACCATCCACCTCCAGTCGGCTGCCGACGTCAAGTCCTACTGGGTGGGCGACACCCTCTACATCTTCTGTTAGGCAAAGTGTCTGGGACACTGCGCGGGGAGACAGCGGCGATTACTGAGAGCACTCCCGCGAGCATTTCCGCGAGACCACTGGGAAGGTTAGCGGTGAGAGTTGCACACATAGACACTACATAGCGTGAAAATTGGGCACTAGGGCGATGCGGCCCTAAATAGCGTGAATTGCACACATCCAGCAGGATCAGTATCAGGTAGATTACCATTACTACCAGCGAATTACTACCAGCGGACTACCTCCAGCGGACTACTGCCACCGAGAATTACCACCAAGAATTACCATGGTGGACTCTACATAGCATTAATTGGACATTGCATACTAATTGCACGCTCCCAGTCTCGGGACTACCTTTAGATAGCATAAGCACTACCAGCTCGGCACTAAGATAGCGTGAGACTGTTCAACGGCCCCAATCGGGCGCGCATCCGCGAACTCATTCCGCATTGAGATAACCGCCAGGCAATTCCGCCAGATTCCCACCAGTTATAACCCCATCTCCTCCCGCCTATTCGTCTATCGCTACCCATCATGAACGCAGAAGAACCCTTGTTGACAGGGGCTGTCGACTACGAGAACTATGACTCCTTGAACCAGGACTTGACCCAGGGTGGCAAGTACCAGGTCTCGGTCAAGTCCGAGTTCGTGTTCATCACCAAGTCGTCCATCCCGTTGGTTGCAACCTTTTTCTTGCAGTATTTGCTCTCAGTGACCTCCATCTATGCTGCAGGCAAACTTGGCCCCAAGGAGTTGGCAGCAGCGTCGCTAGGCGTGTGTACATTCAATATCACTGGTTTGGCTGTCTACCAAGGTATGGCCACCAGTTTGGACTCGTTGTGCTCCCAGGCGTATGGTTCAGGCAGAATCGAGAACGTGGGATTGTACTTCCAGAGATGTTCTATGATGATCTTGGCCATCACCATTTTCCCATTGTTTTTCATCTGGTGGTTCTCGGGCTTCCTCTTGGGCTTTGTCATCCCTGACGCCGAGTTGGTGGCCATGACCCAGACATTCTTGAGAATCTCCAGTTTTGGAGCTCCAGGCCTCTTGTTCTTCGAAACTGGTAAGAGATTCTTGCAAGCTCAGCACATCTTCAACGCAGGTACCTACGTGTTGTTGGTGATTGCTCCCTTGAACTTGACCATCAACTGGTTGTTGGTGTGGCACCCTGTCTACGGCTTAGGATTCATTGGTGCTCCAATCGCCATTTCCATCATTTTCTGGCTTACCTCCATCTTGATGTTGTGCTACGTCCTCTTCATCGACGGCAAGAAGTGCTGGGGAGGCTTGGACTTACAAAAGGCCTGCAGCAACTGGTCGCCCATGTTGAAGTTGGCTATTCCTGGTGTCATCATGGTCGAAGCCGAATACTTAGCATTCGAAGTTTTGACCATTTTCGCTGCTTCCTTCGGTACTGAGGCCTTGGCTGCCCAGTCCATCGCCTCGAATGTCGGCTCGCTCACCTTCCAATTGCCCTTCGCCATTGCCGTGTCCATCAGTACCAGAATCGGCCACCACGTCGGAAAGCAAGACGTCGAGGGTGCCAAGTTGGTCACCAGACTCTCTTACATCTTCGGAACCATCTCTGCCTTAACCAACTTCTCGCTTGTCTTCTTCGGCAGACACGCTCTCGGCAGATTGTTCACCTCTTCTGAAGAGGTGCTTAAGGTTTCCAACGTCATTTTGATCTTGCTGGCCATCAACCAACTCTGCGACTCCTACAACGTCTTAGGAGCCGGTGTGTTGCGTGGACAGGGAAGACAAAGAATTGGGTCCATTTTGAACTTGATCTCCTACTACGCCATTGCATTGCCCGTTGGATACGCATTGGCCTTCTACGGCAAGTTCGAGTTGAGGGGTTTGTGGTTCGGTTTGATTGCTGGTGTCTTCTTCTTGGCTGTGGCCGAGTTGGTGGCTATCGTTCGCAGTAACTGGAGACAGATCATGATAGACTCTCACGGTAGACATGACCATTAGACAGGTGGATAGATGTCTGCGAATTGGGGCATAAAAGGGGATCTAATTGATGAAAAATGTTAGAGCCCTATGAGTGCTCACATACCCACTGAAAAGTGTTAGAATCGATACATAACGCATATACTCAACATACAATACGTCCGAAGTTCTGTAGCCAGCATTAATCGTGCTGGAATAGTTGGCACACTTGGTGAATTTATTCTGCTTCAATACTGTGCAAATCTGTGAGGTCATATCCAAATTCCAATTCCACTGGATAATTGTAGCGGTAAATGGACTTCTGCAGACAGAAGTTAAAAAATATTAACATCTTGGAGATTATCAAATACTAACATTTAAATTCAGAATACTGTAGTTGGTAGAGGAGTAAAAGGAATTATTATCATTGGAGAAATATTTCAGATATAAAGACTGCGCTTACACGTTCAAATGTCCGTCCTCCACTGCAATTACTGCTCCAAAGGCCCCATCATTAACAGTAGTACAATTTATATATTAAATAACTACAAATCCATTGGGTAAAGCTGATCCAGGAAGGAAAAGACACGAGGTGGAGCTATAGCAAAATACGATACAATATTCATGATGGCATTTTTTACCATTCCATAGATAAAGATTTCCTGTATGCACTCCCCCAACGGCTGCAATCATCGCAAAAAAAAATTCTACTACAGACCATCATCACCATGCCTAGAAAATTCAACAAGAAGAACGCCCAGACGTTCAGCGTGGTCCACAGAGCCCACGACGATGCTTTGTACTATGACAACGACGCTTCCACCCACGTGCTTGTGCCTGCACCCTCCAAGTCCAAGCAGGGCCAGGCCCCCCCTCTCACCAAGAAGATATACTCTACACAAGAGTTAGCTCAGAAACTTGCTCCAGAAGAAGTCAAGGCCATCCGAGAAAATGAAGGATTGGCTGCTCAGTACGGAATCTATTTCGATGACTCCAAATACGATTACATGCAGCATTTGAGGCCAATTGGAGAGAGCGAAGATGGTGTGTTCATAGAGGCCAACAAGAAGGAAGAAAAGAAGAAGGTGGGAAACATCGAGGACCTCTTTCGTGACCAATTGCCATCCAAAGAGAAGAGAAAGATCAAGCTCGACGAGTTGGAGAACATTCCTAGTCAGCTCAAAGGGTTCAACCCAGACATGGACCCTAGATTAAGAGAGGTGTTGGAGGCTTTGGAGGATGAAGCATACATAGACAACGATGCTGCAGAGGAGGGGGACGATGTGTTTGCCGACTTGTTGCAATCGGGAGAGATCGACGAGGAAGACGAGGACTACTACGGATCAGAATACGACAATGACTACGATGAATGGGACATGGATAACTACGAAGATGAGTACAACGAGAAGTACAACTCCGACAACTACGAGGAGCAATACGAGGAGGCTGAGTTGCCCTACAACGAAGGCGAGGCCCCCGCAGAACTCGACACCACCGATGTCAAGCTCATAAATACCAACTGGCAAGACGACTTCATGAAGTTCAAGCATGCCACCAAGAATAAGACCAACGAGTGGGACTCGGACAACGAGGAGGAGGAAGAGGATGACGTGGTCGCCGAGTTGCCCAGCTTCAGCCAGACTGGCAAGTCGAAGAAATCCAAGAACAAATTGAGAAAGAAGAAGGGTGCGATGACAGACACCTCGTCGTTTTCGATGACGTCTTCTGCGTTGTTCAGAAGCGAGGGATTGACTCTTTTGGACGACAGATACGAGCAATTGGCCAAGAAGTTCGAGGAGGACGAAGAGCCAGAGGAGTACCAGCACTTCGACATGGGCAGCGAGAGACATGACCTTGAGTCCATGCTTGACGACTTCTTGGACAACTACGAGTTGGAAGGAGGAGGCAGAAAGTTGGTCAAGAAGAACGAGGACAGAGCCAAGCTCCAGGAGGCGGCAGATGCCGCTTCCAAGAGCAAGGTGGCCGCGCGCAGGAAGAAGGAGAGGGAGACAAGCGACCCATTGGGGCGCTTGGGGTCCAGCTTCGGCAAGATGAACCTCTAGACCCATCCTAAATAGCTCCACATCGATGGCCCGTCACGTGACACTTGTAGGGAAAATTTTTCTTGTCCACAACTAAGGGTGAGGGCGTGTGCGACGTATCTTCTAGACATCATTCGGAGGGTCTAGTGGCAGCATCAAACAACCATTCATCCGTGGTAGCCTGCTTTCGTCCTCTCTTCTCCGTACCACTCTCTTCCTAAGCGACCCCCCAGAAATTCCTTCTTTTTCCTCCTTCTGTCGCATCACTCCCGCTCGTCAAGATTAGGTCAGTCCATCGTATCTTTCTGGTTTTCTTTGTCCTTCTCATCAGTGCTTACTGCTTCATCCATTTAACTCATCCACAAATGTCCAGCAACCATCATTCGGTGTCCTCGGTGGCTCGCGTATACACCGACGTGTTATCCACCAAGCCACAGGTTTACTGGGACTACGACGACATAAACATCAAGTGGAACTCCCAGGAGAACTACGAAATCATCAAGAAGCTCGGACGAGGCAAGTACTCCGAGGTGTTCTTGGGCATTGACTTGGCCAAGAAAGACAAGGTGGTTATCAAGGTGTTGAAGCCCGTCAAGAGAAAGAAGATCAAGAGAGAAATCTCCATTTTGAAGAACTTGGTGGGTGGTCCCAACATCATCGAGTTGCTCGACATCGTCAGAGAGCCCCAGTCCAAGACCCCAGGGTTGATTTTCGAACACATCGACAACATAGACTTCAGAACCTTGTACCCAACATTCACTGACTACGACATCAGGTACTACATGTACGAGTTGTTGAAGGCCTTAGACTATTCCCACTCCATGGGAATCATGCATAGAGACGTCAAGCCTCACAACGTCATGATCGATCACGAGAAGAAGTCCTTGAGATTGATAGATTGGGGCTTGGCAGAATACTACCATCCCGGCACCGAATACAACGTGAGAGTGGCATCCAGATATTTCAAGGGTCCAGAATTGTTAGTGGACTTCAGATTGTACGACTATTCATTGGATTTGTGGTCATACGGGTGTATGTTGGCATCCATGGTGTTCATGAAGGAACCTTTTTTCCATGGAAAATCCAACACTGACCAATTGGTTCAAATCGTCAGAGTTTTGGGATCCTCGAGCTTGAACGAGTACCTTGAGAAGTATAGCTTGAAGTTGAGCGAAGAATACGAAGATTTGGGATATTATAATAGAAGACCATGGGAAAGATTCATCAATGAGAATAATAAGCATCTCGTATCCAAGGACTTCCTTGATTTCATTGACAAGTTATTGAGATACGACCATCAAGAAAGATTGACCGCAAAGGAAGCTATGGAGCATAGCTACTTTGACTTGGTCAGAGAAAGAAGTTAGTATGTGTATAATAAGTGACCATATAGGCCTGAGGTCAAGGTAGTAATATAATGGTTGGCAATGAATGCCAAATCAGGACGACTTGATAGAATGTAGCCCGAACAATGGAGCGAGGGACAGTTGATATGAATATATTCTTTCTCAATAATAGCCTAGAAATATTAGAACCAATACGAGGGATCTAACAGATCGTGTAAATATTGTTCTCGTCAGCAACACTGGGGAGAGCAATAGCGACAAGAATTCCCATAAAAAACGCCTGGTCAACACACTGATATTGCATTGGTAGCACTGTAAGGTTTATTCTTGGTGGAAAACATGAATCCGAACAAACCTATCCAGAAATACTACTTTCGTTCCCTGTGAATTCTATGATACCTGTAAAAAGTACTGAAATTTTCCTGATCCAGTGGATATTGCAAGGTTGTGTTGAAATCTATTCACTTGAAATCCTGATATTGTCGCATATCTAGATCTTAACAAGAGATATTTGTCAATAAATTGTAAAATTTTGATAAATTCACGGCAAATTAATCTGGCCTTAAAAGCCAAAGAACACAAGTATCAGCACGTTCACTACTCGCTACCAGCCGGTATCAGGGCCCAATGGCCATGGCCATGGCCAAGGCCCCAACTACAATTACCAATCTGGCGCATTATTGCAAAAAAATACATGCAGGAAAACTTCGATCACTTTCTAGAATCTTACCTGGCCGATTAGTATAAGACTTGCAAAGGAAAGCACCAATTACAACGCCATACTTCATACCATGTCAGCTACACGCTCCAAAGTCTTTTTCGATATAACCGCCAATGGCGAGCCAAAGGGTAGAATCGCCTTTGAATTGTACAACGATGTTGTGCCAAAGACCGCTGAAAACTTCAGGGCGTTAAGTACCGGTGAAAAAGGCGCCAGCAATGTGTCTGGAAAGCCTCTCCACTACAAGGGCTCCAAGTTCCATCGTGTGATCAAGGACTTCATGTGTCAAGGTGGAGACTTCACCCACGGAAGTGGGATTGGTGGCGAGTCCATCTATGGCGAGAAGTTCGAAGATGAGAACTTCAAGCTTCTTCACGACAAACCATTCTTGTTGTCGATGGCCAACGCTGGCCCAAATACCAACGGATCGCAGTTCTTTATCACCACTGTGCCTACTCCCCATTTGAACTCCAAGCACGTTGTGTTCGGTGAAGTGATACAGGGTAAGTCTATTGTGAGACAGTTGGAAAGATGCGAAAAGGGTGCCAGCGATGCTCCTGTCCAGGAGTGGATCATTGCTGACTGTGGTGAGTTGCCAAGTGACTACGTCCCAGAAGCTAGCGCAGGTGTCGACGACGGCACTGGCGATGTCTACGAGGACGTTTTGGGCGACAACGACACCATTGACGTGAACAGCCCCCAATCCGTGTTCACAGCCGTGACTAGCTTGAAGGACATCGGAACCAAATTGTTGAAAGAAGGCAAGCTCGAGTTATCGTTGGCCAAGTACAACAAGGCATCAGGCTTCTTGGAGGAGTACTTTCCTGACGACTTGTCCAAGGAAGACTTGTCGACTTTGTACAGCATCAAGTTGGCCTGCTACTTGAACGCAGCCTTGGTGGGGTTGAAGTTGAAGAACGGCAAGGCCACCATCAAGGCTGCGTCCAGCGCATTGGAGGTGGAGGAGATCGACGACAAATCCAAGGCCAAGGCCCTCTACCGTAAGGGAATGGGCTACTTGCTTGCCAAGGACGAAGAGAGCGCCCAAAAGAACTTGGAGGAGGCGCTTGAAATCCAGCCCAACGACGCTGCCATTCTCCAGGGGTTGAAGGACGTCAAGAACACCATCAAGGTGCGTCGCGAAAAGCAGAAGAAGGCCATGTCCAAGTTCTTCTCTTGATCGGCTCTTCATACATAGATCAAGTGAGTAAATACAACGAAGTTAAGACTACGATCTGTCACGAAGGCAATTTTATTACCAGTTATACTGCTGGGGGATATGGTTTCTCCATCGAGGTCCTTTCAAATACAGCTGTAAGTATAGTAGTCCACTAACTGGTACTTCCAATTCAACTACTGTAAGAGTATATAATTCACCATCTAACTGCTACTACACCACTATTCAACCACTGGAAGTTCCCACCACCAACTGATTATGCCTTCAAAAATACTTTCAGTCCATATACTCAATCCACTGGTATGCATTCCCAAATTTCTAGGACATCCACTAATTGAAACTCCCAACTTCAACTACACCCACTGAAAGTACTACTCCACAATTTACGTAAGCACCAGCCCCACAGTTACGCTACGCTCGCACTCCCCACCAGGTTTGCGGCGCTCCCAGCGTAATTTGCAGTCCGCTTTTTTCCTCTTTTTTTCACGTCGCCACTCACGCTGAAAAATCCAATCCCCAATCAAAACACCCTTTATCGGTATCCTTACCTACAATCCATCACCGATTACCATCCCTAAACATTCCTAGACGTCACGGGTCCTAAGTAGTGTGCTTCAACAGTTATTTAGTTAGGAAAGGTTTAGAGAAACCCCAGCATCAGATACTTTTCCATCAGTCCCAAGTATCAACCAACCCGAGAATTTATCAGCACTCATTTATTTGATTGTTCACCCAGTTAATCCAGCACCATCTGAACGGGGATAGATTTTCATTCATTGTATCATAACTGTTTCATTTCACAAGTAAAATTTTTATAAAAAAAACCAAAAATATAATCGTTGATTAGTTGTATCAATATGAGTCGTCAATTTCCTTATTCCAGCGCACCACTCCGTGCAGTGAAGGAAGTAAGTAACGAGCAGAAGCCCCATGACTTGTCTGGACGAATTACTAACTATTTAGGTTCAATTTGGGTTGTTATCCCCTGAGGAGGTTCGTGCCATATCGGTGGCCAAAATCGAGTACCCCGAGACCATGGATCAAGCCACCAAAAAGCCAAGAGAGGGAGGTTTGAATGATCCAAGATTGGGTTCGATTGACCGTAATTTCAAGTGTCAAACCTGTGGAGAAGACATGGCAGAATGCCCAGGTCATTTCGGTCACATCGAGTTGGCCAAACCAGTGTTCCATATTGGTTTCATTGCCAAGATCAAGAAAGTTTGTGAGTGTGTGTGTATGCATTGTGGTAAATTGTTGTTGGATGAAACCAACTTAGCCATGTCACAGGCAATCAAGATTAGAGACCCTAAAAAGAGATTCAATGCGGTGTGGAATGTGTGTAAAACCAAGATGGTTTGTGAAACCGATAACTCGGAAGAAGAAAATACCGATACCCCCAAAAGAGGTGGCTGTGGTCACACGCAACCCACCATCCGTAGAGATGGTTTGAAATTATGGGGTACCTGGAAGCACAACAAAAACTTTGACGAAAACGATCAACCAGAACGTCGTTTATTGACTCCTTCCGAAATTTTAAACGTTTTGAAACATATAAATTCTGAAGACTGTTTTAGATTGGGTTTTAACGAAGACTATGCTAGACCAGAATGGATGTTGATCACCGTCTTGCCAGTTCCACCACCACCAGTTAGACCTTCTATTGCATTTAACGATACTGCCAGAGGTGAAGATGATTTGACTTTCAAGTTAGCAGATGTTCTTAAAGCCAATATTAATGTCCAAAAATTGGAGATGGATGGTTCTCCTCAGCACGTTATTAGTGAGTTTGAAGCTTTGCTTCAATTCCACGTCGCCACTTATATGGATAACGATATTGCAGGTCAACCACAAGCTCTTCAAAAGACTGGTCGTCCAATCAAGTCCATTAGAGCTAGATTGAAGGGTAAGGAAGGTAGATTGAGAGGTAACTTGATGGGTAAACGTGTGGATTTCTCCGCTCGTACTGTCATTTCAGGTGACCCCAATCTTGACTTGGATCAAGTTGGTGTCCCAATTTCTATTGCAAGAACTTTATCATATCCTGAAGTCGTCACCCCTTACAATATTCATAAGTTGACTGAGTATGTCAGAAACGGTCCTAATGAACACCCAGGTGCCAAATATGTTATAAGAGATACTGGTGATCGTATAGATTTAAGATATAACAAAAGAGCAGGTGACATTGCTTTGCAATACGGCTGGAAGGTTGAACGTCATTTGATGGACGATGATCCAGTGTTGTTCAACCGTCAACCATCTTTGCATAAAATGTCTATGATGGCCCACAGAGTGAAGGTTATGCCTTATTCCACTTTCAGATTGAACTTATCGGTTACTTCTCCTTATAATGCCGATTTCGATGGTGATGAAATGAACTTGCACGTTCCTCAGTCCCCCGAAACCAGAGCAGAATTATCAGAAATTTGTGCAGTTCCATTACAGATTGTTTCACCTCAATCGAATAAACCAGTCATGGGTATTGTGCAAGATACCTTGTGTGGTGTCCGTAAGATGACCTTGCGTGATATTTTCATTGAATATGATCAAGTCATGAACATGTGTTACTGGATCCCTAACTGGGATGGTGTGATTCCTCCACCAGCAGTGATAAAGCCAAAGCCTTTATGGACTGGTAAGCAGTTGTTATCCATGGCTATTCCAAAGGGTATTCACTTGCAAAGATTCGACGGAGGAAAAGACTTATTGAGTCCTACTGACACCGGTATGCTTATTGTTGATGGTGAAATCATGTTTGGTGTGGTTGACAAAAAGACCGTCGGTGCTACCGGTGGTGGTTTAATTCACACCGTCATGAGAGAAAAAGGACCACAAGTTTGTGCCAAATTGTTCAGTGCAATTCAAAAGGTTGTTAACTACTGGTTATTACACAATGGATTTTCTATTGGTATTGGGGATACCATTGCTGATTCAAGTACTATGAACACAGTTACCACTACTATTCAAGAAGCCAAGGACAAGGTGCAAGAGATCATTTTGGCTGCTCAACAGAACAAATTAGAGCCAGAACCAGGTATGACATTAAGAGAATCCTTCGAGCACAATGTTTCTCGTGTTTTGAATCAAGCGCGTGATACTGCTGGTCGTTCCGCTGAAATGAATTTGAAAGACTTGAACAATGTGAAGCAAATGGTGGTTTCAGGTTCTAAGGGTTCTTTTATTAATATTTCTCAAATGTCTGCTTGTGTGGGTCAACAGATTGTGGAAGGTAAGAGAATTCCTTTCGGTTTCGCTGACCGTTCGTTACCTCATTTCACTAAGGATGATTACTCTCCAGAATCTAAGGGCTTCGTCGAAAACTCTTACTTGAGAGGTTTGACACCTCAAGAGTTCTTCTTCCACGCTATGGCTGGTAGAGAAGGTCTTATTGATACCGCTGTCAAGACAGCCGAAACTGGTTACATTCAACGTCGTTTGGTCAAGGCCTTGGAGGACATTATGGTTCACTATGATGGTACCACTAGAAACTCTTTGGGTGATATTATTCAATTCGTCTATGGTGAAGACGGTATTGATGGTACCCAGGTCGAAAAGCAATCCGTTGACACCATTCCAGGTTCAGATGCTAACTTTGAACGTCGTTACCGTATCGACTTGTTAGATCCATCGAAGACAATCTCTGATTCTTTGTTGGAATCTGGTAAAGAGATCAAGGGTGACGTCAAATTGCAAAAGGTTTTGGATGAAGAGTACTCTCAATTGCTTGAGGATCGTGCCTACTTGAGAAATGTTTGCTTTCCTAATGGTGACTTTAGTTGGCCATTACCAGTTAACTTGCGTCGTATTATTCAAAATGCTCAGCAGATTTTCCAAAGTGGCCGTCATAAGGCATCTGATTTGCGCTTGGATGAAATCATTACCGGTGTCCAAGAGCTTTGTACCAAGTTATGGGTTATCCGTGGTGAAACTGAATTACACAAAGAAGCACAAGCTAATGCAACTTTGTTATTCCAGTGTTTGGTTCGTTCCAGACTTGCTACTCGTCGTGTGATCGAAGAGTTCAAGTTGAACAGATCTTCCTTTGAATGGGTTGTTGGTGAAATTGAAGCTCAATTCCAGAAGTCCATTGTCCATCCTGGTGAAATGGTCGGTGTGATTGCTGCTCAATCTATTGGTGAACCTGCCACCCAGATGACTTTGAACACTTTCCATTATGCCGGTGTTTCTTCTAAGAACGTCACTTTGGGTGTTCCTCGTCTTAAGGAAATTCTTAACGTTGCAAAGAACATTAAGACTCCAGCTCTTACCGTCTACTTGAAGACTGACATTGCTGCTGACATTGAAAAGGCTAAGGTTGTCCAATCTGCTATCGAGCACACTAGTTTGAAAAACGTCACATCATCGACTGAAATTTTCTATGACCCAGATCCAAGAACTACTGTTATCGATGAAGATTACGATACCGTTGAGGCCTACTTCGCCATTCCTGATGAAAAGGTTGAAGAATCTATTGAAAAGCAATCTCCATGGTTACTTCGTCTTGAATTGGATCGTGCAAAGATGTTGGATAAGCAATTGACAATGGCTCAAGTTGCCGAGAAGATTTCTGAAAACTTCGGAGAAGATTTGTTCGTTATCTGGTCTGACGATACAGCCGACAAATTGATCATTCGTTGTCGTGTTGTCCGTGATCCTAAATCGTTGGATGAAGATGCTGATGCCGAAGAAGATCAAATTTTGAAGCGTATCGAAGCTCACATGCTTGAGTCCATCTCATTGCGTGGTATTCCAGGTATTACCAGGGTTTTCATGATGCAACATAAGGTGACTGCACCTGATGAGACTGGTGAATATACTCAAGGTAAAGAATGGGTTTTGGAAACCGACGGTGTTAACTTGGCTGATGTTATGGCAGTTCCAGGTGTCGACTCCAGCCGTACTTACTCCAATAACTTTATTGAAATTCTTTCAGTATTAGGTATTGAAGCCACTCGTTCCGCCTTGTTTAAGGAAATTCTTAATGTGCTTTCTTTCGATGGTTCGTATGTTAACTATCGTCATATGGCTTTATTGGTCGATGTTATGACTTCTCGTGGTCACTTGATGGCTATTACCCGTCATGGTATCAACAGATCTGATACTGGTGCATTGATGCGTTGTTCTTTCGAAGAAACTGTTGAAATTTTGCTTGAAGCAGGTTCTGCAGCTGAATTGGATGATTGTCGTGGTATTTCTGAGAACGTCATGTTGGGTCAAATGGCACCATTAGGAACTGGTGCTTTTGATGTTATGGTTGATGACAAGATGTTGCAAACTGCTCCTTCAAACATTGCTGTTGCCAACGGTGATGATTATGCTGATGATGGTGGTGCTACTCCTTACAGAGATTATGACATGGAAGATGATAAAATTCAATTTGAAGAGGGTGCTGGATTCTCACCAATCCACACTGCACCTACTTCAGATGGTGCTGGAGGTCTCACTTCTTACGGTGGTCAACCTACTTCTCCATCTCCAACATCTCCATTCAGTTACGGAGCAACCTCACCCACTTTTGGAGGAGCTACGTCGCCAGGCTATGGTGGTACCTCACCTTCATACTCACCAACCTCCCCATCGTACTCACCAACTTCCCCATCATACTCACCAACTTCACCATCTTATTCACCAACTTCACCATCTTATTCACCAACATCTCCATCATACTCCCCAACCTCCCCATCATACTCCCCAACCTCCCCATCGTACTCCCCAACTTCACCATCATATTCACCAACCTCCCCATCATACTCCCCAACCTCACCATCATACTCCCCAACATCTCCATCATACTCCCCAACCTCCCCATCGTACTCCCCTACTTCCCCATCTTACTCCCCAACCTCCCCATCTTATTCACCAACCTCACCTTCCTACTCACCAACCTCACCATCATACTCACCAACATCTCCATCTTACTCCCCAACCTCCCCATCTTACTCCCCAACCTCTCCATCTTATTCACCAACCTCTCCATCCTACTCACCAACCTCACCATCTTACTCCCCAACTTCCCCATCTTACTCCCCAACATCTCCATCTTACTCACCAACCTCCCCTCAATACTCCCCAGGTTCTCCAGAGTATTCGCCTTCTTCCCCAAAGAAGGATAAGGAAGAGAAGAAGTGATTTACATGGAATGATTGGTAAAATCACTCAATTTTTGTATCTTATTTTACTAAGTATCTTATAAAGCCCTACAAACTTAATAAACAATATCGAAATCGAAACTATTGTAGAAAAATTGGATAGTTCATAATAGCTTTGTTGGACCCAATCTTCATTATTACCAAACAAGGATGAATTATGCTCGCAACGGAAATTCTCCCGAACCTTGAACGATTCATTTGATATTCGAAGATTGGAACTATTAAAAAAAGTGAGTCATCGTAACGAAAAGGATTTTTGATGGTGACCAAAGGAAATATTGATTTGGGTAGAATACAAAAATGCCATTCGCTGGCCAGCAAGATTTTGGTTATTAGTACCGCATATGTGTAGATGCAATCAGATTATTTTGTGTATCGGTCTAATATTTTCCGGCTTATTCACAAGTGACAAGTCTGTGCGTACTAAAGTTAAATTATCGGCTATAGGAGAACGAACAATTATTATTTAAAGATATAGGTTATGAGAAACGACCCCTAGAACCCCTATCATACTTCAAAAGTGTGAAGTAGAGCTCACTTTGTATTCTCCTAGCTGGTAATAACTAATTGTAGTATTAGCTCTAAAATTTTCACTGTCTACATTAGCCTATATTCTCCGAGCAAGTGATTTAAATAGTTTCAATACCGACTGCGAAGTTTGTAAATTATGCCCCCTCATTGAATCATTGAATCTACATAGGACTATCCACGTATTGTTCTCCTAGCATTCGTATATTATGTTTAGTCTTTTATTAGATCTTACTGGTAACCTTATTTAATTATTTATTATTTAACGAAAAATAAAGCATTGCACAGTTGAGTACGGAGATAGGACCAAGTTCCACGCCTTTCTGGTTCTGATGAGCTTTACTTATTTTCAAGGTATGGTTATGCTCTGCTGAGAATATGTAATAAAAATGTGTTCTAGAATACTTTTTCTATGTCAATTGCCAACGACTATACGACCAAATCGTTTTGAGGTCCAACTCTTTGTGGAATGTCACAGCGATCAAAAAATGTTGTATGGGTAATATGATTAATACTCAGTCAAGGTGATCTTTGTTTCAATCATCTACGATACTTGAAGATAATGAGTGGATGCAGTATTGGCTAGATTTAGAACCATAGACTATAATTCAATACGCATGGAAGCGGACTAATTCCTCACAGAGACGACGAGCTGTAAAGAAATTTTTATTCAAAAGATCTATACATCTTCCCTTTATTAAGTGCAAGGTACCTCGGGCATAGTTAAAGCTGAATTTATGCCTCCATCCATCTCTACACTTCAGATATAGTTTTTGCGAACCGGCATGAATCACACACTGGTAGTAATTTCTTCGCGGGCAGTACCAGCGGGCGAGGCTAAATTTCAATAATTCTCCGCAAGTTTATCTACGCAATACATGAACCCAAACTTAACTTCCTCTGGCTATCAAAGAAATCCCGTTCTTCCGTGTCGACTCAATGTTGCCCGTACTCCAGTCCAATCTAATAGCCTGCCTTTACAGTTCAATTGGTGTTAGCGATGAGATTTGTGGTGCGCATCCCAATCAAAAAATCCAATCTCATCGAGTCTTCTCCACACAATGTCAGGCTCAAACAAGAATGGGACCAACAAGAATGGAGGCCTAGAGAAGGGATCCAGTGTTCCTCCCAAGAAGGAAGCGACGGGGTCCTTGAAGGATATGGAGAGAAAGCGTCGTCAGGTGTTTAAACCCGTGCTTGATAACCCTTTCACTCAATCCAGCTTATGGCCCTTCGTGGAGCCCGAGATAGCTGGCACGATTGTGGACTCATTGAGTGCTATCCTCTCAGGGTTGGGATCATACAACAGAACAGTGCAGGAAGCAGCCAGGCTAGACAAAGGGAGCAAACAGACCCCTCCCGAACCGGAAATCAAACAGCACATCACCATCGGTTTCAATTCCACCGTCGAAGCATTGGAGAAGCAGGCTTCCATTCATAGACATCGACTTACTACCAAAAAGCACAAGCCTGGCAAACAGGGACGGTACTTGAAGTATGTGTTTGTGACCAAGTATGACATCACACCAGCCGTTTTGACCAACCATTTTCCAGTTTTGGCGTTCACGGCATCTTCGAGCACGGAAAATAAGGTGAAACTCGTGCAGTTGCCCAGAGGAAGCATGGCAAAGTTGTCGGAGGTTCTTCACATGGAAAACACTGGCATTTTGGGTTTTGAAGCACACATAAAAGAGGCCCAATTTTTGTTCAAATACGTGGATGAGCATATCAAGGACGTAGAAGTACCCTGGTTGGACGGTCTCTTCGACCCAGATAATGGCGACTTCTTCTCGAAGCCGGCGTTGAGTTTCCTCAGCACTTCCGCCCCAATATTGCCCAAAAAGAACGACCAGAAGGCGAAGAAAAAACAGGCCACAACCCTGGAGCCTCCCAAGCCAACGGAGGATAATAAGAAGCAGAAGCCCGACTCCTGAGTCCCCCAGCATGTACCATAACCCCAATATATCTGGATCATACCCGATCACGTGACCCACACGACGCGTATAAAAATTCTATCCTCTGTAGTTTGCAGCACCAACCATGTCCAACTACGCCCTCTCCCTTGAGTTACCCTGGGTGGAAAAGTACCGTCCCCACAAGCTCGACGATATAGTGGGAAATGAAGAAACCATCGAAAGACTCAAGTTGATAGTGCAGGATGGTAATGTCCCCCATATGATCATATCAGGGTTACCAGGTATTGGTAAGACTACCTCCATACATTGTTTAGCATACGAATTGCTTGGGCCTGAACTTTACCAGCAAGCCACCTTGGAGTTGAATGCATCGGATGAAAGAGGTATTGATGTGGTAAGGAATAAAGTCAAGCAATTTGCCCAGACAAAGATCTCGTTACCACCAGGCAGACACAAGATTATCATCTTGGACGAAGCGGACTCCATGACTCCTGGTGCCCAACAGGCATTGAGAAGAACTATGGAAATCTATTCCAATACCACCAGATTTGCATTTGCTTGCAACCAGTCGCTGAAAATCATCGAGCCATTACAGTCTAGATGTGCGATCTTGAGGTACAACAAGTTGGCCGACGACCAGGTTTTGGCTAGGCTCTTGGAGATCACAGAGGCTGAAAAGGTACAGTACAACAGTGAAGGGTTGCAAGCATTGGTGTTCACCGCTGAAGGTGACATGAGACAAGCAATCAACAATTTACAAAGTACCGTGTCAGGTTTCGGGTTTGTCAACGATGTCAACGTCTTTAAAATCGTCGACCAGCCACATCCTTTGGTGATCAAGAAGATCTTATTGAGCTGTACAAATGCCAAAAACATAGATGAAGCCATCGATTTGTTGGACACCTTGTGGAACAAGGGATACTCTGCCATCGATATTGTCACACTGACTTTCAAGGTTGCAAAGACATTGCCAGGTATAAACGAAAGCAAGCGGTTGGATATGATCAAGGAAATTGGATTCGTTCACATGAGAGTTCTTGAAGGTGTCTCAACCTACTTACAATTATGTGGTTTGTTTGCCAAAATATGCGATTTAGCCTAGTCTAATGTATGTAAATCAAATGTAACATAATCAATATTGTACACTTGCTTGATAGATGATCGTAGGATTTTTAACGCATTGTATGAGCTTGAAGAATAGAGCTGACTAAATTCGGTACACAAGGAATGAACTATCCTATTCTTCATCAGTGCTTATAAGCATTGCACAATGTCTCAAAGTGTTGCACCTGCTCCTCGATGATACCCCCAGACTCTGCTTCTTCTTTCTTCTTATTTTCCCCAAGCTCGTTCTTCAAAATGCTAACTACCAAAAAGTAATTGTTGTAGAGGAATATTTCCTTTTCTGTAGTCTTTGTCTTTCCAGTACCAAAGAAATGGTTGCTTAGCTTTGTTAGCAAGTTTTCGAAGTCATTTTTGAGTCTGTTTATCGAAATAAACAATGGTTCTCCTTTGAAATCCTTGTTTCCATCCTTATTATTAGCTAAGGATAATTTCAAAAGACCCAGCACGAACTGAGAAAATTGTTGTGTCACGCCCACTGGGGCTAAATTGGATTCTTTGGTGGTTCTCAAAATAGTTTTCTTCAACGCTTCACAATTTAAATCAATAATCTTGGTGAAGTGTGGCCATAAAATAAGAAGGATTGAGTTCAAATAGTCGTCAAGAATAGGAATATGGAATTCGTTATGCATTAAAGATTGGGAATGTTGGGCCATACGGATCATCAAAAGAATTCCGAATGCGTCACAAGTGCCATGGTTAACCGAGGTCATGTTGGATCTGGCCGCCGTAGCAGATGCGTTGGTGCCTTTATTGGAAACAGGGGCATGAGTGATAAGCCAATTGACGAATTCCCTACCCATCTTGAACACCCCATCAAACATGACGTGGGACCATTCGTGCTTGGTGCTTGAGGTATTGTCATTTGTAGTTTTTGGATGATTGACCTCATCAAACTTTTCACTTCCTTGGTAAAAGAAGTCGACCATGAATAGATATTCCACCACAAGGTTGTCCACCAAAGCGATGGACCACTGGTTGTAGACGAATTCAATCCAGTATGCAAACGGAGTGGTTTCTGCGATCTGGGATGGAATTGCTGCTTGGGGTTCCAATGACTTTCTGTCTTCTAGTATTTGCAATCGTTTGTCAATAGACAGCAAGTAGTCGTTCATGGTGACTTGGTTGGTGGGTCCGTGAGGACTTGCTTTCTGTAAATTGGAGCTGGTGGAGCTGGAGAGCCATCCCTTGAGTCCTGATCCAAATATTCCTTTGTCTTCGTTGCCTGCTCCTCCAAGCACCAAGTTCTGGTCAATGTGACGAACGTTCAAGTTTTCCAACGCATAGATATACTTTGCGAACCGGGTTTGGTAGTACCATCTCATCGTGTAGATATAGGCCTGCTTGAGCTGGCTGGCCAACTCAGCGTGATGGGTCTGCAAGAAGATGTAGGCGTCTCTGATCTGGAGGAGGTTTTGCTGGATGGTCTGGGAGGAAACCTTTGTGGAGGATCTCAAAAGCTTGATCTGGCTGATGATGTAGTCCCTTATACGCTCGATGGCCTTCTGGATCAACAATTGGACACCTGCTTCCAACTGGCGCAATGCCACCGAGTCCTTGTATGCATCGATGAGGGGATTTTGCTCGCTATTCCCATCATGTATTCCTGCGATCAACTGGAGCTTCTCGTTGATGAACTTGATGTTCTCGACCCACTTGGCGTCCACGTCGTCGTGCACGAGCGATCTGACCACCTCTGGCGAGATTATAAGGTCCAAGATGATGGGATTCAAACGGTCAGTGGTGGTTCTGCTGACCGAAGAGTCTGACGAGAGCTGGCTGGATTTCTCGTGAAGCGACACCAAGCTGGACGAGAGGTGGTCAAGCTCGCTGCTGAAACTGGTAAGAATGGTGTCGATAGGTACCAACTTCTGTCTGTGGATGCGGATGCTGTGCTTGTAGTTCTCGTACTTGGAGATCAACCGCACGAGCTCGTCCTGCGAGAGCACAGGGAGGTCGCCTGTGGTGGAAAGCGTGGCGCCAGCACGGAGCAGTTCCAAGAGGCCGTGGCTGGCATGGTCGTTTTGGCCAAAGTACGATATGACAGTGTCGAGTGGGACAAAGGGTGTAGGCTGGGGGGAATCCAACGGAAAGATGGTTTTAAGTTTGTCCAACGCCGACATGGGATAGTGGAGGTGGTGAAGGGTGGTGGACAATGGCGGAGAATTGACGACGCTGTAGAATTGATGCAGTAGAATGGACTGGTTCTTATTGTCTGTTCTCCAGTTTTTCTCACTTTTCAGACACAACCGCAGCAGCTATAGCCAGTGCCAATGCCATGCTAGACCACATAGACGTCCTGGGCCCAATCAGAGGCCCATCACAGGGCCCCCGCGAGCCACTCCAGCGATCTCCCGAAGCAGGCACCTTTCAGACCCTTGAAACACCCCGTTTGCTCGAGGCATCCGATTCGCAACTAGCCATCATCCACCACCCTCCATCACCAAACGAGCTCTTATCGGTCCAAGCAGGCCCTGGAAGTGGCAAGACTTGGACCCTCGTCAACAGAGTGGCCTACATGGTCGAAAAGGGCGGAATTCTACCCGAAGAGATCTTGATTCTATCGATGACAAACCGTGCCGTCAACTCGCTCAGAGATGCGTTGGCAGGGTTGTTGGGCAGTGTACTGGCCCGTGAGATCGAAGTGTGTACTTTCCACTCATGGTGTGCCAACGTGGTGGATCAGTACGAGTCGGTGTACTTTCCTCAGAACCCAAAGCGTCGCCTAATGGACGACCTCAGCTGGCGAAACTTCTCCAACATCTTCCTGGGCAAAACCATCGGCATTAACGGCAAGACGTTGAAGGGGAATTTGACGGCATTTACCCTCGAACGAATCCTCAACGAAATCAAGAGCGGGGAGTCCGACATCGCTACCGCATCCACGAAGCACAACGTCAGTCCCGAGTACTTGGATGAGCTCTTGCAATTCTTGACCAAGAACGGCATCATGCGCTACCAGGACTTCTTGATAAATGCCTTGGCCATCATGAAAAAGTCGGTGGCTGACCATAACTTGATTCCACGGGTGCACAACTACAAAATGGTGTTGGTGGACGAGTTTCAAGACATGCATTTCCTGTTGATGTCTGCCGTCAAGGAAATCGTCCACTATCCCACTGAAGGGCAGGCCCAGGGAACTCTCAAGCATTTGACACTCGCCGGAGACAAGCATCAGTGCATCTATGAGTTTTTGGGATCCAAACCCGATATAGACTTGGCCACTGAATTCCCAAAATATCACATCACCCACAAAACCATCGAGGAGACCTTCCGCTTGACGCCAGAGATCTTGGATGCCTCTCGCAATGTGGCATTGGGGTCCAATGGGTTGTTGAACCAGTCGGATGTGGCCCTCAAGTCCAACCGAGATCCGCTTTACAAACCCATCACCTATGATCCAGCGACAAGATTCAGCGAATACGAGTTTGTTCTCAAGGAAACGTCCAGGCTTATCCTCGAGCTGGGTGGTCTTTTCAAGCTCTCGGATATTTTGGTGTTGGGACGTGCCAACAAGGATGTGGAAGAATTCCAGTCGTATGCTGAAAAGTTCGGATTCCATTGCAACAAGTTCACCCTGACGGTTCCCTGGGTCAAGGGAAAGACACACATCTTCCTTGACATGCTTAATGTGATCCACAACGGTACAGGCTCTGAATTGAACTGGTTGTGCCTTATTTTGTTACTAGACAAAAAGGTCGGTTCTCGACTTCGGGTGTCGAAATTGTTCAACTTGTTCAATGTCTCGAAATTGCCCCAGCTGGCCCCAGGGAGCAGCAACGGCGGGATGGAGGCGTTCTTGCGGGAAGAAGTAGAGAATTTTGGGGTTTCGGTGTCGAAGAAACAAAAGAGCCTTTCCACCATTTACAAAATGCCCGAGCACAAAGAAACGGTTCGGTCGTTGCAAAAATTACTAGTGTCGGTGGACAAAGAAAGGCAGTTTCTTGCCCACAGCCAGACCCCAACCCGGGTCTTGGAGAGCTTGTCGCGGATGGCGGTGGAGCTGGGATTGGTGCACCATCTAAATCTGGCGGACCCTGTCCTCCACGGCTCCACCACCCTCCACCAGCAAATGGCCCAGGCCGCAAAAAAGTTGGAATTTGACATCTGCTCGTTTTTTGACTCATTGTGCCATGCCCACGAAAATTACGTTTCGGAGCCAGGCAGCGAGCTGTTCCTCGACCACTTTTTGCATTCGTACAACGACGACGTCCCCACTACCGACGACACTAGCATCAACGTGTCCACCGTGCACACAGCCAAGGGCCTCGAGTTCCCGGTGGTGTTTGTGCTCGGGACGTCTGCCAGCCACACCTCGTACTGGCGAGGGTGTGTCGATCTCCACGCCTCGGCCGACCCGCAAATTGCACGCCTCTTCTATGTGGCCTGCACCAGGGCCAGCCAGTTTTTGTACGTGGGATGCACCACCAACAGCGACCGTTTCACGGGAGAGGTACCGCAAATGGCTAGGCTAGTTCCGCAGGTGGCCGGAGCATTGGCTAGAAAATTACCCTCTGCTGGTGCTGTCGACAAAGGCACCCAGCTCTTCGCCAGGCTCTACCAGGCGCCGTCCACTGCAAACAAAGGGCCCAGTTTTGGGCCCCGAGCTAATTTTAGAAGAGCCATGTCGTTTCGCTCGTCGCCATTGGTCGCCGTTTTACTGCGCAAAATTGGGGCTATCTTATCGCGCATTTGAAATCGGAGTTTCCTGACGGGGTAGCAAATCCTCGCAGCGACGCCTATACCGGCCCTGAAAAAAGAAAATATCGTAATTATTGCGAATAATGGCACCGAGTCAGCCGTTGGCATATTAACCTGGGGCCCGCACTCGGGTCGAAATCACACTCGTATCCAGTTTGTGAAAGACAAACGGCGTGGTACCAGATAGCATTTCGTGTGGGGCAGGCCTCTCTAAACGCAGCCACCATGGACCCGAGAGTGTCGCACGCACACTTCGAAGTCCCCGACAAAGAGTACCCAGGGATGCTCAAGCACTTGAGCGAGTTCCAGGTCAAGTTGGCCAAATCAGTGGCCATTGGCGTGGTCTCGGCTGGTACCGAGGACCCCCTGGGGCCGTCCATCACCGTGTTCAAACGCAAAAACTTGAAAAAATTCAGACGAAAGGACCACCCCCATAACATCTACGACCACAATTCCAACTCGCCGCTCGATTTGAACGAGTACGGCAAGTCGACAGTCAGCTGTATTCGCTGCCGCAAGCTCAAGAAGAAGTGCACCCGTTCTGTGCCTGAATGCTCCAACTGCATGTCGTCAGACGAGCTCTGTGTGTATGTGCCCCGCAAGTCGAAGCACAAGGACAAGTTGACGGTGCGGACGGGTTCCACCGGAAGCTTGCCAGAGATCTCCCAATCAGAGTGGGATTTTGACAAGAAAAAGCCAACCCACAAGAGGCTATCTTTGCCCTTGATCCAAAGCGGTCTGGTCAAGCGAGAGTTCGACCCCGTACAACACTACAACCCCCAGGACAATTCCAAGCTGGCCACCCCCGAGGAAACAAACTACTATTATGGAACAAAACGAAATCTGGCACACGATTTTGCAATTATACTAAATTAACGAGACACACTATGGTTGACCCTTTATAGACGAAATTATTTATTTAATGATACACGCGTATTTAAGCCAACTTCGAAAGCAAGCTCATAACATCCGCAGACGAGCTTGCAGAACTATCCTCGTTGCTCGATTCCGAAGCCGCAAAGTTATCTCCCAACGACGGATCGTAGCCTCCATCGTCATCGGTGACACTGTCATGCTCGTGTTTCAACTCCAAGTCGTCTTTATGGTGTTGCTCAAACTCACTTGACACCTCAAACTCGTCCTCGCCATCATCGTTGTTATCGTAATCAATTGCGTCGGTAACATTGGCTACCTCTGAATCATCACGGTCAAATTCTTTGACTTCTATATCCTCAGAAAACGCTACCCTCTTGGAAGGAGTCGAGCCTCCTGAAGGGGTTTGAGACGCTCTTCTCTTTCGAGTTGGCTCCTCTTTAACTTCTTCGGCTGAATTATTAGCCTTATCGTCGTCGTCGTCATCGTCGCTTTCGTAGGTAGGTAATATATCATCGTCATCATCATCTGCATTTGGTTCATCTGCATTATCGTTGTCATAACTTGGGGATGGCTCCTCGTCTTCCTTCTTTGAAGCACTGCTATCTTCATTCAAGATACTCTGCAACTCTTCTCTGGTACTGTATAATCTATTTAATTTATCATTGATGATCAGCACTTTGGTGTCGTCCGTCTTACAACCCTCCGAAATGACGTTGGACAAACTCTCAAGTTGCTTGGCGATTTGTTTCTTTATACTCTTGAGTTCTTCAATGTTGACTATGGATAACTTGCTCAACTTCTCCAACATGTTCAATTTGGAGATGTACACCTTGGGCGAAGGAAGTTTGTCCGACTTCGAGGGGTCCTGAGGCAAGTAGGTCTTGGATTGAATTCCAAATTGAGTCAAGTTCGCTTGACTTATATCATTCAAGCGATTCAATGAAATTATAAGCTCGTTCAAGTGTTTTAACTCTGGCACTATTTCTCCAGATGCTCCTGCTTTGGCTTGCGCAGGCTCATCAATCTTTCCACCACTGGTCTTCACAGATTCGACGGCATCTCTCATTTTTTGGATGTCAGAATTGTTGAACACCGATCTCTCTTGCCACACATTGATCAAACGGTCCAACTTTGGTCTAATTCCCGCATCTAATGTGCCGTAAGTCTTTCTGATTACGTTGGGTAATATAAGGGCAAATTCATCGATAAACTCTTGCTTTCTCTTTCTCTTGGCTCTCTGAACCACGTCGTTACATAAGTATAACAAACACAATTTCTTTGCCGAGGCAGACGATGTTGGTGGAACTGTCAAGATGTAGTCCGACCATATTTTGGCACATTCTTTACTATGTCTGTGATGGAAGAACACCCACTGAGATATGGAAACAATAGATTCTTGCGTGTCTTGCAAGACAGACAACTTCTTGGTGAAGCTTTCCTTCGAAAATGACATTATTCAGGTATTGTGGTAGTTGAAACAGCCAATTGCCAACAGTGGAAAACTTTGAAAATTACGTCGACTGAGACAATGATTCACAAATATATCTCACAGTTTCCAACAGCAGAAGGATCTATGGGTCGAATGCGGATGTCGGATCGGCGTATGATCAATTCAACCACGGGTGACGAAGGAGGTTGATTGTGTTGATTAGTTTGTGGGACGCCATCTGTTATTCGCAAAACTAGTATGTCTCGGGTTGTATGCAGTACATGTCCTCTGTGGCACGCTAATGATAGGGTGTAATTATTACAGCCCCGGGCACTTAATTCGAGCATCAACTATGAAGTAAAGTTGATTGGATGTAGTACAACACTGGATGAAGTGATGTATGGGTTTTCACGTTCGTTTTCTATCTTTCCTTTTATGTACTAATGTGAAATTGTGAAAAGTTGCGAATTTTTGAAATTTATCCAAAAACGAAAAAATGGTATAAGGAATTATTGAATGAATTAAAATGCTGCTATGGAATTAAATTAAAGAGTACACTTATAGTCATTGATGCAATATTCAAAACACCCACCTATAAGTATCATGGCAACTCTGTGCTGAGTTTCCAGGGAACTCTTCCGAGGCAATAAGCACGCACACTATAAAAAACGGCCACTTTATGGAAGTTACAGATGATACCCAAGGTAGCCAAATTAGCATCTGTTACTTTTGACTCAAGCACCCTTCCACCCCTGTTCTTGTCTTTGTAGTCTAGAGTCTTCCTTCTCGAAGTAAACTCCACGATAGTCTCCACGATTGTCCCCACGCACCCACAGTATGACGCGTGGAAAAAACGAAATCATCACCATCTGAAACAACAACACCAGAAGACAATCAATCCACACATAAAATGGGGCCCAAGACACGTAAGACAACACAGAAGAAACACGAGGGACAGGAGTCAGCCAGTGATTCCAAAGCACCAGCAACAAAGGGCAAATCAAAGGACTCAAACGGTGCCAAGGAGGTCAAAGAGAGAACCTCAAGGAGATTATCATCGAGGTTCTCGGAGGAGGCCGACTCATCTACTCCTAATACAAAGAGAAAGATAACCAGTACAGTGCCTCAGGGAGCGCCAAACGCATCTAGCAGTGTGAGCAAAAAGCTCAAGTCCAATCCGATCGTGACCGAGCAGGACATCATCAAATCCAATAATAGTCAAGAGTTGGTCGAATTCATCAACTCGCTCGTGAATACCAAGCAGGACGAGGTCTTCACCAAGTACCAGCAGAAAGTGCAGTCACAGTTGGAGTCTGACCACGAACTCATCGAGGAGTTGAATTCTACTGTGATAGAGAAACAAGCAATAATAGACAATTTGATCAAAGAGCTTGAAGAAGCCAAGAAAGTGAAATACCCAAAGCTCTTGAGCACAAACTCTACCGTTCTAGACATTAATGATACCAATGGTACGAAAGACCAGGTGTATCAATCACCAATCAGAAAGAAGAAGGTCAAGAGAATCGATGGAATGGACACCGAGGAATCTTCCTCACATTTGATAAACCAAGACCAGTTATCGAAGGAGTTGGAAAACATAGGATTTACTTTGGATATGTTGGAGTTGTTAACTGGACTCAGAATTACCAACTTTCAGGAGGATGGGACAAGGTATTACTTCGATGTTAAGCAAACTTCAACTTCCTCGAATTCATCGACTGAAAGCATATTTATCAACTATAGGTTAGTGATATCCAAAACTTTCGAGTCTACAGCCGAAATAAATTATATTCCCACGTTTTTGGAAGCATTAGAGGATGATTTTGAACAAGACGAGGATGATTCCATACTAGAAATCGATTTAATCCGGAACGCAAATTATTTGAAGAGGATATTGCCAGAATACTTGTGCGAAAACTTGTCCTTTCCGTACAACACGCTTTCTCAATTCTACGGCAAGGTGAATAGGGCGTTGAATAAAAGAGCAAGGAACTAGACTGACGCGAAGCAACATTTGTTGACGTTAGATGTTGCATCGCCTCATGGCAAAAATTCAGCTTTTCAGAATCGTCAAAAGTGAGCCCAGACGTGTGGCCCAATGCACGGCTAGCCAGGCGCGAGCCACGTAGCATGAGGACTCTTGCATTTTCACACCGAGCTCTGATGCAACAGGGTATACCTTAAGGAATCATGCATTTTTGCATAGACCAAATACTTAAGAGGACATGCAGTTCTACAGGACTCGTCTACATTGATGTTACGCAGGGTACGCAAGGAATAGGAGGAGTGGTTTAAGGTAGGAACTTAGGAACGTACATAGGCACTTTTGTGCAAGCATGGGAATAAGAAAAAGAAGTAGTAAGAAAACCCGACAGTTCAAGAGATTTACACATTTGTAGGGTCCTCCATGCGTCATGGAACCATCGCTAGTCTCGGACAAATGCATGAGAAGGAGCTATCACAGTATAGAGTATTCCTTGGCCGAGATTTCATGAAAACGCAGGATGCATAGCTCTGCCCCGTTTCTTGCGCGACAGAGCTACCAACCGCATTCTACATGAGGCGAGGGGATGTGGCTAACAAATTTGTCAAAGCTACAAATCATGCGTCCTTGAGGCAAGACGTTTGCTTGCCATGGTAGATGGTTGTGGGCGAATGAAGCAATTTAGAGTTTAGTAGCACCAAGTCGTCGTATTCTGAGCCCTAAAATCTGGCCAGGGATCGATTTTTTGCTTTCAAATACGAGGCCGAAAAAACTTGGAACTAGATGTAACATTAATTACCGATTAATGATAAGGCAAACCCTTTAATCTAATAGACAATACAAAGGGGCAGTTCCTGAAATATTATCGATACGAGAAATGGCACCACTTTTTCCTATTGGACTAGCCGTCTAAACCCTGAATGCAGGTTATCGCCGACTATACTGCGCGGAACAGGATGGTTCGATAATATTACAATTGGCGGTATCATACATAAGAATTAAATATTAGTGAAATTTTATGTGCAGGGGTCAACTGGGGGGCTAGGGCGCACTCAGGCACAGCTTGTCTATTGGATAATTTCAAGCTTGCCATCCGCGTTTTTGACGACCTTCAAGGCCTTCAAGAGTTCCTTGATATCTTGAGAGCTCTCTTGGGATACCTTTTTGATGACCTTGTATAAGTTTTGTTCCTTCTTGGGCTTGAGGTAGTCGGTTAAAGTTTGGGACTTGGCTTTCTTGGAAGAAGTCTTACTGGCCTTTTCAGACTTTTCAGACTTTTCAGCCTTTTCAGCCTTTTCAACCTTTTCAACCTTCTTCTCAACCACCTTGGTGGTTTGCTCTACCTTAGGTTTGGGCGGCTGCTTCTTTGGGCCCTTGTATAGAGCTTTTTCGTATTTTTCAGCTTCGGATATGCAGCTGGTGTGCTGTCTGTAGTCGGTTCCCAGGAAAGTTACGGAGCAGTCGATACAGGTGAAGTAGGCACCATAGCACCTCTGGGTATGTTGGTCCAACTTCTTCTTTATCACGGTGTCATTGCACACCTCACACGAGAACGAAACCATGGTAGATGCCCTCCGATACTATGAGGGCCATTTCGAAAAAGACTGTCTGATGCGATGCGATGAGCCAGAGTATTACGTAATCGACCGAATTTTTCGCCGAAGTTGCTGGAGCGATAAAAATTTCAGCCCCTGGCTACGAACCGAGGTAGGTGTGTACATTGCAGCGGAAGCACGGAAACAAGGTTTCCGATAGAATCATCCCACAGTGAAATGAGGCTTGGGAATAGTTTAAGATAAGTGTACAGGTACGCCTTATGCCGGAAGAAGACTGTGGAACAGAATACACGAGATCGAGTACATACAATGCCAAACAATACCCTACTACACTCTACAATGCTTTTCCAACCTCTTTAATTGTCTCCTTCGGAGGGTACAGGCGGCGATGGCGTTATCTATCAGCCGGCAGTGATTGGCGATGGCAGCTCGTATATTGTATTTTGATTATAACTAGACATTAGTCTGAAATCGAACCGTTTATTGGTGCGGCCAGTGCGTCATATCATGCACAAGGACTGTAAAAGGGTCATGCCTCAGGCACGTGGACACTTGTTCCTGTGTCTATGTCCAAGCCGGACGGCAAGCGAGTGCGAGTGGCGGCGGCCGTAGGGCATCAATTCTTACCTCGGCTCGATGCTTATACATGATGCACACCTCTGGTTTGTAAGTCTATTCCATGATGCCATTACACATACATGCTAATTACAATTCATTGCTTGAGATTCCCTAGCTCTCCTGATCCCATGCAGTTACTAGTCAATTGTTAACCGCGAGGACAATGTACGCCAAATGATAGTTAGACTTCTTCCTCGACATAAACTTTATTCTTTAACCCCTCATAGAATCGATTTAACCCACTCTACTGACTAGATCTTTAGATTCGAAAACAATTGATTTTTTTTTCGTAATGCGTCATTAGTCCGACACAATACCAGTCACCATGCCCCACAACCACCGCATGCTTACCACACCAACCAATATTTTTTCGGGTCGTGCTTCTGGAACCCATCAGGTGGATGCCCGCAACGGATAGGCATGCGGGTGTTATTCTTAGGTCATTTAGTCGTGGAGTGCCTATAAACTTCTTGACATTAGACTTTAGGCTCTTGACGCCACCTAGTCTGTTTTTACACACGGCATACGGTGTGAGCCCCGCTCGTATTGGGAAGTACTTGGCCGAAGGGATGAGTACTCAGGGTCCAATCGTTCAGTGTGTAGTAAGTGTGAAGGGTCCCTGAAATAGCTGGACCTTTACGAAAATCCCTGTGGACTATCACATGGGGAATGGTCAGCATTAGTAATTCTGATTTGTTATACGACAAGAAATATGTACGGTCTTGACCCTGCTTTAGCGCTTGTATTTCAAATGAAATTAGCACCTTTTTGGTGCGAGTGTCGGGTGCGACTTCCTGCAGACCACGGCCCAACTTCAGGGCTGTTCCAGAGGACCCGAATTGCTCAAGCTACACCCCAAGAAAATCGGGACAATGGCATGGAGACAGTGCTCGCTTCGTGCTGCTACCCCAATAGTAACACCATAGCAAACACCCCGGCAACGACGGATCTCGCGGCCACCAACCTCACCAGGTGTCGACAATTATTATTTTCGTTTCTTACCCGCAGGATCGTAAAACCCATCGTCTGTGGGCATGCCTCGGCAATAGGTGCAATTGAAGGTGCACAAAAATAGATATTTTTTTTTTGGAGTTCCAGTGTGCACGCCTCCTGACGAAGTTGCAAAATATTAACTGACTAGTCATGGCTCCGTGCCGTTCGCCTGTACAAGCGATACGCATCTTGCAGCACCGCCTATTAGGAACACTTGGGCGGGACCTTTGCTTCATGCAATGCGCAGGCATTTACTCGCCATCAGTAATGGTGCATCTTTCATTTAGTCCGCCCCCATTGAGCCCATGCTTTTAATCTGGAGTTAGCATGATGGTTATGCAGCGCCAAATGGCTGCCGCTGATGGCGGCCGTTTCATTGCCTTTTCCAGGCCATGCCAAAGCATTATTTAAACTCAGCAACTCCCCTTCCTTTATTCCTTCATCACCATCATCTCCAATGAAGTTGCTCAATATTGTGGCTGTTGCCGGTGCCCTCGCGGTTGCCGCAGGCAAACAAGTATCGGGAGTGTTCACTAGCTTTGATTCCCTCAAGTATCAAAAGGGTGCCAACTACCCAAACATTACTCCAGCAACCCCTAGTTGGGTTGCAACTCTCAGCTGGAGCTTGGACGCCGCCAAGGTGGCTCCAGGCGACACTTTCACCCTTACCTTGCCTTGTGTTTTCAAGTTCACCACTGACTCCAACACCATCAACTTGCAAGCCGATGGTGCCACCTATGCCACCTGTACCTTGACCGGCGGTGAGATCTTGGTGCCTTACTCTTCCATGCAGTGTACTGTTACCAACCAGATCAGCAATGTCAACCTGGCTGACGGTACTGTTTACTTCCCACTCACCTTCAGCGTGGGTGGCTCTGCTAACCTGGCCGATCTCCAGAACGCTAACTGTTTCACTGCTGGTACCAACACCGTCACCTTCAAGGACGGCGACAAGGCCCTCTCCACCACTGTCGACTTCAATGGCGGCTCCTCCAACAACCAGGGCATCGACTCCTTGAACTACAACCTCAAGGTGCTTCCTAGCATCAACACCTACCAACACTACGCTTTGGCTGGTAACTGTCCCGACGGTTACTCCTCGGGTACCCTTGGTATTTCGGGTGTGAATGCGGTAATCGACTGCAGCTCGGTTCACGCAGGTATCACCAACGATATCAACGCTTGGTACTACCCTAAGAGCTCGTCCTCCGACTTCCAATTCCAAGCAAGCTGCTCCTCCAACCAGTACACCATCACCTACAGCAACATTCCTGCTGGCTACCGTCCTTTCATCGATTTCCTCTCCACCAACCCAGGAGTAAGTCTCAGAACTGTCTACACCGATACCTTCACCTGTAAGAACGGTAGAAGAACAAACGATGGTTTGACCAGAACCTGGGGTTCCTACAATAATGGTGGAACTGGTTCCAACGGTAACGTCGTGAAGATCGTCACACTGACTTGGACTGGTACTACTACCGGAATCACAACCTTGCCTTTCTCCACCGGCCCAGGAAACACCCAAACTGTTGTTGTTGAAGTGCCAGTTCCAACCACCACTGTTACCAGCACTTGGACTGGACTGGTCCCTACTACCATTACCCACAGTGCTCCTCCAGGTCAAACCGCTACTGTCATCGTTGAAGTTCCTGTACCTGTTGTGACTAAGACTACCCCATGGACTGGTACTTTTACATCTACTACCACTGCCACTGGTTCAGATGGTACCAATACTGTGATCATTGAAACTCCTGTCCCTGCTACTACTTACACTACCCCATGGACTGGCTCTTTCACCACTACCGTCACTAGAACCGGAACTGGAACCAACAC